GTGCCCCAAGACCAACACACACACACACACACACACACACACACACACACACACACACACACACACACACATCCATTTGCAGCTAAATGCTGTCACATGTGCAGACACTCATACAGACCCACATCCAGAGACAGACAGTAAGCTTGCTCATCATTAATTCAGGAGACATCACTCCCACCCTCCTTCTGCCCCTGAGAAGCTCTCCATGCTTCCCAGCAACATTATGCATATTTATTCATACATCCCTGCTCTGCTAAATGTCACTGTAAATGTTTCTACATCCAATGAAGTTATTTCTTTATGTTTTTGTTCTCTGCCCTGTGCCCGCCCTCCTCCGTCTCTTCCTCTGTGTTTCCCCACGCCACCGTTTGAATGAGGAAAACCCCTGACATGTTTCAGGCTCACCGCTCTTTCTGTATTACCCTAATGTCTCTAAACTTCAGAGGCGCTTTCTTCAGCCCTCTGCTAATTCTGTTCACACTTAGTTTCACCTCGCTCCAAACGCCTCAGAGGAGAAGTGCTGCCTTTGTAGCAATTACTCCAGACCTTGATCTGACTGAGCCCCATCCCTCCACCACCATCACCACCGCCCACCCCTCAAGAGTCAGCCGTGGAGGGAGCTTTCAGACTCTCCTCTGTTTTTATGTCTTCACCCATAGTCTCAGAGAGCAAGCATGAGGGAACCAGCTCATTTAGGCTTCTGTTTGTGTCTCTCAGCTCTATTTTACCTGATTTTCTACCTCCTGTTGCACACACACATATGCTGTTCAACAAAAAGCCCAGACTGTGACATGCTGACAGAGTTTCAAGGTGTGTCATTTGAGCAAGCAAGTCTGTTCAAGGAGCACAAAACCCTCTTCTCAAACATTCGACTGGTAATTATCTACAGCCGCAGACATTGTGAAACAGGTACAGCAGCTTCTACACTGGGGGACCTTTTTTTCATGTGCACAATAACCTTTCAGCCTGAAGCTGTCTTTTACAGCAGCTGACATGGAGGAGAGACCTAAAAACAGAATGATTAGAAGGTAAAAAGGTCTTTTAAAAGTTGATGGTCTGCACCTCTAATCCTCGTTCTAATGCAGTGGAACAGAAACATGCATTTATGTGTTCCTGCCAGCCAACCGTTCAGCCCACATGGAACTTGTGAGTCCAGGGTTTGTGCTGCTTCGATGTCCCTGATGCACTCAGCTAAAGAAGTTGTTGTTTTTGTAGAGAAATGTCTGCCAAGATGGATTCCGGAGGGCTCATATCAAAGGTTGTGGCTTTTTGCACATAAATCTGAAGAATTAAATGGTCCATATGACACCAACAAGAAAGCCCCAGAGACCGACTAAAATCAGAGCAACATGCTTTTGATGCTATGACATCAGGACTGGCATCTTGCACCCAGTCATTTTGGGCAGCAAGGCTGAAAATATCAAGCCTTGCAGTGCAGCTGTGATAGGAAAGTGGACAGAAGCTCTGAATGGGTGGCCAAGCTCACTGGATTGATTCTCTTATCAGAAAAACTCTAAAAACTGAAGGCCTGCAAAGGAGAAAGAATCTGTGAGACTTGTGCGGGGTTTTAAATGGTTGACTTGCTGTGATCACCCTTGGATTGGTTTTTGCGCACTGGAACACATCAAGAAAGAAAGATGTATCGCTGAAAACCACTCAAGACAGTTCATAATTAAGTACCTGAGGGAGTTAGGTCCTGAGGTGGGTCTTCAGGAGGGCCTTATTACCCTAATATAAAAAAGTGAATTATTTCTAGCACAATCAGGTGCTTGTTGATCCTGCTCTCGACTGATGTAAAGCACCTTGAAGTTGGACCTGAAAAGGCCTGATCAGGTTAGATCCTGGTCTCTCCACAAACATGCAGATGCAAAGACTGTTTCAAAGATCTCACAGACTAAAGATCTCACTTACATCAAAAACACATCAAGTGTAGGACTTACTGTGTCCTCATGGTTTCTGCAGTTTCTCTGGATCTGCTGTAATTTAGATCTTTACCTGAGCTTCAGCGTACCATAGCTGCTGTGCCTCAAAATTAGAAGAGCATGAAAGTAAGCACATGTTGCTCCATTAATGCAAAGCTTTGCAGACTCATCCTCTGATGGAGTTTCCTCTTAAGGTCCTGGTGCAGGTCTACAAAGACCTTTATGGTCCAGCATCATCATCTCTTAGAGATCTAAGCCATAAATAACGATGCATGCACGTATTTGTTTCATACGTGTGGGATCTGCTTGTCTGTGGCGTCACTCTTCTTCTGCAGTTAATCCCTGTTATCAAGGGGTTGGTGAGGGGTTTTGACCAATCAGAATCAAGCATCGATCATTGCTGGGCCCTCAGTGGTGTGTCATAAATCGTGGTTAAAAAACTTTTGTTGTGTTTGGCACTTAAACTGATTGGTGTAAACCCAGGATTTTTCCAACCTTTCCCCAAACATGCACAAACGTGTTGTATCACTTTCCTTCTTCCTGGAAGATGAATCCACAGACAGACACCTGAGACACAAACTGAAGGGGGGACTCTTACACTGTCTTTATGCCAAATAGTTTGAACCTGAACAGTCGACTCTGACTCACTCACTCTGCTGAATAAAGGCCAAGCTAATGAAATCAAGTCCACCGCTCACAGGAGCCAAAAAATGTCTGAACTAATTATTCATCAGAGCTGTACTAAAGATTAGCTTGGATATATGAGAAGAAGCAAATCCTTTAAATGGCTCTTCTATTGTTCCCCACAATCCTCCCCACCCTCATTTTAGATACGGCACAGTCGGGCACCCTGGTGAAATGACTCTGAGCCATTGTTCCTGTGTTATCCTGCAGACACCAAAGGCTAGTTAGCGCTGCCTTTGATAGAGATGCCCGGCACCGTTTTAACATTCCTGCTATCTGCAGGATAGAGAATAACCGAGGCTGGGGTGGAAATAAAGCCACTCAATCTTCTGTCAGCCTGGCTCTCTAGGAATAAAACATCATAATGTGAAGGGATTGGAGGCTTATCTGACTCTGCTTTGTTACAAAAACTTGTCAAAAAAAGGACAGCTCTATACACCGTGTGCCTGTCCATGTCAACTTTGTGCCGCTTTTATAGCAATGCAATAATTTTCTTTGAACAAAAGATCATAATCAGTGCATGAAGATGATTATTTCCCTCTCACCAGAGAGAAATTACACTGCTGCTCCTGCAGTTTCTGCTGATGCATGAGAAGTCAGACTGAGACATGGAGTGAATACAGTGATTAAGTCTGCAAAAACAGTTCATCAGCACACTTGTTTGCAAACCCAGCTGTGCAGTCTCAGAGGCATTACAGTAAGGTGAGCCAGGGTAGCAATGGGTGGCGTCCTGTGAGCCTCACCAGCTCTGATGCCCCCTACAGGGCGGAGGGGTCCTAACCGCACAGGGCTGCAGCTGGAAGCCTCCAGTTACCAGATGAGTGTGTGTGTGTGTGTGTGTGTGTGTGTGTGTGTGTGTGTGTGTGTGTGTGTGTGTGTGTGTGTGTGTGTGTGTGTGTGTGTGTGTGAGTGAGTGAGGCTGGACTCTGAAGGCCCAGTGAGTGTTGTTAGGGAGAAGAAAAGCTGGGGCATTTTCAAGTTTATGAGAAGTCTGCTGATTTAGTTCCAGTTCCTTTTATTGGAAAGTTTCACAACATGAGAAAAAAATGTGAATGAATGTTTGACCAGAGTTTGGCTCTTGCCACACTCTGCGCTAAATCTGGAGATGTTTGTTCAAATATTTCAAAGTGTGACCTAAATGTGGTGAAACTCAGGCTGGATATTGTGCGACCACAGGGTTGTCAAATGTCACGTGTGAGTAGTGGGAGTACTGTGGTCCTGTCGTAGTCTGTGGATGAGATATTTTTCTGATACTCTGATGCCAACACACCTCTCATTTCTTTTTTTTTTTTGTCAGCTTAGTATTTTCATGTCACAGATTTGGAGACACTCCAGATGAAACTGAAACATGGACACTTTTGCATTTTTCATCATACTTGTTTACAACATTTGACATAACTTGACGCACGGATATATGTGGGAAATTCTGCTCAGCATCTGTCTTCATAAATATCATATCTGTAAATCTCCACATGCTCTGGTTAGGATCCAGATTCTTGGAGGAACTAAAAAAAAATAAAAAATCCCTGATTCTTGGGGTGTTGGAGCAGTGACAGCTAGTTTCCAGAAGCTGTCAGGTTCTCCTAACAGCTGCGTCTAACAGCTCAAATCCATCCAGAAATGTCCTGGTGTGAGAATGTTCAAATGTGGGTGTGTGATTGTTTTCATTGAGAGGGCTGAAGTTACAATTTGGGGACTCTAACCTACAGGTTTGGTGTCCTCAGCTCAAAGGTAACCGTCAGAGAAGTTGAAGTTGTTTAATCTCCATCCGGGTCATTAGTTTTTCCTTGTTTGCTTTGATTGTGTATTGATTCAACACCTCTGACTGACTGCTGTCACATTTCACACCCTCAGTGCACTCTGTGAATGACGAGATCATGATCAAAATGTCATATGCTGTTGGTTGTTCAGATGTCTGTGTGTATTTTTGGTGCAAACAGAAGTGTGTGACAGATTGTTCAAAGACAACAGCTTCTTTGTTTGAGGAAACAGTGCTGCACACTCTTGAAGCCCCTGTGGGCCCCTTTAGGCTCTGAGAAAAGAGGGCATCAGCCTACACAGCAGCTCCAAGTTAGTTTTTATACACACATTTATTCAGGAAATTATATTTTCACCATCTCTAAAATGTCTTCTATAATCCCAAACTCTTCAGGAGTTTCAGATTTTGCAATAATATCAGTTGCATGCTGATATAACCCACTATATATATATATATATATATATATATATATATATATATATATATATATATATATATATATATATATATATATATATATATTCTTATCTTCCTCGAGTTGACAAAAATATATTTGATAAAAGATGACTCACATGTGCATCCGTCAGGTCAGCGCAGTTTGGGTTTAATATGAAATCCTGAGAAGGTTTCAGGCTGGAAGTTTTCAGAGAGCGGCAGCTGGATGAAATTTGCATCTCGATTGTAGACGCTTTCCATCACGCACACACATTCGCACGCAAACAATCACGCGCATCCGCGTACTCATCCCTTGTACAGGGGGCGTGTGGGTCTGGCAGGGACTCAAACCTTCTGCATTCGCATCAGTGGAGCAGCGGAGAGCGGTGGCGCACGAAGAGACGGACGGGGAAAGAAACTTGTTTCATATCAAGCATGACTTTTCTGTTTCGCTGTGGTATTTTTCACATGTCCTTGAGAATTTTTGGGACTTTCTGAGTTTCCCTCTCTCGGTCTGGATTTGACTTGTGACAACGCTGAAGAAAAGAGACCCGGAGAGATCAGCGGGAAGGAGACGAGTGAGAACGCGGAGAGAGGAGCGAGTCGACCGGCGACGTCTGTGCGTTTCAGCGTGTGGGGACGGACGAGCGGACGGGACTGCTGCGTGGTTCCCAGTCGGTTAAGAGAAAGGGGGTTTGGGGTGAGGGGACATAACTTGACTTGATTTTTGAGGGGGTCTAGCGGAGACCTGCTGTCATTTTTAACGGAATCAGGGGAAGTCTCTCGGATCGTACACTCTGCTCTACGCATGCTGGGAGAGGCGAGAGCAAGGCTGGATGTCTGCGGGGGTTACGAGTCCTCAAGACGCAGGTGAATACAGATGCTGTTTTTGATGTATACACGGATACATTTGAGTCGCTTACGGTGGCTGAGATGATAACAGATTTTTAGAATCACGGTTGAATTAACTTTATTCACACACGTGTAAATGTTGCTGGTATGAGCGCGTTAGTGGGTTACTATCCTCTGCGTATGAATGGGAAAACAAGAGAACAAGCATAAACCTAAAAATAATGAGGTTGAAGTGCTTTCATACATTCTGTTTCAGCCTAATTTCACTGTGCACGACTGAAGGTGACGGTGGAGGTAAACACAATCCAGCTCGTTCCTTTTTTAAACAGTGTGACCCACTAAAAGGGCAGCCTGGAGGCGACTTTAATTTACGCTTTAATTGATTTCCCCTAAATTTTCAGAGTGCCAGTTAAATGGTGTCACTGTTGTGGGGCAGGCTCTGACAATCCGCGCATCTGGAGAGCTGCTGCTGCATAAAAGAAATCCTCAAGGAGGAAAAAAAAACACTTATATTATTTAGCTCCAGAGCTCAAAGTGGGCCGATAATAGCGGAGATATTTGAGCGGATGGATGTGTGCTTTGGGACAAAAAGGACACAGTTTGTAGTTTAGTGTGTCAGATATACTGTGATCAGTTCAGACGGAAAAAGTTAAACACTGTTTCTGATCATTCAAGCGAAATGTGGAAATTCGTGTTTTCAAAATGTTCAGATGTTCAAATTTCCTCTTTGTATCTGTGAAAATATGAAGAAATGTTTCTGAAAGGATTCCTGTTTGGTAACTGCATGCTCCATAAATGTCTTGCTCCTTTTGTAGGAGAGTGAGGGAGGGGAAGAAAGCGTAAGTGCGTAAAAGAGAGAGAGAGAGAGGGAGAGAATCCTGTCACTTAACGGACTGCTGGTGCTGTGTGCCTCAGTGTGCAGCTCCGCTTACATACAAAGACACTGGGCTTTCCCCGTATAGGCGGCTATAAGTAATCAAGCCAATAATCAACCTCTCCAGTTCCCTACTCTGAGCCTATAGAATAAGGGTGCTCAGTTTTTGGTGAGAGGTGTTGCCTACTTATGTCTTTGTGTTCCTGTTTGTATTAGCGCGTTTAGACGGATCGGTGATCGGTCCAGAGCGCACGGCAGCAGCCTTCAATCCTAACCTGCTCACATTTCCTTTTATCCTCTCACAGCCTGTAAGGATTACCCCATAACCCATCATTTGCTGGAGTAGGAACGCAAAAAGGAGTGAGCCATTTCTTCAGAAATCTTGCGCTTTTGGCTTCTTTTGAGAGGATATGGCACGGGCGGCAATGGAGAGAGGAGCGCAGCCGGCACAGGCGAGAGGAAACAGGAGCTGAATGACAGGATGCCAGCGACCTGAGCCCGCTCTCAGACTAGCTTCGTTCGAGAGACTCTTCTACTTTACTTGAGAGAAGAAGAAGAATACTTGTCTCACACTGAAACTGAGGAGTTTAATTTTGGAGTTTTTTTATGTGTGTAATTTTATTTTCTTTTGGAGAGAAAACAAGGATGCATTGTGGATTGGTCTTCATCCTGTTCATGGGAATCCTTTTGGTGGTCAAGGCTTTTAAAAACGGTAAGTGTGGCATGTGATATCTATATAAATAAGCCTGTATGTACTCAGTAAAGCTGCTAATCCCGGTATTTTTCTAAGAGATTAAGCTGCTCTGATCTCCGCTGATCTTTTGGCAAACTCGCAGGCGCTCACCTGCCCATCCTGCTCTCAAAAGGAATATCCCAGTTACCAAATATTTTTTACATAGATTAAGACATTATTACACCATACTTACATTAAATATAAAACAGCGGCCCTCTCTCATCGTATTCTTCTATTTTTATCTGTATCTATTATTAATTCCTGTCCTAAATTATCCTGTTTAACATTTTATTACGATGAGTAGCGTCTTTATTGCCGTATGAAACAGTTTTATTTTTCCAAGTAGATGAATTTAAGTGAATTTTTCCTTAATCCTTTAACCTTTAAAATAAGCTCTTTTTTTGAACACATTATTTGGTTATTTAAGCCTTACTATAGAAGCATTTCGTTGTTAAGCAGCTTAAAAAGTAAACCCAGATTTTCGACTCGTAACTTTCTCCTTGTTCGCCTCAAAGTTTTGAGTTCTGGTTTCAGTTCGTCGCTCGTTTTGTTCGGATTTAATACATTTTCATTAAGGTGCGCGTGTGTGGAGGTTAGAGCAGCAGATGGTGGAGCTTTTGTGAGAAAAGGATGAATAAATCCTAAATGAAGATAAATATGGAGAGGGATAGCGGGCCTGTGGAAAACAAAGTTTGATTCCTCTGCAGTTCAAACTCCGGATTTAAGAGGAAGTTTGAAGTGGCAGACTCTACAGGTCTGTGGTCTCTGGCTCCTGTATCTTAAGCTCCTTCATTCAGACTCTTTTTTTTTTTTTTATACAATCGCTCTTAGATCTACATTTTTATCTTAATCTAAATGTGGTTAACTCTTTCTTCATGTCTGTGAAGACTAAATATATATATTGAAATTATAATAATATATGATATAAAATTCTGAATATTTCATGCAGAAACATTTTAACCTGGTCAAAGTTTGTGAAGAGACTTTAGTGTTTGCTCTCTCAAACTAGCCAAACTGCAAAATAGACCCTGTCTCTTTTGTACGGAAACCTGTGTCATTTGGACACTTCAATTAATAAGAGAATGAAAGTGTGTGACTGTCCACTTAAAGTAGACACTCATGAACTTGTGCAGTCCAACTGTTTTATCCACAGTAGTTTTTTTGTTCTTTAAGAAGTCGGTCTCTGTCCGCTCTGCAGACAAATGTGGAGGCAACATCAGAATCTCAACGGCCAACTACCTCACCTCGCCGGGATACCCCATGTCTTATCCCTCCTCTCAGAGATGCACGTGGGTGATATCTGCGCCTGGTCCTCACCAGCGGATCCTCATCAACTTTAATCCACATTTTGATCTGGAAGACCGAGAGTGCAAGTAAGTTTGCTGCACATAAGTGATGAATGTATTGTCGATGAAAAACACATGTGCTAAAGGGCCAAAATCCTTCATTATTTCTGAACGCAGTGAGTTTGTCTCGGAAGTCCAAATATGATTTGGTTAAACAGAAAAGAAATGTGAGAATAATCTTTGTGCCGTGAGGCCTTCAATCAGCAGAAATGGATAAAATAACTGTGAGGAAGTCCTCTTAAAGGCTGCCTTTTAACTGCTTTGAGATCCACTGTGCTATTCAAGGCTGTGAGACTGTTCATGCTTACAAACCTGCAGATGTATTCATGGTTGAAAGCCTGCATGAATGTGTGTAACTGTGACTATAATGGCCTTTGTGTGTGTGTGTGTGTGTGTGTGTGTGTGTGTGTGTGTGTGTGTGTGTGTGTGTGTGTGTGTGTGTGTGTGCGCGCGTGTGTCACCCCCCCTCTCCCTGGTGCATATTGCACATGAAACTGCTCCATCTAGTGTCTGCAGGCTGACTGAAACTGTGTCAGTGCACTCCTGCTCTCACTGCACTCAGAGCAGCAGGACCCTGTCTTTGGTTTGTGAGTGTCCTCTCTCTCTCCTCTTTGTGGATGAAGTCATTGTGGTACTTTATGGATCTGAGCCACATTTTTTTCTGCAGAAAAAAATACAGGAAAGGTTAGGGTCCCTCAACTCTCAGGAGGGCATTCATTTCAGGAAGAAAGCAGACATTACCAAAAGTTCCAAGAATTAAGATTCAAGTGTGAGTTCATTTGATTCCGCCAGTTGGAAATGATCAGACTCATCTGTTTACCCTGTGGGATTGTCAGACAGTGTGGGATGACTCTTTTAAGATGGATCTCAGGTTGACAGATAGTTACCGATCTTTGTTTGACTTGTAAGCCATGAGCTGCCGCCTCCAACAAAAGGCTAAGCGGCTAACCTGTTGTTGGATAGATAGTTTAAGCCGATGAAACCGGAGACAGACAGTAATGTGATGAGTGTGTGTCAGTGTGCGTGCCCTGAGGTGAGCCTCGCCTAGGCAGACTGCCTCGCTCTGATTGCCTGCTGTGAGTGTGTGCGTGTGTGTGTGGTTTTGCGTGTGTCGGGGCCTCAGTGCTGCTCTGTCTCAGTTGTTTGTTTACGCTGCAGGGCTCAGGAGACAACAGAGCTTTGTAGGATCCTGTTACTGTATACCACTCCACCCTAAACCTGGACCCTGTGCGTCTTTGTGCCCCTCTGTTTCTGTTTGCAGCATGTGTGTTTTAATCCAGGATTCAGTCCCACTTTAACCTGTCTCTGCTGCTGCTGTCAGAGATTTATGGCGGATGAATGCTGCTGTCTTTTAAAGGCGGGATGCTCTTCGACACTTCTTTTGGCTCCGATTTCAGTACCAGAGGGACTATTAAACTGTCCGAGATCTGCAGTTACAAAGAGAGAGCGAGGAGGGCGTGAGGAGGGGCCCACAGTAACAATGCTTGAGCTAATCAAATTAGCCAGGAATGAATTTCCTGTTACTAAACACACACAGTCAAAAGAATTCAGCTGCTCTCAGGCTGGAGGACAGACGTTTTTTCAGGGAGGGTTGACATCTGAGATCTAGGGATGTAGAATTTATAAGTTTGTGGCCTCTGAGTTTATTTAGGTCTTCATAAATTTGTTAGCAGATGAAGTCATATTTGCTGGTATGACTCTGTTCTGAGAGCGTCCATGTGCAAATGTGGAGAGGCAAAGCCAGAGGCAGGGAGAGCACACTTCCCCTCTCTTCCATAACCACATATGAAAAGCTAAGGCAGGGAAAATACCAGTAAAAACTCTGAAGGCACGGAATAACACAGGCATGACTAACATTACAAATACATACACAGCCTGTCTTTCGGCCTGTCTGAACTAACACCACAGCTCTGTAATTTCAGGTTATTTCCTGTCTTACCTAGCTTGAAAAAGGTGTCAGACTTGTTTAAGAGTCATTGATCCTGGCCGACTGAATCTATAAATATATATCTTGAACTTTATGGTTGTGATTTAAGTAGAAGTTTGTGGTTCTCCTTGCTGACTCTTAGGTGGTAGATGCCAGCCAATCAGCTGACCACGAGGCCGTTTCTTGAAAGATTTTGTTCCTTTTTTTTATCAGGAGTAGATGCAGTAAATATTTAAGTAAATATAAAGTTACTGATTATGAAAACTACACAAAGAAAGCTCAAATGACAATGAGATGAGTTAAATGTAATTTGTTCCTTTCCGACCTGAATTTATTCAGGTCGAACTGAGGTGCAGATATGAGGACATCTCCGTACAGAGGAAATGTGGTCGACCTGACCTGCAGCCTTTTTCCTCATTTTAACTGGGTGTACAGTTTCATTTTTAATGGTTTTAATGGAGTGGGTTTCATGGTACTTTAGCTCCACTTCACAATATATTCCACCTTCTGCTCCTTTTTTGGCCTCATCCAGCAAAGCCATGAAAGTAAAATCTAGTTTCCGTCTTTGCTCCTTATTTTCTCTTTTTTTCTCCCATTACGCCTCTGTGTAGCACGAAGGTGGTTATTGTGCTAATCACTGACGAGGCATGTCATGGATAACTGAATTACAGAAGGGGTGGGGGTATTTTATAATGTATCTGAGGACAGCATTTGGGTGTGATTTGTGTTGCAGCCGTCAGGCTCCCTGTAGCAGCTCCACTCACCAAATCCGTCCTTTACATAATAGAAACTGATGAGAGCCAGAATGGCTTCCTTATCTGATGGACTGGCAGAGGGGGTGGGGGTGGGGGCTACAACGCATGCTTCAGTGCACTGCCTTGCAATCTAATTAGTGGGTAAATGGAACACACATGCACCACATGTTCCTCTACATGGCTGTTATCAGCAAACCAAACAAGAAGCACTCAAAGTGGAGCTCGTAAAAAGAGAAACAGGGTTGGCTGAGAGGAGTCTGGCCGCGGCCGGCCGTGTTGTTGCACGTGTGCGCTACCCTTGACAGGTTTGTTTGGGGAAGTGCAGAGGCCTGTATCCTGAGAGCTGGGGGAGGAAAACACTTCATCACAGAGATAAGGAGACTAAGTGAGCCCTTGCGATTCTGAATGCAGAACGTGTTTACCTTTCACGCACCGTTGTAGACTTTCACAGAGCAGAGTTTCAGGGGCCGCCCTCGCCACTCTCACAGCTAATGAAGTTTGAGGCGGAGGCGCAGCCCGCATCAAGACAAATATTTGGAGTCAATTCAGCTCTGAAAACTGCTGGAATGAGAAAGCTAAGCTCTTCAAAAAAAAAAAATAGATATGCTTCTGCTTGTTCTCTGTTTCTCTGCAATCTGATAAGGGCTGTCAGGGTCCAAAGAGTGAGGCAGCTTTGTCCTCTGAAGGGAAAATAAAAGGTTTTAGTGGGTTTGAATACAAGCAAGTGGCAAACTTCACAGGAGGAGGGGGGAGAGTTAGAGGGAAGAACCTTGAGGTGAGTTTTGAATGAGATTTTTAAAGTTGAAGAAGGTCTTCGACGGTCTACAAAAGTCCTGTTTTCCACAGTCTGGCCAGGGTTATTTGAAGTCTTTCTTTCAGTTTTTATGGAGTTGCTCATTCACCTGACATTTACATCAGCAGTTCACATTTGTGCAAAAACCATGAATAAAAGGGGAAGAGAAAAGATGAGGGTGCCACCTTTAAAGAAATAAAACTTTGAGGTCAGAAATACAGGGAGCAGTTTGCAGAGGAAAACATTTTGAGGCAACTTGCAAGACGTGCAAAAAGGCTTGAAAACTTGAGATGCATGTCTGAATGAGCCACAGCTGTGTTTATTAGTGTCTGTTTTTTTTTTGTGTGTTAATTTTTCTTTGATGTGATTGTAAAACGTGTGCAGACGTGAGGATCTGAAATCCCTGTCTGCAGGTTGTTCTCTCCATCTTTCCCTCTCCTGCTGAGTCAAAGGGAACAACTTTCTGTTGACATGATCCACTCCTGACAACATTATGAAATATTGATAGCCTCAGATTTGCTGACCAGACTGAAAAACAGCTCCTCCTTCAGCTGGGCACACTGAAATCCCTGCAGCCAGTCAGTGTTTGAGTGTTTATTCTGCCGGAGCTGAAGAGATGAGTTGAAAACAGAGAGAGGAGACATCTCCTGTGTCTCAGCTCTCCTCCTTTCTTTGCTTTCTCTCTGTCTGGGTTGTATTTTTCTGGACTCCACAGAAATTCCTGTGTGTGCAGCAGATAGAGGGGGGCTCAGATGAGATGTCTAGCAGGGTGGTACTAGGCAGCAGAGATATTTGAAGAATGCTTTCTCAGGCAGGCCTTTGTGTGTGGGAGATAGAGGGGAGAGCCTCCCGCCTCACCACGCTTCAAAAGTCTGCCCGCCCCCACACCTTCAGGTGCCTGTAACTCAAAGCTTTGGGAAAGGAAAGCTCTCTTTTCCTCTTTTTAATTGTAACCTGCTACTCTTTCGTCCTGCTGCCCCGTCCACTGGGATCTCCTGCAGAGCCACCCCAGTGGAGCTGCAGGGCCTGCTGGGAAGGCAAACATTCACCACTGTGGACCCTCCACAATAGACATCCTGCCCCTCCTGGCATTCCTGAGCAGGCACGGACTCCAGGGATGACTAACAGCAGCTCAGAAGAGGGAGAGGAGTTTTACCCTTCATTGGATCTATAGTTGGCTCGTTCTTTGTCCACTCACTCCCCTCATACGTGTCCAACAAAGAGAGACACCTGTTTCCAGGAAGTGAGAGTGCAGCTCAGGAGGGGTTTTAGTGGAAACATCCATACTTGTCCTCTCTCCCTGACTCCCCTGTTGCCCTTCCACCTGAATAGCATGTGAAACATGTAGGACAAAGACATGTACAGCCGGAGTGTAAAGGGCGATAACTCTTCATCTGAAAACGGTCGTCCCATAATTCCCCTCTCACGCTCCTCTGCGAGGCAGCATGGGCAAATAAGGAAAAGAAGGCTGAGTGACCGTTAATCAGCGGTTGTCATGGAGGAAAATAAATAAGGCAGGAATGCTTCAGGAACTTTTAGAGGCTTTTAAAGAAGGGAAGTGCCGTGACCTTCAGGGCTCAGAGGAGTGACAGGGATTGTTGGAGATACTTACGGCCTGTTAGGAGACATTTATTTCTCTGTGGATGTGTTGCATCTTTTCAAAGCACATGTCACTGAAGCATCTGTGCAGACGGAGTTCAAAGCGACGCAGCAGAAATAAAAAACAGGCCCAGAGAAATAAAAACTGAGCAGGGCGTCACTGCTTCCTTTAACAACCCGCTCTGACAAAAGCAGCTGAAATTATGCACCTGGTGTTTTCTGCAGCAAAAGACTCCCACAGCACTGAACAATGGAAATCAAATTACAGCTGAAATTACATTGCACAATCACGGCTTGAAATACTAGCTTGTCAGCAGCATATCAAAGAGCAATCTACTCTGAATGTATCTTGTTTGCACTTCACCGCAATTATCCCAAACCTTATTTTGTCAGCATGATAAAACTTCCAGAGACAAGCTTTCAGCGGCTTAAATCTCTATTTACAACACATCAGCCCCTGTCTGAGTACAAAGTGAATCCAGGCAGGTGAGCGGGGGTGTGAGGTGTTCCCCTTCTTAATTATCGAAAGGGCTACAGCAGGAAGCTCTTGACCTTCACTCTTCTTCCTCCTCTTCTTCTGCTTTAGTGATCCAGTGCTAATAAACAGGATTAAAGTAGGTCTGTGTATGTAAATGTGTGTGTGTGCTTCAGGTACGCTGCTTGTGTGTGTGTGTGTGGAGGTGACTGCGGGTTGAGGGTCTTTTTTTCTTCTGCTGTTGAAGTGTTTCACCTTGGCAGTGGCTTGGAAGGGCAGCCTGATTGAAAAGCTTTCTGGCCGTGGCATCTGCCATCCTCCCCGCTGCTCTGTCACCACTTTGATTCATGCACAACCTGACCACAACCGGGAGGCGAGCCACTCTGCCTCACAGCAGGGGGGCGGTCCACTTCACAGCGGAGGAGAAGCAAAAAGGGAGGGATGAGGAAGAGAGAGAGCGAGGAGACAAAGCCGGAGCTCATAAATAACCTGCTGGATTTCAAACCTCTGTCACAGATCTGCAGCAGCACAAAAACATCATATGGTCTCACGTGTTGGTCTGTTTTGTTGTTATCATGCTGATGAAGCAAACAACTGCTTCTAGCCAGAAATTCTGTGTGACTTAGCTGAGTCTGGCTTGCAGCTGCTTAAATCCCCTATTTTGAGACTTATTCAGTTTGTCAACACCAAATCAATTTGGGTTCTATTGATCATAAAATTTAAGTAAAGAATTACAGTTTTAATCTTAGTTTTCTGATGCCAGCTGCAGTGGGAGCTTTGTTAGGCTTTAGGTAAGACTGTGAGCTGGTTTAGGCTAGAGATAGACTGTCAATAGACCTCTTAATTGACCTACACTGGAGAAAAATCATCCAAAAACTTCAAAAAAGAGGAATCTTTCCCAGCACAATTGTATCAGAGAAAATATATGGTTTAAAATGGAAAACAAACTGGTCTGAACTGGTCTGAGCCGACTGTTTTATCTTTGCATTGTTCATCAGTGTATGAACACAGATTTCCCTGCAATTTTTATTATACATTTTTTTACCATGTACCTAATGAAAAATTAGTACATTAACATAAACTTATCCTCTACATTTTTGTTTACAAAATCAACCCTGAAAAGTTACATAGACACGATGTGAAAAGATCCCACTAAAATGATAAAGCGGATTATTGGACACGAGTACATGCATCTTCATGTATCACATTAAAAGCGGAGTCTCACAAGGCTCTGTTCTGGGGCCTCAACTTTTTAATTTGTATATTGATGGCATCTGTAAAGTCTCAAAGTTATTGCAGTTTGTGTTACTTTCAGAGGACACCTTATTGTGTTAGTGCATAAATATATGAATATATGTAGATCAACTTAGTATGAATAGCAGCTAAAATAAAAAAACTGTATTTAGACTGGCATCTGTGAAAACCCTCATTTCTAAGACACTTCATTTAGACGGCTTTCCCACCAATAGAGAGTTAGACGTAGCTTGGGGTGTTACTTTTTACACAGCGACAGCTTGATACGAAACAACCCTGAAGAAATTGTGAACGGTTTCCTCTTATTCAGTGCATAGTATTGTACTCTTCCATGACTGGAACAGATGAAATGAAATCAGCCCACACTCCCCCACATGGATGTGTCTGATGGAAGAGAGCCAGCACAGCTCAGAGATGTCAGTCGTGTGCTCTTTTATTTTTTATCCAAAGCAGATTGTCGGAGAAGGAGCCATATGGAGAGGCTTGTGATTAGAAGACAACACTTTATCGGAGCTTTCTATCTCCACTTGCATCTATTCACTGTACGGAAATTCATTCTGGTTTTTCCTTCCAGCTCCAATGAATAAGCATTAATGCTGAGGCTATGATTCAATTATGTGTTTCTGTTTCCAAAGGACAGTTGGCAATAAACACTGTCTCCCCCTCTTGCTGCCTCATATAACAAAATTAGCAACAGGTTTTCATCTGATGGTTTTTCTTCCATCAAACTCCGATTTCCAGTTTTATGATGCTGCATGGAAACAATAAGCGATCTGGAGGGTAATGAGGGAGGAGTGATTTGGGTTCAGGATACGTGGGTGGTAGAGCAGGACTCAGGGTGGATTACTCTGAAACTGAACCTCTGAACCCTCCCCAGGAGAAATGAAAGAGAAGAGAGGTTTGGCGGACTGATGAAGGCCTTCTGGATGCTCTAATTCGGCTTGTCCAGGCTTGTCAGACATGTTTGGTTGAGTGGGCGAACCCTGAATGGGGCTCATGATTTTGATTGATGTGGTTGTGCTCTTGCGCTGCCTTTGTGTTGCCCTTACACCCCGGTGCATACACAGCACCAAGAGGTGTAAGGCGGAGGAGGAGGTAGGGGTTCTTTATTCAAACAACCAGCAAATCCCAAGAGGAGCTCAAAGTTTGTTTGCAGGGAGTAGGAGGGTAGGTAGCTAGGCAGTGAAGTGAAGGACCCTCCTGTCTGAGCGTCTGGTCCCTGGGGTCATTTTCGGTCACTGTGTACGCAGCGGGCTGTCAACTCGCTGGTCTTTCTTCAGCACTTGGCTCGGCGTGATTCGGCCTGGGTGGAAAGCAGACAGTGATTGATGGGGCGGTTCCCCGCTGCTCTCTGATTGAGTTAGAGCCACTCACAACCACTCGCTTTGTCTGCTCTTTGCACGCTAAATTGGCAACATTGTTTGTGTTTTTTCTTTTTTACTGCATCATTTTTTCTCACAGCTTATTTCTTTTGTTGCATGGCAGTATTGGTTGGAAAAGGAGTGTAAATTCAGCCTAACTGCAGCCTTTTATTGCATTAACACAGCAGGAAAGTGCTGGCAGTGGGATTAGCAACCTGTATCTCTGGCGCCTGTCCAGCCTTTTTAGCTTGACCCTGCTCACACAGAGAAATGACAAGAGGGCCCCTCTCCTCCATACATACTTACACAATCACCCAGGGGATCTGAGCCGAGGAATAAAGAGGGAAAAACTGGACAGACGGCGTCCAAGTTGGCAGCAGAGTTTGATTGTTGGGCTAGTAAATGGAAGAGTCACCTTGCCCTCCAAATGTTGGCAGGCGCTGGCTGCCCATCAACACTTAGATCAGACCTGTAAAGCCAAGCATTCAACCTCTCTGCCCGGCACCACGGAAGAGATGCACCGCCTGGCATGTGGCCCTCACAGCATGCCTTATTTGGCGCCCAAATTGCAGCATCACTGGAAAATCTGACTTCTTTGCATGCAGTGAGAACAATGCAGCCATCAGGATGGAATAAAGGATGTGGTTTGAATGTTTGAGATCGCTTCCAAGGGCTGATCTGCGTTCAAAGGAAATCTGGCATTAACTGATCAACTGGCTTCTCTTGCAAATATGCGTCTATTGTATAAACACGCCCTTCATTTATTTTTATCACATTCCTTTTCCCCTTTCTTACGAGTAACCAGAAAAAGACTGTCCTGTCTGAAGGTTATTGTGTGGTTGAAGGCCAGGTGACTGTTTGTGCATATTGTAAACACTCAAGAGGACAATACAAGTCCTTGACGACACTCTCTCAGGGCCTTTTCACAGCATCCCCTCCCCCCAGCTCTTCAGCCAGCTGACCGGGTCATGAGCACCCAGTCCAGACTGCTCTCTGACCCCCAACCGTGCAGCCGCCTCCACAGACTGCCCAAAGGACAGAGAGAAAAAATGGAAGGAATGCTTGAGGGGACGGATGGGCCGTTTAATTGAATAATTCCCAGAGCAGTTATTACCACCATTGCCCTCGAGCTTTCTCGCCGTCGTAGAACAATCTGAGAGCGAGTGAGTGGGTGAGCAATCGAGCATGTACACAAGCGTGCTGCTAAACCTTTCTCAGGGTTTATGTTGGCATCTGTTTGCCAACCACCTCTATCAGCTGTTTGCACCATTTCTCCTGATTGTTTCTGTTCCTTTACTCTGCTCGACTTACATGCCTTCACACTGTTCCTCTATCTGCCTCACCGCTCTGTTTCCTTTTAACGCAGCGACACCAACTGCCCCACCCACGCCACACTCTGCCTGCCTTCCTGCCCATTGTGGAGATGAGAGTTTTGAACAGCACCCAAAAGCTTTACCTCGCGATGACCCCAGACTGAACCCCCTCCTCCCTCCTCTTCCTGCCTCCCTCTCCTCCTTTTGCTTTCTTTGAAAGCGGCGTGCTCCCTGCACACACAGCTCATTACCCAGCAGGGAGCAGCACTACCTCCCTGCAGCATCAGAAGCAAACAGATGAATGTGTTTGTGTATTCCTCCGCATTTTGGCGAGTTCTTATTGCTTTCTTCCTCATGAAATGTGAAGCTATGTAGCGTTCATTTAGCTAATTTTATTCCCATGTCGAGTTCATGGGGGGTCACTAGCCCAAGGTTGCAGACGATTATCTCCATGTATGCTCATGTTTCATCTGGTCACATGGTTTATGCACATCCGACATGTATGAGCAGGATATCCACGAATAGTCTGCTCCATTTTTATTCAGAATAGATGTGGTCCTGTTTGGATTCTGTCACATTACCAGCTGCTTTTAATGAGATAGTCCGGACAAGTTCAGCTCTGCAGTTGTTTTCAGTGTTTCTAATCAAAAACATGTCTTCGGCTGTCTTCTGTCTGCTCCAGAGATTATGGTGAAATGTAAGACAGATGCAGTCCAACTGTAAAGATTATTGCAATAAATGTATACAATACATTTTAATGATGTGAAAAGAAAAATGGTTAATTATTTTACTCTCAATTATTAGTTTAGTCTAACCAAAGTTGCAGTGAGTGAGTTGAGTGAGTCTAGCATTTCTACTTAAGGCAGGAGATATGAGGGTTTTCTTGTGCGCTGTAATTGACCCCAAACTGGCGATAAATATTGTTTTATTGTTTTATCAGCAGCACCTTTCTCCATCAGCTAAAAACAACCAGTTAGCCCTTCACAAGCTTCTTCGTAGATTGTTTTTCTGTATGATGAAGCAGGGCAACTAGAAAAAGGTCCAACATAATGTGCTCAAAGAAGCACACTGACTCCTAACTTGGTCAAAGTGGGTATACTTCTGCTAGGTGCATGTATACCTCTGGGCAGGACAATCATAGATAAACTGCCTCATCGAACTCAACTTTCCTGTGTAGGTAAACTTACTGAGGATCTGTCCACACCTATGCAGATGTGTACACAAATGTAGTTTTTTTCTATGTTTTGGCCTCTCAGCCACACATGATTGGAGTTTTAGGTCCTTTGTTTGTGGGTAAATGTCTCTAATTTCAACTATATCTGCACAGTTGTTGTTGTGTAAGTGGCAAAGAACAAGGTTTTTTTTTCAGTTGAAACACTGGTGTGTTTTTGCACAGCAATTGTTTTTTGTGTGTATTGCACATGTACCAAGATGAGGGCGACTGGCTTGTGTACACATTCTTGGTACTCCAAAGTTTGACTGTATAATAAAGAAACCACACTCTTCCTTATCATAAAGTCACTCTCTATAGTATCTGAATGTAGCTCTCCTCCTGGGGCTGTGGAGGTGAAAGTCTCAGGGCAGGGACAGTATGTTTAACAAAGACAGTAAAGTTATCAGTATCAGTCCTTCTGTGCCCCCCCCCCCCCCCCCCCCCAGTGCCCTGTTATTTTTACCCTTGACTCCTCATTGTTGTAACTATGGTGTATCATCCTCAGCACACCATAGACCCCTGTGGAGGACTCTCTTTTTGCTCACCTCTGCCGCCCCTTCTCTCCTGTGCAATCAGAGATCCACTCAAATGTCAAGGTGGGACAAATGGGAGCCATTCCCTCCTGTAATGGCCCCAGAAATGGGCTCGAGAGCTTCTCCACCCTTCCTCCTTTCCTCCCTCTCTCTCTCTCTCTCTCTCTCTCTCTCTCTCTCTCTCTCTCTCTCTCGTCTGTCTTTGAAAAAACACCCAGACCTTTTCATCTCTTCCTTCATATTTTTCTGCTTTCTTTCCCACGTTTTTGGACTTAAATACCTATTTCCTTCCTCTCTTTTTTGCCCTATAAAATCTGACTTTTCTTAACAGGGTCCATAACTCAGATGTTGCATAATCAAGCTTTAGTTTTACTTCTTCCAGTTTCTAAGAAATGTATCCAGAGGGCTGGTTACTCTATTTGCTCTGCATACTTTTATGTGAATATTCAATTCTGCTCACTTGACTTGCATACAGAGCTCCCCTGTTTGAGAAGCATTTTCATATCCAAAGCTTGCCTCGCAGGAAAGAAATGCTAAATGTGTGTTTCCGTCCTGCCATGGGCAGTTTTCTTATTAATTATGATTACTCATTCACTCTGTGCTTGGATTCATTTCCCACTCTGTTCACTAGTGTCTCCTTCATTCAGCTTTAAAGTATTTTCAAGAACTTGACAGTAAATGTTCATATTTTACTAAAAAAAGACGTTTTAACTTTAGATGAAACAAAAGCACTGGACTAAGATATTGAACTTTTTTCACCCCACTCTCTACAGCCTGTATTTATTGTGCCTCTTATCTAATGAAGGCAGAAATGCCCTTAATATTATTTTAGAAATACATCATAAGATTTTTAACCATGAAACTATATTTGGAAACAGTTTTTTTTTTTTTTTCGTCATATATCAGAGGCAGCAGTTGGAGCTCATTAAAACTCTGACTTTCCTGCAGCAGGAATCACTATAACTTTTGGAAACACAGCAGCTAAAATTCACTGTTACTCAGGCTTTTTAACAGTCTGAGTGTTTTTCAGCCTGTAAGTTTGAGTCTGGCCCACACTCAGAGATTGAACAGCTATGGTCTTATTTTGTTGTGTGAAGAGCAGCACAGCACACACTAACAGACTCATTCACCAACAGCCACAGACTCAATCTAAAATCTAAAATCCAACACACTGAAGGGCGACATGAAAACATACTGAGCATGACTGTGGTATGTTTATGACTCGTAGAAAAACTCATGTTATTGCCTTGAATCAAGTTCAGTCCTCCATCTCTCATGTCTGTCTGAGTTAATACTTCATGATTGTCATTGTCCTTCCTGATTGGCTGTCATTCTGTTCAAGCAGATCTGAAAGGTTAAAGCTCACATCACGGGGAAATCTGGCACAACATCTTCAGAGCTACTGGAAAGTCTGTCTCAAAGTCAGCCCAAGAATTCTGTCCTGTTGACTCCTGTTGAGGAGAAGATTTACTGCTTCTTCTGTTGAACAGACTGACATATATTTACATCTCTGTGATCATGTTGTTGTGACCTAATTGTCATGCTTAGCTATTTTAATAAGGGGGGAAGGTCATAGTGTTCATAACAGGATGACTGGAGCTCTGCCTCAGCCCTGCAGGGCGTGTCACAGTCACCCGTGGGGAAATAAAAACAAGTCAGCTGAACATACTTGAGCATCGACAGTGGGTCTTACATGTGAGGTGAGCGTGGGGGGTGTAAATGGCGTGCTAACAGTGAGGACTGTTGTGGTCAGTTTTACCCCCCCCGTGCTCATATTTCCAAATAAAGGATTATTGTGTGCGCTGCAAAGGGAGGGGGGGATGCAATAATTGAGCCTAAATAGCCAAATTCATTAATTTGATTGTTGGCGACAGCAGATCTCTTGACAGTGTAATTAGGAAAGCTAATGGATAGAGGCACGCTAAATCCATCAATGCTAATGATAATTGCTGTTCAGGAAAGCGAATATGCTTTACCAATGTGTTGCCAAGGCCGCCACAAAATCACAAGCAGCCACCACGTCTAAAAATATGAGTGAGCTGAGGGTATGCGTGTGGGGGTGACACCCAAAGAGGCCACTTGGACTGGTGCAGCTGTGCAGCCTCAGTCTTTTCCTCCATCATTTCTCTATACTTTCCTCCATCAATGTGGCGGTGTGGTGGTGAGCAGAGCAATCATGCCCTTCTCCCCTTTGCTGACAACGAACCACTTCTGAACCCATCATCTCTGATTGGTTGCTGGTTTATCCCGCTGGGTGGGTTAGCGCGCGCTGAGGACTTTTGCAGATTCAGGAGTGGAGACTCATCAGCGCAAAGGCTGATGGTGAGAACAAACTTCATGCTTCGTGGTAGAGCTTTAGAGAACCTGACCATCAGTGAAAATCTTACTCTTGGAAAGTCAATTAGGCTTAATGTCTTTAGCTGAGGACATTAAGATGTAAAACAGGTTTACTGCCATTTTTTTTTTCTCTCTCTTGAAGAGAATGGCGTCTAGTCTTGCCATCAGGGGTGTCATTTCAGCTGGTCTGAGCCCAGGGAAAAGGGGAACCTGTTATTCTAGTGCCAGTTAATGAATGTCACATGGAAAAGGGAGGCAGTAAAGGAGGGAAAGCAGGGAAGGGGAGCATTTTATTTCAGTGAGGTATGTCCCCTCCAGGCTAAGTTGAAGATCAACCTGTCTCGTGCCCTCTTGTACAAACGTTAATGATGTTTTTCTGGAGCCCCAAGTGACAGTTTGTTAACCGAGACTTCTTAACGCGTGAAATCCGCAGGCCCTGAGTTTTCTGACAGCTGACAACTTAGTCCTTTCTCCCTGCAAAGTCCCCCGGGCCTTGCAGAGCTGTCCCATATCTGTTGTTTGGGTTTTCCCTCTTGTGTTACCCAGAGATGTTTTGACATGTTGTAGGTGACATGTTTTTGTGAAATAGCAGGCTATACTGTGATGGCTGCAGAGAGAGAAATGCCTGAGAAAAGCATGGGACATTTTCTCTCTATAAGTTGAAGTAGCAGAGAAAGAGCTCTTGTTCTGGGGGGTTTCCACAGCTTATAAATGGTCTGATTAAGGAATCTAACCAATTGTAGGAGGCCCTTGCAGTCTGTCATAGGGTTATTCCGTTGCCTCAGATTGTATTGCTTTTGTGGAACCATATCAAGCAGACATTTATAGAAGGAGGACAGATTATATCCATGGGAAAGCTTTAGGCAGTATAAGTGTTATATTGTTAGTCCGCTGGTTTGTCGCCTTCTCTTTGGCTTTGCGAGGAGGGCTAATGTTCTTGTTTGACACTAGAGGATTGCTTTCTCTCTGTGCCTGAAGAAAGAAGGCAGGCTAATACATTTGAGTCGGTGAAGCGAAGGTCGTTGAGAATTACATTCATCCCCCCTCGCCCTCCTCTTTTTTCCCTTTAATTTCCCCACTGGATTGGCAAACCGTTTTTACTATTAGCACTGTGGTAGGCAGCTCACTGTGCGCCTGTATGTGTGTAATTGTCTGTGTATGTGTGTTGTGACGGGCTGGCAGGCCCACCCAGACCCATGCCGAATGGAGGGATAAATCGGTATACGGCTGGACTGGATTGCATTGTCATGAGGAATAGAAGACACAAGACAACAGCAGTATTATATGAACCAAAGAGCCGCTTCAGTGGAGGAATTGAAGTCTAAGCTGGTCTCAGTGAGGACGTAGATGAGTGGGAAACCCCTAAACCTGCTCAATACCTCTCTGCAGCGTATACGCCATCCTCAGCTCTGCATACTTGTGCACTTGTCCACATTACTCTGCAGCACCGCTTCACAGTGGGATCTCTATGTATGTCATGTCTCCTCTAAAGCTGCAACTAAAGCACTATTCATGTAGCAACCTCTGGTAGTTTATTACCTCTAACAGTCACTTATTTACTCAAATTTACTGGCCACATTTTCGAGATGCTGAACTGGATTGGGACAGCATCAGGCTTCCTCCAGTTCAGCCTGCAGAAAATGTATGAAAGAAGAAGACAGCGCGATCCAACAAGCTTCAAGTAGGAATGTGCATTCAAAACTCTAAGACGTGCAAAGTTTGTAACTTTTTATCCTAAAGGCTAAAGCTTAGAAACGTACACAACAAAGCAGTTCATACTTAGTTAATCCAGCCATTTTCAGGGGTTGGAGATATTGTTTACGGGATATTTAGTATGGTACATAACTGAATCCCCATTTAGGATATTTCCATCATTTTTGATTAAAAAGAATATACTGTAAAGTTTATGTCACTGTGTCTTTTTCACAAGCTCTTCACAAGAAGAAGAATTGGACTCCCATTACAAGAAAGGGTTTTCAGCCGAGAGCAAAATGCTTCCACATTTAAAGAATTTAACAGGCACTGTATTAATGCATGTATTTGTGCAGGTGCACATCAGGGTACGCATCTTGGTGTCTGCTTAAGTAAAGAGCCACACAATAGATCTGATGCAGAAGTTTAAACCCGACTTCAAACTGAACCCAGAGTCCATACTGTTCTTTGTTATCTCTAGGCAGCACAGGTTTAGGTCTAAGTCTTGGATTTGAGTCCTTACAGGTGTTTAGATTACAGCTAAATTTGAGACAGCAGGCATCAGGAGAGTCTTTTGAAAGCATAAAACTGCCCCACCAAGTGCTTTCCATAATGTCTTCCAGATGATGAGGGCCTGGATGGATCTGTGTTAGCAGGAGCAGAGCACAGGGTAGATTCAACAGAGCAGAACTGAGGCTGACACACCGGTCACTTAAGCACAAATAGAGACATTTTAGAAGCAAGGCCTCTTCTTTTCCCTCTTCTCCTTGCACATAGAACAGAGCGAAGCCCCCCAGGGTGTTCACACTCTTCCATCTGCATCCTCTTTCCCACTGGGCCGCCTCTTACGAGGGCTGATGACACACCAGGGTAAAAATGCAATAAACAGCTTTTCTGAAGGTGTGAGGAGCTGAAATGGAAACAAAATAAAGACTTCTGCTTTTGTTTGGATGATGAATAAGGGCTTCATGAGGACAGGCAAAATCAAAACATTGGCTGACCGTCATTGGTTTATAATCACACACATAAAAAAATGTTTTACCAATGCACATCTACGCAAATAGAACAGAACCACATGCACCTCTTTATTGCTCAACTCCTTCAGCTGTGCTGCAGCTCGCTCCATCCTTCTTCTTTTCAGTGATGCAACTCAGCATCAATTTTTCAGGTGTCTGGCAACGCTCGGCTTTTGGCAGTTGTAGGGTGGGTCTGAGCAGGTCTGCAGAGAAAGAGGCTCTGAGGTGAATTATAAGTCAGCTGATAGAACCGAGCAGGGCCATGGAAAGATTGATGTTCTCTGTTTTGAGAACTGGGAACTGAAAGATGGAGAGGAGAGGAGAGAAGAGAATTGCACAAATACAAACATTTAGGAAGAGGAGTAACTCCTGCATCCTTGTAGAACAGTCATCTGGTCTGTGTGGATGAATAATGTCCATGTCGCTGATCTGTTAATAAAAAAAGGGAAAAAAAAGCCTGTCAGCCTTGATGGTGAGAAAATACTTTTGAGAAACATGAATTCCTTCTTTTCATAAACAAGGCTGAGTTTTGTATCTTTAGCTTGGCAACATAAATATTAATTGTGGTAACTGAAAGAGACAATGATATCACTTTAGCTGAACAAAATAACTGTGATCCCTGCTTCAAGGGACACACTGAATAATGAGTGACTCCTGGGCTGGGTGTAGCCTGGGGTAAAGATTGTAAACACCATGTGAAGCAGTTTTTTTCTCACTTTGCTGCAGCTGATAAAGCTGCCGAAACAAAGTGCTGCTTGTATAAGCTGAGCTGGGCTGTTTACAAAGCTGGTTGCCTGAGGAGAGAAGGAGGACCTCAGCTGGATCCATAGGTCTCAAATATATCTCTTCCCACAATGCGAAAGAGTATTCAATAGCTCTTAATGCTGCGCAGAGAGGAGAGGATTGAGGAGAGAGGAGGAAAATCAGAGAAAGCACAAGCTGATCAGTAAAAAGACAAACAGATAACTCACATGACTCTGAGCAGGATACTGCAGGATAAACAGGCTGCAGGTTGTTTTCATGAGCAGGTGTTTGTCAAACAGGTAACAGGATACAGAGAAAAGGTTCCTGCCTGTGTTTGATCAGAATAGAAACAGCACACGTGCAAAAATAAACAGCCGATTCAGCTGAGATCAGCTGACTAAAAGGTGTCTCTTTATGTGTCACTCACAGGAGAGGGTGTCTTTCAGAACATTTACTCTGGTGGCAGGGACTTAGACATGAGTGAAGGATGCAAGGAAGTAACTAATGTGATGCATCCTTGGTCTGAAGTCACACCAAGAAGACCAGATGATTTCAAACAATTAAAAGTTTAAAGTGAGAGTTCAAGGGTTGCAGGTTTGAAAATCATGTCCTTGTTCTGAGACAGGGAGCAGATTTCTGTCTGAGAATTTAAATGGAGGATGAATAGAGGGCACTTCATGCACATTGACAGCTTCATATCTCCTCAGATCACTCTATCCAAGCAGAAAGAAAAGAGAGTGAGTGAAGTCATCCGTCCACCGCTCTTCCTCATGGGACACGATTTCAAGCAGCTTTAGCTCTACACCTACTGACAGTGTTCTACTCCACCACAAGCTCCCTCTAAGTACTCTGAGTAATTTTAACATATATAAAAAAAGAAAAACAGTGGACACCCATCCCTAACCTCCCAGAATCCCTCAGGGGTTACTTGATTTACTGTTTTTACAAATAAGTTAGGTTAGTGAGGGGGAACATTTGCGGAAAAAAAGTGCTAAAGTCTGCGTGTGGTTACAAGTTGGGCCCCACCTGAGGGATTGGGCCCATCCCAAACCGTCACTCAGAGTGTAAATCGCCTTTTTGTGTGAAAGCCTGAGTATTAAGTAAATTCAGAATCGCTGAGGAGACGTGATGTTTTGACAGTAATTTGGGAATCAAGTGAAACTACGAAAACCATCCCCTGAGCCTGGGAGGCACATAGTTTCAGAGAGACCAAAAGACAAGTATGTGAGTGAGTGAGTGTGCCCAACACCTGCTGCAAATTAACCTGCATACATCAGAACTGCTTTTCCTGCATTTGTAAAATCTGATTTCTGCTGAAGATAGAGGAGTTTTACAACAGGTCATCTATGCAGGAATATGCTGGTAGAGCGGCCACACGGAGATGAAAAGTTGGCCAGATTTTGTGTTACAGGCAATTAGGAAAGTGTGGAAAACTGATCTAAAATCAGCGTTTGGATCAAGGCTAAGCTCTGTCATACAGAGCACAGCACGGAAAAGTCATCTAAAGCATCATGCACACACACGCACACACACACACACACACACACACACACACACACACACACACACACACACACACACACACACACACACACACATACACACACAGGCACTGAGGGGAAAACCACAACTCAAATGGCTTAATGCAACAAGTGCCTGAAAAGAAAGACACACATGCAAAGGAGAACCTGAGGCTTTTTGGACCACCCTCAATGGCCAGTCACTCTAATGCCTCTTTCACCAGCTTATGTTTCACACGCCAGATTCAGTGTATGTGTGTGTGTGTGTGTGTGTGTGCGTGTGTGCGTGCTTGCGTGTGTATGATGGCTCCAAAGTCCTATTTCAAAGCTGTTTTCCTCCTAAAGTCTTTGCTGACTCAATTAGGCGTCTGCTCCTTTCTGCAGCCGCTGGTCTGAAATTCCATTTCAATGTAGTGTTCAATTGTGAGTGAGTGTGTTCGTGCGCATACGTGTGTGTGAGTTTAACAGCTTTAACACCTGTCTCATTCTGTACACCAGCCTGAGCCTAAAGGGTTTGATATTATCACCTTCAGTTCAGCTTTTCTATTAAACAACGGGCCCACACAGCCTGTCTGTGTTGTTCTGTGGTTAAAGAGGAGATAGACGAGCACTCAGCTGAAGTTTAGATGTTCAAACATTCATGCTAAGCAGCCTCAGAGCCTAAAATCGCTGCAAAAAGCGTGTTTGTGTGTATTTCAGGTCGGTATAATGAAAGCAAACCTGCCCACCTGTTCCCTGAGTTTTAACCTGAGACCTCATTAGTGCGCAGTGTTTCATTTCCACTACATTACCTCCACAATATGTTGTGCTGCTTTGAGTTCATGTTCATGTGCTCCTCGGGGTATAACTGTATATGTGTGAGTTTATCTTTGTGTGTGTGTGTTCAGGCACAACATGGGCCTAATTTCCAAGAAACTCAATTTACATGGACAGAAACAGAAGAACAAAGAACTTAGAGGAACACTCTGACTAAAGCTGCTTCTTTTCTTCTCGTCTCAGGTATGACTACGTGGAGGTGCGAGATGGCGTGGATGAGAGCGGCCAGCTCGTGGGGAAGTACTGTGGGAAGATCGCCCCGTCTCCGGTTGTCTCTTCAGGGAACCAGCTCTTCATCAAGTTTGTGTCCGACTATGAGACCCACGGGGCGGGTTTCTCCATCCGATATGAGATCTTTAAGACGGGTAGGTGGAGCTTTACTGAACTGTCACTGCTCTAAATCTTACCTGACATTTCATAAATTGGAAATGGAGCAGCATGAATGCAAGTTTAGGCAGGTAACTTAAGCTGCACTATTAATACATGCAGTATGTGTCACCGTATCAACATGGCCTCCCAGTTTGTTCACCTCAAACTTCCAGCCCCACCACATCCCAGCATCCACCTGCAGACTCCAGTAAATGTTAGTCTCAGTTTCTGCATGCAAATAAATCTGCAAGGACACAAACAACATCTGCTGCTGCATTAAATTTCAGCCCGCGTGACCCGTCACACTAAAATATCATAGATACAGACCTACACTTACATGACTGAACTTTCCCTCATCAGTTTATTTCCATCAATTTAAGTGTGTCACCTAGTTAGTATTTGAGGATGAAAACCCTGCAGACTCACATGCTGGTCCCGAGGCAACTCTCTGGTTATTAAGTATGTCTCAGGTTAAGGACGGTGTTTCTCATTAACCTGTTTGCTTCTGCTTTCAAATGGTTGAGGTCAGGAAGAGAATAGAAGGAGACATGAACCAAAGTGCAAGTTTTATTCAAGTCTTTATCTGCAACACTTTTACTCAGTTTTCATTGAGCTGAAAACAGATCAGCACATGGTGTTTGTCATGAGTAAATGTTGGTGTAAAACTGCTGCATCATTGATAAAAAGCATAAAGGCACAGATCAGACAGGAACTGGGAGCAGAGGGAAGATACTACAGAGTGGATTCAAAGCTCTTGTGAAGAAAAGCAGGTCATGGGGCAGTTTGTCCTCAGCCGTAACTGTAATTCAAACACAACCTGTAATCACAATTTTTACTAGAATTATGACTTTTCCTTGTATTTATTACCATTTTCACAAAGTAATGATTATTTCTCATGAGTCCGTGACTCTAAAATTACAATTCTTGTAAATTTTGACTTTTCTTTTACTCAGATATAGGACTTTAATCTTGGAATTTTTTTATTCTATTCCTGTTAATGTATCACTTCATTTAGGTCAATTTATTTTCATAAACTTTGTTCTTGTAAATTATTGACTTTCTTCACATGAATGTCTGACTTTGGTCATGAAATAAATTTCTCTTTCTTAATGCCTTTTTTCATCCTGATCAACAGCTGCATTTAATCATTTCAGACTCAATGTGCTGTCACAAATATTCATGATAAAGTTGGAGTCTGCATGTTTATGTTTTGTGCAAAGCTGACTAAATTAGTTTGTCAAAGCTCTTTGAGTAGCTGAGCTCTCCAGGTTTTTCCTGATGTCAGAAAAAGTCAGTAAAAGTAAACTGATACACACTTTTTAGGGTTGATGTTGGTGGATGATGCCACTACAGTAAGGGTTGTTCACTTTCAGTCATTTGTCATATTCATCTGTTGATTCAGTTACATAAATGTGAAAAATCTCCAGTTCCCTGAAGAGAGCTCAAACTCTGAAGAGCAGCAGCTCTGACTGAAGATGAATTCAAGGTAATTCTCTCCAACTGAAGATATATTTTTTAAGATACTGTAGATCAACATATTTGTTTGAGATCCTTCCCTTCTTCTCTTACCTGCATCTTTGAATTAGCAGGATATGCTCTCACAGCTATTAACCACCCAAAATTAAAGAATTAATGGATAACAAATCATGTATCTTGTCTCTTATAGTAGTTGTTGCCTTCTGGTCGATACTATCATTCTGAGCCTAAACTATCAAACCCTCACAGTGTGACGGGATGAAAGCTGGAGGAATAATTTGGGGATAATAAAAAAAAGAACCTCTCTCAGTCTAATTTCATGGTTTGTTTGTGATTTAGTCAAAGCAGCAGAGCGTCAAATTATGCAATCGCAATATGGCAGACAATATGCTCCATTCAAAGCAATGAATCATAGTCCCATATGCTCCGTAATCAAAGTGGTTTTTATGTGCTGTGAATCAGCGTACAATGAGCGAAGGCATCATCTGCTGAGCATTGATTTGACAAACCTCATTCATTGTCTGTCCAAAGCCAGTGTTCAGTTTTTTCTGGAATTTGAGCCACTAAGCTTTGTTACAGGTTATAAGTGTTGTGCCTTTTGAGTAGTTTTACTCAAGAATAGGCGTGATACACTTTAAATATCCTCAGGGGATGTCTATCTTATCGGACAACAGCATAACAGGAGAGAATTTCCTCTTGTTTGGCCGCCTCTCTTTGTTTAGACTGGAGGACGAAGGAGGAGAAGGAGGAGGACAGCACAGATTTGCAGAGTGACTCGCAGGCCGACAGGTGCCTCAGACTCCACTTTCATTAATTAACCTCAGCAGCAGTCTATGGGAAGGCCTCCTGTGACCCTCAGAGACATGATGAATGGGCCTGTAAGGTCCCTCCCTCCTTTTAATCTGGGACTCTATGTGTTTGTGTTTGTGTGTCGCCATCACAGCGGGACAGCTGGTGGAGTGTGGGTCCATTTAGGGGATCAAAGTGGAGCTCCACCCCGACAAACTCCTCCGTACACTACCGCCTTATCCCCTTAATGAGGAGCTTCATTGGGCAGCATTCTTGCAATGATTAGCTTGGTAGCTCGTGGTCTTATCTATTAGGTTAGCTTGAAATAAATGAGGCGTGTTAAGGGTGCAGTGGCAATCTGCTCATGCAGATTCTGCAAGAGATATTTGGTGGATTGAAGTTTGAGATCCTGGTCTAAAGAGACGGGAGGTTTACTGTATCAAAATGTGGTTACTGCCCAACTCTAATCAGGAATGTTGCTTCGGGACAGAACTTCTTCACCCTGTTTAGCATCCAGCACTATCTTGTTGGGCCAAAAGCATCGTGGGTGTGCCGTTGCCTCCTCAGTAGACCCAGACCCTCGCCATGATTTGAGTTAGCTCTCTGTTTTGACTACTGCAGCTCTGTTTACTGAGCAGTCTGACATCAATTAACAGCCCTGTTTGTTAGAGAGAGAGGAAGAGAGAGAGAGAGAGTGAACCCAACAGAAAGAGGAACTCCATACTAGCTGATTAGTACAGCTTATCAACAAGCAGGGTATTAGCAGGGAGAACATTGTGTTGGCTAATACATGTAACATTAATGATGATACACAGATGCTCTGATAACGGATGGAGGAATGGGAGGCTCATGCTTGTGCATGCCAATGAAGGGAGATGCAAAGAATGCTGGGGGGTTATCCGAGCGATGAGGCCCGGAGATCACCGAGAGTCCACCCCGGGAATCGGTGCTGCTTTTATGTGGGGGTGCAAAGGTCACATGAAAGATAAATACACCCACAAAGCAAACATGTGGACTCCCTTCAGGGATCAGATGCCAACTTAAACAAGTATGTTTACATGTGCAGGCTCACCCACTGAAGCTGTAAACTATAAAGATACACTTTCACACACACACACACACACACACACACACACACACACACACACACACACACACACACACACACACACACACGTCAACAAGCTGGCATTTGCAGCCCCGGCTTTCATCAGCTGGATCCTGCAAAGTGTCTAATTGGAAGAGAACAGGTTGTTTTGCGACTCTCCATGGTGGCTTCCACATCAGTTCTTACCCCTCTCCACTCCTCGTTCCCATCCAACCATCTTAATTAGCATGGGCTATTTATTTTATAGCCTGCAAATTGGCAGCCTCGCTCTGCTGGCTGAAGTCTGGAGAGAGATGGGAAAAAGTGAGATGGAGGGGGAGAAGGAGATTAAAAGAGGGGAGTGAGGAGTATTTGAGCTGTAGAAGCAGATTAGAGAGCTGGTTGTGTTTGTCTCCATGGAGGTCTTCAAATACCAAAACGTTAAAAAAAAGTACGACAAGCAACGACCTTCATTTGAACAAACAACATAAAAATGTTGATCCTGGTTTCTTGGTTTGAGGCGACATGTCAGTCAAGAAATAGATTCAGCAAATTTCACCATTTACTAGACCTGTTGTCCTCAAACTGCGTTGCTTTTTCTTAGGTGTCCAACTAGGATCTTCTCTGCTATGGTGGTGTTCAGCTGGTGGCTAATTAAAATACCTGACAAATGGGTGAATTTGTATTTGTTTTTTCAGGGTTGATACAGATACAGATATTCTGTGGTTCATAAAACTAATAATTTATATTTGCAAACACTATGCTGTTACCATGAAAATGAAAACTATGTCTTAAAGTGTATAAATACTACAAAGTACGAATTCTAAGAGGAAAATATGTTTAAAGGCCTTTAGCTAAAACTAAAACAACCCCGTCTTAACCTTATTATATCAGCTCCACATGAACTAAGATGTTGGTGGCATGAAAAGCTACAGGACCAGTCCACAGACCAGACATGGCTGACGTCATAGTGACCAAAGAAACCTCCTGTGTTGGGTCTATGGGTCAGCTTGGTGAGGTGGGTTTAACCTCTGCTGAGGTCCTGCTGCTTTTGTAAAAGGCTGAGATCAGTATTTATCCGACCTCCTCGAAAGTTTCTGGAAAGATTAGTCCTCTGAAGCACATGCACATGCACAACACATGTTTTCTTTTAACAGCTCTGCAGAGCCACATCAATGCTGGAGGCTGATCTATTGAAGTGGGTGCAGAGGCAGATAGAGTCCTGGCTTCTCTGTTCCATCACACACAGACTCATCAATGACTGAACTTACATCCACACACATTATTACTGTGATTTTCTCACAAAAATGACCCAAGTCACATTTCAGACTGGACATGTGTGTGTGCCAATGAAAACAAGGAAACCAAAAACAGGCTCTGCTTTTCCTCTTAGGCTGATTGGAATTTCTATTTTAATGCTTTCTTCCTGAGTTTGCAGGCACTGGTATCATTATTATTATAAAGTTCAGATTTTGATGCACAACTGCCACAAAGTCTAGATAAAGGGAGCACAGCGCCACCGCTCCAGCTGCTAAAATGCATGTGCTAAAACACAAACGCGGGTTTTGTAAACTCACACAGAGCAAGAGTTTCAGAGGGTCTCTGTTTGACCAGCGCGAGTGTGATCTGTGCAAATGTGTGTTTTAAATGCAAACATGTTAGCGAAGCCTGAATCTGCTGGATTGAGACTTACGGTGTCATCGCTTCACTTTAAAGCCCCGTTTATCATGTCACTGTTACACTGACACTTTTACTCACACACACACATCTAAGTGTTTTCACAGATGTGTGTGTGTGTGTGTGTGTGTGTGTGTGTGTGTGTGTGTGTGTGTGTGTGTGTGTGTGTGTGTGTGTGTGTGTGTGTGTGTGTGTGTGTGCTGGCTGGGGCCTAACAGGGGCCACACTCTGCTTTGATGGCAGGCACGCCCTGATGGCATGGGTCACATCTGGCATGGAGACACACTGTCATCACAAGCACAGCCCTCATGGAAACCTGAGACTACAAATCTCCTAAAAAGCAGTGAGAGTGAGACTGTGACCCCCCCCCCATCCGTCACCCCACAGTGTCCCCCCTTATTGGCTGAAGGGGGGACGTCACAGGCAAAGTCAAATACTTTGTCAGCAGAGCCTCAGGGTGTGTGTTTGTGGGTTAACCTGCTTTTCCATCTGCTACAGTGATTGACGCTCAGCAGGCTGCAGGTTAATGTCTGATTCACTGAAAGGGTTAATTCTCCTCCATGATTAGCCCTCCTGTCAGAGCGGTGAGCAGAGGGAGGTATGACGGGTGGTGGAGGGCCGTGAACTGGGCTAATGATCAGCCAGAGAGTGGCACAGAACATAAACAGAGGTGATTTACTTTGCAGTCCAAGAACAACACCCCCAGCCCTCACGACTCCGGCCACTAATAACCCGACGGAGGAGAGAGAGAGAAAGAGAGAGAGGTGAGGTGGTGGAAAAAGGAGCGAGGGACAAAAAAGGAGAGAGAGACAGATCTAAAAATGAAAACAGCAATCGGCCGCCACATTAGACGCCTGTTTCTTGGCGCTGGCGATGTTGTTGTAATGATTAACGCCTGGTCTCTGGTCGCTCTGAGCACTTAGAGTAGCAGCTTAATAGAGACGTAGAGGACAAATCATCAGGGAGAGTAATGGCTGAAACCATATTTATTTAATACTTATTATTATCGATTGCTTACACTCACAGAGTTGAAACCAGATCTCCATTAAATATCATTTTGTCTGCTGTTAAACAAACTAATCGCTGTGAGAGCGAGCTGGAGTGACATTTGTTTACTCCGCCTCCAGAGGAGAAAGGCTCAGACTAAACAAGAGTTAAAGGAATCCATTACCGCCAGCAGTAAATGTCTGAGCGCCTGGTTGGAGTTTGTCGGTAAATGTTGAGCGTTCAAGGTTACTTCTTTTCTTCTCCTCAAACATTCTGCAGTAAATTCAGCTGTTTGTTTTAAAGCGTTGGTCGGATAACAGGATCAACAATCTGTGCTGTCTGAAATGAAATGGAGAAATCTTTGTTTGTGCTTTTTCTATCAGCTTTACCTGAGTCAAAATCTTCATACTCACAGAAACACCTCTCTCATTGAGTTGATGAATCTCCTACAAGGCCAAGACAGAGAGAGAGTTAGCATTCAGCTGACAGCAGGATTTATTTAGTCTCCTCTGAGCTCCTGTCAGCACAGACTCATGCACAAACACCATACAGACTGATGCTGCCACAGAACAGCCTGACAGCTATCACTGAAGGCCTCTCATGCAGACATCAGCACAAAGCATCCTGGGTGTAGTGAGGGGAGCCGGGGACAGACGGCCTCCCATGTGGAGGAGGCAGGAGATAAAAGAGATCTGCTGGATGAGTCTCTCACTGCTGGGAACCTCCAGAGTGCTCTGTCTGCCCCCCTGCTTCATTTTGTCGTGGTGTCTGCGGCCTCGTCTTTCTCTGCGAGGTTAAAAACGCTGCAGGCCGCTCAAAGGTGACAATAGAAGAGGTTGATTCTTGGCTCAGCCTTAGTCATGGTCAAGGATAAGATGGAGTGTGCAAACTTAACAAGAACGGAAATTATAGAGATGAAGCAACGTCTGCAGACCTCACAGTTGACATGCACTGTTCGCAATCACATGACAACAATTATGTTAAGCTGCAAAATCACTCCTTGCATCAGCACTATACCATCACCTCTACAGTCCCACCACCTCCTTGTTCTACATCCACCTGCTGACTCAGCCAGAGGGGTTTGAGATATCAACTCATAGAGGAGTATATAGGTGAAGGGTCTGCCATGGTTTGAAAACCAAGAGAAGAAACTGGAGGATGCCTCAAAAACATGCAAACGCAGGGCAGTGAAACCATGCACGCACAACTTGACAAAACAAGCACCAAGTAGCAATGACCAGTATTTGCTGACAACAGAATGAGCACAAGTTGTAAAACGAAGGAATGCATGAGAAGTCTGACATATGTGAAATATGAGTATTAAGTGTTTAGTCTGCTAACACTGATTTATGTGCAGGCAAAAACACTTTTCTATTCAAACCAAATGCACTTATTTTAGTGTAGAGATAGGCTGTTAATGTCAGTTTGGGATAATCTATATCAGCTGATGTCTGGGCTCACACAGCTCATGACAGAATTTACCAATCCGACCATAATGTCTGCGGACACTGCAGGCTGCCTCTTCAGAGAAATGTTCAATGGTGACAGGTTTTTCCAAAATCAGAATGACAGCAGATCAGATCTGTAGAGTATGTTGGTTGATGTACATCATGGTGTTTAGATGAATTTGGTGTAATCTTGCTTCTGACACTAATTTTCAATTGTTCTGAACACAACTGCATGACCATATTTTCCTGTTTCATAAAATGATCAAAAACAATGTGATATCTAACCTTGTATGTTGGATTGTAAAGTGTTAAAATAATGTCATTTTACATGTTTTAATATCAAATGCAAAAACACCCCGAAAAAAATCTACGTTGTCATGGCATCATACTCGGCATCATATATTGGTCATCAGCTGACTTGCTCTCCAGTTTTGGCATCAGCATTGGCATTAAATGATATGAGATTATTTTGAGTTTAGAGTTTTGAGCTCAGTGCTCTTACCATAGCTGGTTGGTTTCAGAATAAAAAGTGAGAAGAGCCCGACACTATTTTTGTTCCTGAATTGAAGCACAAATAAGGTTCATAGCATTGTTTTGGGACAGAAGCAGCTAAACCTGTAGTCTTTTCCAGGTCCCTGCACTCACAACATATTTAAAAGATTAAAGTACTGTTAGCACTGGTTTCGTTTTTAAATTTTTGTATGCACTTATAAAATCCTCATTTTTTCTCTCTGTTTTATCAAATATAATTGGTCTGCATCTTCCAGTTTCCTGCAGCCTTTTGTTAAACAGCAATCAGAGTGATAAAGTGAAGTAGTATTTATTATTTTTAAAGGCCACTGTCTCACAAATGCATTCAGAAAAAAAAGATTTGTCACATTGTAGGATTAGCCATCACTCTGGTGGAATAACATGCAGAATTTCAGCAGTCCAAAGTCTGCACTTGTTTTTCTGCCAACCTGGAGCCTGGATTAAGACAGGTTTTCAGACTGAACCGTTTCCAATGACCTGTTCTGGTCAACTGCTGAGTGGAGATAAGGGTCATGGTGGAGGCTGATGAAATGGATGGAGAGTGAAGGTCTGAGCCAATATCCACAGGAAATGCAGCACACTGACCTGGATTGCTCTTTGGGTCCTGCAGCTGTCTCAAGCACTCGGGGAAAAAGCCACCTTTTTCCAAAGAGGCCGTTTGTGTCAGTGTTTCTTTGAGCCAAACTGTCTGACATTTCTCCTGAACACGACAAAGTAAAGTGCAGAGCTGCAGCATCCAGGAGCACTTGCTCTCTCTTGTCAAATCTCTCAGTTTTCTGGGGTAAATAGGAGGGGAAGCTGTGAAATTAATGGTGCCCACTGTTCTCCAAAGCCACACTTTCGCTGCTGCTCGAAATGTCAGCTCTCTTTAGAGTCCAAACGCCACTCTGGATGGCTTTTAACTTGAAAACCAACATGGCTCTCCCTCCTCACTCACTCCAGAGGTGGACAGGCTGAAGTGGGCCTGATGTTCCTGAATAATGTGCCCAGCAAGATGCTCCAAAGACGGTTTGCCACATTTATTTCAGCTACAATGGCTGCAGGACTGAGACGCTGTCTTCTGCAACTCCCTGCAATTTAGATTTCTATCAGCCACATCTTGCTGGCCGTCAGACGACCATAAAAGTGACATCCTGTGCACATTTCTGCCATTAACAGCTCCACATGATTGCCTTTAATGATAGTAGTCCTTTTTTTCTGGGTCTGTAAATGTGTGAAGCATGGCTCGGTTACAGTTGGTGCACAGTGAACATGTCTCGCCTCATTCTGCTGCTCTCTCAATGAATATCTCCCGCAGCTGTTTGCATCATTTTTTTATCACACGTCAGTCATTCTTGAATCATAATCTGGTGCTCTTGATACTCTGAGAAGAGGCTAACATGGGAAAAACGTTAGGGCTCCTCATCAGCAGACAGGCAGCTCTCGGGGGAGCTGTGAATAAATATTTTGACTCTCCCTTAAGTAAGATTGTGTGTTTAAGAGTGTGTATGCAGTCATCGCCCTCGCCTGTCATCACTGACGCTGTAATTTTGCCTGAGCACCTCTCACATGTTTCAGAGACAAATCCTGATGAGAGTGGGACAGGTGTCTGCAGAGTGATTCAGGCTGTTTATTCATCACTGCTTAATTCTGGTGATTGGGTCCTTTCACTCAAGCGTGCTCTTAAAGTCCAGATGTTTCAGGAGTCACAGATTCAACACACAGGTACAGAAAGGAAGGAGTGTGACAGCTGTGACTGTATCTGAGTAAAACAGCACAAAAACCTGAATCTGTGGTCTGGAGTGAATGGAGGTGCTGTCAAGGTGGTCTCTCCTCTATGAGTCATAAACTGCCCCCAACTCAATAGACCCAGCTGGGAGGCCTAGCTTTGTAATACTACCACACAAAGCCCCTGAAACAGATCACTTAACCAACACTCATTCAAAAGCACCGTCCCTCCCCTCTCTTTTGTCTCTGCTGTGTCTCATCTTCTTGTTTGTCCTCCTCTTTCTTCCTGCAGGTCCAGAATGCTCCAGGAACTTCACCTCCAACAGTGGCGTCATAAAGTCACCAGGTTTCCCGGAAAAGTACCCCAACAACCTGGACTGCACGTTCATGATCTTTGCTCCCAAGATGTCTGAGATCATTCTGGAGTTTGAGAGCTTCGAGCTGGAGCCAGACCCGACTCCCCCTACTGGTGTTTTCTGCCGCTACGACAGACTGGAGATCTGGGATGGCTTTCCTGGAGGTGAGCTGGTTAAAACTTGTCTATGAGTGACTCATTGTACAACTCCAAATCCAAATAAGTTCAGACACTGTATCAAATGTTAAAACTGAAAAATGTTCTGTTTAATGAAAAATATCTTTATAAATTAAACACCAGCAATAGTTTTGTAAAAAGCAGTTAAAGTAACAACCAAACTAGTAAATTTAACAGTTTCAGAATAATGTTCCTGAGTGTGACAGAATGAGTGGATTTCATCATCTACAGTTCATGATATCATTGAAAGATTCAGAGAATCTAGAGAAATCTCTGTACTAAAGGGACAAGGACCAAAACCAAGACTGGATAGTCCTGATCCTCAGACCCTCAGGCAGCACTGCTTTAAAAACAGACAGGACTCTGGAAATCACTGCATGAGCTTAAAATCACTTAAAAAGTGATTGTCTGTAAACACAGCTCATCACTGCATCCACAGATGAGGTTAAAACTGAACTATACAAAGAGGGTTCGCTGCTGTATTTTCTCCTAAAAGAGTGAAGATTTTTAGACTAAATGATGACATTATCCAGGTCAGTGGGCTAACTGCTCTGACCAGACTTGGCCGAGGCTCCAGAGTCGGCATGAGTATAAGTCTTTGTCACCGCTGAACGCCACGCATTTCCTGAGTCTGAGAGCCGCCTTTCCTTTGTCAGTCACAGGCTGCATTGTGGAGGGGGGTTGTTGGTGTCTGTTCGTATGAGAATCTGAGGTCTAGACTAAGCACACTGACAGACTCAGGGAAATTATTGTTTAAGGAAGTCACTTTGAACGCTTTGTTTCCCTCAAAGCTGAAAAGAGTTTGTTAAATCTGACCTGAACATGCTTGGCCCTGATAAGACTCCACACTTCAGTGACCCTGGACTGAGAAAAGGCTGCAGCTTTGGCTCAGCTTTGACACATAATCAAATATTCCTCAAAAATCCTTTTCAAACCCAGCAGGTGAGAAACAGAGCGAAAAAGGGCAAGCCGTCCTCAAAGTAGAGCCTCCGAATCCTGATACGAGGCTTTGAACTCAGTGGACAAAACCAGCTCTTGAAGTTTCCACTTCTTCTCCTGGCTATCCCGACAGGAGGTGAAGACCAGATGAAAGCTTTCTCACCCATCAGGGGCTGAATTGAAAGAGTTTTATCGGCCTGGAAGGCATCAGTATTTTTGTCTGTAACTAAGCCAATGATGAGGGTGAAATGTAAAGCTCTGCGCCTTTTCATGTACTTTTACTTAAAGAGAATCCTCATTCTAAGCTCACCTCTCCACGGAGTTTACCTTTGAGTCCTCAAAGTATTTCCATAACTCATTTGCGTCTTCTCCCCTCGAGGTGGGACATGTTTAATTTTCAAGATTAGTGTTGATTAAGGAGGCTTGCAAAAGCTTTGAGAATATGTCACATTATTATCACCTTTTAATACATAAATTACCTCAGGGGTCTGCTGAAAGAAACTTTTCCTGTGCTGCTTCCCACTCATAAAAATTCAGGGATTTCTCGCCCTCACAGTGTAATGCAGTGTTGATTCTTTGATAGCACAAAAAGAATTGTAATACAACACAGAAATGTCTTTTTTTTCCATGGGGCAGGAGCTGGACTGACACAGCCTCCCACTCTTCGAGTGTTGTTGTAGGTGACAGACACTCTCCTGTATAAAGTATCCATGGGAGGAGAATAGTCTGTTGTCTTTTGCAGGCGTCTCCCGCGGTGCCTGCTGGATCGATAGTGCATTAGCACAAAAGGCTGCAGGCATGTAGCTGCTGGGAGGTGTGCAGGGTGGAGGACATGTCTGGGCGAATACAGGCCTCTGTGAAGTGCCGGGGGAGTTACACCTCTCAAAGCACACCTCACTGGACACAACAGAAGAACCTCCATTCCCTGTTTCTGCTTCCCAGAGGAGTGGAGGAAGGCAGGACTTCATAGTGATGTTCTTTAAAATTTCATTGAGCCGGGGAGTCATGCAGATAATCCAGGAGATGGCCTTTTTTTGTCCAGGGTTTAAAAGCACACATATATTCCCACGCACAAACACCAGGCTCAGGGGTTATGAAGATTGATCTGAGCCATCGCTCTCCTGCCCTGTAAGTCCCCGCGGTCTGGCCTTTGCCTTTCATGTCGGCCCTGGACTGTAAGAGGCATGTTTTGGATGACAGGAGGCCAGGACTGTCACTCAGTGCTGATCACAGCATTACTAATCAGGGATAAGCTGCAGGTCTCTACGCACCAGCAGAAACACACACTCAAAACTGTGCATGGATCAGAGCGCACACAGAGGCCAAGGTCACTGTGCTCTGTTGTCTCTGCATGATATTTGCTCCCTGTTTCCACCCCTCTGACTCCCCCTCCCACATGCACCTCTCTGTCTTTTATTGCTCTCTGTCTTTCACAGCTTCCTTATTGTCTCTGCACAGTCTTTACTCGTCTGTCCTCCTTCGCAAACTCACTCAGCCCTGACTGTGTCCACCTCAATTAAAAAATACGGGAAGACAGTGGTCTGAGGAATTTACAGCCAGCAAATAGACACAGCCCATGACCCTCCCACACCGCAGGTCCCTCTTCCGCTTTGCTCTTTTTGTGTCCAACAGGCAAACAGGCCAGGAATGTTGAGAGTCTTTCCCAAGCCTTTTTATAGAGTCAGGTTAAAGAAATGCATACCTCACTGACACACTAGTTCTCACACCTCCACAGGGGGACAGGGCAGTAAAACCGATGTGTGACATGACTCAGGCAAACAAACAAATATTAAGTTAACCCAAGTCTGACATTATTGTGCTTCTCTCTCTCCTTTGTTGCCTCCAGTGGGTCCATACATCGGGAGGTACTGTGGGCAGAACACCCCGGGCAGGATCATCTCCTACACGGGCATCCTGGCCCTGATTATCAACACCGACAGCGCCATCGCTAAGGAAGGATTTTCTGCCAACTTCACTGTCATTGAGAGGACTGTCCCAGAGGGTGAGCTAATGTAACACAATGGGGGGGAATAAAAAATACTAAAGGAGGAACTCATGATCTACTTTATCAGTTTTAACAGAGTTAATCCTAAACTGCAACAAAAGCTATTTCATGAACACACCCTTTAAGTTTGGCTCCTTTGTACAGTTTGCTCTTGAGTCTTGAGTCTAACTATGGAAATAAGCTGTCGGCATCTCCACTGTCTACTGTGCAGGGCTGCACCCTCATCTTCATCAAGCTCAAATGTATTTAAGCATAGTATTAGTTGGTTTAGTGTGAAGTTGATTCATAACAGATGGTTTGCAGATTTCACTTTTTTAAGCTCCCTGGATTGAATTTGCCAAAAAAAAAACAGCTTATTCAAATAAAGAAAAAAAATGGTGACAGGTCCACACAGTTTCCACACATGTGGAAAAATATGCCTGCTTGTGTTAAGTTTGTCCTTTGGACAGCCCTACCCTAATTGAACTCTTGTATTTAAATATGAAATTATGTCAAAATAATGTAAACAGACTTAATGTACAGATATGATATTGGCGGGTCAGCTTGAGTGGGAATTATGGTCGTGATTCCTAAATTCGAAAATGGCACCCATTGCAAATGCAGAAAACAGCAACCCTCAAAGGATTAACACCAACTGCACAAAGCTGGTGTTGCTGGTGTTTGAGGGTACAGCAGTAACCCTCTCCAAATGCATAAATTTGTTGGACGTAGGAGCCGTTCAATCTTGCAGTGAAGCCCCTGAAATGACAAAGCCTACCGCAGCAAAAATAATCCTGAACTGTCCCGTACAACAAGCTTTATCAACAAGTGTAAGATCAGCCCAAGTTTTAGAGGGAAATAAGGTGTCTGCCTCTTCAAAACAGCCAGTTGAGGGTTCAGTAGAATATTAGCCTGATAGCTAAACATTATATCTCTGCAGAATTAACTCAGTAATCAAATTCAAGGCACAGAAATTTGGCCTCAATGAGCTTAAAGTGTTGGTGGAAAAAGCACACAATAACGTGACGCCAGGAGTGATATTATAAAAAGTCAGGAGCAGATGTTGTCCAAACACACGGTCTCATTTCCACCTATTCCCACACGTTTAACACAGTTTAGGAGTTATTAAATAAACACCTCCTGCTCCTTCATTTGGTGGATTTGTTACGGGGTGAAACTCGGCCTGCCCTCCTGTGGTTTACGAGACTTTAACACGCCGCAGAGCCGAGCTGCAAAAGGCAGTAACCACCCAGGACACACACTCACACACACACCCTGAGGGCTTTCACATGCAGCATCGTTGTCACAGGGCCCGACCCTCTGACCCCGTTCTGCAATACGCTCTGACTAAACATTTCATTAAGGAAGACGAGCGCTGCTAGGAGTCATAAATCTGTCCAGAGGCCAGACCACCCCAAACCCGCACAGTCAGACAGTGAACAGAAAGGCAGATGGATGACATTCAACAAATCTACTAATCATCTTCAGAAAAGGGTTTGTGCTGCCCACAGGGGAGACAGACACTCAGCAGATCCACAGAAAAACTCACAACAATCAGAGCGAGCAGTAATGAGTGTGGCGAGCACTGCTGATGTCATTTCCTTTTTTTAAAGCGGCTTTAATCACACGACTCAGATCAGATTGCTCAAACAAACTCTTCACATTCGCCACATTAAGAGGCATGCTGAAATATCTGACCTATGATGAGTAAATACCTTCATTAGCATGAGTTACTGTGTCTTACATCACCAACAAAGTCGTATCTGAGATGGAGAAAAATCCCGAAACTTTGTCTGAGCTGCTCCAGACCTGTACCACTTAAATCATTCATAATCCCCTTATGCATAATACACGCTGGATTTTCTCGCCTCGCCAAGAGGAAGGGAACATCCTGCTGAAAGCTGCTGATGAGAGGTGATAAGGTGATGAAAGGAGGCTTTGTGTTTTGTTCTCCCTCTGTTTCTCCTGCTCTAATTCTCTCCAATAACTCTCCTCAGCCGTCAAGCCGACCCTCGCTATCTTCTCGGCTATCAGCCTGTCTTTGGTCGCTAACCCACATCCTCAGATAGCGTCCCGAGCAGCCGACACACACCTTTTTAACTTTTTGTTGATCAGGATCTTGTAATCTAGATATACTGAGAACAAAAGTTTGACAAGAACGGGCATCCATCTCAACATGAGAGGAGAGGTGTGAGACGGTTTCCTTAGCCCCACACTGAGAGTATGACGCATTCAGACGTACAGCAGCTCTGTGAGACACACACACACACACACACACACACACACACACACACACACACACACACACACACACACACACACACACACACACACACACACACACACACACACACAAAGATACGACCACACACAAACATACAAACACACTGACCCAGAGACTGAGGTGTGTTGGCAGGGTGGCAGATGGAGGGACCATCTGTGTTAGCTGGTAGGCAGCAGACTCTAAACACGTCCACACTGGCCTCACATTGGGCCCCATGAGAGAGTCCATGTATTTTGGGGCATATGTTTAAAGGAGACGCATTACAGTGATTTTTACCCATCATTCTGTCAGTCTGGGACACCTGTAGAGCAGCTTAGCAGGATGAACAACCATCAAACTCCTTGTTTATCTCATACTGGTGTCTGTGAAAACCCTGATTCTGGCCTGAAACATTTCCTTTAGCTGAAGACAGATGAGTTCTCAGTCATCATGAGCACATAGACTGTTTTCACAATGTGGTCATATGATTGCAGATTTTCTTAAAGACACACAGGAAAGACTTTTCTGTCTATGATGGGGTTGTATGTGTCTAAATGAAGCCTCAGTTGACCCCCCTTTTGGGTCCTTAGGTCTAACATCATGGGTCCTGTCATGTTGATTTTTTATGTAGGCAGAAGTTTCAGTGATTTAAAGACAAAAAGTCAAAGTTTGACTTTTCAGACCTCTTTACATGACCCGAACTCTGACCAAAAGGTCGTATCATTTGTTCTGGACGCTGTTTTGGCTTCGTCCTCAGTGGTGTCACTGCGTCTGACCTTTAGGGGTCACAGGGACTGGCCCCATCCTGACCTAGCTGAGTATTTTACCACAGAGCTGAGGACGCCCCGAAACAGTCGCCCCATGTCAACACAAACAAGGAGCAGCTTCTGCCATGGGTGGTTTGGTCATTAAGTGTGATATATGGTCCTAAAATACAGATACTAACCACACCTAAAGTCCCCCTGGAGACCAAACACGGAGAAAAAAAAACTGTGTAAAAAAGATAAACTGCCCGGAGGGAGAGGAGGACATGAATCCAGCTGGAGGAAGAAAGAAGTGCAGGAGAGTCACTTTAACACCTAATACTGGAGTAAACTTAGCCCACATTGAATGTTTTATGAGGACATTTTTACATCTTAATGGGAACACTTCCACCCTCCTTCCATTAAGAAACTAAAGAGAAAGAAACAGAAAGGGTTTACTGAAGCGTCGCTGATGTGCCGTTACTTTCCACACTGCAGCTCTGAGTGCCTGTCGTGTGCAGTCCCCTTCCCTAGAGATCAGCTCTGCTTCTGGGGGGACAGGCCAGCATGTTGAGGGGCGTTCAAAGCTCCGAGCTGAATGTCTTTTTTCCTCTTTCTCTTTCTTATCCTCACTTCTTACCTGTCCTCTCCCTTCCCTCCCAGACTTTGACTGCAGTGACCCTTTGGGGATGGAGTCAGGAGAGATAACAGCCGACCAAATCATGGCTTCGTCCCACTACAACCCCAGCTGGTCCCAGGAGCGCTCCAGACTCAACTATTATGAAAACGCCTGGACGCCGGCCGAGGACTCCAACAAGGAGTGGATACAGGTATGACCCTGCTGCTTGTGACACAGAGAGGGGAAACAAATCCAACAAAGTCGGTTTAGGGGCCACATTCAAGAAGCTAAATCAGACTTAGAGAATAAAGTTATAAATATCATAAACATTAACTTATCATATTTCATATTTTACTTTTATCTTATACATCAACAACTTTATTGCTGTAACACTTATGTCTTTGCTGTTAAAGTACTCCTAATAAAAATGAATGTAATATAATACATTCAAAATGTAATATAATATAATACAATAATATTCTGTAAAATGTGTATTTCTGCCTTTTTTATGAAATACAAAGCTGTGTTTTAACTTTTTTTCTCATAAAAAGAAACTTTTATTTTGACCAAAAAGGTTAACAACAGCCCAAAATTATAACAGTTTCTCATGACTTAATGACTTTAGTCCTAATTTCAGCTTCATTCTGACCCTGAGCCTAAAATGATCACTTTTCCATTTTTTCTTGTACAGTTCAGAACTTAACTACATCTTTTTTTCCTCCAAATGCCACAACTTCATATGACCATTTCTTTCTTGTTTTTTTCTTGACTTATTTTTTTGCATATTTTTGACTTACTTAATTTGACTCTACTCTGACTTTTTCTGATTATAAATTTTTTATATTTATGTATGACACTATTACAAACTTATTTTATTTGGACTTTATTCTTATTATATTACAACTTTACGAAAAACTTGTTCCTCATAATCATACAGATAAATTAGGGGATAATACAAATTCATTTTCATGTGATTTTTTTGTTTTATTTATGACTATGTTTGTCAAATCCAGATATTTTTCTTCCTTACAGTGGCTTTAACACTCTGTCATATGCACAGATCATCTTAAACCTATAAACCAGGGTGGTATGAACAGGTTATCTTCTGCCTGTTGTTTGTTTTTTGGAGATGAGTCACAGTCAGAGGGTGTTAGTTTGTTTGCTGTGTTCGAAGCCTCTCCTGTTGGCTCAGGCTCAGTTGGACTGTCTGTATCTGTCCTTCAGTCTCTGGAGCTCCAGTGTCCCTACAAGACCAAACAATTTAGATTTTAAACGTCCACCGTCCTGATAGACCTGCTGGGTGGTCTCGTCCACGCCTCACCAAAACCATCCCTGCCTTCCTGTCCTACCTGATAACTTTCCCTTTGCTTGATAACAGTAGCTGCCTTCAGGGATGCTGGGCTTTAGTCCAGGCATTCTGCCTCGCCTCTCTCTCTCTCATACACACACACTCACACTGGAACACACACACTCACACTGGGACACACACACACAGGCTTTGTCATATTTTTCTTTCTGTCAGCTTATCTGCACGAAGTGATCATAGCCCACAGGGGGAACTTTATGTGAAAAGATTAAGCATTTAGTTCCTAGATGGGGATAAGTCACATATCCTCAGTCCACTCACAAACCTCCCTCAGTGCCAGCACCACAGCAGCTCCACCAGCTGCATTTGGAGCATGTTTGATTTATTAACTGAAAGCCTCACGGTCTTGTAAATGCCTCTGCTGTTTTTCTTTTTCTATGTTTTTTCTTTTGCTTCATTGCTGAGAAGTTTGGCCTGCATATACTCCTCAGGGGATGAATAATCGTGTTGACCCATAGCCAAATATTTGCTCAGAGAGGGCTATAAGTGAGCTTTTCCCTTTATAATGTAATGAAAATATGATCCTTAGGGACACTGTTGCTCCTTCAGACTAATTTAATCAGAGTGTGGTTTGAGAACGATCTGCAATGACTGTGAGTGTTGAGCTGTGTCGTCCTGACTTTAGGGGTTAGAGGCAGGCTGAGGAGGTCCTAACTGTCCTGCTGTTGTAATGTTGCCCCCAGCTTGTGACTCTGAGCTTCATGAAGGTCTTTCTGGATGAAGAGCTTCTGGTTTCAGGTTGTAGGTTGAGACTTCAATGCAGCTCATACCGATCTTTGTGTTCAAAAAGAGTCCTCTGTGAAGGGGTGATCACTAACAGCTACCATGTTGTCTTGAAAACATCCAAACTTCTTACTATGTTCTGGAGCCTTCGTCTCTGAGGGGAGAAAACAGCTGAAAGTGTCCTTAAAAAAGACTTTACATGACCTGTAAAGTCCAGATCAGGGTCACAGGTCCTCCTAAAAGTGGTGTAGTAATGACACACTACAGCACAAACATATAACCTCTAAAAACAGTACTTTCCTGACATTCTCTCAGCTCTGCATGGACTCCCCAGGATGAAGCAGTCATTACTCATCCCTTTACATGTGTGTCTTTTGTCAGCGGAAATTACAAGTGATCACAATGATTTGTTGCCACTTGAGAGTGCGCCTGCCTCAGTATTGATCATATTGAAGATTTGATTTAGCAGTATAATTTGGATGTGCTCTAATGGCTTTGCTGTTTTCCCAATACTAATCAGATCCAAACATTGAATGGTGCTCCTCTGATTTGTAATTTCAAACCAGCTGAAGGGGCGAAGTCTGCGGCTGCCTCATAATTTATGTTTTCTGAGGAGTGCGATGCTCTTGTGCCGAGCACTCTGAGCAGAAGGCCAATTATCACAAGTGGTATTAAAGAGGAGAATTCTTCATTTCTCTTTCATTAAGCTTGTCCATGCTGCAGCAACAAGCTCGGGCCCCCTCGCGGCACGTACAAATCATCTCAGTGTGCCGTCAGATGCATAGTAATCAATTCATTATATATTTCATTTCTGCAGTTGGAGGCAGACGGTTTTATTATTCATGACAGCCGGCCTTTTGATTCCTGGGTTTTTTTCCTTTGCTCTGCTTTCCTTCGTTTTTTTGCAAAACATAATCCAGATTTGTCATCCATTTTAATTCGGCCTGGTTCTGATGTATGCAGAGGGAGGAGGGCAAGATGCTGGGCTGTGTGTTCTTCTCTGGGTAATTAGATTGGTGTGGTGTGGTTCAGCGTTGAGTGCAGGGTTAGCCAGGCCATTAATCAGCCCTTTGGTGCACACAGAGATGGACAGATGTCCTCTGAGGGGGTTTTGGCATGATGAGAGAAGAAAGAAAGTGGCAATAATCCTTCAAAACAGGCTTTCATTTCATTTTTTACATATCCTGTCCAAGTCTTTATTCTCCTCTCTTCTTCTCATTTTCCTCTTGAAGCTCAGATCTTCAGATCTACATCAAGGTAGATGGAGATTTCTTCATATCATCAGCTTGTATGAGTCCTTAAAACAGCAGGGGTCTCTGCAGAGGGTTGCAGAAAAGATGAATAAGGATAGCCATTGCATGAGACTCTGAACAGTTTAGAGGATTGAGCTTTGGCTTTTGCTGCTGCTGCTCTCTCTGCCTTGGCATTTCATATATGCTCATGATACAGAGAGGTGCTCTCCCAGCCTTTGGCTGTTGCGGTCCTTATGTGTATGTGATGAGGCAGGGAGCTCTCAGAACAGCGTACCACCAGCAAATATATCAGCGCAGACAGAAGTGATCCTGAATGAACCGAGGTTAGCTGCATTTAAAAGTTGCAAAGGCATGACAATAATATTCACATACTGAGTAAGAAAACATTGACTATAAACAATGAGTTGAATGATTTCCTAATTTATCCCAATATATGAAGGTGTGTGCTCATCCTACTATATGATTTTCAATTAATTGTCCAGCCCTCAGAAAGAGTAATGAGAAAATCTAACAAAAGCAGAACTGGGAAATGAAGAAGTTGACTCAAAATCTAACATTTTTGTTCAAATCTGTTTAAATCTGGCTGTGGTAGTTTTACCACAGTATCTCAGTAAAGCTGTAACAGTGAGCCTGGACTTCTGCTGGCTGCTACCATTGATCACAGATACACACAACATGAATAATTTACTTAGTCTTGGATGGAACCCAACTGTCAATACCTGAAAGCCTCTTTATTGAGTATCATAATGGGAATATACAGTACATGTTATTCTATACACTCCTTTTTTATCCTTATGGGCCGGAGTGGATTTGGCTCTTCATATCTATAATTCAGCATTATTGGCTCCTGCTGTTATCTTCAATCTTCTTGCCAGGAAACATTATCTCTGATTACTTCATTGGTATTTATGTATTTATCAGCCTCTATATGAGTCTGATTAGCTAAACTGTCTAATCACACAGAGGGATAGATGGTCCCTTTACTCTCATCATGACAGAAATGCTTTAATCAAGCCTGTCTGATGGATATGGGCTCTAAACATGAGGATCACATCAGTGTTTGTTTACACGGTATTTTTCTTTATCTCCACTTTCTGATGCTAATCTCAGGGCCAAGTCTGTTATTTGCTGAGGAACTTGTCACGGGTTTCCATGGAAGTTAAAACCTTGTCAATCCAAAGCAAACAGCACTGTGAAACACGGAGCACTTAGCAAAGATAACAGGTTGGGTTTTACCCACCAAAAGACCAGTAATTGCACACTTCCTCGATGTAAACACTGTTCTGGCCACCGCACTGTTTATCTTCTCTGCAGCCTGGAGAGCAGAGACCAACACTAATGCTAAACAAGCACACTCCGCTGTATCCTGTTTCCCTTTTCATCCAAATGTGCTTTCAATTAGCTCAGGTCAGCAGGGTGTAGAAATGCCCCCTTCATCGCTATTGTCTCTCTCCTCACTCCTGTCCCTGTTCCAGGGCGTGCCGCTGTGCAGAGCGTTGAGTAATTAAAATACGGACCGGTAATTAACAGCAGCTTCTCAGTTTATGAAGTCTAGTGGAAAGCAGAAAGGAGCGTAGGCTGGCATGTGGCCGCCAGTGAGATCATCACCATGTCATACAAATGGAGACAATGGACGCCGCCTGAGCCTCGCTGCTCCAAGCCTGCGTGTAAATTGGAAAATCAATGAGAGGATAGAGACCTGCACTCCTGTGAAGTCACCTTAAAGTGGGACTAAAATCAAACGTGAAGTGAGGAGTGATGCAACGACATGAAACAGGGTTGCATAAGAACCCAGAGACAAAAACTCAGCCCAGGACTAATCAGAGTCATTTTCAGAGGCTGAGCCCAGCACAGGAAGCATTCTGAGAGAGAGTCACCACAGGGTCATCACAGCTGTGCATCTTCAGACTGGATCATCAAGCTGCTTCCAGACATGACAAACCTTCAAGTCAGCCTCCTGATCACCGTCTCAGTTTTATAATAGTTACTCACAGCCTGACAGAGGGTTAGTCATGTGTGCTGCAAGTTTGGGAATGACCCTGGAGTCAGTGTCTGAGGATGACTCAGGAGGAAGAGGAAACTACAAACATGATTGTTAAATACTTCCTCGAACAGCTGAAGCATCCAGTCATGCAACTCAACAAACCCTAACGCAAGCACAAAACACATCAGACATCTTTTTATTCTGCTTAAACCAGTACGTCCTCCCTCAGCCAGGAAACAGATGATGGCCACATGGGGAACCATGCATAATTTAATATTGCCAAAAAGGTGTCGGAGGCTAAAAATAAACTCTGTCAGGTGAATATTGTGATGAATGGAAGGTCGTGAGTGGAGCTCACAGGTCCTGCAGCATTTCAGTGATGCAGTTTTCACCAAAGGAGAATTAATTACACTTTCAGGTAATGGAGCTTTTCCAGCAACACTTCAGTTTCCAGGAGACTGCAGGGGAAACTGGAGGACAGATAACTGAGAGCTGGTGAAGAAATCAGTCTCTAAAAACAGATATCTGAATGTGTATACAGGCACAGAGTTTGGAGAGATTTTAGTTTATTTTGAAAGTAGTGCTGGCTAAGAGTTATGAACAGGCTTTGGTTGGATGCAGGACAAATGTCCTAAAGGAGCAAAATAGGAAGAACATATTTGCTAAAATGTAGTTTGGCTCACAGATTGCGGAGCTGGCTCTAAGTTCAAATTCAGCCTTGGCTGTTTGATGGAGGGACTCCTGCCTGTTCTGCAGAGCCAATATGAGCTACACCTAGGTCTAGCTAAGTAGAAGCCTGTAGTTTGATCAGGTGTTTAATTCATCTCTTTAAAATAAGCAGAGCTCAACATTGCCATTCAATTTAAAACCTGTTCAAGTCTGATGGTCCGAATCATGAAGATCTACAAAGACTCTATGATCATGCTCAAGTTGTTAATGATCTATCTTACTATTTCACAACAGGGTTTAGATCCCTCCTCTTCCTCAGGTAAACTACTTCTGCTTTGATGCCTACAGAAATGAGAATTCAGGCTCTTTCTACTAATCCAGATTGTTCGGCTCAGCAAAGATGTTACTGTCCAGGAACTATCAAACCTAAATTTATTAAAAATATCATCCCTGGACCAGAAATAGATGATCTCTATGGTACAAGAGCTGGATTATTCATGACCAACACATCACTGTAAGATCTCTACCTCAGTGTAGATACTGTCTGCTGCCACAGTGCAGTGAATCTGAATTTGACTTAAGTTCAAGATTTTTAAAGTAACATCCTAATTAAAAATGTACAAAAAAGTAAGTGATCTGCCCACATACCTGGTGGATGTTTACGGCCCTAAGCTTGTGCATAATCAAGAATATATACTGCCATGCTCACGACACAGCAGGAGGCTATGAAAAGGCCTCTTTTGCAGCATGATCACGAGACAGCAGCCAGGCACTACAGTCTTTTTATGGGCAGAAATTCAACAGGAGCCAAAACCAGCAACCTCAGACACTAACGACTAACTAACACTAACTACAAGAGAATTAAAGATGTTCATGCAACACGTTAATGTGGTCGTATGGTTCTGTTCTGAGAGCTTCCTGCCCTTGAGCAGAGCATACATCCCCTCTGTTTTATGTGCATACGTGAAAAGCCAATTGGAGGTGTAGAAAGCAATCAACTTGGTCTTTAGCTGATATGGACGGGTAGTAAGATCAGCTGATGCACTGTGGGCAGAGCTTGGATTCAAGGCCTGCCTGATCAATCTAACAATCTATGTTCAGTATTATTACTTAAACAAACCATAACAGTAAATGTCTACTTTCAGAACGGTGGTCTAAATCTTTGAATCTGTTCGATGGGGAACAGTAGTTTAAGGCTGTCTTCCTGAGTCTGTACCACCCTCTGAGACCTATAAAGAGTTCTCATACTTTGTTTCCAGGACCTGGATCTGTGTGCAGATTTAGCTGCTGCTCTCTGACTTTTGAACACAGAGCAGCACTCCCTCCTTTGTCACCCTTGGCATTTCTCATGTTGTTGTTTTTTTGGTGAGGGAAAACGAATAAACCCACTCTCCAGAGGCCTCAGCTATTCACTCCGCAGCCCACATATCCACAAACACAAACACACACACACACATATATATATATGGGAAGCTATTTTTCCCCCTTCTGTCAGAGGAAGCAGAGAAATGGATTTAAAGAAAGTATTTGGTAAAGTTCTCCCAGAGTACGAATTGCTGCATACAACTTCTTGGCAACTCAATTATAAGCCAATCAAGCAGTGAGAGATAAAGCTTTTGAGCCTCTGCTGTTTCTTCAGCCCTCCCTCTTCCTCCTCCTTCTCCTCCTCATCCCTTAGTCTTAAAAACCATGTCTCCTCCTCCTCTCACCCGCACAACAATGAACAGCCTCGAACACATATCATGTGGCCGTGCTGCACACTGGAGTCATAGCGCCGAGACAATACGCAGAGTATCGGGTAGGGCCAATGATCACGCCCGCAGCTGCCACCGCAGTTCAAGGATAATTGGAAAATTATCTCTTCAAACTTGTACAAACAGCCATAAATACATAAATTCACTGTCTGCCTGTCATTTATTCCCACAGTATCACACACGCCTCATTCAGATTCCTGATGTGGATTTGGGTTGTTGATCTAATTGCATGCACACCAGGCTTTAACTGGCTGATGTTACAAGCCCGAGCACGACTAATTCTTTTTCTGCCTCTCTGGTTTCATTAGTCTGTGAGACGACTGGAGCCTGTAGGCTCACTGTTGTGAGGAAAAGAGGGGTTTGAGTCATCAGTTTGCTTCACAACAGGAAGGTAGAGCACACCCAGAACAGTCAAACATGATTTGGAAGAGGAAAAAACTTCAGGGAGGCCAGGACACGGAGCACTCGGGAAGTTATTGTGAAGGGGTTTGCAGGAACAATTGCAAGGTAAATCATGAGAGCAAATTTAACCCAGTCTGACCACACTGATTGAACCTAACTTTAAGTCGTAGATTATTATTAATAACTTAAAGGAAGGCCAAGCAACAAGGGTGCAGCTTTCAGGTTTATTTGGTGCCTTCAGATCACTCTTTTTTAACCTGAAAGATTGTAGCTCAACAAGAACCAAATTTGAATCTTTTTATACACCCAGTCATGCAGTTTCAGAAGCTCAGAAATAGAGCCTGCCATTAAAATCAGCTTTTAAAAGTTTTAAGGTGGTTTATTTTTCTGGTTCTCGGCCCTGCTCCCAAACATTTCTGAAGTCTCTCACTGCCTAAAGTCTCCCCTGTCAGAAGAGGATAACTGCTGAGAGGCAGGACATGCTATCAAATGCATGTCACATGTTAACAAAATGATTGCTGGAGAAGCAATGCCGAAATGACCGTTTTTGCATTTACTCCATTGTTTCATGCATATAGACAGATGTGGAGACATCTCAGCTGTTTTTGTCTTGAAAATTGTCTGAAGATTATTTATTTGCATTTAAATGCAAATGTGAAAACAGCTGCAGACCTGCGTTTTTAAAAATCTGCTTCAGCTAACAAAGCAAGCAATGGTTTCATTTACACAATGAGCTCAAGTTTAAGCCTGACCTGATTTAGAGACGCCTCTTACTCTCTGCAACAACCCTGAAACCCTGAAACAACGCAATATTGGTGTCCCAGTTTGTGATCACACATCCCAATATACAGTGTGCTCTTACATACAGGGGTGGTTTAATAGGCATGCAAAAACTAGACAATCATTCAACTTAATTATACTGAATAAAATAATCTCAGTCAGATTATGTTTTCATCCCTGCATTAAACAAAAGGCTAAAGTAAAGACAGTCACATTGATAACAGCCGACTAAAGACGAACAGATCAGACTAGTCAAAGATAAGGTGAAGCCAGGCTGGTCTGTCTCCTCCATGTAAAGCTGTTTGAACAATAATGCACTAAAGCTCCGTACACACACACACACACACACACACACACACACACACACACACACACACACACACACACACACACACATACATATATATATATATATACTGTATATATCAGCCCACCATCACTTTATGGAAGAATCCAGAGGAGTCTGGGTGATTTCATACTCAGCCTGTCATCTTTACATCCCTGAGCGTGTGTGTGTGTGTGTGTGTGTGTGTGTGTGTGTGTGTGTGTGTGTGTGTGTGTGTGTGTGTGTGTGTGTGTGTGTGTGTGTGTGTGTGTGTGTGTGTGTTGATCCTGATATGAGTTACTGTGCCAGCCTGGTACAGTGTCTTTCCTCTGTACATGGCTTCAGTCCAAACAGACTCAGACTTTATTCTGAGATCAGCAGAGTCTCCAAATGCTGCACGTCCATGCTGATAGCAGATTATGAGTCATCATTCACACCTATCAGCGCAGTGACTCCATCAACCATTAGACATGATTCAGCCTTTTACGGCTTGATGACGAAGAGTTTATCATCTGAGAGAGATTTATTTATCCAGGATCCTCTCTGCTGTTTGTTGGTTTATGTATTTGGGTCAGTTGGTGCAGTCTGTGGCTCTGGGCTAAAAAGAGTCCCAGTAGGAATCATTATCTGGGCCTGTTTGTTTTCACTGTGGTGTGGGAAGGACTTTGGGTTACATCCAGGCATCCTGGTCAACCCGGGAAACCTCGGTCTCTACCTCCAACAAGAAGCCATTAATAAATCATGTTCTGCTCATTACCCAGGCTCTGTTATCTCATCTTCACTTGAGACCCTTCGTTTCTGTCCTTCACATCCTCTGAGGCATCACTGTCAGCAGCGTGCTCCCTCTCCTCTTCACTTCCTCTTCATCTTTCCTCCTGCTTCCCTCCATCATTCTGTTTCATCCAGTCAAAGTCAACCCTGATGCCACTACTGGACCAATGTTACATTTATTCCGTGTCATTAAACTTGAGTTTTTGTGCCAAACCTTTCCAAAATTCCAATAATTCTCTCTACCTCTTAGTTTTTTTTTACTTTAAAACTACTGAACCACAAACTAATGAAAGTACGTTCAACTCTCTGCTCTTTAAAACTGGGCACCACACCCATGGTGGCAGAGCACCCCTAAAGAAATAGCTACCCCTTAAATAAAAACTTTCATTTACAAAAAAGAACTTTCCAGTCAGCATGGCGTTTTGATTAAAGCCGTATATCAGTCCATTTGTCTTCAAACCGCCCGCTTTTCTCCACGCTCAGGTTCAGAGATTGGGAGTCTGAGCGCTCATGAGTGTTCCCAATTAGCACCAGCACTCATTTCATTCCCAGAGGCTCCTCTTCTTCTTCTCCATTACACCTAATGAGATCATTCCACAGAAAACATCCCAAGGCCAAGTCTCCCTATTAGACCTTTTTTAGCCTTTTCAGTAAGCTGCAGAGCTATTGGTGCAGATTGGATAGAGTGTGACTGGCCATTTGAGCACAGACCACGAAGACCCAGCTCAGTTTTCTCAAGTGACTTTGCATGAAGTACTTGTCAGTAGTTAAGCATGTTACCCACAGGGAAACCCGGTCAGCTCTGCCTCTTTGTTTAGGAACCACGAGGGAAGCTAGACCATGAGCCTCTGCAGACTGTATCAGCTCCACCATGTTATGAAGATCCTTTTGACAAACTCCAATTAAGGACCGAGTTTATTTGTCAGAATACATTTGAGGACAGTGGAGCCATCTTTTTCTCTTGGATTATTATTCTTGAGTTTAGTTCAAGCAGTCACATTAGGCTCAGCCCAAAGTACATCATACAGGTCTAGACAATGACCTTCTACCAGCAAGTGTCGTATGAACTGTCAAGGATCCTGCTCTGCTCCTGGGTCTTTGCTGATGCTGTCCCTGCCATGGCTTTTCATCAGCCAGTCTTCATTTGTGTAGTGGCAATTCACAACAAATGTATCTCCAGACACAATAAAAAAAGCTTGTCTAGACCACACTCTTCATGGGATTTATAAAGACCAGTATCTGGGAGGTGGGCTCTCCCCGGTCTCCAAGTACACATGATTGAAAGGCAGGGAGCTCTCAGAACAGAGCCGTACCACCAAACGTATCTTTAAGATGATCTTTATGATGACAGTGGTCCTCACTGTAAGTACTGTATTATTGTTTTGTATACACCATCAGTGCCTAAAAGAGAACAAAACAACTTATGGTCAAATCCACTCACTTTGTATGAGAGACTTCGGGGGAGAGACTCTGTTTCTAGAGAGTCTTTAGGAGCTGCTCAATCCCACAAAGAAGTTCAGAGAATTTTAAGACTGTCCGAGTCAAATCCCTCCAAACATGGATAATCTGTGATGGTTTATGGTTCAGTTTTAGAGAAACTGTTGTGTTGTGATCAGACTATGTCAGATGGAGGCTGACATCTTGTTTTGGTCAGAGGCTGGATCAGTGATTAGCTGACCCCGAGAAGTCCAATGCAAAGGCACAGACAGCCTGCATAGTTGAGTTTGTTAAAATGATCTAAATGATGCAGTAAAGCTGACCTCGTCTGCAGAAGGTGATAGTCTAGTTCCTGTTCTGGTTCGGGCCCAGCTGACTGAGATCCCCTGTGGGTAGTTCACTCATGCAGTCGCACTGCAGAAAAATGTGAACTTTCCCTTTATTAGTTTCATGCACAGTCGTCTCCACCTGCCATCCATCCACTGTGCTGTCCTGATCACATATACATCCATTTCCCTAGAAAAAGGACTTCAGCTCCTGCCTTATTAAAAAGGAACCAACTTGAACTGAAGGATTGGAGTTTGTCTCTGTTTTTAAAGAAAGGGAATGAGCCTCTAAACCGATGGACAGGAACAAAGTATCCTGTTCCAGTATTTGACTTTTTGTTAACCTCCATCCATCCAAATCCTCAGAGCTGCAAAGAGAGAGAGAAAGAGAAGATGACATGCAGCATAAAGAAGTGTCATTTATTGCTCCCATCTGTTTGTGTCTTTTCACTTGCAGAGGAGAATTTGAGGAGCAGGAATGACCGGCGTTTCATGGCGTGCAGATGTTCCTTTGCTGCTCTCTGCTATGAGTCATTAAACATGTTGCAGAGCTGTATGTGCGGCTGGCAGAGGAAGCTAGCTGGCACTGACTGTACGCTTTTAACATACTGGAGGAGCTCTGTGGAGATTTTTGGAAGCAGATCACGCTGGCTTAGATTTTCTAAAGTATGTGCATGCTCCTGCGTCTGTCTGCTCAGTCTCACATGGAGGATTTCACTGGTGTCGCTCTTTCTTACAAACCCTTGCACATGCACATACCCATGATCTCCTGCGCTGATTCAGTAATCTACTCAAGACTCTGGTCACCATCCATCAGAGCCGAGCCCATCCCATGTCAACATCAAACGTCTCATCTTGATCTGCAAATGCGTCCCACCAACGCCCCGGCTTCTTGCAACGCTCCTGTGCCTCAGTGGCGTCTGCACGCAACACCATTACTCCTGATTAACGTCAGCTCAGCCTGTCAGAGACGGTGTTAACGCTTGTTAAAATTAAGCACGCTACCTCATACACGGAGGAGTTTTCATTCCTCTAAAAGCCTTCAGATTCACACTGCACTCACTCCTTCCTCTGTTATGGATGACGGGATGGGAGGAGGGGTTAAACAGCAAGCACAGAGGTCGAGGACAGACAATTTGTTATCACTGCTGGCCGAAAAAATCCGCGTTTAACCCAGAAATAAGAGCTGACCTCACCTCCAGGCTCTGAGTTAGACTTTTAGAGTGATGGAGGAGATTTTACAAGCTCAAGCCATCGATCAACTTGTATTTGCACATTCAGGACATGAAATTTCATGTCTGACAGTAAAAACTCAGTGTTGTTGAAACTATATGAAAATGTATGGGTGATAAAGCATCAAAATATTGTCAATACAGAGCTTCAGTACAAAGAAACACAGCATAGATCTGCATATGAACACATAAACAGACCTAACATTTCTCAATTTATCAGGAAGATTGAACATTCAGCTCAGTTTATTATTACTCCTCATAAACTTTCTTCATTCAAACTGTACTAAATTACAGGCATTAGTTACCCAGAAGGCCTTTCTCCAAAAACAACTTAGAGTTGCAGCTCCTGGATGGAGTTTGAGGTTATTTTTTAAGAGACCAGAGAAAACTTCTGCTCTTCTCTCTTGCAGCCCTGAAGTTAGCGTAATCAAGAAGCTGTTTGAAACACAGAAGCTGCAGGGTGACGTGTTCAAGTCTGTTTGAGAGCATTTGACTGCCCCTGGTTGTGGACATTAATGATGGTTTGCAGACAGAAACAGCTCCATCTGTGTGCAGGATCAGTTCTTTGTGCAAACTCTTTGAAACATTTACATGCAACTACAAAACAGATGCATGCTAAGACCCTTGTTTACGCTAACCCCACCCCCTCTGGCAGTCTCCCCGGGAACATCGTACAGCCCCGCAGTAGTGCTCTGCAGTTGATGATTACTGCATAAAACCCTGCATATTTTAAAAGGTACAATATTTGATATTCAGTCAGTCTCCCCCTCTCCTCCTGGCCAGTTTTGATAATGTGATTGCAGACCCCGCTCTATTCAGTATTCACTTTTAGCCAATAAGCTCTTGTCTCCCATCTCAGGAAATTAAGTTGTCATCCTGTGTCTATTTCATTAATGTGAATATCGTTTCATTGCTGTTTATTAAATTCCAGGTAGCAGTGTGATGAGACTGCAGCCAGAGGTGAATCTAATGGCTGGTTATATTTTTTACTCTCAATCTTGTCAGTGTATTATTAATCCAGGCCCAGCAATGAAAGCCCTTTTTACAGAAACTATTCATCTGAACAGACACTTTATTCCAGCCTGTTCATACGTATTCTGCTAAATACTCTTGTCATTCCTGCAGTTCTGCTTTTAAATCATTTTAAGCAGCTTTTTTTCCTCACGTCTTTCTTCTCTCCTTGCTTTACCCTCCTCAGGTCGACCTCGGCTTCTTGCGGTTTGTCTCAGCAATCGGCACGCAGGGCGCCATTTCCCAGGAGACCAGTAGGATTTACTTTGTCAAGTCCTACAAAGTGGATGTCAGCTCTAACGGAGAGGACTGGATCACTTTGAAGGAAGGCTCCAAACAAAAGGTAGGAGACTCTTTTCTTTCTGTTTTAGGTGAGAAGATCGTATTTTGAGAATAACATGCATTCAGTGGCCAGATGATCTTTAATTGTACTTTTAAAATACTTAAAACTAATAAATGATCCAGTCTTGTTGACGCTTTAGCTCAGACTGGGATCAGGGAGAAAAACTTTAAAAGCACTTTAGTCAAAGACAGAGCAAGTTCAAGCAGTGACATCTAGGTCTTATAGAGAACAGACAGACAGACCTTCCCTTCTTCTGAAACACAGAGATATTTGTAAAAACCAGACCAGAGACAAATCACTGTGCAGGATGGGAAACTGAGTCCAATTTTTTTCCACCCCCTGCAACAGCAAACATTCTCAAACTCCTTGTTCACTAAAAAAATGTTAGCATAAACTATAATTTAAAAACTGATTCATTTAACAGTAATGCAAATATCAACAGTATGGTTGTTTCTTTCTTTTCACCAAATCTATCCTGCAAACATGAAGCTCTGAGGACTTTCTCCATGTGTTTGCTCCTTAAGACCACTTGATAATGAAAATAGAAAATAGTTTATTTTTTCCAGAAACAGTCATAACCCCCCGCCCCTTTTCACCACTCATGCACTACACTTGGAATATCCCATCTCAGGAAAGCAGCCATCTGACTTGAATTGTGGTCTCTGCCTTTGAGCTCAACAAAAGGGGGAATACCCGACTCCATGCGCTCTTAGTCTCCTTCACCCAACATATAATTATACACTTTACTCGGCATGATAGTAAACCCACCGTCTATGCTGGTGCATGATATTTCCAGCTCAGGCTTTAGTGCTACTTCATCACAGCAGTCGCCACAGGGAGGATTATGTAAGGAATGCAGCTTCTGTTTTATGTCAGGACCCGTCAAGATGTCGTAAAAGAAGCGAGGATGACAAAGGACTTGACAAACAGGAGTTAAAGGGGATATTGATAGAAAGAAAGAGGAGAGGCTGTCATGTTTGAGCAGCTGGTGAAGGGAGAGGAGGAAAAAAGGGAAGGAGGGATGGCATGCTTGACCGGAGCGTGACAGGCTGTGACCATTGATTGCTGATCAGCCTGTCAAACAGAGCAGGTTTTGTCCATCTGGAGGCAAACACACTCCCTGCTGTGTGTGTTCGGAGGGTCAGAGAGGCATGAGTGTGTGTGACAGATCAGTGTGTGTGATGTGTAAATACCACAAGGCTTCTTTTTGAGGTCTGAGAGTAGCTAAAAACTTCTGAACAGCAGCGGCAAACATCATGTTTGTGCTGCAGTGTACACAAGCCCGAGGGTCTGATTATTTCATGCTCTCTCTAAAGTACACAGCCCTCTCTGTAAAGTGGGAGTGTAAAGGTGCCGTGGTGAGCTCGGCCTGTGTTTTTCCATGATCTAAAGTGCTTTTGTGCAGAGGGGCACCATTTGCTACATGCTGAGTTTGCAGCTTTGCATGAGTGCAGCCACTTTACAGTCGGTGAGAGGAGAGGAGACATTTTTAGAGTGTATGGTGGCGTTGTGACACAGCTGACAGGTATTGCTCAGGGACTAATGCTCCAGCCTCCTCCTTTTTTAGTAGCTTTTATCCCTCTATCTCTCTGTCCATCCTGCTCTTCTCTGCTCCGTCAGGGAGGTCAAGAGGTCACACGGTCACTGGTGTGATTCAATTACCCAGAATGAACTGCAGCGGACTGTAGGGAGTTGTTTTGCTGGGTGGCCAGCCTCCTCGAGCGGTGCTAGAAAAGTGTCAACACTTCCCGAGGGGAACAGAGTCATCTCTGACCTTTAAACAAGACAGTGCAGTAAAAGCTATCCACCAAATGTAGAGCTGGAGGACAGACAGAGGACATCTTGAGTCAATCTGGTCCAGTCAGTGTTACACAAACCGCCTCAGGTTTCACGGTCACGGTTCACAACCCATTGGTGCTGCGGCATGTGGAGGAAGAGGAAGTGTTGGGGTTATTTCAGGGGTGAGAGGGAAATCTGTGAAACTACCTCATTTAGAAACACTGGACAGAGTGAGACCAGGTGTCTGATGGTGACACATTAAAATAAAAAAAAAGACTACAACAAAGTAATTTAAAATGAGACCATTGAGAAGAATGTTCCTTTTATAAGATAGGTTAAGATAAGTATACATGCACTACGTTCTTGGTGTGAAAACAGATAGATTAAACATGAAAAACCATGAGTAGGAGTTTGAAAATATCAGGATATCCAGAAAAATCCATCATCAAGCATTCTTAAATGTTCCTCTCGTCACAAAGAGTTAGAGTTCAGGTCTTGAGGACACCAGTATCAGACAGTTCAGACCGGACTTTTCTTCTCTGTCCTCTCAGCTTTTGGGTCCCTGCCAGGCTACAGAGGTCTGAAAGTTATGAAAGTGCTTAACAGTAATTGATTTATGCTCTTTTATGCAAAGTGCATGACTCTAATCGATCTAGATGACACAGAAGCATTAGTCTGATCTTTAGCATGATTGATCAATAAACTCTTTCTTCAGTTGTGTTTCTGCACTTGAAAAAAATCACTCCTTTATTATTCCTAGCATCTAAATCGTATTAAACCTGCATTTCTCCGCCTCACTCGCTGTTTCTTGATTCAAAGCAGTCGAGGCCTTGGAGCCCTTTCTTCTCTGCTTTTACACTCAACACTTTCTATCAATAATTTACCTTTCTCCCTCTCTTTATCGCAGGTTTTCCAAGGCAACACCAATCCAACAGACGTTACCAAGACGAAGCTGCCCAAACCCACTCTGACGCGCTTTGTCCGAATCCGTCCTGTTTCCTGGGAAACAGGCATTGCGCTTCGTTTTGAGGTGTACGGATGTAAGATATCAGGTCAGTATAGTGCACAGCTCCTTCTATACATGCACACACGGAGCTTAGCTGTATTTGATTTTAGTCCAGATAAACACTGTTTCATAGGCTTTCATGGGAGGATTCTGCACTTATCCCAGAGACGGTGCAGTTCCCTCCTTGTTGCATCACACACTCAGGTGTTGCACAACCCCTTCCTCTCTTCAGGTGTGAAATGAAGCTCTATTTCTGAGGGTCGTCCTCCAAGGCTAAAGCATAGTGCTGCATTATAGAGGAGGGGTCCACAAAGAAGGATTATCTATTTATGGTACCCCACATTTAGATCCTCCTCATTCAGTATAGATGCCGCCAACAGCTGGCAGCTGGTCCCAGTCTATACTGTCCCAGTCCTCCCAGTAATCAGGCCTCAGCGCTCTGCTTTTGGCAAAGCTCTTCTAATCTTTGCTTTTTGTTGATCTTGTTTTAATGAGAGGTTAAAGTGTTTGTGTGTGTAAGAGAGCATGGCTGGCTTTCATATGCACATCTGTTTGCATCTCTGTGGGGTTATGGGGATGTGAGATGAATCTTAATCAGCACTCACTCATATGTTTTGTTTCTTTTATACTAGAAAAATAAGTCGAATTGTTTCATGTCAGGGTTGTTAGTTTGGGGTTAAAGTTCAGATTAGTTAGAAACCGCCAAATGTGTTTCAAAGTGCCAGTTTGGGTCCACATGTGCTGCTCAGCATGTAATAGTCAGGCACAGATCTGTGGGTGCAGCAGGGTTACAGCTGGGGCGTATGTTCCAGGCACACGACCAGAGCATAAACACATCACAGGATCCAAGTCACCACTGGGCCTCTGAACGAACGTCATCACCCCCGGGTGCTCTGGAGGCACCGCCAGATCCTCGCCGTGTTAGCAGAGATGTTACAGAGAGAGAGAGAGAGACAGAGAGGCTCATGGGGGCTGCACAAACCCAGTGACTCACTCTGCTCGACTTTCCCTCACAGCACAACTTTACTGAAAACTTTAGATAAAAGAAAGACGGAGGCTTCATGGTGCTGCTCTGCTTTTCCTCCAATGTGCAGCAACAGGAGCATCTTCAATATTTCAGCAAAGTTCGACGAGAGAGGATGTCTATGTTTTCAAATCCATAACAAGGACATTTAAGCAGCTGATATGGAGAGCATAGATTCCAGGATCCTGATTATGATCATTTTACCTAACCTAGACTGCATGTGTCTTTCCTGTATTCAGTGCACCAGAGAAACCAACCAAAACACGGACATCTGCTGCAGTGCAGATACAGGAAAATGAAAGAGTTTAAGATGCAAAGAAATGATGCATGGATGCAGCTTTAGAGAACTACTTCCATTTTGACTGGGGGTTGTTGGCTGTGAGAAACGTGGTTTTAAGGAGCTGAAATGCAGAGAGAGAGAAGCATTTGAAGCAAACTAAAATCAGGCAAAGCCAGAGTAGCAGAGTGGAGAAGAGGATGAAGCATGAGGAAAAACAGAAGATTGACATGCAGGCTGGTAAAGGTAACGGGAAAAGTAGATTGCATGTTCAGCCGTACAGTGGACCAGTGGAGGTAGAGGCAAACCTTATGACTGAATCCACCTCTGATGGGAGCGAGGACACCCAGCTTGAAGGAGAAGTTTTCTTTAAAATTCAGGACATCTGGTCCCCGAAGTGTGGAGCTATTTTTAACCATTCAAAGGTGCTTTTTCCTCTGAGCGCCCACCATCCACTTTAGATGTCAGCACCATAAATCAGACATCAGATTAGGAGCTGAGCTGCAGAACGCTGCAAGATGTTCCCCCTCACTGATCATGGCGGAGTGGTCCTGCTGATCCAGTCAGCCTCTCATTAATAAAACCGTCCTCCACCCTGTTGTTTGTAAATACACCCCAGCATATAAATATCTCTGATAAACCACTGACCCTCCACCCAAACTTTAAATATGACCCACATCACCGTCTACACGCCAACAGTCCACAAACAGCCACATGTGTTTACTCCTCTGGGTGTGTCGCTGCGTGCACGCCATCTCTGCAGCGTCTGTGATCACAGCTGATGTCGATTTAGAGCTCCAGATGAAGCAGGGAGTTCACCCAAAAGTCTAAACTCAGATCAGAGACACACACATACACTTCCAATCACACTCATATACCTTTCTCTCATATCTCCTCTCTTCAAAAGCCTTCAGATTTCAGGGTCTGAGCTTTGGAGGTTGGTTCCTGTGATCACTTCCAAACAAAGCTCTGCCAAAACTTCAAGACAGGCATCAGAAAAACTTTGAAAAAGTCTGCAGAGAATATTCTTCTGGTCGGATTTTTAAACTGTGGATCTAGTTGACTTTGACAACGAGAGGAAGAGAAGTCTGAATGAATCCTTGTCCTGCAAGCACTGTTCCCACAGCCCGCTAATGCATATCTTTGCATGAGTCCTGCAGGGCCACAGAGCTCACTTTGTCCCAAACAGACACAGACGCTGTAACAATGATGAGACTTCTCCCTCAGATGAAGCCAGTAAATATGTTATTGCTCACAGCAGGTCAGGGACTCAGTGTTTGGGGATCAAGTGTTTTAGGAAGAGATAAACAGGACAGTGTCACGCTCACAGATAATAACATTATTTAACCATCACGAAACTCTCTGAGACACTTTCTGAGATACAAACAGCAGCTAGATGTGAAAAGTTAATACAGAGTCAATGCTGCTGGATTACAGCAAAAATCATAATCACAATCATTTCATTAGTGTATGCTTTCTTAGTGCAATATCTACTTACACATCTGCATGTGCAACTGTGTGCTATGGGCATGGTGCAATATTCATTCAATCTAGCACTTTATAATCTTGGACAGTAAGGTAATGTGCAATGCAACAGGCACTTTTTCTTTTTTCTTTTTCTTATTTATTTTTTTTCTGTGCAATATTGGGCAATACACAATATAATGAGGACCTGAGCTCCCAGGCAGCAAGCACTGTGCACTTTAGCATTTGGCACTGTAGCTAGCAGTCCAGCACTCTGTGATTGAGTATGTGGTCCCCCAACCCTTCAGCTATGTTTGGTTTGTATGTCATCTATATTGTTGCTGATATGCTCTGTGCATTTTATTTCTATTATTAATGTTTGTTTTGGTTTTATGTAATGACACCAACCTGCTAATGGGACTGGGAATCGAAATTAGCCGCTGGGCTATAACCCCATGGATTTACATGTAAATGTCCATGAATGCATATTGTCCCATTTAAAAAAAATAAGAATAATAAATCCTAAATCCTTAATTGCTAATAAAAAAATTTCTAATTCTTGTCTTCTCTCCACCTGCCTCCCTCTGCTCCTCCTGCTCCTCTCCCAACCATCCTCTCTCCTCCTGTGGCTGGTACACTAATCTTAGTGCGAGCAGCATCTTCCTGGTGCTTCCAAACTTCCCAAAGAAATGGTTGTTGCTTATTAAAAATCTTTGAGTTTCTGTATTAGATGTAAAATGTTGATGAAAAAAGGTTTGAGTTTACACAAATGAAATGGATCTGAGCTGTAGCAACAGGTTGTTATCCTCAAGCTCTTGATGGTGTCAGAGCGACGGTGTCAAGAAAAAAAGGGGGAAACAAACACTGTTAATGTTTGAAAATGTATCCAAAGATACTAAAACCCGCAGAGAGTCAGAAAAGGATAAGATCAGAGAAGAAGAACAAAAGGAGAGAAGAAAGTTAGGAAAGGCGGACAGGAAACAACAAGGTTTTAGAAGAGCCGGTCCCACAGATGTTGACAGCTGTGGAGCAGAAGGTAGAGGAGTGCAGCAGCAGATAAAACACAAAGAGAAGCTGTTTCAGTGTGTCGGTGTATTCCAGTCTGCAGAGAGAGGAGGGGGTGGATCAGGGAGATGAAAAGAAAAAGCACTCCCAGAATGCAGGACGTGGAAGCACCAACCGAGAGGAGGCTTTTAATTGGCTGCCTGGAGACAAGCGCTTCAGGCAGTGGAATTAGTATGCATGAGATCTGCAGACAGAGAGAGAATAGAGGCAGAGATCACAGAAACATCACAAAGAGTTTGGGGAATTGTCCTCCTCACTTTGACTTTCAGTATTCCTGTTGCCCCTGAGTGAACCCCAAACTCAACAAACAGGGCTCAGGCATAAAAAATGATGTTGGACATCAGGGCCTCAGATACAGATCACATGGTCTGTTTCTGTGCATCCATCATCCCTGCAGGTTTGCATCAGTGTGCATCAAAAAGCTGAACACCGTCTGCCTCCCCTTTTGTCTTTCAGAGTACCCCTGCTCAGGCATGCTGGGGATGGTATCAGGTTTAATCACCGACAACCAGATCACTGCGTCATCGCATACAGACCGGAGCTGGGTACCAGAGAACGCCCGTCTGCTAACCAGCAGGACAGGCTGGACCCTGCTGCCCCAACCCCAGCCCTTCACCAGTGAATGGCTGCAGGTGGACCTTGGGGAGGAGAAGCTGGTGAAGGGGATGATCATCCAGGGAGGGAAGCACCGAGAAAACAAGGTCTTCATGAAGAAGTTTCGCCTCGGCTACAGCAACAACGGCTCTGATTGGAGGATGGTCTATGACGCTAATGGGAACAAGCCAAAGGTGAGAACTGCTTCTGTTAATCCTAACCGGTGAGAAATTGACTGTAGTGGAGGCAAAACTGGTCACAGCACAACATTTCTGATGTCTGAATGAGTGATAGCATCAAAAATATTACAACTTTATTTACAAAATGAATTTCAAAGAGCCAATCAGCTCCCTTGGGCCTTATTTTGCAGCAGCATAAGCATCATTGTTGTTTTCCACCTGATGCACTAAATTATTTTGTCACTTGGAGTTCAGTGCACAGTTGGTTGAGATTTTAATCTGCACACACCAGATGTCAGACAGTTAGTTAGGTAAGTGCACCATGACACTGCAGTCTCAAACTGCTGAAAGGGAACTTCAAAAATGAGCTTCAAATTCACAAGGACGAGACATTTGTCAGTGTAAGAAATATTCAGCTGTTCAAAGACTGTACATGAATTCCCCTCAGACTTTTCTCAGAAAATGTGGGAGCAAATTGTTGTAACAGTCAAAGTTACATCTGCACAACTTGAGATATAACTGCTTTAAGCAGTCCAGTCAAAAGTTGATAGTTCAAACTTTTTTTGCTTCATTTAAATGCCCCTTTTCAGTTGAGGTGACTCAAGAACCAAGATATTCTGATGTGCTGATCAAAGACTCTAAAACCCTTCATTAACAAACAGAGTCCATCCAGAATCTTTGGGAAAGGATTCACCTTCAGCAGTCCTGAAGATAATCTGAACATGCATGTCTGAAAACCTCTCTTAGACACATTTGAACATTGATTCTGATTATGATGCATTTGGTTAATTTTCACCAGAGCGTTTGAGCGAGCAGTAGTGAGTCATTAAGCAGTCAATTTCTGCACTGCTTTAATTTACATTAGGATAAGAATCTCAAGTCTCTGGAAGTGCTTTTCCCACATGTCTCTTGCTGCTTTGTATTCTGCCCGACACTCACCGATCAACCCTTTCAGTGGACGGTGAAAACTTTGCAGCAAAGGAGGAGAGTAAGGGGTAAACAGGCGAGGAGGGGGGAAAGAACAGAGAGAAGTGACCAGAGATTTATCTGTCAGTGTCGTTACACTCAGCTCCAAGCATGAAAACACTTCCTCACATGGACTGTGTGAATGAGCATATATACAACCATGCACACCTTCAAGAGGAGCAGCCAAAGCCCAGTCCCCAATTACAAGCAACCCTGACAGGGCATAAATCTGATCCAGATAGGCCGATGCTTGATTTATGAAAGGAGTGCAGAGGATCCATAACCCCCATCCTAGTTAGCCGCCTCTCTTCCCTCGCCTGAGAGGTTTCCAGCATCCAAGCTGCACCAGCCTCCTTCACATGATAGCATCCATTAATCCACCTCCATCAAGCTCTTTTGCACCCACATCTTCCTCTTTTCTCCTTCATTTATTCCCTTGCTTGAGGAAGATCTGAAGCAGAGTGAAGGAGCTGAAAGTTGACTTTGACAGAGGTGTGCCTCACACTGTTTTTGCCACAAGCGCCTTTCCTGACTCGCCTTAGCTGTGCTTTAGATGTCAAGATGCAAGATGAGAGAGCTCTGGTCATCCTCTGTTCTTTCCAACTTCTTTCCACCAACCAGCACAAGCCAGCCCTCCACCCTGCTTCTGGTCTTCAGATGGCAGGATAAGTCTGCCTCAGGCCATCTCCTTCAGAGAGCTGCAGCAGTCAAACATCCAGCAGTGACATTATCAGTAGAAATGCATGTCTTTGACTCACTTTTTCCTCTCTGTCTCTCTCCCACTCTTTTTATCTCTGCAGATCTTTGAAGGAAACAGCAACTACGACACTCCTGAGCTGAGGACAGTGGAGCCCCTGCTGACACGCTTCATCAGAATATACCCAGAGAGAGCCACTCCTGCCGGCATGGGCCTCCGACTCGAGCTGCTTGGCTGTGAAATTGAAGGTACTTGGATAAAATGACTCCTCATACCTACTGCGTCAGCTCTGTCTGTCTCCATGATTGAATCTTAATTTCAAATATGCAAAAACAATTTATGAAATATCGGAACTGAAAACTATCTACTCTTTTTTGTTTCAAATTTGATGTTTCTGAAAACTTGTCAGAGAAACTCAAAAAAGTAGAGGATCCACTTGGCTTGTTCTCAGCTTCAAGTCCAAATCAAGCATCCCTGATGGTATGGGGTTCATCAGAGTCCATGTCATGGGTATCTTCCACATCTGTAGAGGCTCCATTAATGCTGAACAATATCCACAGGTTTAGGAGCAACATCTGCTGACATTCAAACAAAGACTTTGTTGGGGAAGACCTTCATATTTCAGCAAATCAATGACAAACCACATTCTGACAATAGGGATTACAACAGCATGGCTCTGTAGGAGAAGAGTCCTGTTGCAGGGAAACTGGTCTGCCTGCAGTCCTGACTTGTCCCCCATTGAAAACATTTGGAGCATCATGACACTAAAAACAGGACCAAGGAGACCCTGAACTGTTGAGCAGCTGAAATCCTCGATCAGGCAAGAATAGAACAACATACGAATGTCAGACTCCAGAACCTGGTCTGCTGGGTCCACTAAGGTCTACAGAGAGCCATAAAACACATGTTTCAGTTTAACATTTAATTGGCTGTCTTTGCACTATTTTTTAATGAAACAAAGAGATTAAATGGTCTCAAAACTATCAATTTCTGTTTTTATCACTACTTTACTCAGGGCAGTAACTCTGTGTGTTCTCTTCCATGTGTTCATATATAACGCTCACATTCAGGTCAGCCATCTATCATCAGGCTAATGACAGGTCTGTATGCAGCTTCCACAGTTGGGTTATTTAGAGATGGGTCCACGGCTGTCCAGCTCCTGCTCTTTATCCCTACAGAGGGACAGTTGTCATATCAAAGCTACCCTCAGAGAAAAACACTTGTAGAGGGGATCAGATGAAAGCCCACCTGGTGGAGCAGGATTATTGCCGCCCAGCCCCCATGGTTCCCCTCACAGCCTCTGCATGTCTTTGAAAAGGCAGCACATACTTTCCTTTCTTTAAGTGACCCTTAGTTTTCTTTCACCATCTCCCTCAGAGTGGATACAGAAGCAGCTCAGCAGTGTAAGAGTGTAGCGTTCGCACTAAATGGATTTACATATTGGATTTCAGGGAGGCCCGTTCATTTGTAAGCCTCATGGTGTCCCAGCAGGGGTTTTAGTCTGATGATAATACTTGTTTTCAGTGTTAATGCCAAACACACACATTCCCATACAGAAGTAAACACTCAGAGTAACCACAGTCACCCTGCCAAACATGTGGTTACAGGCATGTATACAGAGGCACGCACACACACAGGTGCTCCTACTGCGTGCGTGCGTGCGTGCGTGCGTGCGTGCGTGCGTGCGTGCGTGCGTGCGTGCGTGCGTGCGTGCGTGCGTGCGTGCGTGCGTGCGTGTGTGTATGGAGCAGGCTGTGGTGGGAGGGCTAAATCCTCATTTCTGTGAGAGGCTCCCCTGACGCAGTACTGACCCCATCCCTGACCTTCCCCACCCTGAATCTGACAGAGGCTGATCTGTCTCATATTTCATCCAGCAGAGGGGCGACCAGCTCACTCACTTGCGCACGCATACACACACACACACACGCACATAAACACAGAGAGATTCGGTGCACCTACTTTTTCAGGCTGTTTGCCTCTGTCTGTCTATCTCTCTCTCTCTCTCTCTCTCTCTCTCTCTCTTTCCTTGTTTCCTTTTTCCTCTCTGTGTGCTGGAGAAGCCCGTTTGTTACTCAGTCATGGTAAACACAACACACACGCACACACACACACACCACAGTGTGGCTGTGCAGCAGCGGAGCGTGGAGTGGATCTGAGACAGTGCTCACATCCAAGTACAGTGGGTCCATAATGACAGGACAGTACGGCAGCCAGAGGCCCTGCCTTTTGTCAGTCTCTATCTCTGCACTAAGAACCAGGCCATAGATCCAGCTCTATTTTTACACCTACACCTCCACAGCATGATCAAGAAAAAGACAACTTTACTGAAAACTTTTACAGGCTAAAGACAGAAAATTGTCTTTGGCTTGTGTGTAAACAGAGGCCATAAAAACACAAGCTAGCACGTTGGATGAAGAGACCAATTTTAAAGCGTCTGTAAGGAGTTGTTTGATGTTCATGAAAAAGACTTTCATAGATTCTCATGATATCTAAAAGCAAACAAGACCATCAGTGATAAGATTAGTGAATTTTAAATACCCAAAACCATTGCAGGGGGTAGGTGTCAGTAAAGCAGCCAATGAAACAGTATTTTTATAGTGAACAATATATTTGACCATCAATAGTCTGCAGGTAAGAGTCATTACTCGAGCATGTATAGGACATGAAATGCAAAGATCGCTCCATCCATAGAGGGCACCAGAGTTGACACGACCCCAAAGTTCCTCACTGAAGCTTTAAAATAATCAACACACTTTAAAAAACACAACTTATTTATAAAAACAGGGGAAACAATAAAGCAACAAAAACAGAGTGTACCAGGCGTCTTAAATTCGGTGCATGGATCAGGGTTTTTGGTTGATTTTTATTAATTGTCTGAGGAACTTTGTGCTACATTTGGTAATCTGAAAAGCTCAGTACAAATAAAGTTTGGTTGATAGACGGATTGGTATATTGAACACATATTTAGCTGAGTGCCCCATCAGTGCTGAACTACTTATTCTAAATCTGATGTTTAATGTGTTTGCACCGTTTCTCTCTCCTTCTCTGTATCTACAGCTCCCACTTTACCGCCGACCACCATGGCACCAAGCACCACTCCCTCAGACGAGTGTGACGACGACCAGGCGAGCTGCCACAGCGGCACAGGTGATGACTACGACGTGACAGGTGCTAACATCGCCCTCATGAGACTGCAAACAAACCCCCCACTCCCTCCTTCTGCTATGGCTCATGCTCAGTCTGCTCCGCTCTCTCAGCTCTGTCTCTCTGCAGCCGTTTGATTTGACGGCTGCAGCGAATCTGACATCCATTGTGCACACTTGCAGGCACATGTGCATGCACCCACGTGCCTGCTGGCATGTTCAAAGCTCTAATTAGCTGCACCTGCAGCACCTCCTCCCTCAGTTTAACCTCTCTTACCTCCACCTCTGCACACTCAGAAGAGGGCTCGCTAAATGTGCACGTCCACACTGAACTCATGCTTCTGCACCTACCTACAATCAGCTCCACATCTCTCTCTCTCACTCTCGCTTTCTCTCTGTACTTTTATCTCACACCTGCACCTTTTCCCTCACTCCTCCTGGCCTCTTTTCCCACTAACCCAGTAACTCTCTGAAGCTGCACTGCTGCCTGCACTCCCCATTAACCTGCAGTCTCCAATGAAGCGCATGGCACCGTCTCAGTCAAGTGCAACATGGAGACAATTTGAAAAAAGGAAAGAAGGACAGCAGTTCTGATCCGCTCAGATAGCATGAGATATTAGTTATCTAGAGAAGTAATGAACCATTTTTAACTCTTGCAATGCTGAAATAATCATGTTAATATATCATGTTGTGATAGGTGGTGCCATCATGCCGGAGACCACTACTGCTGAAGTGGATACCATCCCAGGTGAGCAAATTATAGTTTTCTATCCACTGTAGGTTTTGGAGTAGCATTTAACAAGCTTTTCTTGCACTTTTTAAATGTACATGCTAAGCCCAACATTGTTGTGAAAGTTGTTTTCTTATTTTTTTATTTTTTGTGAAGGAATCTGAAATCTTACTCAACCTCACCAAAAATGGTCACTGTGGAATTAATCAAGCAAATACTGCAGTGTTAAACATTTTTCAATCAATTTCAATTAGTTTCACTCACTTTCATCAAAGAGGGGTTATTATTTTTTTGTAACAAGTCAGATTTGGTGGTATGGGTCTGCCATGAAGGATGCACAGCCTTCCAGGTGTGTTTGATGAATGAACGCCTCCCCCCTTTGTTCGACGTACATACGTGAAAAACTAAGGCAGGAGAGCATGAGCAAAGACCTCTGAGTACAGAATAAAGAAGGCATTGGTGGCAAAACAAATGACATATATATCAGAGTGCACCTTCTCTCTGTTTTATAGTGGAGCATGAAAAGCCTTAGCAGGGAGAGCAGCAGCAGCAGAGATACCTGGGATACAGAGTAAAGAGGACATCAGTTACAAAACATATGACATATACTGTACATATTTAGAAGAGCCCACGTCTTCTTTGTGTAAAGTGTAAAAATGAAAAACCAGGGCAGGCAGAGTGTTAGCAAAGACTGAACAGCTGTGCAGGCTTAGGAAAGCTCATGGCAGTCAAGCTTATTAGAAATAAAAGGCTTAGCGTGCTTGGGAGTGTAAAGATTGGACTCTGTAGTGAAGGAAAAGATGATGTGGTGTGATGAGTCCAGATTCTCTCTGTTTATCAGGAGGCATCAGGGTTAGAAGTGAGGCAGACAAGTGATGCCCCCGTTATGCCTAGAGTCTACTGTACAAGTCTGTGGAGGCGATGTTATGACCCTGTGTTGCTCCAATTGGTTGGTTTTTAGTTTTGCAACACCAAGCACTCCAAAAGAGGTCAGCTGACGATCAGTACACTCACTGAATGACTGGGTTTTTCCATCAGTGGATTTCTCCTTCTTCTCTGATGAAACGGGTATTTCCCGAGATGACAATGCTGAAATTCTTCAGGGTTAGATTGTGAAAGAGTGGTCCAGGGAGCATGAGAAAACCTTTTCTATTCAGAGTCCAGACCTTAATCTGACCAAGAACCTTTGGGATGGACTGGAGAAGTCTGACTCTCCCTTCATCAGTCCAAGACTGTGGTGATGAATTGATGCTGGACAGAAATAAATATAGAGACATTGCGTATGCTTATCCACATGCTGCCACAACAAATGTGTGCTGTAATCTAAGTCAAAGGCGCTCCAATGAAACATTAGTGTGTAACTTTTTGAGGCTGCAGAGTAGATAAATGACTCATCCTGGAGGGTCTGTAATAGTTTAACATCCAATGAAAAGCTTTCTCATGTTCCTTCAGAGCAGGACCTTAGAGCTACTTTGTGGTTTATGATTCATCCTTGTGTTTGTGTTTGCGCATCTTCTCACAAACACTTTTGCAGCTTCTTGCATTTAAAGGAATCACAATTCTGCAGAATCAGACAGAACTGAGCTTGGGGTTTGAGATTATACAGAAGCTGAGTAAAAATTCAACTTCTCTGTGTTTCTGGGAATTAATTTCTGTACAAAAAGTGCTCCTCTGCTAATGATTGCCAGCTTGTGGCGGCCTCTCCTCTGATGTGTGTCTGTTATTAAGGCTGATGATATGGCCCTGGGAGGCTCCCACTGACAGGGTGAGGGAGGTTGTGTGATGCAGGGCTGGCTGATGATTAGCACTGCTGCTCTGCTGCTGCCTCCTCAGCATAATCACTAATCACCGGGCCGACACAGACACGCACTAAACACACACTGAACACACAACACAAAACAAAGAAGCTAAATGCAAATGACCACAGGAAATGAGCTGTGCTTTAGGGTCACATGGACACACATGCACATATATACTCAGACTCGCACGCACACACACACACACACATCGAGCTGCCTCCTATAGCGGACTGATGAGGCAGCAGCCAGCTGAGAGGCTCTGCCCCAGACTGACCTTGGCTAATGGGCCATAGGCTCCGCCCACCCCCTTCACTCCATCAGCTGGCTCTGTGGTCTGTCTGCAGTCTGCAGGGGCACCAGATATTAGAATAAATGAGAGCTGAGGTGCAGGTGTGTGTTTGCATACTTGTATGTATGGACATAACTAATCATTTGCGGTACACACTTATCAGTCTGACTTTTCATTTCAAGAGCCTGGAGCGTTTTGTGCTTATCAGTTCTGTGTGTTTGCGGGAGTTAATGTCTGTTTGAGTGTTTTTGCCCTTTGCACTCTTATCTCCCAGGACGTGGTTTCCGTTGGCATTCGTTAAAAAGGAAAAAAAAAAATCTCTGTCTTTTCATCAAACGGCCAAGTGAGTCATGTGCTGCTCATCTCCTCCTGAGCTGGTTGGTAGCCTTGGTCAGAGCCTCACAAGACTGGAAAATAAAAACTCAAAGCCTGTTAATTGGAATTGGGATGTCTGGATGAAAAAAGCGGCTTGGCGTCTGAAATGTGGTTCCACATGGGAATTCAATCCTTTGGGTTGAATATCTACACAGAGTCATTGCTGGTTAAAATCCTCCCATTATTAAAGGGAATACTGGCCCTGTATTCAGACTTTTGGAGAGCTGCCTCCTTGTATCTCGAAAGGCATCTCATACTGGAGTTTAAGGCCATGGCTAACGTCCCAAACATCGCGCTCCCTTGTTTGCTTTGGAAGTCTTCCTTTATCCAATTTGAAAAACACTAAAGCCTGAGCTCCCACACGTTTTCTTGCCTCTGTTGAGACGCGGCGTGTGTTTGTGTGGGACTGCATTGTTGGAAAGAGGCCCAGCACTGTTACCATAGCTGTCTCTAAAACCTCAAGTCCCCACTCTCATTAAAATCCTGATCTCTCTGCAGGTTGCTATGAACATTTTTTACCAAGCAGGCGCCATGTCCAGATTCCACCTCATTCTTCTCCTGTCTCTGTCTTTGTGTTGTGCAGTCTTTACCCTCATTTATACTCTACAATGTGCATTCAAAGAAGTCCTTAATAGTGACTAAGAATAAGGTCAGCATGAGGTGTTTCCTGACATGTTGGAGCCTTAACTTCCCCTCTGTCCCAATCTGTTGCTTCCTGCTGAGATTCCTGCTCTCTCATAGATGTGATTCTGTAAGACTATGTCCCATGGTCCTTTGCTGCCCTCTAGTGCTTGTATCTGATCAGAAGCGTGAATTCTGTGCCTAAGTGTAGCCTGCAGTCCTGTGATGACCAGCCTCTGGGCCATCGTTTGGTTCAAGCAGTTTTTCCTTCTTTGTAATTATGAGGCTGATAAAATAGAATCTACTTTGACACCCTCTTGACTTTTCTTTTCAGCTTTTCTGTGGTTTGCCTGTGACTTTGGCTGGGCCAATGACCCATCTTTCTGCAGCTGGACATCAGAGGACACCGGCACCAGGTGGCAGATTCAGTCCAGCGGCACCCCGACCCTCAACACTGGACCAAACATGGACCACACAGGTGAGACAGAGCGCCGTGTGGCCAAACAAAAAAGTGTGAAAGCCCCCACCCACAGTTGAAAGATTTCACCTTTATGCTTTATTCTAACAGGTGGACCAGGGAACTTCATCTACACCCTGGCAACAGGTCCTCAAGAGACAGAGGTGGCACGGCTTGTCAGCCCGGTGGTCAGCTCTCCTGACTCAGACCTGTGTGTGTCCTTTTGGTACCACATGTTTGGCTCACACATCGGCACTCTGCATATCAAACAGCGTAAACAGACAGTCGACGGTCCAGCTGACATCCTGCTGTGGACTGTAAGTGGTCACCAAGGCAACCGCTGGAGGGAGGGCCGCGTCCTTGTGCCGCGCACCAACAAACCCTATCAGGTAACTCGGTCTGCCTTTTCAGACTATTATGTGTCTGAGTGTTTGGTTCGATATTGGAGCTTCTTGAGTCAAAAGGAAGGTCCTCTAACAGTCACTCTGGGCCTCCTCTCAGGTGGTGATTGAAGGTCTGGTTGATGGAAAGAGCTGGGGAGACATTGCTGTGGATGACATTAAGGTTCTCAATGGGCTCAGCATGATGGAGTGTAAAGGTGAGAACCATCCTCTTCCCACAGCTTGTATGTCTTTGACAGTTTTTCTCTTTTCTTGGATATAATCAAATTTCTCTTTGAACAGACCCTGATGTGCCCACGGAGCCGATGCTGCCCGAGGACCGCCTCAATGAAATCCGTGAGTCCTTTCTCATAGACTCTTTATTTTGCATTACACCTTTAGGTCCTTCAGGCTTTGTCTTTAACCATGACATGTTGGCCTGTTGCCTCTAAATGAAGCATATAACTGGTTCTCTATGACCGTCAAGGCTCCACCAATCACAGTTCAGCAAACTACAGCGAACACTGGAGACTGCTGCTTTGTCTAATGAAGTACTTAAGCGTTTAAAATTTTGACATACACTTTGAAGTGCTATAAAGTGAGGTGATGTATTGTGTTTAAGTTTATCCAGGACAGACTTTAAAGAGGACAGGCTGCAGAAAGAATAAAACCGGCCATGAATGACGCCATGTTTTTCCCAGTTACTATAAACCTCTAACTGTCCTCTTTTTCTTCTGTCTCACCTAGTTGAGGACATCACAGAGTATCCAGACTTTGTGGAGACCAACCAGATCAGCGGGGCGGGCAACATGCTGAAGACGCTTGACCCTATCCTCATCACCATCATTGCCATGTCGGCCCTCGGGGTCTTTCTGGGTGCCATCTGCGGCGTGGTCTTGTACTGCGCCTGCTCACATGGAGGCATGTCAGACAGGAACTTATCAGCCCTGGAGAACTATAACTTTGAGCTTGTGGACGGCGTGAAGCTAAAGAAGGACAAACTCAATGTACAGAGCTCGTACTCAGAGGCGTGAGCTGGGACTGAGTACCTCATGTGACTGTACTGCGTGCAGAGCTCGCAGACTGGCTGTAGGCATATCCTCTGGTGTGTGAGCGAGCAGGCAGGCTCATGGACTGCCAAGACCCTCAACTCACTGGACGAGGGGCAGGTTCAGGAACCAATGGGAGGTTTGGACTGACCCACGCTTTTACTCAGGAGCTGCAGTAACAAGAACCTACCAGTAGGGGACACTGTGTACAAATAACTACAGAAAAAAATATGTACAGACGATTCAGATGATATTTTAATTTTCTATTATGATTTTCATTCATTTTTACAATCGGATGCTGGTGTTGAGACCAATTTATTAATAATGTTTAAAGTATTTATCGTTTTCTGGGAAAGAAATCTTTTTTTTTTTTAATCTCTCCATGAAGGTCGTTTATTTTGGACTTTTAAAGAGACGTATCAAAAATCTAAAATGAACCATGTCCGGCAAAACTGTAGATTTGCCCCTTGTCGTGGCATACAGGGTGTGCCCATTACCCATAAACCCTTTCCCCTTTGACCTCCATCGATTAAAGTGAGGGTCCCATCATGGCAATGTATGGTTCTGACAGTGCCTTTAGTCTATTTCAGTTTGCCTCTTCTGTTACTGGGTGATTTTTACTGTACATGGCTTCAGTCAGGACAGGAAACAGGGGCACATTATCGTATGAATATCTGCAAATCAGGACTTCAATCTGTCATGGCGCTCTGTTAGGTTGGCTGTTGTTGTTTTCTGTCCAAAAACCACACACTGTAAATAAGTTTTAATATATTTTATTGCCCTTTTTAAAGAAAGTAAAAAGGAAAAAAGCTGCAGTATCCCTTTTTTGTGGGTTTGTGTGTGTAAATACAATCTTCTGACTGTTTCGTGGAAGGTGCAGTGTTATGGTTTTTCAGTTTCTCTGCTCAGATGAGTCAGCTTTTTGTGATATTTCAATGTGCATTCAAGCCACCTGTGATCCAAACACCCACTCTCAGACAAATGGATCAAAAAGAGGACATAAAGAACTCTTTCCATGAAATCTCTGCTCTGCATTCAGCAGGTCACTTTAGTATGATCAGACTCACTCATGTCAGAGGCAGAGGAGGTCTGCCAGCATACCAAAAACCCAACAGTCATCATCATCATCATTATCATCATCGTGGCTTTGCTTTAGCTTATCACCTCCCAACGTCACTGTGGATTGTTCACTGCAGACTGCAGCTTGAATGCACTTTGTTACTGCTGCCCTCATTAGAAGAGGGTGAAATACACTAACTGAAGAATGGTGCTATCATCACTTTACCCTGACACCTCCTCTCTTTAAGAAAAGCCCAGTTTGTATTGTTCACATGCTGTATTGTAGCTTCAGGCCTCTCAGAGCGCCGCAAAGAGTTTTACGTGTTTCACGTGTAGCAGCCATAACGTTGTGATGTCAGAGCTGATGTCATTCAGATGGGACTGTGGTACAGCGAGGGATCGAGGGGCGTCACCTGAATCAGGTCATCTGGCCTCCCCTCTGTGGCTTTACCAAAGGAAGGTCGCCCCCTTCTGGTTCACGGGGGTTCTCATATACACTTCAAAACAAGAACAGCAGATTTCCCATGATCCTTCACTCAGAAAGAACTGACTACCTGCTTCACCCTGAAAAAGACGGGTGGTCAAGATACAGTCTTTTTTAAAATCTCTTTATAAGCTCAAAGAAGTGCAGACGTCACTTCATCGTGGACTCTTGAAGCCTCTGCGGAGACTCGTGTTTGCAGACGGATGTTTGGGACAGTCTCACAAATCCAGAAACGCTGAGTGACTCAGAGTGAGATTGACAGTATCAGGACAGGAGAACCCAGAGGACCCACAATCAAACTTAGACCTGGGTCCTGAGCAGGGTGACGTCTTTTTTTACATCTGTGTGCTTTGTATGTCGTGCCGTGGTGAACACATCTCAGCTTTGTTCATTTCAGAAACCGACCTCCCGCTCCTCTCAACCTCTACGCCGGACCGTCTGCCGTGCTCTCAGCTGTAGAGGACTGTAGCTCCAGAGCCGTCTGCTGAAACTAGAGAAAAAGGAAACTGTAGCTTGGACTCAAGAGAAACAATGTTGCACTGATAAATATATTTAAGAGGTTTATGTGTTTATAGCGTTCATTTGCAAAAAAAACAGAAGAAAGTCAAAAACACAAAAAACACACCTTCATTTCTGTCATCTTTTTATATATATATAGTTTCAGATTATGTGATATAATTCTGAAATGTAAAAATATTGAGATGTTTTCATTATTGAAAAGGCAAATAGATTTTCCAACAGTAATGTCCCTTTCCCACACATTTACATTGCATATTAATGCTTCGTTTTGTACTGTCATTCAAATTTTGTGCAGATTTTGTTCTGTTTTTTACAAAGAACAAGAAAACAAGACTTTTATTTTCAATACTGCTTCTGTAATTTGCTGTTGTAGGAAAAAATGAATAAACAGCAAGGCCTTAAAAAAGAAAAAGGAATACTGTTGTGGTCTAGATTTACTCCTTATTTCTCTTTTTATTGTGCCCCAGTCAGATCCTTGTCACAGCCCTGCTGTGGATGTTCACCTGCAGCCTCGCTGTCAGCTCTCTGCAGCAGCTTTTGTTGCGGTCATCACTTTGTAAACTTTATTACAGCAAAATGCTGACATCAACAACACAGGTCTGTCTAGACTTTGTTTTCAGCCATCACTTTCTAAGGACACGAATAAAAAGCTTCCTATGAAGGAGGAGGATCAGATATTTTCAGATAAACTGTTTTGGTCACAAAAACCAGAGAAAAAAAAATGATGAGCTGATTTATATTTAAAAGAACATTTTAAGGGATGATCGTACAGCTGGTTGGAGTGGTTAAAAGTAAAGTAGAAGTAAAGTAAAAGTAAAGTCTTCATAAGTAGAAGACCAAATTTCCTTTATTTTGGGCTTTCCTGCCCCCAAACACCAGAGTGAAGGATCCATCCTTACTCTGGGGGAGTGGGGGAAGCTCTGGATGCACAGGTGTAGTCTTTGAATAAGTTTTAGTGGTGTGGCTCAGGCCTCCAATGTGCAAACTAACCATAATTAACACTGCTCAGCCCTTCTTCATAAAGATCCTAAAATGCAAAGGGAGACTACAACAACACAGCCCACACATGAGTCAGGTGTACCACCTATAGTATATTGATTCTGTTCTCCTACAATAATGGCTGATGAAGACATTAACTTTTTTAATAACAAGTCATCTGGAAGAACAGAACTCAAAATAAATCAACAAAGATGAGGAGGACTGTCAGAAACTCATAGGGTCCTCTATGCTTATAATTCCAAGACAGGAAGCAGAGGTCTAAGAGGCTGTGTGCGGTATTTGTGTTACAACTAACAAGTTACATATACACTGTGTATAAAGTGACACTGGTTAGTACAGGACCTGACAGTTAATGTCACTGAGGGCAAAAAAATATTAAAACCAAGTCAACAAAAACCCTCATTAGTACTTTCAGTGTCATCAAGAGAACAGGTAGAATGTCAGGTAGAGTAACTTAGGCAGTAAAACATCATGCAGGTCAGGTAGTGATGGCTTATTTATAATATTACGTGATGTTACCTACAATGGTGTTAAAAGTTGCGACTGACATTTAATCACCCCAACTTACTTTAGATCATGTTGGCTTAGATTGATGTTACAACATACAAAGTGATCTTATGTTGAGTGACGTGACATTGATTGAGTTAAAGTTGAGTAATTTTACTGATTTAAGGTCTTGTAATGTCACTTTTACCTGACTATGGAATTTAATCAGAGGTAGAGGAACATTGTTTTATGCCAAGAATCTCGATGGGACTTTACACTTAATTTGTTGTAAAAAATGACTTAGTATCTTATGACAGTCTAGTTTATATATAACATTATGTTGAGTTGTGTGACTTCGTATAACATGGTGTGACCTGACACAACCTCACCTTTAGGTAAGTTACCTCACATGACCTTATCCAGTACCCTATACTCTCAGAGCACCCCCCACAGGATTCCTCAAGGGACTTGGTCGAATGCCTTTACCAAGTCCAAGTTATATTCAGTTTTGAAAAATTGTTAATATGTTGAGCCAGACCAAGTCATCAAGTCTCTTTGCTTTAAGCCACATCACCTTCAGTCATTAACTTATGTATCAACCTTGCTGGGAGGAGTATATCCTTACTCACTGTGGTTCTCTTTTGAGGTGAGGAGACATTCATTACCTGGGAGATCTGGAGCACCTGGGTCCATAGCTCCACCCATGATATAAAAGCCTTTGTTTCCTGGTTCTCTCTTTCTCTCTTTTGACCACCACTGCACATTGGTTTAGTTTGGACATAATCACACACCATGCTCACACACATACACTATACTCACCCCCACACACACCCAGGCTTACATTATACATGCTAGAGATACACATTTCTTTGTATTATTGACTTAAAAACATTATTGTTTAGATAAATACTTACATTTTTTGGGCAACTTCTGTTCCGTTAGTTCTTTTTGTTATGCTCCATGAGCCGGGTCATGACACTTATCTGCCACTAAAGTAACCGTCCAGGTATTGTGATGTCTGCTGTTGATCTTGAATCCTGTGAAAACTTCTGCAGTTATTTCAGCCATCCATCTGTCTCTCCACTTTCTTCAACATGAATTTTGGACCTGAGTTTTCGAACTGTTTGACAGGCTGAGATCCGTATCAGGGTTATACAGGGGGGGACAGAAATGATGTTATTTCAGCTGGTTATGAAAGTAGATTATATCCAGGAGAACATAAACTGCAATTGGATTTATAGTCTAATGTATTTTTTAAAACAAAAGCATATTAGCAATCATCAGAGGTGAATAAGACTGTCAAACATTTGCATATCTTACTCGTTGATAAACAGCAGTAATACTCATCTCCCATTATCATACACAAGCAAATTAGACTCCTAACATTATTTTCTCTGCATCTCCTTCACACGCAATTAACTCCAAGAGATTTGTATCCCAGCAACTCCATTAGATCCTGTTTATCTGCTCTAAACCTGACCGGATAAACATTCACAGAGATATTAATGAGTTAGCAGAACCAGACAGTGAAACATCAGCCATCATACACATTTATTTATTAAAGAACAAAAACATTAAATTATACATAAGTGCAAAGACAGGGGACTAAAGAAGTTGCTCAGGGGTTTTATCGTGTAACATACAGGCTGAAATAAAACACTGAGAAGAAGAAGGATTTTTTTAAACTTTATTTTTAATGAATTATTGAATTAAGTCAAACTTTCAGAACAGGAGAGGGAAATTTTTACTTATCTGTTGACTCTGGCAGTGAGATAATTATGCAGCATGTAAAACTGATGCCACACACTTTTTACAGCTTATATGGTCTTAGCTTGTTTTACATTACTTGTTTCTAAAATGCATTAAAGGTGGTCTTATTTTTAAGTACCAAAACAAAAATGTACAAATCTTCCTTGTGTTGATTTAAGCAGGTAGCTCCTTTTGAAATGTTAATTGTGAGGCCTTAATGTATAATTTGAATCAAAACCAACTTCACAGTTCCGACAGGTCAGTAACAGGTGATATTAAAGGCCCAATGTGTAAAACAAATAAGAAAACAATCATTAAAATTATTTTTCAATTTAAGATTTCCACTTTTTATAGAGTGAGTTTCATTTTTGCAGAGAAAAATATGTTTCTAAAGAAAAAAGGACCAAATGCTCTGGCAGCTTTAGTGCAGTTTCAATCACGTCTGTAGTTCTCTATTTGACCACTAGTCGGCTCTGTTGAGTTACATTAGTAACTGTGTTCCCTGGATCTCTAACATGGTGTGAATTAAAGTTACCAAACAAGAAGTTAACACTTCTGTGTTTCAGGCAGTTTCATGAATCAAGTTAATCGTATTTTTATGGCGTACTTTGTTTTTAACCTCAAACATTATTTTAAGTGACGAACAGGTGAGTCTTTGAAAACCAATCATAACTGCAGCAAATGAACAGCATAATTCGAATACAACCTTCAGACAGGGTTGACTATTTCTGAGGTTCCATTTTGGCTGAATGGACGTTCCATGCATGTCCAATACACATTCCATGTACAGAGGCTGCATGTCTCAAGTGGGTGGGCAGGGTTTGATTCCAGCTGCCTGGTTATCTGCTCTATCTTCCATCCATATCCTTTAAAGCAAAAGCAGAAGGGCTGATAAGTATGTTTAAAACATTTGAATTAGTAAAAAGGAACTCTCTCTGCATTCAGTAAATATCTGATTATTACAAAAAACAGAGACTCACTTTGATACTGTTCTGATTTTGAGAGTGTGATAGAGTCACCTTTGATTTAATCGAAGTTTCTGTGTTTTCCTTCTAGATCAGGGTCAGTTTATTAACATCTACCTGAATTTATTAAATCAAAGACACAAACACCAGGTGATCTATTCCCCAAGCTTTTATTCTGAAATATTCATCATCACTGTCTCTTCTCTTTTCTTGATTTAATTCCTTAAGATAAATTCCAAGGCAGAAACGGGAGAAAAAAATCACCTTTTTTTTATTTGTCACCTATCATTTTATTAACTCTTAAAAAAAATTACTTTTTCTCATTTATGGTTCAAAAAGATGATAAATCTGACCCTGATACTTCCAAACAAGTAAAAAAAAAAAAAAACAGTGAACCTTTATTCTGCCAAGACAAACTCAACTGTCCTGACAGAATAAAGGTTCACTGAATTTTTTGTTTTTGTTTTGTTTATTTGTTTGTTCTAAGAGAAATTTGAGTTTAGTGTCAGAAAAAAAATAGGAATAAACAACAGATACAACAGATAATGTGAAAAAATATTTTTATTGGAAAATTTAAAATCACAGCACAGCCTTAAAAAAACAGTCTAATTCAACAACTCTCATTTAAAAATGTCCTTCAAAAATACCTTCATGAAAATATGTCCCTGTATTTCATTCATTCACTCTTTTTAGGTATATTTCCATTACGATGCAGTGACACAATCAGACCACAGGGAAGCACTTATAGTCACAGAAGCAGCAAATGTAAGTTAAAGAGATATTCCGGCGTAAAATTAAGTTAGGGTCAAACACACCGTAACACTGAGTTAGACACCCCCTTGAAAGATGAATGTTGCTGACTGTCTGCCTTTCTAGTTATATCAACTTCAGCAACGACCACAGGCAATACACAGTGGTCTACCTCTCTATGCGCAAATCTCAGCCCAACCTAAAAGCTCTCGTAGCCACAAATAATGCTCAGAACAGCACCTAACTTCATCAACAGTACATATAGGGTCCTGGCCATAGTACAAGCTATCAAAAAATCTTTTTAGTTTTGCCTGGTTTCTTTAGCAAAGAGACTAAACACAACTCACTGACTCTCCTCCAGCAGCTGCTTGTTTGTGGGGGAGTCCTGACGAGTTTATCACAGAGAGCAGTGGATCATTTCCTTGTAGTAATAATCATCATAATAATCATTTTGCATTGCAGACGCCATAGTTCTTCAGCCTTAGTGTCCCGGTCTGATTAACAAAAATGCATTTGCATTTTTAGAATGTACCTGCACTTCTGGCTTCACAAATAAAATTAAAAATAAATAATTCGAACTTCAATGGCTTTTTCTTTTTCAAAACTGATCATTCTGTGACTTCATTCAAATGTAAAAGAAAAAGCCATTTGAGATTTAATTTTCAAAATATGCCCCATATGTACCAAAACTCAATTGGAAATTTCAAATCTGAAAATTTAAATGCATTTGCAGTATGGCTTTTTCGTTCCAAGGTCAAAACTGCATTATTTGACTCAGAAACAAAACTAAGAATAAATAATACAATCTGCATTTTCATTTTCTTAATTGAGCTACACATTTTGTAACACAATTCAAAAGAGAAACCAAACGGGCAATTGTTTTTTCATTTTCATGTCTGCCTGTCGCTATCTGAACGGTGCAACTGTAAATTAACTTCACCTTAAAAACTTTATTTGAACTACCGATCGAATTCAGAAACAAGCTGGTGATGTGACAGGCTAGCTAGCAGGAGGCTCCAGAGTTAATGCTGAGGCATTTGCCAGAGCTCCTACCCAGCACAGTGAGACCTTTTGGGCCACAGAGAGCGCCACCACCCGGTCAAAAGTATGGTTCTCTGACCTTTCAAAGTATTAAGGGGGGATGCTTTGGAGATGTGTGGCCACCAATTGTGCACCCTTCACAGGCCACAGAGAGCACCACAATCTGGTCAAAATTATGGTTCTCTGACTTTTTACAGTATTGTGAACATTGCGCAAATTTCCCGGGCCACAGGCAAAGGTCTGACAGAGAGACCAACACAGAGCCTTTCCTTTCAGCTGGTGAGGCCGACGCTGCAGAAACAATCCAGGCAGCAGAAGACAAGATATCTTCATGGAGGAGATTGTTAGAGGAGAGATTAAGACATCCTGTCATACCTTAGTCATTGTTCTGTTTTAAGCTAACTTTAAGCTAGAGCTATAATTAGCAAATATGGTAGTTTGGGGCAACATGTCTCAGTCATTTTGGGGTCAGTTGTCACATGTTTAAAAGGGATTCAAGTTAACATAGAGAGTGCTTATCAGCAGTTGTCATATTGAAAATTTGACTTTATTTTTACTGAGAAAGGAGTGGTTTAAAGGAGAGGAGAAAGCGAGAAACCATGGTCAGGAATTTCAAAAGAAAAACAGAACAAGGCAGTGCAGTACCTGACGTGATGCTGAGGGGAGTCAGGCAGGTGACCCTAGCTAATAAATCAATCTGGACTACAATAAAGAACTTTAATGTCGACTACCATACCTTGGCTTGGAACTGTAAAACATTCACCCCAGCCGAAATACAGAGTCAGACGGCTCTCCAAACTCCAGAGCATGTTGCACTATATTTTGTTAACATTTGTTCAATGACTTTTTCTAGCTCAATGATAAGCATTTTCTGTGCCTGACTTTGATGTTCACTTTCATGTAAAAAAAAAAAAAAATGAGAAAAACAAAAATTTTGTCCTTGTTTTATTAGCTGCAAAATCTACTGTGACATCTTACCTCATATAGTGTGACAACTTACCTGATGGTGGGGCAACATGTCATATGTTCACAATCTTTATTTGATTGCTTATAACTCTGCACTGACTCTAGATATGAAAATGACATGAATATAAAATATATACCTGAGACTTTGGTCTTTTATCTGGTACACATTTTGTTTATGTATGATTTAATAATTCCAAGAAATATATAATAGTATAAAAAGTGTGACAACAAGCCCCGGTCTCCCCTACACACTGCACCCACCTGCAGGCTCTGACCTTAGGGTTTAAAATACTGTCCCATTGAATGATGAAAACAAGCCTAGAAAACAATTATAAACAGAATACTGCTGCTGCAGTAAAAGTTTGAAACAACATGAGCCATCTGACTGAAATAATTACAGTTTGGTCAGAATTAAAAGTAAAACAGCAACCCTAATATTTCATCCTGACTCTCCATGCCTGGGATTCTCCACAGGGTAAACATCTCCAGGCTCAGGTGATCAAGTTTCATCACTCAAAATATCAGTTGTTGCGGACATCATTCTCACACCACGCTCTCTATAATATGAAGGGTTTGTTAAAAAAAGAAGAGACACTCTGCCAATGTGCCTTTGAGAAGTGAAAGTCTGGAGAAGATGTCTTCAGTCTGCAGCAGTGACTCTGCAGGCTGGGATGGCTGCTACTAATCTAAGTGGATCCACTGAGAGTTTGTGTTTTTGGCTCTGATTGTTAATTTTTTGCTCTCATTCTCTAACTGTGTCTCTCTGTATTGGGTTCTCCGTCACACACTGCTCTCCACCTGCCCCCCAGCTGTGCCACCCCTCCCACTACCTCTCCGTGTGGTGGGAGTCTGGTAAACACGAACGGGACCTCCTCATTGGAGCCACACGCCATGGCTTGAGCAGGGCAGACTTTTAAATCCTGAACGACCCCCAGCTGAGCTTCCTGGAGGCTCAAAGGAACTATGTCAGGGGTTGCCCGTACTACCTTCATGCTCAAAGTAATCACCATCTGCCGCACCTGGGGTTAACGACTCATCCCAGCATCTCATCTTCATCCAAGTCCTCCTCGTCTCACCCTCACTGTTGCCTCTATGACTCCAGTCCGGGTCAACACTCCCCTCATATATATATATATAAATATATATATATATATATTTATCTCGTTTGATACATTAGATGTTTTTGGAAACTGATAAAAACCACAAGAGGGTATTTTCATCATTTACTGGACTGTATTCAGGTGTTATTTCAGTAATTTGTTGATCATATTATCATATTGATTTGATAGAGGTATCATAAAAGTATGTATTAAATATGACACAAAAGGAATTAAAGGGTTAATGATGATACAGATGACACTGGTAAGTTCCATAGGCATCAGTCTCAAGCCAAAAAGCCAAACTCAGCTGACAACTTTGTTTCATTGTTTTAGGAAATATTTTTCATCTGTTAAACACAAATACACAATTCTTTCCATCCCTGCAGGCTCCCTGAGACAGCTCAGACCACTCCAGTCCAGCCAACGACATGTTCAATGAATCTGATCCTATCCTTGGTCCTTCCACTATGGAGGCCAGTTTCCTTGAGGAGGACGAGGAGGTGCAGGGTGGAAACAGAGAAGGGGAGGAAGAGTGTCTAGGCCTTCCCCCCCTTTCACCTCTACCTCTCACCCGTCTACAGGAGACTCTGTGGAGCCGCTGAGCTCCAGCAACATGCTTTTCAAGGTGGGTTTGTATTTCTTTTGCCATCAGATGGACAAGTGGCTTACAGAGCGGCTGTAAAGTCTTCACAAACAGGCAGAAACTTAGAGTGAACTTGTTCCTGTTTGATGAGGCCTAGACGATATCAAAAAACCCAATGTAGGTCAAAGGGCATGGCCATGGCGCCATTTTCACTTTGATGTTTTTACACCATAAATGAGCCACAACACTTTAAGGCAATCACAAGCACCAGCCATCACAACTGTCCTGGCTGCCATGGAGTGCACTGCTTGGGGGATGAGGGCGTGACAGGGTGGTGGTCTACTGAGGAGGCGTTTCACAGAGGTGGCTGTGCGACACAGCTTGGGCTGGTTGGTGCCCCGTGAAGTGCTAGTTATTGATGTTGTTGTTATAACAATAGTAATAATAATAATGATTAATAAAATAAATGAAAGGCTTTGCCGCCGACCCACAGCTCCACATCAGCGTTAAAGAACATAAAAGCCTTCAGCCTGTACACACTGGGTTTTGTTTAATGAACACTAACCAACAGGCTGTTCTGACACTGAGTGCTCTCTGTTTCATAATAACACCAGCTGCAGTGACAAAGTTTATAACACTTCCATACAAAGTGCTGCCACTGTTCCTAAAATTTCCTCTGGGTCACTGTGTCAGATAAACTGCTGCCCTGCATTTTATCTTAATCACCATCACTTCCTGTTACTGAGTCACAAGTTTCCTTGTACGTCAGTTAAATTACTGTGTCTGATTCATCAGATAAAATCTGTTGTAGCCTGAAAAGTTAAAAGAAAATACAGATATGAGCTTTTCACTAAGTCTCTATATGTCAGGATACATTTCTAAAGTTGTATTTACCAAAAGAGTTAAGATTAAAGATTAAATGACTCAAAGACAAAGTCAATCTCATGTCTGAAGAGCTCTGATCCAGTTTAAACAGGCTGCACTTTTTATCCATCCGACTGAGTTCAGGGGGGTAAGCAGTCACCCTCACTGGTAAACTCTCCCTGGAGACTAAACAGGATTCAAGGATCTTCCGGACTTGCTGGTTTGTTTTTCTCTCACATTTTTCCACTGCGACCCCAGGAGCTGAGCCACAAATAACTTTCCACACAGTTGAACAAATATGAGACTGCTGGTTGATTATATTCTTTGAATGTGATCCAGAACAAGGAAAACGGCATCCATTGCCTCAGAAATGACAAAGAAATGTTACAATAAATAATAATTTTCATTAGATCGATCAAAGGTTTTAATAAATGTGATAAACTAACTGTTAAATGTTTCACACGCTGTTAATGTAACACTTAAATCCATTTGTATACAAAATTACTCGTTATAGAAGAAAATTTGGCCTTTGTGAAAACAGAGATTGAAGGTACAGACTCTCTTTTAAATCGAGTGTTAGGGCCTCATCAGACAAAATCATTATTTTTTTATGATTTCAAAAAGAAAGTCATAATGTCTCTTGATCTGTAACGTTATGGGGAAAAAAGTCATTAAAATACAAGGAAATAGTTATGATACAAAAAAGTCAAGTTGTCTGTAGTATCAGGTTGTAATGTGGTAGAAAAATTTTGTCATGTGACTGGAATAAAGTCATGATGTTACAGGAATAAAGTCTGAATATGAGGACAGTAAAATCATAATGTTTCATTTCAAAAAGTACAAGGGAGGTAAAGTTGTACTTTGTTCCTTGAATAAAGTCAGAATTGATCAGATATTTAAAAGTCTCTAAGAGAAAACAGGTATATGTAAATATTTTCATTCTGTCACAAGAACACAGCCGTACAAGTAAACTCATGATGTTTTCAGAGGAAAATTATTAAATAAGAAAAAATAAATTAAAGTGAATAGTGTCCCTTTGTTACGAGGAAACAGTTGTAGGAACATACAGCGACCATAGAGTCAGTATGCTTCATGAAAAAGGTCAGAGTTACAAGAATAAGTGGAAATGATAAATAAAGTAATTAGTAGACTAAAGTTGTTAAGTTGGTTTATGGTGAGCTGCAGGAACATGTAGTGTTTTGTTAGGTTGTACTTTAGTAAAGTATTCACTTGTAATCAAATACCTCATCCTTTTTGTCGAAGTATCAGGTCAGTTTCAGAATCGTAATCAAAACCCAAAAACTTTAATCCTCTAATATAATGGCTTTATTCTTAAAATCTCAAAATCTCAACATTTATTTTTTTTTATGTGGCTCTTATACTTTGTCGGACAGTTTAGCTTAACCTTCTAAGATAAAATAAGACATTCAAAATGATCCTGTATTAGATGATCCTAAAGAAGAAATTCAGTGACAAAAGAAAAGCAGGTTATAGAGACTGAACAGTTTTTAAGCTGCTTTTAAGGGTGTCAAAGTTTCGAGCAGTTTGCTTCAGTTTCAGGCAGTACAGGGTCTTAAGCTGCTTCACCATATTTAGTCAGGACTCTATCTGGACCAGAGGACCACAGTAAACAGATCTGAGGACCCTGATTGGGTGATAGATTTAAAAAAATGTCAGAAATATATTCTGGGTCAGCTCAGTGACTGTAAACTGGAAGCCAGTATAAAGGAGTAAAAACCAGAGTGACAGTGAAGAAAGGTTATTCAGCATTATTCAGCATTATTTTGATTTAATTTAATGTCTGAAGTGTGTTGACAATAACTTATCAAACGATAATATGAAGAAGACACAGGATGAATGTTTCGTTAACCACGTTTCTGTGAGAATATAAGAGCTATTTTGTTAATACTGATGATGATGATGATGATTGAGGATGCTCATTTTCCTGGTCGTACTGACGAATCTATGCTTCAATAGACATCCTGGCAGCATCTGTATAAATAGGCGATTATGTGATTGGGGGCGTGTCCTTCTGCCGTGACGTCAGCGTAGGGTCCAGACAGGAGCTGCATCAAGTCAGAGGAATTGAGCAGAACTGAAACAGGAAACGAGAGGGAGCATTTTCAAAATAAAAGCATTTAAAATGCGGTGCGGGATTTGACAAGAATTGTGTGTCTGCAAGAACTGACCCTGTTTTAGTGTCACTTTTGGGTTATGAGTTCAGTAAGATCATGTATATGTTTTTACAACGCATATTCATAGTTATGTTATGACCTGATGCATTGCTATTTAGTTATTTAACTCACTGTGAAACAAAGATATGTAAATGCCACATGTTTTTTAAATGTTTGCATCACATTTTCAACTTTGAGGAGCTGCATCCTCTTGGGGGCCAGCATTGTTCTCAGGCTGTTTGGAGTGCAGTTGTACCTTTAAAAGTTCACCAAAGCAAAGAAAACATTATTGCATTAAGATCTAATTTTTGAAGCACTTGGAAGATTTTCAGCCTTTTGTCCCAGAGCCTACTCCCCTTGTATGAAGTAAAGCAAGGTCTCTCTGAGCCCCTCACAGAAAAATTGTCAAATTCTATTTTTGGGTAAATTTGGCTTAAAATCACATTGATCCTCACATACCACCATTATTTTTTAATAAATGAAAAAAATTGGAAACAAAATAACATAGCCTCTTGTAGGCGTCCATGCTCTGATATCTATGACATAATCCAATTGCATTGACTCATTGATCATTAAAAATCCACATGGAACTTGGAAATATGTGATCAAATATTATGGAATTAGTAATAGTATTATGGTATCAGTTGTCCGGTATTTGTTCTTTGTGCAATTTTCATTAACATTTATATTGAGTAAAATCAATTCAATACTATAGCACTTCAAGCTAGGAATCAGTCTGGGTATTTGAGTCAGGCAGCATCACATGTGCACAGTTTGACCTATGTTGGAGCATGCACAGTCGGATATTTACCTCAGTTTTAGTATTCAACACAAATTACTTTTGCATGTGAGATCACTTAATTTCTTTTACAAACTGAGGTCCAAGTGAGGTCCAACTGACTCAAGTGTCTACAAAGGTCTGGGGCCTACTCTACGAAGCAGGATTACTGCTTAGTGAGGTAACTTTGAGGGTAAGTTCGGGGTTTCCTGTTCTACGACGTGGGTTCACTTCTTAGCGAGGCGAGTCTCCGTGGCAACGTACGCTGAACGGCTAACCTGGGGCCTTTTCTACGAAGCAGGATTACTGCTTAGCGAGATAACTTCGAGGGTAAGTTCGGGGTTTCCTGTTCTACGATGCGGGTTCACTTCTTAGCGAGGCGAGTCTCCATAGCAACATACGCTGAACGGCTAACCTGCTCCGGGGCAGGTTAAGTTCCAGATTGAATTTACCGAGCATAAAAACCCCACCCACTGACCAATGAGCTCTCTCGAAAAACGGCTTGTCCGTTCTCAGAGGATCCTGTAGACCTCGGTGCTTGTATTGTCCGAGGAGGAGCACTCCGGCGCTCGAGAGTTTTCAGGGACTGCACAGACCCACTTACTTCTCCGGATGACCACCTTTATGGAAGGCTCATATGGCCTACATATCACACAAAACATGTAAACACGATAGGAATGAACAAATGAATGAATTCATCTTGGAAATTAATGGGCATGGGCTGCGTGATCACAGACAACATCTCGGTAGTATTTAGTAGCAGCGCACCCCCCTTGTAATAACCCCCGTAAATACTGTTGTTCAGGACTGCTTACTTGTGCTTCCCGCCTACTGTAATAACCGTTGTTCTAGCCCACATGCAACATTTTTGTTCTCATTCATGAAACGCTTAAATCTGGGACATTTTCGGGGACAGTTTTAGACGGGGACAGATCATCCAATTCGGAGACTGTCCCCGGAAATCGGGACGTCTGGTCACCTTAGTTAAAAGCGCATGTTGAACAGTGCTATTTCAGGGTGATAATGGCATCAAAGATTAATTTTCTGCCTTCCGTGCTTTTGTAGTGGCTATCGTGTTGCTTTTGAGGTTTGTGATAGCTTTGAATTCTTCATACTTTCTCATGATCGTCTCCTGCTCCTCGTTTGTAAAGTCTGCGGTCCTTCACTCTCCGACCTGCTCTGACACTCCAGACTTGTCCATGTTCGCGATTGGTCAGATGCGGCGGGCTCCACCTTATTTGCGTGCACGTGCTCGTAGCAGAGCTGGATCCACTTATGAGGTTGATAACCAGCGTCGTAAAAGCGCTTAGCGAGACTGCTGGCTACTGCGCTAAGTTGAGTAAGGTAACTCCAAGGCTACCTCGCTAGGTTGAACCTGCTTCGTAGAACAGGCCCCTGCTCTGGGGCAGGTTAGGTTCCAGATTGAACTCACCGAGTATAAAAACCCCGCCCACTGACCAATGAGCTCTCTCGAAAAAGGGCTTGTCCGTTCTTGGAGGATCCTATAGACCTCAATGCTCGCATTGTCCGAGGAGCACTCCGGCTTGCGAGAGTTTTCAGAGACCGCACGGACCCACTTACTTTTCCGGATGACCACCTTTATGAAAGACTCATATGGCCTACATATCACACAAAAAATGTAAACATGATAGGAATGAACAAATGAATGAATTCATCTTGGAAATGAATTAGACATGTCTGGTGCATGTACAAAGCGCACGTTGAACAGTGCTATTTCAGGGTGATTAAGGCATCAAAGATTTTTTGTGCACTATACTTACGCATTGAGACTGTTGGCAATTTTCTGGCAGCATTCCTTCCGTGCTTTTGCAGCGGCGATGGTGTTGCTTTTGAGGTTTATGATAGATTTGAATTCTTCATACTTTCTCATGATTGTCTCCTGTTCCTTGTTTGTAAAGTACGCGGTCCTTCGCTCTCTGACCTGCTCTGACGCTCCAGACTGATCCATGTTCTCGATTGGTCAAATGCGGCAGGCTCCACCTCACATGGATGCACGCGCTCATAGCAAAGCTGGATCCACTTACGAGGTTGATAACCAGCGTCGTAAGACCGTTTAGCGAGACTGCTGGCTACCACACTAAGTTGAGCGAGGTAACTCCAAGGCTACCTCGCTCGGTTGAACTTGCTTCGTAGAACAGGCCCCTGATAAGTCTGCAGATGATTGCCTCCTTAACATATCACTAAATTCTTACAGCCACTAAGTGTTTGCTACACTCAGAGCATACAGAGAGCCCAGATCAACAACCCCAACAACAACAACAACAACAATTATAAAAACAACAACACCTACTACCACTACTACAATAACAAAAGCAACACTGTAATATTGTTGTTAAATACTGGCTTTCAGCTGACCAGCCCTGGCATTGGCATCAACCATTTAAAAGCACATTAATCAACAAACACACAGAATACTCTAATAATGAGCATGTCAAAACACTGACTTATGCAGACAATAAAAACTTGTTGAATGAAATAAAGTTTCAGTCATTTCAAAAAGGCCTAATTTGCGCCAAATATTGATTTTTCCAAAAACAGTGTTGTAATAACTTACATGGTCGTTTTTGGAATTAATCTCTTTCTACGCAATATGCTGCTCGATATCAAAACATTACTCCAAGGTTGTATTTGTATCTTGTATTGTATTGTTTTATTTTGAAGGATTTGACCGGAAATGGCTCTCCGTTCCACCTTTTCCGAGCAGTCAGTAGGAGGAGCGGACCTCTGCGGGTTTGTGTCTCCACTCTCCCCTTACTCAGACCAAGGGAAAAAGCCCCATACAGCCTCTGAGAGGACTTAATTTCCGACTACAGATAACGGACTGATCCCATACTTGGTTTTTATCTTCACTGTCTGAGTTTTCTCTGAGGTGGAAAGTTGAGGGAATGAGTTTGAGGGGAGATCCTCGGTGACTTTGAGTCTGAGGAGACAGAGAGGATCCCGGTGCCAGCAGGGCAGATATCTGCTGCTGTCTGTCTGTCTGTGAGAGAGGATCATCTCTGAAAAGAGCTCTGCTGAACTTTCTCTGTATGAAGCCTCAGATTACAGCTCAGAGGTAAGAGAGAACATCGCACTGAACTTATCAAAGCCTTAACAAAAACACCTTATCATTGAATGTTTAATGTTTGAGATAAGTGATATTTTCTGTTTGTTGTACATCTCTTCTTCTGTTTTATGATACTCACGTCATATCCAGGTGGAGGTATTCTTTCCTTTGGTACATAAACTCAGTTTATCAATCACGTGTTAGGCATCAATTAAAGCTCCTGTCAAGACCTTTAGCTTGGTGTGAGTTTTGGCGCCCTCTGTGGCGAACTCAGCACTTCATTTATCACATTATGTTGGTAGAAGAGGACGTTTCACAATCCAATTATTACATCCTCCAGCTAAAACTGGACTTTTGAAATAAGTGTTAACATGTCACTGCAGTTAAAATTGCATAGAGGCCTTTATTAGGCAAGCTGTGGGATTTCTAACGATCTGCATTTTATTGAGGTTTCTTTGCAAACAGATCTGCAAAATGACAGAAAACATTTACGAGCCAGACCAATAGTTGGCAGTACATCCTTTGTGGCCCCACTTATCCTGTAGATCCGTGTGCTATAACAGCAGACTCTCAAACAGCTGAGTAATACAGTGTCATATATAAGTAGTTTTAACTCAGTAGCAGCAATGCAAATGCGGCAAAAGAAAGAAGCAGTTAAATATGAGGTAATCTGTGAAATGTGTTGAGCTAACTATGCTTAATGGTTAGCCATGTAGCCACCTCTTGCAAAATGACGAGAGCGGTACTATGTGACATCAGTTCACCATGACCTAACAGCCTACAAAGGCCACATCAGCTGGATGCTTCAGAGGCAGCAGTCCCTTGAACCGAACACAGCCTATATGTGTGAATGGTGCAGTTATTGCAGCAGCTCCCTGTCTTGCTAGTTCACAGCAAAAGAGTTTTTCATGGTGCTTCTGCTCTGGATACTGGTTTCAAAAATTTGTGTTTGCATCTGTCCAAAACTCAATTTCTGTGTCTGACAAAATGCTGCAAAAGTTTACAGTTCTTTACTAAAACAATATTCTACTGTTAAAGCTCCCACGTTAACAGCCTTGAAGTTGAATATTTAAAAGTAGGACTAACATATCTTGGTACTGCATTGGTTGGATTGATGTATTCTTGCATTAGGGCAGCACGATATATTGCTTGAGCATCATCATCATGATTGACATTTGCATGATAGTCACATTGCAGAGCCTGCAATGTAGGAGGCGAATGGACTCATCTAATTTCAAAGGTAGCTTTAGCTAGTATACACTGCTTGTGACTCTGCATGTGCTGTGCAGCAATCCACCAATCACATTCATACTCAATTGCCAAGCAGACTACCCTACCAGCCGTCAATCAAGTAAGAGAGGAGGAAACCACGCCCCTGCATGTGGCCTGCACATGGAGTGAGTCGCTGGTGCTGTTGGTGGTGTTCGGATAGACGCATGCCCGCCGAGAATTACTATTGGAACGTTACTCATCACTGTTAAGCCCCACAAATAATAAATGTATGGATTTTAAATTGTACATTTCCGTGGACCACTCTATTATAAGTGGTGTGTGTTTCCGCGAGGTGCATGCAATTCTTAGCGGACATGCATTTCTTGGCACAACACCGGTAACAACAACAACAACCATTGCAAAATGAGCAACGAACAAGAAAAAAAACACAGAAAACGAAGACTTGTTGCCAAAAAGAAAAGCTATGTCACTTATCTGGAATTATTTTGGTTAAAGGGAGGATCATGTCGACCAAACACGTGTTCTGTGTTGGTAGTGCCTTTCATCTGTTGCCACAATGAGAGATAACAAGTCCCAGCACAATAAAAACAAGCTAAAAATATCTCTAAGACAGACTGAAGCCATTCTACCAACATTCACAAAAAGAGGTAAGATCAGTGCAGGTTAACTGTCCTCAAGATTTCAGCAGGGCAGAGTATAGCATTAAGTGCTGTTTGGGTCATCTGGTGACAATTCCTGTATTTTTGCAATATATATCGTAGGGTTGAAAGAGATTGCAATGTCAGTTTATTTCTAATATTGTGCAGCCCTGTCTTACATGCATACCGTGATCAGACCAAACTATTGTTTCGCACATGTTCCATGACACGGCTTAGTGTCAGAACTCAAACAGCTGCGTTGTTGTCTGATTTGGGATACAACCACAGGCTGGAGAGGCAGCATGCATCTGAACTGTACCCAAAGTAAAGCGTGGAGTCCACAGTAAAGGTACAAAACTGTAAAATGTTGCTCAGCTTTGTTTTGGTGTGCGATGTAACAGGCCAACCATGGGGAGGTCCAGAAAGCAGAGCTCTACTGTAACAGCAGACCCGGTGCTGGTAAAGATAATGAAAGTAGTTTCTGTCTAACCAAACTATAACCATAACTCCACTGAAACATGCATGTAAACTGAGTGATGTTAACCTGCCCCCCCTCAGACGTTTCAGGCATCAAAATATACAATAGAAACAAATAGACATGATGTGGTTGGTCTCCTTTACTGTTGTAGTTCATCAATATCAACTTTAGTTTATTTCATATACAGTTAAATCTGCTTACTGCAGCTTTAGATTTTGATTCCATGTAACAAAAAAAAAAAAACTTTTAACACATGGCTGATGTGTTGAAGTCAGTTTTGGTTGATGGATTTTGATGGAGTTTAGTTGTTGGTTGATTCCTCTTGAATCAGGGGCCTTAATGCTTCATGTTTGCTTATATAATGGACAGGAAAATCCTTTTTTTTCTCTTCACATCATTTCAAATATAGTTTATTATCAGTATATTTCTGCTGAACTTCAACATGCTTTCCACCCTTTTTTTGGATCAGATGCAACAGGCTACCTCTCCTCTCCTCTTCTGATGTGCTCAGCCATATGGAAGGAATTCAGCAAGTGATCTCACATGATCTATTTAAATTACTCTGAGATCAGTGGACGTGAGATACTGGCAGGCTGGAGAGAGAAGGAGAAGGAGGGGCTGCAGATGTTTAAAACTAGAAGCTTAAGTTAGAGAGGCCTAAAACAGAGTTAACCCTGATATCATCTGTTGCACACAGTAAACAGAGAAATGCATGAGTGCAAATAAGACACAGTAGCTCTGACAGCTGCTTGTTGTTGCCCGGGCAGTGCATGATGGACAGGCTGCACAGCATCCACTGATTGGATCACGCAGAGCTTTCATCTAAAGGTCTTATAAAAACGCTGCTGACTCCACAGTGCAGCTGAGCGCCATCACTTTAATCAGGGAAATGGAGTCAGGAAGGGAGGCGAGGGGAGGAAGAGAGGGGGAGTGACAAGGAGATATGGAAGACATAAGAGGCGGAGAGAGGACAGTTGTGTAGGAGGGAGAGGGGGAGGATGGCTAATTGGGGAGGAGGGCAAATGTAGGACAGTGGGGGAGTCAGGGGACGGTAGCGGAGCCGGTAGCCACCAGCTGAACAGGAGCGACCTCACGGCCCCTGGGGAACAGCTGAGGCTGGGGGGGCCGGGCTGCTGTCTGATTTACGAGACCACTTACTGCACACATACACACACACACACACACACACACTCAGGGAGGGCCACACCCAGGCCTTTCCTCCAGACATGCGATGTTTCTCATGTGTACGTTTGTGCGATCTTGTCCCCCTGACACAGTGGTGTTGAATATGCAAAGTGTGTCTCTCTGTGTTACTGTGTGTCTTAGGTAAAGTGATGGATGTGTACATTTCTCCTCTCTGACTCCTGCTTAATGCTGAAGGAGGAGGTCTCAGTCCCAGACACATAAAGTAATCCCATTTATTTACCTTCAGCACACACACACACACGCACGCACGCACACACACCTGCAGCTTTCCTCACACACTTCACTTACTGCTGTTTCTCTCACCTGTATGTGCCTGTGTAGTTCTCAACAATCATCAAGAGCAGCTATCATCTAGACACCCAATAATTCAACTTGTGTCGTACTCAGTGTTGTGCTGTTACACCAGGAGATGCATGTGTCTTTAGCTTAGATAGCACAGAACAGCATAAGCAAAGAAGGCTGCTCAGAGTTATAGAAACAACAGTGCCAGAATTTCAAACTTAACACAAAACATTTCATTTCAGTCTCTGACGGGGACGTTCAGGTGAAAATAGCAGAGTTTCTTGGTCTTAGTTAAGAGCAGCTCAGCTTACAGCCCCTCAGGATGTCCTGAGTCTGTTCAGGAGTGACAGAGAGAGGCTGATCTGTAATGTGGAGCTTCGTTCAGGTTGTTAATGATCTTTACTTGGAGGAGAAGAGTACAGAAGTACATTTATCATTATTTTTAGATTTGCACTAAGGAGCAGTCTGGTTTTTCACGTCATTTTTCCAGGCTTCCAACATCATCAGAGGCTCCTCTAGCTAGGGATGGACAATAAATTATTGTAACCTAACCACTAACCTACCACTCAAACTTGTGGTTAAGTATCTTAATTGACTCCTCCAACTGGTGTTCTCAAGACAGAATGAGTCAAGAATATAGATTGGAATTATAATTCTTTTTTTTTTATCTGGACTTTTATCGTTATTGCCAGAATGGCAAATCTTATCAAGATAAGATACATTTGTTAGCCCATCCCTACCTCCAGCTGTCCCATAAAGACACCAAAGTATTTACAGTGATAAAAATAGAGAAACACACTGTGACCGCTGAGCACCAAGTCTAAATTTGAGTGCATTTGAGTGCAACATTGAAGTTTTCTCTCATGGTTTATGTTTCCATCCTTTTGAAACCGTGTTTTTGCTCAGATTCTTCTCTTGTAGTCCAGATTACGGGGCAGGTCTTTCTCCTGGCTTTGGTCTGTGACCTGCTGCCAAAGCATTAACTCTTCTCCTCCCGCTCCTCTGAGCCTCTGAACCTTTTTCGGGTGGCCTCTTGCTTCTAAAAACAGAACCTGGAGCTGGTGAGGAATGGCGTGGTTAAAGCTGACTTCTGCTTGCCAAGGGCTGCTGGGAAAAGAGGCCAAACATGTAGTGTTGGTAGTAAATAGTAGCAGAGTCCTGTCCAGCTGAAAGGCTTGTTTGACTGTGTTTATTATTTTGACACAGTGAAGCGGTTTAATCGCAGGGCCTGTGAGCTGCAGTAGAAATGTTTATACGCCTGTCAGTCACAGACACGCTGGGGTTCAAGGAAATCAAAGGGTTTCTGTTTGAAATGTGGTTTTATTCACTGACACTGGATTCACTTTCACTAGGACTACAGTCATAACACTGCGGTCCAATAAATGTTTGTACTCTCAAACTGAAGATTAAAACAGAGAATCAAACAATCGGATGGGTATCAGACCTGTTTTTAACGTCGTTTTAGACATTTGTGACTTTGCTGAAGGGTTGGTGCCGAAATGTTGGTAAAGGACATTGGATGCTGCAGCTTCCTCTGACTGACTCTTTAAAGTCTAATTACCGATTCAGATTCCACCCCTAACCCTAACCCTAACGCTGACATGGCTCAGATTGAGTTGGTTAGATAACAACACTTTGATTCTTGGTGTTTCGTGTAACAAAATCAGGATTTAGTTGACAGTTTAGTAAACAGAAGAGGCTGTGAGAGGAGCTGCTGCTGACTCTAGAGTAGATGTTCTAGGTTATTAAGGATCGCATTGCTGAAATATTTATCTTTCAACAGGCTTTTAAAAGGAGCAAAGTTGCTCATCTTTTCAAAAGAAACTGTGATTTACATTACAGGCCAAAAGTTTGGAAGCAAGGCCATTACAGGCCGAACAGTTGGGAGTAACTTCAAGTTTTTGTTCACAATGTTTTTTTTAAATCAAGCATGAGTTTTATGTATTTTGGGATGTATTTACTCCATGATCAGATGTTGCTTTCATGGAAATGCACCATTTTACTCCATTTACCTTTAGATATACATTGATGTTAACAGACCATTGCTAAATATATGACAGCAAAAGATAATAAGGGCTTAGTTTTCAAAACGCAGAGTCTATGTCTGCAGACAAACTGGTGAACGTCTGAAAGCACCATGTGTTAAACCCACAATTCAGCATGGAGGTGATAGTTTCATGGTATGGGGATGTTTTGCAGTAGGATAGTGGTTCGAAGTAAAGGGTATCATGAAGAAGGAACAGTACCACTCCATCCTCCAGCATCATGCTGTTCCATCTGGACTCAGACTTGTGGCTCATAAGTTTGTTTTGCAGCAAGACAATGACCCTAAGCACTCTGCCAAGCTCTGTCAGGGTTACCTAGACAAAAAAGAAGAGGAAGGTGTTCTTCAAATGATGGTTTGGCCCCCTCAGTCTCCAGACCTTTCTCCAATTGAGCTTGTGCGGAATGAATTGGATCGATCGGTCAGATAAAAGCGTCCCACGAATCAGCAGTCTCTTTTTAATGAACTTAAGAAAGCTTGGAATGCAATCCCTGGAACATACCTTAAAAAACTTGTGGAACGAATGCCTGGTATATATGCCAAGCTGTTGTTAAAGCCAGAGGAGGTTACTTTAAAGAAAGCAAAGTCTAAGCGACAATAACTCAGATACCTAATAATTATAGTCAAAATGTCTTCTGATAAGTTACTCTTTACACAATAGTCATGTTTATTGTGTTGCAAATTATATTAATGAAACTTTGATCTTTTTTGTACAAATCTGATCTTGCTTCCAAACTTTTGGCCTGTAGTTTAGTTTGATGAAATACCCCCTCCAAAAATTCTGTCTATAAATAGAGAAGATAAAAACTTTCACCCAGATAAATGATGAAGCCACAAATAGGTAGACAGCTAGAAGTGTTTAGATTCAGGCTCACAGCCAGTGTTCAGGGACTTTTTTAGTTTCACTTCATTTATTTAAAGTCCCACTCCGATCATTTTTTTTTCACTACTTAACGTGTTCTCAGTAGTTAATATCGTATAGTTAAGTTTCTCACGGCGCTTTCCCAGGATCATGTCCTTTACTTTCCCACAGAGAAATCTGGTGCAGTTGGTCAAAATGTCACTTTAACTGCACATTAGTAACTATACAGGCTGTTTTTTTTATTTTTTATTTTTTTATTGCATTGCTGCCTGTTTATGTTTGCACCATATGGTTACACAATGGACCGTTCTAATGTTTGCAACAATGCTATTTGCACAGCAGTGTAGTTTGTGGAGCGTTAAACCTTTCGTACGTTCATGTCAGAAAATCTTTTTGGTTCATTTGCAGGTTTAGTGGACACACAAGCCATGCAATATTTGAGCAAAAAAGTCTCAGACAGAGATAATTTGATATGAAAGGTCTACCTCCAACTCAGACCTGGTTCAAATAAAGACCTGGTATCTCAAGAACAAAGCAAATTTGAGGATTTGCTCTAAATGTTTATAAGACATGTCTACAAGTGTGAAGGTTTGATGTCATGTTTGAATAAAATTACTGTCATCATTCTTTTGGTCATGTATGAGAAACTTTGACTTCCTTGTTTGTTTCTGTTATGTGCCCTACATGTGGGTCTGATACAATGCTAACCCTGTTCTCTGTCTCTGTGAATGTGGTCTGTTTGAGGCTGAGGTCTCAGGGGTGATAAAGTGAGTCACCAGCAGTCCCCCACTTGAGAGACAAAAAGACATTATAGTCCTGTGGCCGTATAGAGGGACTTCTTTATCATGCACATTAGCTCTGTGCTGTCCCATATTTGCAGATGTGCATATCTGATGCAGCTCAGTGATAGAGGCTTGCCGTTTTAACTTCAAACAGCTTAATAAGGAAACAAATTAATGTGACCTGATTCAAGAGAGTACATCTGATGTTTTGCCCCCTGCAGTGATATTTAGATTGTTTTGGTGGTTTTGTGGCCTATTGATGTCTGCTGGGTGTAGTTTTCCTGTAAGCTGTGAACAGGTTCCTGTCACACCCTCACACAGGCCTGTACCCTGTATTTTTATGTTCTTGTTTGAAACAAACTGGAATAAACTGAGCTCTCGCTTCCTCTCACGTCTAAATGCCAAATATACCATCTTTACGGCTTGGAGAAGGAGCTGCGGCTAGTTTCCAGGTTCTGTGATACTGGCCTCCTGTTGGGTGTTTATCTGAGCAGTTTCCTGCAGAAACAAGCAGAATGAACTTAAACTGAGGCTGAGAGTAATGAGGCAGATCATCAGCAGCACATTAGGATGATAATACTACTCTCAGAGTTCATGAAAGAACAATTTTATTCCCTCATTTACATTCAGCAGCAGCTGTAAGGCTTAGGGACATCACGCTTCAGAGATGTGGAGCAGAGAAGGATTTTAAGTCCTTTTCTCTTATTCTCTGTGCCTGTTATTGTGATTTTATGAGGTACAGCAGAGCTCCAAGAGTTTTAGGACATGATGTTCAGTCAGAGGCCCTTCAGAACAGCCTGAGAATCAAAGCTGACAGATATGACTGTCCAGGTCCCCAGAGGGAATGCATGATACTTTAGTGCTTACTGTTTTAGCCCTCCAGTTTCCCCTTTTCTCCCTCAGCAGAAATGGAGGTCCTCTGGCTCAAGTATCGGGTCTGCAGCCTAATGAAAGACACCTGAGTGTCATTAATGTGTTGGGTTTCCAGGATTAGGGCCTCAGCAGAGAGACGGTGGAGGTGTCCACAGTTGGCCTACCGCTGGGTGACAATTGGATTAAGATCAAACTTTGACATGTGTTTAGTGAAAAACAGCTCTGATGCAGTAGTTTCTAGGCGTTGGTGGTGAGGTTTTTCGCTCCTGTGTACAGTGTACGTTTGTCTCTATGAAAATCATGTTGTTGGTGTCCCTATAAAGCTAGCATTTAACCAAAGTTTCTCAACAACTATTGGATAATTTTCAGTGACCTTTGGTGATGACCTTTATTTCCTTCTGGAGCCTAAGTTAAATAATTCAGAGATTCCCTCATCTAGTGCTGTCAGTTTTTGGGAGCATTTGATCATGTTGGGATTAAAGATGTTCCTGAGTGATGGATTTCTTTATGAACACAAAACTGAAAATCCCAATAATAATAATAATTCATAAAAATGTTTTAGTCAGACTATACTTTTCTTTGAGTTTGTGTAAATCTGAGGATGTGCTGACAGCAGATTTGTTCATGTTTGTGAATGTTTATATGCTGCTTATTTTTTCTTTGCTGGTGTGAAAGTGCTGACAGAAACTCAACATTATCAGGCTGATAAGCAGCCGTGTGTGTGACTGCTGTCTGTCATCTTGTTTGTTGGGCTCAGTGGAAATTAAAAGACACACTTGGTTTGCTTCATAGCACAGAGAAATCAAGCACTGAACAAGCTGGACAATAAAGTTACCTAATATTAGTGTGAAGTTTTCATCTTAACCCACCATGATAGAATCACTTTGCAGTGTTTAGCAAGTTACAGTGAAGATGAAGAACCAACTCTAATGGGCAGAAAGAGAGAGATGGACAGAGGAGAGACTGATAGAGGGAGATTTAGAAAGAGCTGACTGAGGGCTGGCTCAGGATCAGCTGACTGTAGCCTTTAGTTTGACTTTGTGTCCTGCCCAAACTAATGCTGTGCTTAAATAGTCTATGCCTATAGCAGTCTTATTGTTTAGTAGTCCAGCTGCATTATGCTGCTGCTATGCTTCAAACACGCTTCCAGTGGGCGATGACACACACTGCCTGACAGAGCCGGGATGCGACGCTGAAGGTACACGCCCAACATGGATCCTGTGAGTTTTTTAGCTAAAGAGCTAGTCCAAGCCCGGACTTTATTAAAGATGGAAGTTTTGGTAAAACAAAGAGCAAAGAGCATATCTACTTCTGGACCCTGACTGGTTGGTTAAGTCCAAAGAAGAGGGACTTGGTTACTGAAAGCTGCACCTCCTTGACCACTTTTGGAGACCTGAGGTTAGCTGAGCAGGCCTGCTGTAAGGTTATGGTGGGATAAAAGCTCACCTTAAGGTCTGAAAAATTAAAACAGTGGTTGACCACAAAGAGCTTTTAAGTTCAGAGGAAAGGTTTTAAATCCTGTCCTGGATTTTATGGGGGGGTCATTGTGGAGCAAGGAGAGATCTCTTCTCCTGCGTCTAGTTAGTACTGGAGTAGCAGTGTTAAGGACCAGCAGTGGGTCTGACAGCCCTTGACTACTATCGTGCTTCTGCCTTGTTGACTGTTTTTTAACCATACATAGTCCTTGTCCAGGAGCTGCAGCTTCTCTCAGTTGGCTGTCTGCAGACCCGCTCTGTATTGATGGTTGTTATCCTTGTCTTTGTCCCTGTAATGCCGTAAATATTTGTGTTGCTGCAGATTGATGTCTTGTTTCCAGATGATCCTTTTTGCTTTTTGCACTCTGCAGGTTTGGCTCTGGGTTTTGTAGACGGTCTCAGTGACTTCATATCTGACAGCTGTTTATTCATACAGACTAAGATTATCTGGCTGTGTTGCAGCCATGGTCTGAGCTGCTTTCAGGACTTGTTTAGCTTCCCCCAGAGTTTAGATTTCACTGATGTCCTGGTTTAGGTTTGAGAATCAGACACGCCGAGTTCACAAAGACAATAGGCTGCCGTTTTGGCAGCTCAAACCGCCCCCTCATTCCTCCCATCCCCTCTCTCTTTTCCTCTCATGTCTGAATGCCAAATATGTCATCTTTGCGGCTTGGAGAGGGAGCTGTTGCTGGTTTCCAGGCTCTGTGATAGCGACTTCCTGTGTGATCCAGCTGAGCTTCCTGTGTTTCAGCACAGGAAGGGCCGACTCAGCAAACACAGAGGGTTTGAGGAGGCTTACTGTAAAGCAGATCCCAGCTTCACAGGCTGAGCCCTGAGCTCACTACGTCACAGCCCAACATGATCCCCTGAAACTATCCTGCGTGTTATCCTGGAGGATTGGGAGGACTGGACTCTCTGTCTCTGTTTTCACCGGATCATCTCAAACTCTGCGTTTTTACAGATGCTCTGTTAAAGCTGGTCAAGTTTAAAAAACCAACTCTGTGACTTTACTGCTGAAAAACATTTTTCCTGGCACCTTATGCTGAAATATCTTCATCCAGATTAACAGTGCAGTTAGTCCCAGGGTTTTCCATTTCCTCTGTGGAGTAGAGGTAGTTTGTTTTTAGCCTTGTGTGATTTAGTTTAACTTTTGGAGTGATTGGGGAGGCCAGGTGTGGAGGTCAGTGGTCTAAAATAAGATGTTGGAGCTGCTCAGCTATTTCTAACACAGAGACAGAGTCCTGCATGCTGCTGCACAGACTAACGTGGAGGTTTTCCCTCCGTTGTTCCTGGTGGGACATGTTGAGATGAGATGAAATATCAAGAATTTCAGAGCAGAAAAGAAAGAAAATAAATGGCAGTGACTTTCCGGGCAGAGGTTTGTCTTTAAATCTTTAGCCTCATACTTACATAAGAGGAATGTCAGCGTGCTCCAGGCCAACGTTTGTGGTTTTACTATGAAAAAAAAAAACAAAAAAACAGCAGTAGGTCAGCCTAACAAAATCTGCAGCTCAATTTTTACTTCAAATGTCAAAGCCTTTGATGCCTTTTAATTTATTAACTTTCATGGTTTTAGGATCTCTGATCCTCACAGCTTTATATAGTTCTAGTTAGGGCTGGGCAATATGGGAAAAAATTTATCATGATATTTTTTTTTTCACATCAGTTGATATCGATATGTATCACGATATAAAAAAAATACTTCATTGAAAATGTTCCCTGGTACTCTTGAAAGAAATTTAACATGTACTCAAAATAATTTACAGAGCACATTACTCTGCTTCATGTCCGACCTCAAAAAACCAAAATACCTCCAAACCACCAACATTTTCATGCCGGTGTTGTCAATGATGTCGTCATCTGTTGAGCCGTCATCTACGTTTCTGCCGGAGGTAGCACTCATTTTGTCTTCTTCTTACCAACAGTGCTGTCGGCTTTACCTGTTAAAGTGCTATGGTTGCGTGTAACTGCAGCCTGCTACTACACAGTTGGTTGCTACTTGGTTCTGATTCAGCACATGATTGGTTCAGCGCGGAGCGGACCCAGAGCAACTCCTCTTTTCATTGGCTATTCGTCTAGTCTACCAAAACATGGCAGAATGCAGGTTATCGAAAAGGATATTGACCATGTTTTATATGGGTATCGAGGGACATTAATTTTTGATATCTTTATCATTTTATTGCCCAACTCTAGTTCTAGTTATACCAGGAATGCTCTCTGTAGCCTCATTGTATTTATTATCATCGTAATACAAGGTTTTCATTGGTATATCAGTCCGCTCCATATGTTCATGCATACTAAGATCCAGCTCAGACCATTATATTGATCATTCTAAGATGTATATGTAACCTCTGCAGATATACTGAATGGGTCAGGTTATTAACATTTCACATATTATGTGCAAAGACCAGCAGACTTTGGTCCACATGACTTGATTGTATCAGGCTTCCTAACACTACCTGACCTACGCTCACATGAAAGGTTAAAGGTCACAGCCTGAGTCTTTCTGGATTGAAGATGTGGTGCATGTTGTGAAAAGCTTCAGTCATTTGGATCACAGATTTGAAACTGTCCCATTCTCTGGTTTCTGGTTATAGGATCTTGCAGTCTTCTTGTCTTTTTTAGGCTTGTGTTGGGCAGATGTGCTGCTTCCTTACTCTGTTACGGTCTTAAAATCAGGATGCATCTGTAAAGGAAATTACTTGGCATGTGGCTAAAAGATTTGAAAATACTCTGAAGGTTTGCTTTTTCACCTGCTAAGAGTACTTCTGACCATTTAGGTCCTAATTTTCCAAAATTTGAGGGCAGCTTAAATTGATGGATTTTAAACTGAATCATATTTTGTCCTCTCTTGTTGTTACCTGATATTTTTACCACTTTTTCACTTGTTCTCTGTCTGACAGACAGACGCTCTGTTATTGAGGAGCAGCTCCAGTTTTTAGATGCTAATGTTATGTGGAAACTATGATGCAGTTTGTGGCTTCTTCGGTATCTCTCAGAGGACTTTTCTCTCTTTTTCTTCTGTGGAAAAAACATCATTTCAGGTTTTCTGCCTGTATCGCTGTCAGTGAAGATTAGAGACATAACGTCTGTCTCATTAGTTTTATTTCTCCCAGGAGGAGAGGGGGCGGAGAGTTGGAACACTTTAAGGATCAGACCTCCTGTCATGGTCTTAAAGGGGAGTCTGATTCATGGCTTTTGTCTGCTGAAAGAGGGTCCTGAAGCTAGAGGGTGGGTGCAGACACAGACAGACTCTGTTTGGTATTCTCCTTCAGCTCTGTTGGGATGTTTTCAGCTCTGAGCTGTTTGAAGGGTATGTGGAGTCAGAGGGCGGCTGGTTTGGCTCTGAGGGAGTGAACTGAGAGATTGTGTGGGTGGTATGAAGGAGGAGGGAGAAAAGGAGAAGAGTTTAGGATGCCAGAGATATGCCAAGGACAGCAGAGGATCGGCTGAATGCATTAAGGAATTTTTTAATGAAATATAAACTGAACTTAAGGCCCACAGAGTCTCAAGACTTACCTAGACCAGTTTCTCTGATGTCTGCAGGTCTCATTGGCATATTAAAGACCTGAACAGTCAGACTAACACTTTTTCTATGAAACAGAAAGGTTTGAGCCAGGCTCAAATGTCTGTAAGTGCCTCTCTCTGGTTAGCTGCAGCTCTTTTCCGCTCCGAGTTGTGCACCGCCCTTTCCTGTTTTTGCTTCTTTTCCATTCCTCTTTTCACGGCCAGAGGAGAGCAGCCTTTCAGAGGGAGGGGAGTCCGGCCTCCCCTTACAAAGAGCACTGTGACTGCGAGCTGCCATCACTCCTTTACTGCCGTGGTGTGTTTTTCTGCCTCCCTAACTCTCCTGGTCATTATTCACGGCAGTGCACGCTGAAGTAAGAACTCCTAATCTGAAGGAAAGTCAACCCACCCAGTCACAGAGGCCTGTGTGTTTCTATTAAGTGGGATTTTCTTGCAGCAGAGAGTTTCATTCTGTAACCTAGAGCTATTTTGGATTATTGGAATAATGGGGACGATCTGCAAAAAGTCCAAGATGTGGTAAAAATCCATATTTTACAGCGAGGACTGTGGGGTACTCTGACTCATAAATGAAATTATGCTCTATACTGTCTCATGAGGTATGCATGCATATGTAAACCTATTAGGAAGCTACATGTTAGAGGTTTCACCAGTTGATTACATGTAGTCAGCTATTTTAAAGTGAATTAAACAGTCTCATCTGCAAGAGGAAGAGACAAAAACTGCCCTGCAAACTAAATTGATAGACTGAATTATTCTGCAGGCTTCATGTTGGTGAGAAAAAAAAAAGAAAAAAAACTACATTGCAGTGTTTTTCCCTTTCCACAGTTTCTATTCCAACATGAAGTGTATGGATTTAAACTAATAAATACAGTTTATTTTAAGCTCTGAAGTATCATTAACACAAACTGAACTTAAGGCCCACAAGGTCCCTAAAATCAGAATCAGAAGACTTTCCAAGACCAGTTTCTCTGATGTTTGCAGGTTTCATTGGCATAAAAAGGCCTGATTAACATGACAAACCCTACAGCAGGGAGGATTAAGACAGGCTTAAAGGGATATTCCGGCATAAAATTCATTTAGGGTCAAACACAACACAACACAAGTTAGACACCCCCTCGAGAGATGATTGTTGCCAACCTCTTGCCTTTCTAGTTATACCAACTTTAGTAACAACCGCAGGATAGAAATACACAGCGGTCTGAGGAGTCATAAACAAACCTCAACCAAAAAGCCACTCTATAGCCACAAATAATGCTCAGAACAGCACCTAACTTCATCAACAGTACATATAGGGTCCCAACTATAGTACTAGCCATCAAACATCTTTTTAACTTTGCCTAATTTCTTTAGCAAAGAGACTAAACACAACTCACCTACTCTCCTCCAGCAGCCACTTGTTTGTAGCAAGACCTCGGGCCAGTCCATTACAGACTGCTGCAGGGTGATGCAGCTCAAGGGAGAACATTTATGATAATTTCTTCATGGAAATGCAGAAAAAGTACCGCATCAGCAGTGCAAAATGATTAATATGGTGATTATTACTCCAAGAAAATGATGATGTAATGATCAAAACACAGTCAGACAGTAGCCCCAGTTAGGATTGTTAGCTAACCCTCTATAACATCATATCACAACAAAGTTTTGGGAAACGCTGACATATGCATGAATCATCTTTCTAGTTGATATTATGTCTGTGTGTGCATGTGAACACGTTTTGGACATGCAACAAGAACAAGGTGACATGGGTCTGTTTGGTCCTGTGAGGTTCAAATAGATGTTAGTGTAACTGTTTGTCATCATCAGACCCCAGCACAGGGTTGGATTAATCAATTACACACAATCATTTTTAATTACACAGTATTAGGAACAGTCTCAAATCACTGCCCGCTCAGAGAGACTCGATGTACACAAGCTCACAACCTTCTGCTAGGGGTGGGCAATACGTGAAAAATTTCATATCACGCTTTTTAAAAAATGTTGTTTATTTACTTTTTATTGCAAAATTATGATCACAGGGGGTCTGAAAAATAGAAATAATTAATAAAATAAAATACCCAGATTTTAACAACCGACAGCATAACATTAATCTTAACTGGATGGTCTCATTCTCAATACATTTGAACCTAAAATAAGACTTCACATACAAAAGTCAATATTTACAAAAATATTATCGTCTTAAAAATGATAAAAATCACTTAAAACTAATGTATAATACACAACAGATACAGAGCATTTTCCCTCCTTTTTTATGGCTGGTTAATTTATTTTTGGTCACATCTAACCAGCTTAAACATCTCTGTCTCCTTTCTCATTTCTCTCACTCCTCTCTCCGTTCCTCTCCACTGTAGTGTTATATTGAACATTCCTTGTTTTTGTTGTTGTTTTTGTTAATTATTAATTGTTATCTCATGGGTCACTAAGGTGAATTTAGCAAAGCTCCACTGCTTCTTTTAAATCTTACCGCTCCGTGCTGAAACCTGACACCTGTAACACATTACTTCTGTGGGTAAATTGATATGGGCTCTCTTTACTTCTAAAATTTTGATTTGAGAGGGGAAGAAATTTATTTTGACATATTTTAGGGGTACAATGCGCACGACAGATGATTCTACGATCTCTGTGCATTGGCAAACTGTTGTTACTTTTTAATCCTTAACGATCTAAGACCGTCAGATCGCACACCCCTACCTTCTTCCATGGCGTAATAGATGTGATGTTTATATGAGCCTTTTTTAACCATGTCTGTGCCGTTATGTGGACAGAGAGATACCTCAATGTGAGGAGTTAGACTCAGTCTGATGATGGTAGAAAGTTAGCTTAGCTTTATCCACCTGCAAAAGCATGGTCCTTATACCCAGGCCCCCATCTGACAGACACACTGAGTGATAGAGACTCAGACTCAGATGATTTTTATTGTCCCAAAGAAGGAAAATCTGTTTTGCAGCACAAACACAGATGATTGATCATACTGTTTATTTTATTAACTCCTGTTTCTCTGCCTGTTTTTCATATTTCTTGGACTGAACTGGGTGAAAAGGGGTGATGGGAAACAGGCTCTTACAAATACCAAGTCCCATCATCATGGCTCCATGTGCTCTCATTTCTTCAGAGTGTTGCAGGTTTCTATCCTCGTCTGGACGCCTTCAGTCCCTCAGGAATGCCTGAGAAGCTCGGCCCGTTTTAGTCACACACCATCATGTCTGCCATGCATCATTCTCTGCTGCCAGCTGATAAACTGTGAGGCCTGAAACATAGCGGCATGCCTGCAGTCTCAGCTCAGGTGTGAGTGAGGAGGGTAGAGGTGATGAGGAGTGAAGGGTGTGAGAGGCAGGAGGAGCTTTATAAACATCTTTACTGCTCTGTCTTTATTAAAACACTCTCCACAGATAAACACAGTTGTATACAAATGTCTGAACAGCCCTCAGCTCTCTTACACCAACTCTGAATCATATCTGCAGCACGGCTAAAATGGTGAAACTATGTATTTTCGTCTATCTGCTGATACCATCCCTTTTCTATCCTCGTAAATCTGACTGACTGTATTGTCTAAAGCCGTGTTAGTCACAAAGAGTTAAAGCTTTCTCCTTTTTATTTCTCCATTGAAAATGGTGGATGGTTTCTGAGACTCTCCCACAGAGGAGCCAAATTAAAGACTGCTGTGAACAGATATTGTCCTTAAAATCCGACCAAATGTGAAAACTTAAAACATGGATTCGATAAAAGCGTCAGGAAAGTTGGAGCTGGAATGTGTTGTTTAAAGTTAAAAGCAGCAGCTTTAGATTTTATCAGATAAATCTAGATCATCTCAACAGTAATGTTTTATAAAATATCTCCTTTGCCAATGCCCATGACCAGTTTGGATCAATATTTAATGTTCAGCCCTAATAATAAGGTTTTGGCTCTATAATTACTGAGCGGTTTGTTAAGTTATGACACTTTGCACAATCAGGTGAACATTCAAACCCACCTGCCTCTATCAGACACATCTGTGAACTCAGCAAATATCAGGATATCATGATAAACATGGTTATTCTTAAGGGTTACAATAATTGATGATATTTCCTCATTGTACACACACTTGGCTTAAAGGTAGTCATCCTTTCACTGATATATTTTTGTGTCTTTGTCTAAATCTTCTCTTATTAGTCCAGAAAAAGACTAAAATGCATCTTTTACAGAGCTCATCTAACTCAAACCATCTTGAAATGTGGACAGCTTGTATTTATGACTCCTGAACTCTGAGCTTTGGGGGTGGACTCCACGGCAGCATAACATCCTGCTCCCAGCTCTTCCTCAGACCGCTCTCTGCTACATTTTACTGGAGCTTTTTTGCCCAGCATTCCTCTGTGCAGCTGCTGAGCTTCATGGGATTAAAGACAACACAGTTATTTTACTAACTTGACACCTTGCTGGCATTTTATCATTGAGGTTGGGGTTTGAATGATGAAGTTCAAACTCTGGTGCTGGTGCAAAGAAAATAACTGAGTTTGCTGTTCTGTTTTAAGAGGAATGTGAACCTGAATTCCTCTGTTTACAGCTCTGTCTGCACTGAAACTGATTCATCATGAACTAGTAGACTGAATACAGTTTGCATTTTTCATTTACAGCCACCAGAGGAACATTTTCTGTCAGCTTTACCCACTTTTAGAAGTTTGAGTTTGTGGCAGTGATGGTGCAACAGTAGGAGAGCTGGGTTAACTGGGGTATTTATCTTGCTAAAACACACCACCCATGTGCAGCAGTGGAGATTCAAGCCAGCTGATCTAATCTGGGCTCTGTAGACAGGCCGTCTGCCCCTCTGTGTCTATACATACATGCATGCACGCACACACTACACAGAGGAATGCATCACTCAACACCGAGCACACTGAACGTCAGAGCCTCCTCTACCACAGTGAAAGGGAATGCACGCTTCAGAGTGGCCTCTATGAAGAGCCTGAAACTGGTCCAGAAAAGAAAATGTCAAAGAGAAAGAAATACTGTTTTTATCTCTTTCTGTCTCATTGTAATTTGAACCTCATGCTCAGTAGACTGGACTTTAAACAACTGTGAAGATCCTTCAGAGACGACTCCTCTGAGTTTGTGATTCATGATGAGGAGGACATCACACAGTACATTCCTCATGTAAATTAGATTCTGCACATGCTGATCTCCTGCTGGTTAATGTGCACAACATCAGGCCATTGATCCGGCATCTCTGTGGGAGCCTCCCAGCTGTCCCTTATTAGAGCCGCCAGTAAGAGGTGGTGAGAATCCCTGAACTGACACTGCTAACTAAATCTTCAGAGACAGTAGCAGCTCTGTGGAGTTTCGGACGACAGTGAGGGGTCACAGAGGAGCCCCTGTGTTAAACTGACAGTAACCTCAGCGCTGTTCCCATGATTATTTATCATAAGTAAAGCTGCAGCCAAAACTGCAGGAAACCTACTCAAGCCCTTTTATAGCTGTGCTAGCTGCAGTGCTCAGGAAGAGGTTGGCGTTTAAATAGCTTAAATATGTCTAACAACAAGCCCAGATCTGCCCAGGTTGGTGATCACTGATTTATTTTTTGTACTAATATAAAGGAAAAAGTGGCTTCAGCCAAAAAATCACCAAAGCAGGTGAGCCTCAGGACTGTATTATCCTGTTTCAAAATTCGAACAAATGAAGAAAATACTGATTTCTCTGTAACAACCAGCAAGTGAAGGACTTCACTAGATTTAAAAAACTCAGGTTTGACCCACCTGTGTAATAAAACCAAATAAACAATCATCCTTAAGAGTTCATGGTCTAAATGCTTGTTAAAAATCTTCTAAACAGCACAATGTTGATTTTAAAGACCAGGAAAAACGCCAGACTTGATGGCTTAAATTTTTACCCTCAAACCATTGAAACATGAATGATGGCGAGCTAATGTCAACTAAATCTGTATACATGTCAGAGTACACCTCACCGCTGCTTCGAGTTGAAATGTGAAAAGTCTAGGCAGGGAGAGCATCAGCAAAGACCCCCATGGTACAAAACAAAACAGGCCTCAGTGACAAACATATCGACCCTTTGAAAATCAGACTCAGCTTAAAAAGGAGAAGCTGGGGTGGAAGAGGGTCATAAAGTGGTTTTGGTGAGTTGAAGTGAGGAAGCAGGAAGGGAAATAGAAACAGTCACTGACTGTTGGGTGAGCAGAATGTGGAATCCAGTTGGTGGAGCCTACGGTTTGATTTAGTAAATCAAAATACTTTGAGATGCCATCTCTCATCTGTTCTCATTTACATCCAGGTTGTAAAGAATTACAGCACTTCAGCAGCAGTTGTGGTGGCTTTCCCACACCATAGGAACAACATCTGATCAGCATTTCAGGCCTCCAGCGTTCTGTGTAATGATTCGCCTCGTGAGGATGACGATGTTTACGGCCAACTGAACATCTCTTGGTCCAGATCCCAGTGTTTTTATAAGAACTGGATGGGATCAGTGCTAGTTAGTGAGTGTTAAAAAGCTACCATGCTTATTTAGTGGTAAACAGTCATAAATAACAGCACATTAGCACTGACACTCTTGACTATGTTAACAAGCTTTCGTTCTAAGAACCGCCATGGTTAAGTACAGTTTCCCAGAGTGGGCAGACTGGCTTTACACTGGACTAAAAGAGTGAAAATCTTCTCATTTGATAAATAAGTTATGAGCTGTACATTAGCAGGAGGACATCAATGAGGCTGAGCATCCAGACAAAGGATCAATACAGACAGGGGACAGGATAGGGGCTTTCTCTGGAGAGCTGAGGCTATTTACAGAAAAAAAGGGGATGGTTGAGGAAAACCAGCTGCAGTCACTCTGATTGTTTGTGTGTTTTTGTCGGTATGAATGTGCGTGTGTATGTGTGTGTGTGTGTGTGTGAAAGTGCTCTGAATTGAATTAGCTGCCTGTTACTGTTTGACCGGCTGAAAATAACCAAGCCTCTGCCATCAGATGATTTACAGTCTCTAATTATAACCCAGCCATTTACAGATTTAATCTGTCATCCTTCTGGGACTCCTCTGAACCCTTTTAGCTGGGAAATGATGAAACTCAGCATCAAGGTCACCCAGCAGAGGGATACTCACAAACAGCCTACTTCATTTTTAGAGCAACAGTAGCAGCTTTATGAGGCTGTCAGATGCTCAGACGGTTCTTTTTCTTCTGTGTGTTTTCAGATGGACCTGAAGCTGCTCTTAATACCGGCCCTGTTAGGAGTCCTTTGTTACAGTACCGCTCAGAAAGGTAAGATTTCTCTGAATATGACGGATTCATACTCTGCTAACATCATTCATGTGTCACATGGCCTTGTTTTATAGACGCAACCTTTTATTAATAACGTAGAGATCAGCAGGATGACTTGCTCCTGAGAGAGCGAGCTTATTTCATCCTAATGATGTCATTGACCAGAGATCCACCTAAGCATCACGGAGAGCAGAAGATAATGGAAAAGGCAGAGAGTATCCCATCTCTGTATCTAATTACCATCGAGCCACACAGTGTTCCAGATGAACTGATGTGTAAACACAGAGGGCTTAACAGGCTGCTTACTTTACAGGGCCTGAGCTTTACCTCTGCTCCTCTAACTCTGCCTCCTCTCCTCCTCGTCTCTCTTTGCTCATCCAGAAGGGAACGAGTGCATCAATGCCAACGCCAAATTCTGCGGGGAGTGCATCCAGGCTGGGGCCAAATGTGGCTGGTGTACAGACCCGGTATGTAGAGCTCAGTTTGAACCACTGCAGAGAAACGTCATTGGATGCTTTAGTTTCACAGCGTCTGCTTTAGGCTTGATTAGGGCATTTTCACACCTGAAAAAAATAAACATAGGATCCAATTGAATAAAGCTAATCGTGTGAAAACTGTAACATATCCACTTACATGGAAATCTTTAACCAGATATTAGGTTTATAATAGCACTGAATTTATGAAATAGAACAGACACCTTTGTTTGCTCTGGGTCAGATCATAGACAGAGTTTCTTTACAGAGTTTTTTTTACAGAGTTTCAGAGTCTGCAGGTTTACATTGCCACATTGGTTTGCTTAGTATGGCAAAAATTAGACCACCACTTTATGCTGCTCACTCATTCCTCTACCTGGTGTTTATATGCCAGTTTAACTCTTCACAGCTCACATACAGATTGTTCTCTATGTTTTAGATTTTGCCTCTCCAGGTTGCAGAGCCTAATCAGTTAATTTTCTCGTTAAAAATACTGATAAATATCATTACAGCCTGTCATTCAATTGGTCGTATTATTTTCTTCAAATCTTCAAATCATTGGTGTTTTGTTTTTGCTCCAGTTTAACCAAAATGTACTTAAATGTACCCGACTGACAAGTTTTGTCTAAGATTTGTTGTATTTCCATGAGAAGTGACCAATCTCTCTGTTGCATGGTGCTATTATTACAGGCTGGTAATTCAGGCTAAACCTCTCAAAACACCTTTAGCTATCATATCAGTTTCAGTTTTGAAGGATTTCCAAGCCTTCAGCCAAAGTAGACGTCATGAAACAGTCTGAGTTGAGTAGTTCACCTCATGATAAATTCACTGAAGTTCACTGAAAAATCTGACAGACTGTCCCTTTAATCCTCCTTCAGGATTTCCTACAACAGGGTGAGACAGTGTCGACACGTTGTGATGAACTGCAGTCTCTTATAAGACGAGGCTGCAATGCCTCGCTGATAGAAAATCCCCGCGGTGGACAGGATGTCCTTAAGAACAAAACGGTGACCCATCGTCAGAAAGGAGCTGAAAAACTGAAGCCTGAGGATATCACGCAGATCCAGCCCCAGAAAATCAGCCTCACCCTCCGATCAGGTCAGAGGGAATCCTTGTGAAGCTTCTCTCCCTTCTTTTTGATTCGAGAAGATATATTTTAGCTCCATGACTTTAAACACTGAGGGTTCTTTATCACAGGTGAACCTCAAACCTTCGACCTGAAGTTCAAACGAGCTGAAGATTACCCCATCGACCTGTACTACCTGATGGACCTGTCCTACTCCATGAAGGATGATCTGGAGAACGTGAAGAACCTAGGAACTAGTTTGATGCTGGAGATGTCAAAGATCACCTCTGACTTCAAGATAGGTGAGGATTTGGGAATTTGGTGACGTGTTGCAGAAGACATGTCCACAAAGCCTAACACTGATATGTGAAGCATGTCGTCAACATGCTTCACAGTCTGTCAAGCCCTTCCTGGCTCATGAATCATGGAGCTGGCAAGGATTTAAAGTCAGGCCTCGGCTCTGTGGATGGAGTGGCTCCTATTCTTGGTCTGAAGAGCTAAAGTGAGCTGCACCTGGGTCACACGTCTTTGTAGCACAGGATCTTTGGCTGCTGACTTGTTAGAAATACGTTGTTTGGTTAGTTTCCTGGTGACTCAAATTACTACAGGTGGTGATGGTCAAAGTTTTTACACAGAAACAACTCAACACTGTTTTCTTGTTCTTTTACTTCAGTGAGGGAAAATCAGTGCCAGTGTTTTACTAAAAAAATAAATAAATAAATAAAACTCCCGCCTGTAAAATGATCAAATTTTCTTTAAAAATTGGTCCTTAATTTACATATAAAATCCTGTAGCTGTTTGATGCACGTTAGTTTTCTTCATTAGTGGAGGCTTTCAGCTGTTACTCAAGTGTTTGGGTTTGACCTTCTCAGAAAATGATCTGCTTTAAACTCTAAACTGGTGCTTACTTTACACACAGAGATGCAGATTACTGAAGATGACCAATTTATCCAACCAGTTGGATTTTACTGAGCAATTAATTCTATGAATTTTTCCTGAATTAAAACTCTGAAGAGACTAAAGCATTCTGAGGGGCTTCATCTACCAAGACATACGATTATGGGACAAATATTTAAGCTGGCTACCAGAGTGTAGATACAGGTTTAGTGTTTGGTTGGGATTCTGTTGGGGGTCCACAGTGTCAGACATACTTAAAATAAATATTTTCAGTGTTTCCAGGCGCTGTGGAGTAATGAGTGCTACCCGAGTGTAAACAGAGTTTTTCAGGCCTGCACAAACAGACCTTCAATGACCTCCTCTAAATTTATTTGGTGTCAGTTTACTGTCAGATGAGAGCAGACATCTAATTGAGTCTAATAACATGTTGAAAGTTCACTTGAGTTTTAAAAAGCTTGACTTTCTTTCAAAGGTTTTGGCTCCTTCGTGGAGAAGACGGTCATGCCATACATCAGCACCACACCTGCAAAGCTGCTGAACCCGTGCACAGGCGACCAGAACTGCACCAGCCCCTTCAGCTACAAGAACGTCCTGAGCCTGACCAGCGATGGAAAGAATTTCAACACCCTGGTGGGGCAGCAGCACATCTCTGGAAACTTGGACTCTCCAGAAGGCGGGTTCGATGCCATCATGCAAGTTGCTGTTTGTGGGGTAAGTTAAGTAAAAAATCTGAGGGGAATAACCGTACAAAGGTTCTCAACTCAAGGTGATTTTTCCCACAATTACCGCTCTAGCTTGGAGGGATAAGCACTAATAAATGTGTTTATGTGTTGATGTGTAAAAGAGAATTTTTATGAGTCTTTGCATTTAATGGGGAGATTTTTGGATGCAGTGTGATAAAAGTTAATGTGTCACGCTCAATTCCACTGTTTGTTTTTAAAGAGAGGCTGCACAACCGTGAGAGAATCAGCTTTACCTGATCAGGCTTCTTCCTTGTTTCTCAGGAGCAAATCGGATGGAGGAATGTGACTCGTCTGCTGGTGTTCTCCACTGATGCTGGCTTCCACTTTGCTGGAGATGGTAAACTGGGCGGCATCGTTCTGCCTAATGATGGAAAATGTCACTTGGAGAATAATGTGTATACCATGAGCCATTACTATGTGAGTAAATCAGTGGGGTTTGACCTGTTTTTAAGGGGGAAAGGGCACTGAAAAGGGTCTCTGAGTTGAGTTTAAACAGACGCTGCTGCTCGTTTTACATTGTAAATTTGACTTCCTGTTTTAAAGGACTATCCCTCCATCGCTCACCTGGTCCAGAAGCTGAGCGACAACAACATTCAGACTATCTTTGCAGTAACAGAGGAGTTCCAGCCTGTTTACCAGGTAAGTCTCCTTCTCCTCTCTTATCACAGTCCAACACTCTTTGAGTCCACTCGATTCCTTCTGTTTGGAGCCTATTCTGCCCCTCTCCTTCTGCGTGCATGTTCAAACTGCCCCGGGGTAAATAAATCCACCTGGTTTGATACATCTGCTGTGAGTTATGGTAACATCCCCTGAAAGCACTGATTATTTTCTCGTGCCATGCTGTTATTTTTGAGTCTGGCTCAGCACATCTGGGTTTGATAAAAAGGTCTTTTTTTGTTTAGTCCACAGTAGTTTCAAACCAATTTATTTAGAATAAACCTGCTGAAATGGATCTGAATTGGACAATAAAGGCGAAACAAAGCCATGACAGATACTCTAAAACATGAGGATGAGCATTAAGGACATTACAACTAAGAATGTACTTATACACAGGAGAATCTTCTTTATTCACATTCTTTAGAGTTATAGGCTGAAGTTTTCATAAACAGTTAAAATTATTGTCATATTAAAGGTGTTAAATCAATACTTACAGTTTATATACATTCATAGAAAAGTTATTTTGAGCATTTTATTCTTGCTAGTTGAGGTTCAGTGTTTAAAATGCCATTTAAACCCTCTATTTTCATTTTTCAGGAGCTGAAAAATCTGATTCCAAAGTCTGCGGTGGGAACTCTGTCTGCCAATTCCAGCAACGTTATTAACCTCATTATCGATGCCTATAATGTAAGTAGACAGATATCAAGACTTCAGTCACTCTCCTGTTAAAACATAATGTCCAGACTGAGTTCAGGCAGTGTTTCATTATCTGCACTCTGTCTCATGAGCTTCCTTTACGGTATACTGTCTAAACAAAGTTAGAAGAAAATCCAGGACAGGAAATGACACTCTTATTTCCTGATTTTTGGCAGTCCCTGTCGTCCGAGGTTATTCTGGAGAACAGCAAACTCCCAGAGGGGGTGACCATCGCTTACACATCCCGCTGCAAAAACGGAGTGGTTAGTGAGGGCGAGAACGGACGGAAGTGCTCCAACATTTCCATCGGGGATGAGGTGAGGATTTGAAAATGCCCTTTTACTTTTTGTTATTGCAGCACACAGCACATGAGCTCTGCACCCGATTCATTCAGAAACTGAAAATGTCCAAAAATTATTTATTTGTTTCAAAAGGCTTTAAAGCTGTGATGTAAATGATAAATACAAACATCAGCTTTCAATATTCAGAGACTGAATATTGAAATATTCCAAACTGTGTCTGGATCACTACGAAGGTGTTGGTAAACAGGCACTTTGGACAGGAAAGGCTTTCTTTTGGATACACTGGATCATCTCCAACCCTCACTCCCACAGTTTACTAACTGTATTTCACTGAAGCGACTCCTTGTGTCACTTGACTTCTCAGTCATCCCATTCTGTTTCCTTCCTGCACAAACAGCTCACACTGACATCATATGGAAACTGCTTTATTGGTTGACCTTTACAGGTGTTACGGTTTTTAGATTTTCACAGTGAAGCCCTCCTTCCTTTCTTTCTTTTTGTAGGTGACGTTCAGTATCAGCGTGACGTCTAAAGGCTGTCCTAAACCTAAAAAAGGAAAATTTGAGACCATCAAAATCAAACCTTTGGGATTCACAGAGGAGGTGGAGGTGATCCTCAACTTCATCTGTGAGTGTGACTGCCACAAAGAAGGCATCAATAACAGCGACGAATGCCACTTTGGTAACGGGACCTATGAGTGTGGAGCCTGCAAGTAAGACTGTGCACACCATCTTTATGAAAGGAAAGAGAGAGAACCTGGTAACACTGAGGGATAACTTATTTTCTTTGTCTAAGGTGTAACGATGGACGTGTGGGCAGAAAGTGTGAGTGCAGCAGCAACGACGTGGCCACAGAGGACATGGACCGGACCTGCAAGAAAGATAATGGCACAGATATCTGCAGCAACAATGGAGAGTGTGTGTGCGGCACCTGTGAGTGTAAGAAGAGAGACAACCCTGAGGAGAGGTACAGCGGCCAGTACTGCGAGTGTGACAACTTCAACTGTGACCGCTCTGAAAACAAGCTGTGTGGAGGTGAGAGGGACGGCTCTGGAGGATCAGTCTCACTGCTATCAAAAGGTTTAGAAAGACAGCAATGCTAAATCAAGCTCTGCTAACCTTTATTTTCCTCAGGGCACGGTCGATGTGACTGCAGAGTGTGCATCTGTGACCCCATGTGGACAGGAAGTGCCTGTGATTGCTCTTTGGACAACAGCACATGTATGGCCAGTAACAAGCAGATCTGTAACGGCAGAGGGGATTGTGAATGTGGAAACTGTAAGTGCACAGACCCCAAGTTCCAGGGCCCCACCTGTGAGACCTGTCCTACCTGCCCAGGTGTCTGCGCTGAACACAAGTAAGTCTAAGATAAAGATCTTTTCGTGTGCACACTGTTTGATTGGACCTGGGACACATTATTTTGTTGGCTTAAGCATTTTCTGAGGGTTGTCCTTGATACTGATATTTCAAACACATGCTAGCTGATAATTATACACACACACACACACACACACACACACACACACATACACACACACACACACACACACACATATATAGATAGATAGATAGATAGATAGATTTCATTTGGCAAGTCTTAAATGCACTGAAACTGACCTCTTATCCTTAATGAAACAGCATGCTTGTTTTAGAGACTAAGATAGGAAAGACTTAGTTAAGATGATTGGCATTCGAGCTGTATTCAAGACTGCTTACAGCCTAATATGGTCGAATGCAGTATGAACTAGGGATGTAAGTTTAAGTATTCTTTGTGATCAATTAATTACTTGTGAAAAGAAGCTGGATTTTTTTTCTGCAACAAAAACAACATCAAGGGCTCTATTTTCGTTCGCGCCGGTGAGGCGGCGGAGGGCGGCGAGCCCCGCGCAGTTGTATTTTCGTCTGGCGGAGCCCGGCGTAAGGCGAGTTTGGTATTTTCGTGGACTGAGTCGCACGGAGGCGAGCCGAGATCCGCCAAGCTGGGCGTGGTGGCGTGGCAGGGGGAGGTGTTGACAGAATCAGCTGGCGCAGTGACATTTTCGTGCTCGCCACTGGCGTGTAACGTGCGCTGAAAGCTCGCCGATTCAAACCTGGTCAGCTTTCAGCGCAAGGCGGAACGCAGCTGGTCTAGTAGTATTTTGGTAGACCGGCGGCGTATCGACATATGTCACCGATGCCTCACCGGCAGGTTTCCACAGTGTCAGGCAGATTTCAGTGCATTAAATAATCATCAACAACTATTAATCTGAGTCAGCACATACATTTAGATCTATATCGATATATTCTGATCTATATCTGATCTGATGAGCGCGTTTGGCACGCGTTTGGCACGCGTTTGGGCACACAAGCTGACCGAATCAATACAGCTGAAACTGCATCAAATTAAATTAAATATCTAGTAAATAAACACACATGATGAAGTTAACAAGATATGTAATTCGTCTCCCTCCTTTTCTTTATTCCTCTTATTTCTCGCACAGCTCGACCTGGACACGTCTCCGTGTCCTCTGTCCGTCTTCCTGCTGCTGCTGCGGCTGAACAGATGATTTGTTTCAGTGCTCAGATGCGTTATCTACTTTAAGCCGACATACGGATATTATAATATTCAGTTTTGTGGGCCAAATTTATTTTACATGCCAACATCTATGAAAGAAAGAGCCAGGCCACGGAGCGCGATGCGTCATTTACGCACAGATGGTTCCGATTTTAATGCCATTTTTGGAGTTTATGTTGTGATCTGTGCGCTAAACCCACCTTTGTCAAGTGAGGTTTGAATATATGCAACTTTATGTGAGTGTCTTTATTTGTGGAAAAGGGTGTTTGTCTTACCAGTGGGTCCAACATTACGCACACCAAATCCATCTGTGCTCAGATGAGAGAGTGTGGAGGACACTTGTTGAGCAGCTGCCCTCTGTCGCCATCGTGTGGCATAATTGTCTTCAGACATCTCTTGATCTCTTTGACTACTTCATGAAAATAGTAATACGCCTCGCCGGTGGCGGATTTAAAGGCAAGGAGAGGAGCTTATGTGATTGGTGAAAACAGGTCTCGGCTGTGTTAAACACACTATACGCCCTCTCTCCTCCCCGTCTACGACTTATGCTGCCGGGAGGAGCTGAGTTAGGGAGGGGGGATACTTACGCCGGGCTGCGCGGCTCACCAAAATACCAAAATGTGCTTGGGAACGCCTTGTCAGCGCGGCGGATCTGATTGACGCTGCGCTTGCGGCACGTCTCCGGCGAGGCACCAAAATAGAGCCCCAAATGTGTCTTTCCTCTGTCATTTATTTTCAACACCATTATTCTGGATATCATTGATGGTATGGTAGAGGTACAGAAGGCATAGAGGCGTACAGACTGTTGAACACACTGAATATCAGCATGGAGGGCAGACTGATAAAAATACTTGTCTCATTAATCACACAGAGCAAGCCTTAAACTCCTGAAAGTGAGATTTCTTCATCAAAAGAACTAAGCAGGAAATATTTCAAGGTCCAGTCTTCTGCATTCTTGTTCTTATTGATCAAATAAGCAAGTCCACATGGACACGCTCGGTCTGCCAGCAGGAAACCCTCTGAGACGATGCTGATGGTGTTGGTATGCAGAGATGCTGCAGTGCCAGCTTTGACAGTGAGAACAGTATGTACCTGATGAATTGTTCACACTCACTCCTGGTACAGTATGTACTTCATACTGCGTATCATGTTGAACAGCAGCTAAGACTAGCTGTTCTGTTGGATCCGTTTTTCATGCACTTGGCCATACTCTGATGGTTTTCAGTTTTAAAACATAGAGGTAAACAACAGTCTATATGACAACAAAACTGCAGGGGTTAGCATCCACACATGGTCTGAAAAAACAGAGGTTTCAACATAAAGGAATTACAACCTATGGAGTTTGTAACCACAGAAATGAGAGTATTCTCCGGAGCTGATTCTGCATTAATTCACTGTAAATGTGATGGAGTCACAACTAGTTCCTCAAGTGTTCATCCGTCTTTACCTGGAATACATAATGACAGCTGTAGCCGGTCAAACTTTTAAGTTATCTTTACCCTGGAGTTCCCCAGTGAGAAAAGGTATTAATGTGGTTTCAAAGATATTCTTCTTTCACAAACTTCACACTGGGGTTACTGTCTTTCCTTTCCCTTAGACCTGTAGATGTCATTGCATTTCATTGTGAAATAATACTACTACTACTAATAATAATAATAATAATAATAATAATAATAATAAAAAAATAAAAATAATAAAAATAAAATAATTATAATATATTTTAATTGATAAAAATAATAATGATAAAAATGCTTATCCATCTTCTCCACCCCTACACACCCCCCGCACCCTCCGCTCCGCCAATGCCAACCTCCTCACAGTTCCCCTGACTAACCTGGGGGGACAGAGCCTTCTCAGTCGCCGCCTCCACCCTCTGGAACTCAGTCCCACTGGACCTCAGAAACTGCACAGACTTCAACAGATTCAAGACCCTTCTCAAAACCCACCTCCTCCTTTCATCCTCCATAGTCCCCCCCCCCCCCCCCGTGGATTTTACATGATTTTATTGATATTGATGTATATTTTATTGTATATTGATGTGTGTTTTATTGTATATTGATGTGTGTTTTATTGTATATTGATGTGTGTTTTATCGTTCTTGCTTTTACTCATGTACAGCGTCTTTGCATTCTTGAAAAGCGCTTTACAAGTAAAATGTATTATCATTATTATTATTATTATGAAGGAAAAAAATCATACCCTTTTGAAAGCGACCATGATAAAAACAACACTGTGCCATTGTAATGATAATATCAATGATGATGATAAAATAAGACTTACAATAACATCAAAAATAATGATAAAATAACTAATAAAGTTATTAGAGAAGAAATGTTATGTTATTAAAATAATAATTATGATAATAAAAATAGAATAAGATTAAAAGAAACATAATAAAAGTTAAAACATAATAATTATTATTAAAACAATAGAATACAAATAACGTTATTTTTAACGGTGGTAATTCAAAATAAAATTATAATAATGATAATGATAATACTAATATCTGTAATGATAATTTATAAGATAATAATTATTGTAATGACAATCAAAATGATAATAATATTATAATGCTAATAATAATTAAAAATAGTAATAAGATTGTCAATTTATTATGAGTTGAAGTAGTGTTCAATTATAATTTTAATTTTAATTATAATCACTTATTTAATATTATACTGTTCATACTGTGGTTTTTTCCTTGACAGTATGACACTTGGGTATTTTTGGTGTTCTGCAGATTTAGCTCTTGATCACACACTACGGGCTACATTTTGGCTGAATCAGTACATGCTGTTTATACAGGCACTCTCTGTAATCAGTGTGTTATTGGTTGAGTGTAAGGTAGTGTAGAAAAGCTCTGAGGTTGAGACAGTGTTATGTTACGAGTACAGTTTATTGAACAGTTACCTCCTGCTCCCTCAGAGAGTGCGTCCAGTGTCGGGCATTTGGGACTGGAGAGAAGAAGGACAAGTGTGAGAAAGAGTGCAGTGACTTCACCCTCATCAAAGTAAAGGACCGAGACAAGCTGCCGCAGCCCCACGACTCATCCTACCCTGTCGTGCACTGCAAGGAGAGGGACGCCAACGACTGCTGGTTCTACTACACCTACGCCGTCAACAACAACACGGAGAAGGAGGTCCATGTGGTGGAGACTCTGGGTAAGCAGAGAGCTGGGCGGTTCCTGTGTCAGAGTCAGATAATGACAGAGGCTGTGGATGCCGGGCTGCAGAAATAGATTGTTTCTTTCTTCACTCAGGGGCCCTGTGTTTTCCCATGCTTTCCTTTTTATTCAAAGCTGCTAAACTCTCTCCTTCTCTGCCTTTCAGACTGCCCCGCTGGTCCTGATATCATCCCAATTGTGGCGGGCGTGGTCGCTGGCATTGTCCTGATTGGCTTAGCACTGCTGCTCATCTGGAAGCTGCTAATGATCATCCATGACAGGAGAGAGTTTGCCAAGTTTGAGAAGGAGAAGATGAACGCCAAATGGGACACGGTGAGAGAGTCTGAAACTCTGTGAAGATCAGCAGGATGAATATTTGAGTTTATTGGCTGAGGGTTGGTGCAGATATGTAAATGTGGAAAACAGGTGTTGTAGGTCGGCTCTGCAGAGCCAGCCGCTGTCAGGGACTTAACTCATGAGAAGCATTTGTTGTTCTTACCAGCAGATGAGATCTGCAGACTTACTGATATCATTACAAAGAGTCTGGCTAACATTCCCTGCAGTCTCACATCTGCAGGAACAGATTGAATGTGTTGCTTTTGAGCAGCACTCAAAGTAAAGAGGAAACGTGCCAGAGACTGTGTGGACTTTTTTGGGAATGTTATGCACTCTGAGCAGAGCCGGACTTTTTCCGGGGAGCGGCCACAGCTCCTCCCTCCCTGTTTCCTGCCCTTTATAGAATCATCTGCCAACATCAATATGACAGAGGGCAGGGGCCCAGCACAGACGGCTGTGAAGTACAATGACTCCACCTAGTGGATTAAAACATATTCTCATAATGCAGATGTTTTTCCAAGTAAATTTTGATGGATCTCACAATGTTTTCACTTAAATAACTTTAAATTTAGTGTTGTTGCTCAAAGTTTACAATTACACAAGGGTAAGGGTGCTGAGTTAATAAAAACACAATTAGATGGTTTGTGAGTCATTAAAAGTCTATATATAATTGAAAAAAGTGCAAAGACAACAAATACACTTCAAATGATTCACAAACCATCAAAATTTGTTTATAACAACTCTTATGAAATTATAGTTACATGTTTATATGTTAAGTTAGCTTATTTACCATGCCAGTTCCTTTGGAGTTCTTCAATTTGCTTGAAAATTAACAACAAACACCCAAGAAACTGAAGAAAACAAACTCAGCCATAAATCAGATGCTGCATAACATACTAGAAAGAAACAATCCCCTCATTAGACACCTTCTTCCTCTTCTTCTTCTTCTTTTTGAAACTAGAGAGACATTTGTTATTATTGTCTTGATAAAAAAAGGTCAGGTGTCATTATATTTGAACTCCTTTTTCTCTCACTATCTTCATTCTGGCTGAATTTTATTTGTTCACTTCTCTCCTTTTAGTCTGCCTTCCTGATCGTCTTTATTTCTGAACTTTATTCTTTCCTCACTCTCCACCTGTAGCAAGAAAACCCCATATACAAGAGTCCTATCAATCAGTTCCAGAACCCAAACTATGGCCGTAAAGCTGCTGTCCTTTGAGTTTGTATTTCTTTTTCCTTTCCACTTCACTTTCCTGCATGGGCTGTTCATGTGTGTCTGAATTTCACTCTTTCTTTGTTGCTTTATTTCACCTTTCCATAAAATCTTCAGAGAGCAAAAACCACAGACAGATGAACCCCAAAAGAGTGATGTTGTCTTCATAGTTAGTATAGATGAGTGCATGAGTGTGCTGCTGAAAAACTATTCTCTGGATCAGCTTGATTTATCAATGAGCAGCATGTTTTTAAGAAGTGTGTTTTCAATGAATGACAGACCTATAAGATGATGAGACCCAAAGCTTAACCCGGTTTTTGTGTGTGTGTTGTCAGAAAATCTAACAGTTACATTGAACACTGATAGATTAGATTTAAATGGTGTGATTAACTGAATTATTCTCTTCTTTTCAGGGTGAAAATCCCATCTACAAAAGTGCTGTTACAACTGTTGTCAACCCCAAATATGAAGGCAAATAATGGCCCTGTTTTCATGAACTCTGCTATCAAACGTCATCTGACACCTGCAGGATTGACCCTGTATTCAGGAGGATCTGGAGGAAAACCTGATGGAAATGTTGTTTCTTCTTGTTGCTTTTACTGTTAAAATGTACCCTGCAGCCACTGCATCTGCCTTTTTACTAACACTTATGATTTATATGCATATGCTGTGTTGTTAGATGTACAGTATATGGTTTGTGTATATACTTTTGAGTTGCGTATGTGCAGAAATGATGAAATGAAGGTGCTTTTTTTCCTGCCACAGGACTGGCAAAGGCAGATTATCTTTTTTTTTGTTTGTTTGTATAAGCATCACATTGTGGACACTCTGGATATCTGTTTTATATATATATGAAGTGTCTCTTTCTCAGATGTGTCTCTGTGCACTGACCTCCTGCGTGTTTGTGTGATGCAGACAGGACCTGAATTTGATTAATGCAAAGCCTCAGCCATAGCAGCACATTATTCAATGTGTGTGTATATAAAGAAAATAACTGCAATATGGAGAATTGAGAGATATTTGGCATTCAGCATAGATTGGACTGTTACTGTTGAATCTCTTTTGCAGCGTTTGTAAATGTAGTTTTTAAACTGCAGCTGAGAAACACCTGAACCTAGAGATTTTATTCTAGTCTAGGCGAGTAAACACATGAGATGGAGTAAATATCAGTTGTTTTTTTATGAAAAGGTTGATCACAAAGGGACTGTAAACCACTCGTGAAACTATCCAATCTGTAGCAGTGTTGAACAATCAAAGGATCTGTAAAGTTAGAAAGCAACATGCCTATAAAAATATTGTTTTATTTGCTAACTCCAGCAACTTTATCACTTCTTCTCAGGTCTTTTCCTGTGTTTGTCAAGTACCTGAAAAAGCCTGCTCTCTGTTCATCTGTGGACTGGTGAACTTATTTACCTGGTCAGTTATCCTTTGTCACCAATTATAAACGAACATGTGCATTTGTTTGGGCGTTGTGTAAATCACCTCTTTCACAGCCAAATGCCTCTAAACACAGACTCACAGCTTTCACAGTATTGTTTTCAAAGTGCCTTTTATTTCAGTACCATGTTCCCTCCTGATGCTGTGTATGAGTTATTTATTAAATAAACTACAAAACTACCTGTGTGTCCTTTCTGTGTAGCTGTCTCTATAAAATAAAAAATAATAAGAAATAATGAAGCATTAAAGCTAAAGGTCAGAGTATCTCTGCTTAAAACAGACAAAAGTGGCCAAATTAAATCAAAGGTTAGGGGTCAAAGCTGATCCATTGCTTCTTACAGGACTCGGTCTGACTCACTCCCAGGGTTTGCAGCTTAAACATTCAGAAAGGTCTCAGTCAGAGGAGGTCAGAGGTTCACGATGTAGAGTAAAACACAATCTTATTAAAGAGGGAAAGCCTTTAGAGAAACAACTAAAAACAAGTGCTACCTGATTGAACTTTGAGGGATATTTTACACACATATTTGAACAAAACTACACTTTTTGTTTTAATGTAAAAATCAGGTTGAAGCTGATTTCTTTAATATATTTTTGACAAATCATAAAAAGGATTGTTTATTCAAATATTCTCATAACTTTAGAAAAACTTTCTTTTGAAAGATGTAATTATTTATACCTTTATTTTACAATAAGTGTAATGTAGCCTATGGGTAATGTATGGGGTGTAATCACACCTAATCAGTTATTTGTTTCCCTATTATATAAATATTAGCATGTGTGCACTAGATAAACTGTCCATATACAGCAGAAAGCACAAGATAATACAGATCTCACAAGATAGCTCATTGTAAAACTATAACCTGTAACTCTTACTGATAACCATTTCATTATCTGCACGAGTTATGGAACAAGTTAGTGCATAAAAGATAACGTAATAAAATCTTTATTGATCCCCAGAGAGAAATTTAATTAAAATAATTAGAAAATGATAGTAAGATAGCAATTTTTCAATTCCAAAAAATTATTTTGCAAGATATTGTTCCCTCGAAGAAAGGAATGTAAACTTATATTAAGATTATTTTTTTGTACACACAAGGTTACAACTTGAAGTTGTTATCTTGTCTGAACAACTTATCTCATATGCATCAGTTTACTTGTGCACAAAAGACAACCTGATGCACAAGATTTCTTGATCTGTTGTGTTTTACGAGAAATGATAGCCATAGTTATGGAGAAGTGATGTTATTCGTGGTCACCTTAGAGCTCTGAATGTTTAACATTTTTCAGATCTAAACAAACTAAGCTACTGAGCGGACTGCTATCTTTGATAAATAGCAAATATTTTGGAAAACCTTCAACTTAACCCTAAAATAAAGTACCTGGACTTTATCTTAGTACTCTAAAGTACTAAAATACCAGTACCTGGACTTCCCTTGAGACAAACACCTGAGGAGAAACGCTGATCTCAAGTTCACATTGGGGGAAAAATGGCTTCAGGCAGACCTCCTGCTGTGAAGAGCCTCCTGACCCAGGTCAGGCGATGGCTCAGCAGCCTCTCGAGTTAGAATCTTTCCAGTATAAAAATGAATAATCAGATTTAGCTGAATTTTACTCATTAAAAGCTTTTGGGTTAATCATGCTTTTTATTTAATTGAATCATTGAGAGTAAACATCGAAAAGTATGCAAATTCATTTAACTAGAGTTATGTTGTTAAAGTGTTAATTGTCAGAAATTTTCTGGTTTTCTTTCATAGAAAAGGAGGTTTAAGGATACGATTAAAAGAGAGATAAGCTATCCATCTTGTTAAAATGGAAATGTCTCCTAAATCATATCCAGATTTTAAATTGCCCCTGGGGGACATAAGGGATTTGAACTGAACTGAAGATTTTCACAGAGTTTGACACAACAGGATCAGAAAGGATCCTGGTTTTGGTTTATAATGGAGCAGATTTTTAAAAAATAGAAATCTAACATGTCAACTTTTATACATTAGCCACTCTAGTGTTTTATTTCTTCATGATTTTCAGTCACTGTTTTTACATACATAACTTTTCTGTTAAACCCTCTGTTTTCTCCTTAAATGCTTTGATGTGAGTCAAATCTCTGACTCTGGCACTATTATATCTGAACTTCTGGATCTCATGTCAGCCAGCAGATGGCTTCAAATGTCCTCAGAGTTTCTTCTGATGTCCTTACGAAAACACAGCAGGGGTTTCCACAAAGCACATGAATTACTGCACACAGTCTCACCAACAGGAAACCTGAATAACCTGCTGCACTCTGTGACACCCGTACATTCAATATCAACACGAGAAAAAAAAAGCTTTCATTTATGCCAGAATGATTAAACCTGAGACAGACAAAGAAAGATCATTCAAGGTGCAATGACATCAGACTGTTTGTATCCTCAAGAGGGAAGTTAAGTGCCGACATGTTTTACTTTGTCCACATGAACTAATGAGCTCATAAGACACTTCTGACAATAATTAAAACATGCTGTGAACAACTTGATTCCTAAAAATGTGTCCCTTTAATCCACTAACTTAAAATTTTTTCTTTGTTTTATGTCCTTAAAATTTAGGGCCAAACAAAGAGCAGCACAATAACATAAAGTAAAAGATATGAGGTAAATGACAAAGAACATCAGAGGTCACATGATTAAGCTTGAGTAGCTTTATTTGATCAGTGTTCAACATAGATAGGATAGATAGATAAACAGGAAAACCTCACAAAACATTAACATATAAGAAATGATCATTTGTGAATGTCTCCTGAGAGAACATTCAGAGTATCATGAGTTTTCCATACTTCTATTAAATCAAGAAAACAGTTAAAAATAAATGCATTTTAGTTTTTAACAGTAAGAGCAGACAAGCAAAGACCAGCTTCATATAACTTTGTTAAACAGTAATTAAACATATTTTTTTTCTGTTTTCCTTGTGAAAACTTCATCAAACACCCAAACATGCCTGATATGATCAGAAAAAGAAGGGAAGGCTCATTTACAGAGATTGAACATCTGAACTAAGGAAAGATAAACAACAGTGGCTGTCTCAGGTTAAGTGAGGTATCAACCACCAGCACATGGTCACTGAGCTTCAGTTCAGATCCAGGTGTTCACAGAGGAAGGGGTCCAGCTCACAGAGAGCCTCAATCATCTCTGAACTGGCAGCTTCTCCTTTCTTCCTCACTGTGTCGATAACAAAACGAGCTTTCTCTCTTCTGTTTCTCAGCTCGTCTGCGGACTCCCGCTCACAGTCTGTCATCACCGTTTTTTCAGACAGTTTGTCCAGCAGAGTTTGGAGGACAGGTCCTGATACCCCCTCAATGAAACTGCTCCTAATGTCAAACAGTCTCTGGTCTAGAGGCAAATTTAGAGCACTCTGTCCACAGGACCTTAGGACTCCAGAAGACGAGAGACAAACTCGTCTTTCCCAGACGCTGTGGGAGCTGTTGGTGTCTCTCAAAACCAGCTTCATGTGTTTCAAGGTTCTTTCTAAAAACACCTGGAATGATGGGAAGTAGTTGTCGTAGTTGTCAGAGTCAAACTCAGCTGTTGTTGGTTCCACTAGAACTGAGTCGTCTTCAGGACAGATGGACAGAGAGTATTCCTGCTGTGGGATCAGTTTACAGTGTGGGGATGTCTCAATGTAGCACTCTTCTCCATCTAACTTCTTCCTGTAGCGGAGCACGTCCCTGAACGCCACGTTCCTTGGTAAAACCATCACATTGAGGAGGGAGGTGGGATCTGGATTAGATGGGGGTCTGTAGAACAGCAGTACCAGTGCTTGGACAGGGTCAGGAGGGGAGTCTTCGTCTTTGACGTTACCGAAGGCAGAGACACCTGAGATGTTGATGACGACATGAGTTTCTGTGATCTTCTGAGGGGCTATAAACTCGATGCCCTCTTCTTCATCCATGTGAGCCACTGACAAGAACTCAGCTCCACCTGTGGAGCGGATCTCACAATGTGGAAGGTGAAGCTGACACACACTCTGCTGCTCACATTTGATGTCAAACAGGGGTCCTGCAGGCTGCTTGTGATGCTGGGACAGCAGCCTTCTGTCCCAAGAGAGCGTCCTGTAGACCACCTCCCCTTCTCGCTCCATCAGGAACAGTAGACCTGTCACTCTGCACTGGTATAGGCCTGAGCAGGAGCTCTGGAACCTGTAGGTTTCATGGTCTTCATCAGCAGTGACATTAGGTGTGAACTGCTCAAAGCTGCTTTTTAACTGCAGCTTAGGTAAGCTGTGTGCTCGTGTTGGAGTTTTGTCCTTTGCAGAGGTCATATGACTCAGTGAGCGGGAGATGTTAAAACGAAGCAAAGATCCACAGACTCTTTCATTCCTGGCACAACCTGAGGAGCAGGTCTGGATCTGACAGCAGGTTAGCAAGGGGCTTGCGACTGACCAGCTCACAGGTGTATCAGCTTCATCTAGATCCTGAGCATCACTCAGATATCCTGACTCTGACTTACTGCGAGCATGAATCCATTTCCTCCGCCTTTCTGTAGGGCTGTCCTCACTGTTGCTTCTCTTTGTTCTTAGATTAGGATGTTCGTCCTCGGAGGGTTCAGGATGATTTGAGTCTTTGATACTGGAGCTAACATCAATGAGTGGCTGCAATCCACCTCCTTTGTCAGAAAACTGAGCCTCACTATCCTCCTCAACACTGTTCCTCAGCCCACTGGGGGGATGGGGTTGAGACCCAGATTTAACAGGAGACCGAGCATTCATGTAAACTTGAGAGGAGGAGGAGTTGTCTCTGCAGATCCGAGACAGCACATTTCTGATTCTTCTGGTTGCTGTGCTGAAACAAGAAGCTCTTCTCTCAGTTCTGTCCATCTCTCCAGCTGATGCCATTTTGCTGAGTGACAACCAAAAGTAGAGGATGAGCTACAGATTTCAGGAGATGACTGTATGTGTTTAAACTGAGTTTCCTTTGTTCCCACACCCTAAAACAAATGGCAAAAAAGCAAAAATGTGAAAATCTGACACCTTCTCAGCACATTTTATGAATATCAGCCATTTAGAATCATCACTACTGGGTTCTCAAACAACCTGATTATCTGTTCTTACCTCTCACCTGGCTGTGTCAAATACTTCATTTTAATTGGTCCAAACCCTCACCAACGGTTATTCATTTTAAAAAACAAGAGCAACTTCTGATCATTGACATCATATCAAATCAAAGAAGTCCGGCACATTTAACCTCTGTCCGTCAATCTTGTGGCAAATATTAAATTTTCATTCACATCTTAACTTGTGAGGCTAAAATAACATTGAGGACATTCTCATAGAGGGTCCTGTCCTGGCCAAGCTGTGACATCTGCTCTGAATAAATGAAACCATTGTGAAAGTGCTCAAAACAAGAGTTCCCCTAGTGCCTGCTTGAGAAAATCACACTGCGCCATCAAAAGTTAGAGCTAGAATAAAAAATGTTTACAGCCATGTTCAGAAACAGTCTGGGCCCCACAGCACCTACTGTACAAAGTATTCATGTTTTTGAATCAAATGAGGTTTTGGAGGAAGTTACGAGATTAGCGAATCAGAGGCATGGTGGGTTGACCGAGAGTTAGGTTGAGTCAGCATGGTGACTGCCACCAATAGGCTTCAAAACTCTGCTTCACAAACAAATGGGGGACACCACGGACACTACGTCCATGAATTATTCAGTCTTTTGTCCTGCAATCCAGGCAATGGTAGCAAAGCTGGTGAGAGCATTTTTGACTGGTAGATCATCACAAAGTAACCTAATCATGAGCAACGGTCAGTGTAAAAAGCTGTGAGATATGTTCAAAGATGCGCCACGCCGAAGCTCAGTGATGAGTGAGAGCAGAAATGTCAACACATATCACTTTGTTCAATGGCTGATGCTGATAATGAGAAGATGCTGGGCAATTTCATGTTGCTGCTGTTTCCCCAAATGTGACAAAAACAACAATTTATCACAACTAACAAATGGGGAAAAAGTTTTCCACTGGTGTGAATATTTTATTAGACGGATTCAGAGAGATTGATATTACAATGTAAAAAAAGACAGTCATGTAGAGACCCATTATTCCACACACATCCATATCTTATAAAGTAGTAAGCTTAGCTTGCAACATGTTTTAGATGAACTTTGAATGAACTAATGGAAAGAGAAAAACACTGAGGTTTGCCACAGACTGCAGGTAATGGCAGAGCTGTAGGTCAGAGGCATTAGTCTCTAAATCATAACAGAGTTGATATCAAACAAAAGCCATCAAAGGTTAAAGATTTTATGTCATTTAGGTTGTAGAAACGTTTTGTTAGGATAAAGGTGATATCAGTTTTGTGAGGGCCAATGCTGATATGCCGCCAATAATGTCAAAATGCCATCAGTAGGCCCTCTCTAACTCCTGCTTAAGTACCATTCACCTCCTCTAACATCTTGGATTGAAATGATCAGCTGTTCGTCAAACTATCATATCCATCTAAAATCATTAGGTGGCTCTGTGTACTCTCTTTCAGAATATAAACACCCATCTGTCAAAGTCAAAGCATTCTTTCAGAATGCTGAAAAAACAGGGTATTGTTTCTTTGACTTGACAGGCAGCTCTTGTGTCTGTGTGTTGGACCCTTATTTTGATACTGATATGAAGGTACAGCAGATTGGATTAACTTTAACACACTGCTTTAGCTGACTACACTGACACAGTAAACGTGCCTGATCATCTCTGGAGAGAACATTTCTGTCACTGCTTAATAATGTATGAAAAGGAGTCATTTCTTACTGAATTCCAAAGAGGAAGTCCTTCTGGTAAATTTGCAGATGATTCTTTTTAAAACTAAAAACAGCGGTTACATCTCTTACTTCTGAAACCAACAAAAATTGTAGTTTTCCCTCAGTCTCCTGTTTGCTGCTCACAGGAAAGATTGAATTTTTTGTTTTTTTCAGGATTTCCAGGTAAAGATGGAGCCTTGAGTACTTTCTGTTTATTTGCATGCTAGAAAGTTTCTCCTAACAAATTAGATTGACATTTATTGATTAGTAAAATTGAAACTAACTAGTTCATTGTATGTTTTGTGATTTATAGATATAAAAGTTTTCAAATAAAGCTATTGAGATTAGGAGTAAAATTCCCATCAGACGTTACAGAGGTGGAAAAGGTACTATAGGAAAGTACCCTGGAGTTCATTACTTAGTTGAAGCAGGTGTTTACATCCATCTTTGTGAAGGATGTAAAATTCATCTTTATAAACTGACTGAAACAAAAGTTAACATCACTCAGCTCCATTTTTTGTAGTTCATGTTTTAAAGTTTGATATGATTTGGACAGAAACTTAACACAGAAATCTTCCTCTGGTAATCTTCATTCATAACAGACTTATCAGGTTGTTAGTCTGAAACATTAGTAAGATGTTTGATCAGTTTTTCTCAGACCTACCTGTGAGCTGTAAAGGTTGAGTTCCCTTCTCACTCACGAACAGAACAGGATCAGTCAGCTTCTGGTTCTCTATGCAAGTTTTTTTTTTCTACTTCCTCCTGTGGCTTTACTGATGGTGCCCTGAATAATGTGGTCTGACATTTACCTGACGGTAGGTCAACTTTTTCCATGCTCATTTCTCTCAGCATAAACAGGTGTGTGTGTGTGTGTGTGTGTGCGTGTGTCCTTATTAATGACCGATATATGCTTTTATTACAAGTTTTATTACACTTGCACTTAGTTTCAATCTGCCCCCCTCCCCGTTCTGTAAACCACGTGCTGCTGCTCATCAACACCAACACATAATTCCGACTGCCCTTCTCACACCCCCTGGTCCGAAGTAGTTGTCTGGAAGAAGGCTCCTGGCTGGGCTCCCTGCAGAGTTTCTTCCTGTCCAATTCCCCTTCACCAACAAATATTCGGCTCTATGCATGAGTGTGGAGCCTCTGGCCCTGCTCATCCTGAGGCCTCCCAGGGATGCTGTGCCCCCACTGACTGACACCACAGCCTCCCCACCCAGTGATTATTACGTTTTAAGCCAAAATCATGTTACCTGAGTCATTTTAAGGGCTTTTCTTCTGCAGAGCTCTTAGCAATTCACCTCAGAGTCGTGGGCGGAGACAGCGCTGCTATCCACACTTATCTTCACGTTTTCACAATTTCACAATTAGTTTTCTCATGATTTGTCCAGTAGCATCAGAAAAATGCTATATGACCATATATATAAAAAAAAAAAAAAACATGATTTTTATTGGAGTGGGTCTTTAAGCAGATAGGCAGAGCAATGGTTATAGGCATTTATACACACACACACACACACACACACACACACACACACACACACACACACACACACACACATACATATATATGTAGGATTGGATTGGAAGTGGCCAGGGCAGCAGCTGGGGCTTGCACCTTCCTAACCAGACTGGCAGAGGCTGGTGTGCGGGGAGTGTGCTGGCAGCGTTAAATAAGAAGAGACACCAAAGCATTTCCCAGCTCTGCTAGGAAGAGCCCCCCTTTTGAAAGTCTTCCCCTGACTCCAGGTTGGGTCCATCCATAGACTGTATATACTATGGACAACCTGGTTCCGCCTTCCGCCTGTATATGGATTTGAAGCCAAAAAGCTCTCGGTAATTCCGGGTTTTTCTCCACTTCCTTGAAACCAGAGCTGCGCAGTAGCGATGTGCCCATTCGGACGCGCAGTCACCATACATGCACACACACATGCAGGCGCACACATGATACTGCTCCTTGGCTATTTATCAATTCATGTAGTGCTTTGGCCAAACGGGTTGCGCGTATGACTCGGACGCAGGAAACCGGGGTTTGAAACTCTCCATGATCTCTTTTGCTACTTTGTCTTTTGGGTCATTTGTTCATTTATTTATTTATTAGCTTAATTTAATTCATTGACTGCCATTTAGAAGAGTCTGGCGCAGGTTGTCTGCACATCTTGTGTGGTTTTTTTTTGGGCGGATTTTCCACTTCCACTATCATGTGTGCGCCTGCATGTGTGTGTGCGTGTGTTTGTACAGTGTCCGCGCCACACGGAGAAGCGACACTGAAAACTCGAGTCTTTCTAATAAAGTTTTTGTTGTTGCTGTTGCTATTGTAGGTAGTTATAAACACGAAACGTCACCCCAAGTATTTGTTCTCCCCTTGAATTGGTTTTAATTCGGGGTTTTTTTCGACACAAGAATCATCAATATGGCCTTAGGAGCTTTTATTTTGGCACTTCCGGTTTCCGACCGTGAATTTGCATATTAGCTAAATATTTGAGAGGTGACCAGATGCAGCGCAAGATGGCGGACCCAAAGATAGAAAACCACATTTACAAAACGCAATAAGTTTCCGCATTACCTCCGATTGGCGGACCCAAAACAATTACTTCCGGTGGAAAGGCTTTCTCGTTGGCGGACTTCCGGCGCCGAAATACTTCAGGTAGTCGGATTTAGTCGCCGGATCCTTTTTTTTTTGCTCCGTTCATTCCATAAGAATCGAATTAAATTTATTATTGAGCTAAAAATCAAAATAAAACGTTTATGTATTAACTATGACTACTGTTTTGTTCTGATTTAATTCTGAAGTTTACAGTAATATGTATATATAGCCTGATGTCCTCATATTCTGATAATTTGTCAGAATAGGTAAATGTATGTAGAAGTTATCATCTTACTCAAATTCTTTTGTAAGAGTTTGCTACAAGTATGGACTGTTTTAACCTCTCGTTACACATCATATAACAGTGTTTTCTAACTTTTCTCTCCAATAGCTTTATTACACAGCACATCAATGTTTCTTAACTTCTCTGTGACCTTGTTTCTCCACTCCTATTAGGACCTCGTTTAATGTCAACAATGTTGCCCTGACCCTCACATATTTTCTGTTGTTCATAATTATGTTTTATGAGAGTGCTTATGTTGCTGCACAAATTTACTCCCCCCATCCTTTAGTAACATTGTGTAACCAGGGACATGATTTATGAAATGGTGTGCTTCCTGGTGAACCTCTTCAGGATTGCTTGACTGTGCAAAATCCAAGTATACAATAGTTGTAGAGACAAGTCACATGATCTCTTTAAGGTTCAGAAGAGCCATATAGCAAAAACAATTGAATAGCGATATCATTACAGACTGTGTAAAGAAATGGGAAATTGTCATACAACTGCTTTGAAGATTTCTTTAATTTTTTCCAAACAAAATTGTGAACAGTAAAAAAAAAATATATATATATACAAAATTCAGCACTGCCGTCGGTGTGGTGGGGGGCTTAAAACACGTTGCCACAGGCCATCATCAGCTCTGCTCTGAACCGGTTGATGCCATGCTCCTTCAGTGCTTTGATCAAAAGCTGAAAAACAGTCAAATAATGTGAACAATTGAAGTTATGCAGTATGGGTTAATTGTTGTTCTTGAGCTTTCCAAATGAATAAGAACAACCTCTTAACAATATCATCAATTTTCAAAGCAAGCTATATAGTTTGATCTACTCACCTCTGGGAGCATGACGTCAAAAACGAAATCAAGCAGATAAATCTCGCCTCTCTTTATTTTTTTAGAAATGTTTGTTGCCACCTCAATGAACCGCAGGAGCTCGAACATCTATTGAAGAAAAACACAGAAAGTAAACACCTTTCAAATGTAACACCCCTGAGAGTAAAAATACTCATGATGGATGGCATTTTTACTTACGCGCTGCTCACTCCAACTTAGTGTCCTTATCTTAAGATGCTGCTTTAGTCGGAGTGAGGTGGCGGGATTCCTCCAAAGGAACATTCTGTTGGAGCGGATCTTTCCAGACAGTAGATCATCGTGTAATGTCTGAAACCAAAGAGCAAGAGACAAAAATGTAATCATCTGAAAAAGAAACGGTGGCTTTAACAACTGATAGTGCATTCAAAAGCAACCTTGATCTGTGTCTTAGAAAAGACAGCATGAATTCCTCAACTGTCAACAGCATCCTTGATCCTGCAGAGAAATAAGAAAAGAGCAAGCCCTCATTTTTTCATCCTTTGAGCCTCGTATTTTTGACTGATACTATGTTTCCTTGATAAATTATGTTATACCGATGATGCTCAATGGAGTCCTCGCACCCGCAGTCAAACGGCTCCATTTCAATCCCAGCACAATCCTGATGCAGCCAGCCCCTGCACGTCTTGCACTGGACCCATTTTATGACGTTTACCTCAGGGTAAAGCAATCTGATCAAATGAGAGACAAACATAATATTAAACAAACACGCTGTCCAATTGATTATACCTCTGCAGCACATTTGAATGTATAAATAATTTTCCTGCATGATTCGTGCATTTAAACTATATGTAAAAGTGGTCACTTCATGGAAAATCACTGAATAGGCCCCGATAATTGCATATATTAAATTGAGTCTGCAACACACCTCTCTCCTGTGTTGTTCGATGTCTGGTAGACACAGAATTGCATTGAATCTGCCATGCACATCCTTTGGACATCCGATACCGTCTGCGTCATGGTTTCCTTGACAAGGCAATTTGAAAAGTAACATCAATTACCAAATACATCGAGACAATGTTGATCCATACAACTGTGTGCATTTTGAAGGACTCCCACTGAGATAATACTGTTTTTACAAGGCAATTTTCTAACCTCTATGTCCTGCTGCTCTGCCTTCCTCTTTAGACTGAAGACCGGAGTATGCTTTCCAGCAATGAGCTCTTGACATTCTTTGGTCCAGTGGGCGAAGATTTTCCCACAACTGTAATGACAATATGTCTTTAAGTACAATATATTGATTGTCTTCCAGTTAATTAGGACATCTAGTTTACTTAAACTGTCTACCTGTTCAAAGAATTGTTCTCCAGGAGCAACAGGCACCACCATCGCCGCCAAACAGGCATGTCATGCTGAAATTGTTTATAGTGACTAGGAACGAAAACACAGTCACTGAGAGGCTAAGTGAGGGAGCTTCCGCATTGGTGACTCGCTACACAAACCACAAGCCATTTCCGTGTTTTCCGACTGAGTTCACATTTATTTCCAACGCCGCACAAACAGACAGACAGGGCAAGGCAAGGCAAGGCAAGATGATCTATGGGCTTAGTTTGATGTTTAAATCAAGCGGTCAACAAAAAATACGCTCTCCCTACTCACCCCCTCTCCATGCAGCCGCCGCAGCACCCAGGTGACTATATGTCCATTCATTCAATCATTCAATCATCGCGCCTTGACCACACCCCCTCGTGACGTGCATGAAAGGTGCAGCCCAGACAGTTGATGTCAACACACACAAACCTAACCACTTCTGCATATGGCACCTACAACCCAGCCCCTAATTATTACCATTATAATAATTACACTATGACAAATAAACGAACCACGAAATCCACCAATGTTCTTGTAATAGTCCATCAATACAGTTCATCAATGTGCTCTTCTTCCTGGAACACAAGTCAAGTCTAGCCAAGTTCAAAAGTTCAAAAGTTCAGACACACAGCTTCACGGAGGAAAGTCATGTCGTGCTGTCGGTCAGTAAAGTTAATCAAACTGTCCTCCCAGAACGGAAGAGTCAGGCGTCCGATTCCTGCAGAAGACAGACTTTGGTTATGGGCCTTTCCAAGGAGCTGGTCTTGGTCTTGATCTGCAGCCGTCGCACAAATCCTCTTCTGTCTGGGAAGGTTTGGATAACCCTTCCCATGACCCACGAGTTCCGTGGTGCTGTTTCATCCACAATAAGCACAACGTCCCCTTCTACAAAGTTGCGCTTGATACCAGTCCACTTCTGACGTTCCTGCAACTGTGGCAAATACTCCTTAGTCCATCGCTTCCAAAATAAATCAGACATGTACTGGACCTGCCTCCAGCGTCGATGAGCGTAGATGTCATCTCTTTGAAACTGCCCAGGTGGCAGGGAAGGAGAGGTTTTCAACAGCAAGAGATGGTTAGGCGTCAGAGCTTCGAGGTCGTTAGGGTCGGTTGAGGCCTTAGTAATTGGACGGCCGTTAATGACTGCTTCCACCTCACAGAGGACAGTGTGCAATCCCTCCTCATCCAGATTTTGAACTTTCAAGATGGAGTTCAAGACCTTGCGCACTGATCTGATCAACCTTTCCCAGGCACCACCATGGTGCGATCCAGCTGGGGGGTTAAAAATCCATTTCACCTCCTTCTGAAGAAGAACACCATTTATCTGAGCTTGATTCCAACCTCTGATAGCCTCTCTCAGCTCACGCTCTCCTCCAATAAAGTTCGTTCCATTGTCTGATCGAATTTCTTGGACTTGGCCACGTCTTGCCATGAATCGTCGTAGTGCATTAATAAAGGCGTCTGTATCCAGCGAAGGAGCCACTTCGATATGAACAGCCCGTATTGCCAAACAGGTGAACATGACTCCATATCTCTTTACAATGCTCCTCCGGCTCTTAACCTCGAATGGTCCAAAGTAGTCCACACCGACTCTGGTGAATGGAGGTTTGTCTGGGCAGACCCTGTCAACAGGAAGATCAGCCATCAGCTGACACCCTGGGGCAGCTTGCAACCTGCGGCAGACAACACACTTTGACAAAATTCTCCTTATGGCTGTGCTGACCCCAGGAATCCAGTATCTTTCACGTAGTTTGGACAACATGTAGTTGCGTCCTCCATGACCAACTTGTTGATGTATGTGTCTTAGGAGAACGTCTGAAATGTGGAGCTCTTTGGTCAGAATGGCAGGGTGTTTTGCGTCTTCAGGTAAGGCTGCTCGGCTCAACCGACCACGAACCCTCAGGATACCATCCTCCAACACAGGAGCGAGCTTGAAGATGTGACTTCTCCTTTTCACACTTTCGCCCTTCTGCAAACTAGAGAGTTCATCAGGAAACCTCTTCCTCTGACAAAACCTGATGATTTCCTTTTCAGCTACCTGCAACTCGTCTACCGTGAGGAAACCTCTCGGTGCCAGGTCTTTGAACCCTCCTTTTCCAAGCTCCGAGGACGGTCTTTGTTGTTTCCCTGACTCCGACTGAGTGGACGCAGAGTCAGTCCTCTTCTGGCTGAGACCCCGCAGCATGTTTTTTAGCCTGAGAAACCAAGCCACAGCCCTTCTCAGATGGGTCCAAGAGGAAAAATGATGGATTAGTTGAGTGGTTGCATCCACATCCTCTGAGGCCTGCACTGCATTCACTGCCACACTGGCCTTGACTTCTGGATCGTTCAGCAGGAGTTCGCCCAAGCAATCTGGACTCACAGGCCAGTCTCGCTCAGGTTGCAGGAGATATGCAGGTCCTGACAACCACGCCTTGTTCCTCAGGAACATGTCAACCCTCAGTCCCCTGGAGGCCACATCTGCAGGATTGCTTAGGGTGTTTACATACTTCCACTGCGATGGATCTGACACTTTGAGTATTTCTGCTACCCTGTTGGCGACAAAGGTACGGAACCTGGAAGTCTCATTCCTGATGTACTTCAGCACAGAGGTGCTGTCAGTCCAAAATGTTGACTCTATTAATGACATGTGCAACTCCTTTTTCCAAAAGGTGTCCAGACGGCTTGCCATTGTAGCAGCTGTGAGCTCCATGCGGGGTATTGAGACTGGCTTCAAAGGAGACACCCTGGACTTTCCCATGACAAAGCTGCTGTGCATCTGGGAACATGCATTCCGCAGGAGAAGGTAGGTCACTACACCATAACCATTATTACTTGCATCTGTAAAATGGTGCAGTTGCGCCACAGTGACCTCACCAAAGTCTGGGGGTTTAAGGCACCGCGAAACCTGGAAGTGCTCTAACTGATGGAGCTCCTCTAACCAGCTCGTCCATTCCTGTGCAGCTGATGGTGGTATAGGGTCATCCCAACCGAGTCTTTGCCTACACAGCTCCTGCAGGATGATCTTGGCAGAAAGAACAATGGGACTCAGGATTCCTAGGGGATCATATACTGAACTGATGACAGAGAGGATCCCCCTCCTTGTCAGGGGCCTGTCCTGCACCAGGATTCTAAACTTGAAGACATCAGACTGGATGCACCATTGCACCCCGAGCACCCTCTCCACTGGTAGCAGGTCATGGTCCAAATCCAGGTCCTTCATGCCCTTAGCTCTTTGGTCCCCTGGAATTGCTGCCATCACTGCACGGCTATTGCTCATCCATTTGGTCAACTTAAAGCCTCCTTTGGCACATACAGAGACCAGGTCATGATACAGTGCCACTGCTTCTTCCTCACTGGCCGTCGATACCAGACAATCGTCCACATAAAAGCAGTGCAGAATCCTCTCAATGGTCTCTCGGCAGAACTGTTCTTCATTGTCCTTAGCACATTTCCTCAATGCAAAGTTAGCACAACTTGGTGAGGACGTTGCACCAAAAAGATGTACCATCATTCTAAAGTCTACCAGGTCTTGGGTGCAGTCACCGTTGGGCCACCAGAGAAACCTCAGTAGATCAGCATCTTCCCTTGGCACCTTTACTTGGTGAAACATGGACTCTATGTCTGCCATGATCACTACCGGTTCTTTCCGGAATCTGGCCAGGACGCCAATCAGCGAGCTAGTGAGATCTGGCCCTTGCAGCAGTTGAGCGTTGAGAGATGCCGACTGGAAAGTGGCAGCACAGTCAAAAACCACACGGATTTTTCCCTTTTGTGGGTGATACACACCATGGTGTGGGATATACCACAATCTTCCATCAGTACGTGCCAGCTCATCTGAAGGTACTTGCTCTGCGTATCCCTTGGTGACCATATCATTCATGAAATCAGTGTACTGCTGATGAAATAACGAGTCCCTTTTGAACCTCCTCTTCAGGTTTAGAGCACGCTGCTCGGCAACCTTCTTGTTATTTGGCATGGTCACGGAGCTTCGCAGGGGCAATGCAATCTGGTAATGACCATCTACAAGCTTGGCTGAATCCTGGACCAACTTCATGAACTTTTGGTCCTCTCTTGACTGGCCAGGTTGCTCATCGTAGCCACATTCTGGGAAATCTGTTCTGAACTGCTGCTGCCAGAGCTCCTCCAAGTTCAGGACTGAAATTCTGTTAACGGTCGCAACATCCATTCCATCGCCACTGTCTCCCCCCAGTGGCCCATTAACAGTCCAACCCAAGATAGTCTTGATGGCATACGGTCCATTGTCCACACTACGGATGACTTGTAATGGTTCCAGTGCCCTTGGTACATTTGTTCCAATCAACAGCTCAACTTCGGAGTCGATATCAGGTAAGTGAACATCTCTCAAGTATGCCCACCTCTCGAGATCCTTTTGACGTGGAATATTTCCTCTATGCACCGGCATGCACTCCTGTGTATAGGTGTTGGGCAAATCACAGTACGTCTCTCCGTCCAAACCGGCCACCTCCAGTCCCGTGACCACACAGCTGTTAACGACCTTCTCCTGACCCATTGTCCGCAAAAGGATTCTTGTCCTTTTTCCTGAGAGGTTGAGCTTGTTCATGAGGTTTACTGTGCAGAAAACAGCCGTGCTACCTTGATCCAGGAAGGCATAAGTAGCCACTACATGATTACCTTTCTTGGATTTAACCAATACTGGAACTATAGGAAGCTTGCACTCATGGCCACCAGCCCCAGTCAGCCCATTAGATACCAGAGCACAGCCCACTGCGGCGCCTGGTTCTTCTTCTGTCACTGGGTCCTTTTCCTTTGAATGGATGTGAAGCACTGTGGGGTGTTTCAAACTACACACTTTACATGATAGACGCTTTCGACAGTCCTTGCTGATGTGTCCTATACACAAACAGCCGAAGCATATTCCCTTTTCCCTTAAAAAGGTGATCTTTTCAGTGTGAGTCATCTTCTCCATTCGAGAGCAATACTCCAACATGTGCCCACCCTCACAAAACAGACAGACTTTCTTGGCTGATGAGGTTGTGTCTGGCCTCCTTCCTTTTGTTGCTGTGTAATTGTGCTGTACAGTAGTCACTGTTGTAGCGAAACTACTTCCCTTTGGCCGAGATCTAGGTTTTAAGCTGGTTCGATTCATGCCTCTGTTTGCTGCTGGTGATGAGTCTTGAATGTCTCCAAATACTGGGTCTGTTAGAATCTTTGCTTGCCTTTCGATGAAATGGACAATATCATTAAATGTAGCCCCTTGGTTACGTCTTTCTTGTATTTCACAAGCAGTTGTCCTCCATCGATCCCTCAGCTTGTAAGGCAGTTTTTTTATTATTGTCAGCATGTTAACAGGCATATCCATCTCAAACATATACTGCACTTCGTTCATCGCATTTGCGCAGCCTCTGAGAAATAGGCTATAATCTTGGAGAGCTTTAACGTCCTCTGATTTTATTGGAGCCCATGACAATGCCTTGTCCATATAAGCAGCAGCAACCCTCTGTTCATCCCCAAAATGTTCTTGTAATAGGATTTTAGCTTGAGCATAGCCCCTGTTAGGGTCCATATGCTGGCAGCTTCTCACAAGATCTCTTGGACGACCTCTAGTGTATTGCTCGAGGAAGTACAGGCAATCACTATGACTGTTGGACTTGCTTTCAATACAGTTTTCAAAGGCTCTCAGGAACGTATGGAACTGCAGTGGGTCACCATCAAACACCTGGATATCTCTTTTAGGCAAGAGCGCATGTTGCTGCTGTTGTATCAGTAGTGTTGTGATTTCATTCTGTCTTTTCATGATATCAAGGACATTGTTTTGCTCCCCATGACTTGCTGAATCCCCAACATTAAGACTGATTCCATGATGTAAGTGATCATTATGAGCATTGAGCAGAGGATTAAAATCAGGTAAGTGGCTCTTTAAAGTGGGAGGCTGAAAGTGAGCAGCATGGGTCGAGCCATCTGATTTAGGCCTTGTCACAGGGTCACGGTCCATGATTTTCGATTGCTGTTTAGATGTTTCCAGCCTCAGAGGAATGAAAGGAGTGGCATTGACATTGAACTTTGTTGTTTCTTGTTCATTTTTAACGTAGGAACTCATTGCATTGGACCTGTCCGTTGTAGTACTTTTCGAACCAGATATGCTTGCAGCCCTTAGAACGCTCACTTTAGCCAAGTGTGCAGCAATCTCTTCATCCAACTTGAGCTTTTCCTTGCGTTTCTGTATTTGCTGCTCCTCCTCTTCCAGTGCATGTCTGTCCTGTAAAAGTTTTTGCCGTGCCATCAGTGCAGCTAAATCAGCTTCTGCCTTGATGCGAGCAGAAGAAGTTCCTGATACGTTGGACCTTTTACCACTCCCAGAGCTTTTTCCACTCACAGCACTTTTTGCAGATCGTTTGCTTTGCACATTTGATATGCTATCACTTGGGTTCACGTCATCCTGTAGACCTTCATAAGGTGTGATGGGGCCTGTGTCCTGTGCTGCTGCCTGTAAAGCATCATCTATTTGAGGGTCACACACATGCTTTGTTGCTGCGGCCTCATCATTATCCACGATATTTAGAACATGTTCATTCTCATCCAACCACTGAATCACATCATCCTTGAATGTACTGCTGTAACGTTCAATACTGGAGAACCAATCATTCTGTTTAAGTTTTTCATCCTCAGGTAACAGTGGAATTATTGTTTGATGCAGGTTGATAGCAGTATCAAGGAGCTGAGTAATAGTTTGCAACTGAGATTTCACTTCCTGTACATTTTCCTTTCGTTTCATCAGCTCTTTCATTGCAGGTATTAAGCCTTTTATTTTATTCACATGTGTTTTACGTTCATTTTGTAGATTTACCACTTTATATGCCAATGCTTTTGCAGTAAGTTTCACATTCCTTTTAGCAACCACAGTTTCATTGTTTTCCACTTGTTCCATGGCTTCACTCATATTGTCCTTTTGAGATTCGGCAGTTCAGTGGTTCGCGCAGTGAATCCACAATACACCCAGCATAGTTTTATTTTTCCACAGATTGTTTCACATCAATTAACATCGGAAAACACCACAGGTATTTACTCTCAACGAGCAGGACAGGCTGTCTCAGCGGACTTTCACACACGCACAGCGCTCCCCAATGGATGCGCTGTATGCGCTGTAATCAAACTGCGTTCCGTCCAACATACACAGAATGAATGGATGCGAGTGATACAGTCCTACCGGTCTGAAGTCCACGTTGCGATCAGTCTGGCGTTGCAGTTAGACACCGTGTGGCGTGATCGCGTCCGTATATGCCGTTCGGGTGTTGGTACTCCTTTTTTGTTGACAAAATATAGTGACTAGGAACGAAAACACAGTCACTGAGAGGCTAAGTGAGGGAGCTTCCGCATTGGTGACTCGCTACACAAACCACAAGCCATTTCCGTGTTTTCCGACTGAGTTCACATTTATTTCCAACGCCGCACAAACAGACAGACAGGGCAAGGCAAGGCAAGGCAAGATGATCTATGGGCTTAGTTTGATGTTTAAATCAAGCGGTCAACAAAAAATACGCTCTCCCTACTCACCCCCTCTCCATGCAGCCGCCGCAGCACCCAGGTGACTATATGTCCATTCATTCAATCATTCAATCACCGCGCCTTGACCACACCCCCTCGTGACGTGCCCAGACAGTTGATGTCAACACACACAAACCTAACCACTTCTGCATATGGCACCTACATTGTTGTTTGTATTTCATTTTAGTGCACAATACAAAATACAATCTTGAGGATGACACTGCGTGTTGAAAAGTACTTACAACTGAGTAGTCAAACTGTGACTCCATAACGATGTACATGGCAGACTTTTAAAAAAAAATTATGAGACAACATGTGAGATAACTTTAAAAAAGTCCATGTTGGAAAGTTATTCTAGATACAATATTTGTGCATTACAGCGCGTTATGACCTACCATCAACATGAATATGCCACAGTCTGAGCCGAAGTCCTGGCTGGGGAAGCCCTGATTTAACAAAAGCAAACGTTAATCATCTTGTCACATACACTTTGTAGGAGCCAGATTGGGGTTTTGCAGTTTATTGTTATGTATTTTTTGTGCCAGCAGATGGTGCTATTGTGCCTGTCTATTTAATGGGTGGGTTGATTAGGACAGGTGCGCACATAAAATGATGAATGAGTAAATAAATCAAAACAACAGAAAATGTGTGTGACATGTGACATTATTCCACCTGCGGGCACGCATCAACTCAAGCAAAAAGGTGTTCGCCACAAGTAACAGCATTGGAAAGCTGTTATACACTTTTCAACTGTAATATAGAGCATGCACAAATACCTCCAAATCTCTGCCCGTTTTCTCGGTCCATATCTTCTGCGCAATGTTCCTGTTAATTTGAGAGCGTCACTTAGATTTCCCATGATGGAAACAATGGAATGCAGGGTTAGGGTTAGTTTGAGTGGTCGGATGTGAGATTGAATGAATGCGGACGGCTTGCTTCTTTTCAAACTTCCTGAGAGTTCTTCTTCTTCTGTAAATTTTGCCGTCAGAAAGTGTAGGTACATACCGCCACCTACTGTTCTGGCATCGCAAAGCAGAAGTTCAAAGTTCATGTTTTGGGTCCGCCAATCGGAGGTAATGCGGAAACTTATTGCGTTTTGTAAATGTGGTTTTCTATCTTTGGGTCCGCCATCTTGGCGCTGCATCTGGGTACTCTTGAAATATTTAGTTTCGCCCAACACATTTAGATTTAACATTTAACATTTAGATTTAAAATTTACATTTAAAATTTAGATTAAACATATATATTTAACATTTATATTTAGCATTTAGATTTAACATTTAAGATTTAGTTTTAGTATTCAAATGTTGTTGTAAATGTGCAAAAAATGACTGCAGAAAATTCACATAACTTTTTTCAATGCTGTTTGAAGCTAAATGTGAGCAAATCTTGCTGTTGTTTTGCTAAATGTGACCAAATCTTGCTGTTGTTTTTATAATGGGCTGCTTTACAAACGGCACCCCATAGTTGCAAATATTGACTTTTTACGGTTAATTTTAATATTTACCTCTTAAATGCACGCTCACTGCAGTCTGTCCCGTTGAAGAGCATGGACAGTGCAGACTGCGCTTGGAATTATGAAGGGGTACATGAACCACGTGACCGCTCTGGCGGCGAGATCTGAAGTTGTTGCCATTCTGTTTAATCCACTGCTCTGGTAACAGACACCTGTCTAGTCCAGGGGTCGGCAACCTTAAACACTCAAAGAGCCACTTGGACCAGTTTCCCACACAAAAGAAAACACAGGGAGCCACAAAACCTCTTTGATATCTAAAATGAAGATAACATTGCATATATCTTTTTTTTTTACCTTTATACAAAGTATATAAAAAACTGTAGCGAGTTGCATTTATGAAATAAATGAACTATTTCGGCGAGTGTCTGTCTTCTTCTGTAGTTAAACCGCAAGATATCAAAATCTACCCGGATACAGCAATGCTGCTTTTTGATTGGCTGTTCAGTAGATATACTTTATTTGATTGGCTTGTGCATGGCACGCAGCTTCTGAACTCTCGGAGGAACTCGGTTGATTTCCCCCAGTCCCATCACCGTGTTCATTTAAATGCGTGAGAAATACAATGTGTGGTGTGTGAGCGTGTGAGCGAGTGGGAATGCGTGTGTCATACGCTGAATGCGTGAGACCTGTGCTCACGCATCATCGATGTACTCCCGAGCCATGCAAAACGGTCTTTGCAAATGTTGCACTGAACGCCTTCCTTTTCAGTCTTGGTGAAGTTTTCCCACATCACGGATGTTTTAGGTCGGGATTTGGGTTGGGTTGTGTCCATGTTTTTCTCAGCCGCTGCCTCGGCCATGGCTGTTTCTTTTCTGTGCGTCCTGCTGATGTTTACACGCCGGTGTCCATGGACATATATAAAGACTCGACGAATCGATTACAGAATTTGTTAGCAACGGATTTTTTCGTCACGACGAATCTACTTAATCGATTCGTTGTTGCAGCCTTAATAGTTTATTTAATGTTACAAGAGCATTATAATCTTTGAATTTAGAATTACAAAAAAATAATAATAATAATAAAATAAAATAAAATGCAATTAAGTATTTATTATTTATTTTCCAAATCCATTGGGAGCCGCAGCTTAGGGAAGAAAGAGCCGCATGCGGCTCCAGAGCCGCGGGTTGCCGACCCCTGGTCTAGTCTATATAAGATATGTGGGAGGGTCAGAACATAGGTGCAAGAAAGTGATATGTACCCCACCAAAAAATATAGTTTGGTCTGATGTGTGTGTGTGTGTGTGTGTGTGTGTGTGTGTGTGTGTGTGTGTGTGTGTGTGTGTGTGTGAGAAACAGTAGTTACAGTTTTATGTTCAGAAATTTGAGGGACTCTTCATATAAGGTAGACACTGCACTACAACCATTCATACCAGTAAATTATTTGGACCAAAACTTCTTGACTATAATTATTAAGTATTTGAGTTATTGTTGCTTACACTTTGCTTTCTTTAAAGTAACCTCCTCTGGCTTTAACAACAGCTTGGCATATACCAGGCATTCATTCCATAAGTTTTTTAAGGTATGTTCCAGGGATTGCATTCCAAGCTTTCTTAGTTCCTTAAAAAGAGACTGCTGATTCGTGGGACGCATTTTTCTGACCGATCGATCCAATTCATCCCGCACAAGCTCAATTGGAGAGAGGTCTTGAGACTGAGGGGGCCAAACCATCTTTTGAAGAACACCTCCCTCTTCTTTTTTGTTTAAGTAACCCTGACAGAGCTTGGCAGAGTGCTTACGGTCATTGTCTTGCTGCAAAACAAACTTATGAGCCACAAGTCTGAGTCCAGATGGAACAGCATGGTGCTGGAGGATGGAGCGGTACTGTTCCTTCTTCATGATACCCTTTACTTCAAACAAATCTCCTACTCCATCACCTGCAAAACATCCCCATACCATAGAACTACCACCTCCATGCTGAATTGTGGGTGTGACACATGGTGCTTTCATACGTTCACCAGTTTGTCAACGGACATAGACTCTGCGTTTTGAACCAGACAGTACAAACTTGTTTCTAGTCATCATAAGTCTAATTTTTGTGAGCTTTTGCCCACTCAGATCTCTTTTTCTTGTTCTGTGGACGAAGTAGTGTTTTTTTTGCAGATACACAACCCTTCAGACACACCTTTCTCAAACGTCATTTCATGGTTGTCAGAGATATGGGTTTCGACCTTGTCATGTTGATTTCCTCCCTTATTTGTGGTGCTTTCTTTTGCCGATCTCTCTTACTGGTGACAATGATATGTTTATCCTCTGCTTTTGTGGTAACTCTCTTTCGTCCAGGCCTTTTTCTATCATCATAACTTCCAGGTTCCTCTAGTCTCTTCAGAGTGTAGTGGACTACTTTGTTAAACACCTTTAGGCGTTTTGCAGTTTCTCTTTCTGTGTTTCCTTCTTTCCTTTATGTAAAAATCTGTACTTTTGTTTCTCTACTCAGTTGCTTATTTCTAGCCATTTTTGGGGTAGTTTGGACGCAGTTGAGATTTATTAGGATTTTTGTATGCAGACTCTCAAAGCCAAAAAGTTAAAGTGAATAATCAAACTGTGATTTGTTTTTTTGCTTTTGCACTGAAGTTGTGACTCTTACAAATGTTTTCAACCCTAAAACTAAGCCCTTCTTATCTTTTGCTGACATATATTTAGCAATGGTCTGTTAACATCAATGCATATCTAAAGGTAAATGGAGTAAAATGGTGCATTTCCATGAAAGCAACATCTGATCATGGAGTAAATACATCCCAAAATACATAAAACCCATGCTGGATTTTAAAAAACTTGAAGTTACTCCCCACTGTTCAGCCTGTAATGGCCTTGCTTCCAAACTTTTGGCCTGTAGTGTATATTTCTATTTTGGGGTTTGAATGCAGGCGAAAGGACTGTGCTCAGTTGTGTGGTCTTTGATTAATATCCCGTTAAAACTGCTTTTACAGCTGTGGTGCTTAATCTGATGACAGCTCTGGATAGTAATTTATGGAGCCAACTTTTATGAATCATCCATCAATATTATTTGCAAAATGAATTTTCCATCATTGTAAAATAAAGCGGGATTTCATAAAACAGACTCTTATCAAATTTGCATTATTTTAGTTGCAACCCCATGTCCAACTTTAAAAATGAAAATTTCAAAGTGCAGTTTTTGTGTGGCTGGGTGGTCAGTTTCAGCAGAAGAATGTAAGGCCCAATGTTTTATTTGTCATACAAAAAGAACAACTGTAAATAGAAGTTGTCACATCTCCAACAGCTGTTGAAGTTTACCCAACCCAAATCTGTTCTTCACTTGTTAAGTTGTTCCCAAACACACTGTTTTGACCTGATACTTATCCATCCGTAATTAGTTTTTTTTTTTTTTTCATTTTTTAGCCTATTAACTTCATATCCCTTTTACCCCGCCCCATTATATTATAAAATACAATAATTTATGACGTTTACTTTGAAATGCTTAACAGGAAGCGTTAGAATTTTGCCCGAAAGTAATTATAGGTTTCCACTGTCAACATAAGAAGGGCATTGCTTTTCATCTTAGTGGTAAATCAGCTATCTTTGCAGCGATAAGAGAGCAGTAACTGCTGACGGACTCCTTTATTGGATTCCACGTTGCAATGAAATCACAAGCCCGACATATAAGATCTGTATCGGTTTAAATTGTACATTGCCGTGGACTGCTCTACTGTGAGAGGTGTGCGTTTCTGCGAAGTCCATGCAATTCTTGGCACACATGCATTTCTCAGCAAAGCACCTGTTAAAACTGGTTTTAACGGTTCTGTTTGTGGGCGTGGTTGTCTGTTCGAAATTAAAGACTAAAATACGGTAATTTAACATTTGTTATCAACAACTATAATTCAAATTATTGAATAAACCACTAATGGTCAAAATGATTGATTTGAGTTAATGCAAATTTATTGACATAAATTTAATACATTTTTTTGAAATGTAGACTTTTAAGATAGATAGATGGATAGATCATTAGCAACAACTTGCTATGACCTATGAACACCTGGGCCGTCTAATGCAATCTAATGTAATGTTGTTTCCATGTTTGTAATTGTGGGTTTTATTCTACTGCAAAGTAAATTATACAGAAATTTTGAGGATTTGGCAATTCTGACTAAAACGCTCCTTTGCTCACCCCTTCTGTCTGTGAAGTGATAGTGAAAAAACATTTCTCTTTCACATCTGCTGTACCTTTAACTTCACTGGATTCACTGAAAATTTCAAAATTTAATGCAGATAAAATTTCTGTATTACATTATTTAAACAGTTGTTTTTATACAGGGTTAAATAAATGCTATATTGATAATGAACTAACATCCAAGTGTCACAATCAAACACAAAAAGTTCCCACTCTATGGATCATTAAGAAAATAACTCTTGGCCTCTGTTACCCGTTATTTTTCAGTACAGTCTGGTGACTTTGAAAAAGGTGGTTTGATGGCTGTTTTCTATTCAAGTAACATCATTTGGACTTTTTTGGGCAAATCGTAACTATAGAGCAAACTATTGCTAACTCCAGGTGTGATATCTGCTCCTTAATAACAGTTCACCCTTCAGCACAGACAAACACCTCTGCCTCTCACTGAAAGCATCAGAATATATAAATAACTAGCAGCAAGATTGGCAGAGGAGGCGGGTGGTGATGAGTTACATTTGACGTTGTTGCCAGGATGTGCATGACGGTAAACAATCTCTACATTATACATGCCAGTGTTAGTCTTGCTTAAGTAGACACATTATTTAACATGTGGCATTACACCCATCGCTCTATCTTTGTGCAGTCTTGATAGAGTAGATGTCATCTGCCGCCTTGCTGGCTAAGCCTCTGTGAGAACAGCACCCCATGGTGACTGGTTGTAGTATAGATCATGAGCCCTGCCTCCTCCAAAACAGACAAACTTTAAAAATTATATTCATCTCATACTGATTTTTCTCAGACCTGGATGCTGCTGCAGTAATATGTTGCGTTGTTAGGCTGATTGGTTTATTTTCTATGAGTTATTGCTGTTATAAAAAGCATGTTTTTTATGTCATATTACACCATGATTGACAGCTGCTGTTTGAGTGTAGCTCTCTCGGGAATAGGAACACTGTGTAGAGTGGAAACGTGAGAGAAGATCCTAATTTTTCCCCACGATTTTTGTTTGTCATCGACCTGACAAAATGAGCCGTTTGGCAGTGAAATGTTCCAGCTGACCTGTTGGACTGAAAAGATATTTGTGGTTTAGTCTATTGATTAGTTTGTATGAATGTTAGATGGAAGAGGAATCATCTTCTGTTAATGAAAAAAGGCAGTCTTATGAAGTCGATAGACCTTTATGTAATGAACTCACAATGACTTTGACTAAACAACTTAACAAACAATAACCACAAACAAATGAAATGTTGTATGTTTTACAGCAAGTCTGCTCATGGATCTCCAGCACCCCTTGGTCTCCTTAAAGCTGATATTAACTAACCAGCATCCAGCTTTTATGTCACCCTACTGTCATGAAACATCAGCTTTAGTGTTGCTCTGAATAAAAAATTCAGACATCTCAGGGAACATGATGACTTTAGAGTTTACTGTAACTTCAGTTTTACTGGATTCATTGAAATTTTAAAAACGAAGTGAACAAAAATATACAGAGTTAAAAACAAACAAACAAACAAACAAACAAAAGCGTTAGATCAGCACTGATGCTGAAATATTACAACAAAACACAAAAAGTTAGTCTCATTAGGAAAACAGCTCCTGACTTCTGCAGGATTATAAACCTGTTATTCTTCAATACAGTCCGGTGGCTTTGAAAAGGCTATCTTTTTGCTGCTGTTTTCTGTTGAAATTACAGCATTCTGACTTCTTTTTTCTGCAGAGATCACCAGATGAACTGTCACGGTCTATAGTCCCAGGGCTGTCCAGCAGATGGCAGCAAAGACACATAAGTCCCCGAGGAGACACCTGTCAGCACAGATGCTGCACTAAGAGAGTAAAAAATTATCAGTGTCCCAATATTTTCATTTTATAAAAACCTGAATCAGTGAAGACAAACAGAGAATTGTAACAGAGAAGCTCATTTTTTAGAGGTTAAATATTAAGATGCAGTGAAATAATTGTACTGGAGTGATGGACCAGCAGAAAGTTCACTGTCACTCTTTATTCACGTCTCATATTAAGTTAAAGGTTGTTGCAGTCTGGTAAGAAATGGAGTTCAACCATTATCAAAATAAAAGAGTTAAACCTTTATCAAAATAAAACATAATACAGTCACACATATTTATGTTTTAAATAGAGTTGAGATCTCTAGAAACTCTCTCTAAACTTGAAAACCATTATTATTTATGCAAAATTGTTACCAATTTAAAGCCTCTGTGATGAGTTTTTTTGAAATTCATAAAACTGACTGAAATTCATATTGATGCATTTTCATTATATTACAAAGCAAACAAGACCATCAGTGACAAGATTGACGACATCAGTATTTTAATCAGTATGTTGTTAGGGGGGTAGGTGTCAGCTAAGCAGCAACAGACAGTCCTATTTAAAATGTCTACATACAATATTCACAATTGGGATTCAAATGACACCTTTGAATGCCAGTAGAATGAGGCATGAAGGTTAATACAGAACAACACACACACAAAGGTGTTGCTTCTCTTAGGGAGAGGTTAAATGTTAGCTGTATACACAGAGTGGGGTCAAAATGCAAAGATTGAGAAAATAAATTTGCTTTGAAAATTTTGCAGAGCCCCAGTGGGACTGAAGATACCAGGGGGTAGAGGCTGGTATGTTTTTATTAGGCAGGGCCCACAACAGAACATCTGCACAGGTACTCAAACGCTCTGCATAATGTCTGTTTTGTATTTATTCCGATCGAAGTAAATGTGAGTTTCAGTGTTAGTAAACTGTGATGAAATTATTCAAAAGTTTTATTTTTATCTAACATTAAAAGTCTGATAAACATGATAAAAGTCTGATAAAATCTGTACACACGTTCAAAGTTTATTGAGCCGACAGGAGCAATTCCCAGTTTTACTGTTGACACAAATTGCTGTTTTGTGCATAATTTATATAAAAAAATTACATTTTAAGGCCTTTTAGGACTCTAAAATTTATGCCAATTTATTTAAATACATATAATTTACAGAGGCACAAACTGAAATACTTGAATCTAAATGTCAAAGTTCATCAAAATAACTATTTTAAATTACATCAGATGTCACGGTAGTTTCTGGTTTATTCTGTTATCATAAAAAACGACTTCATCCTTTGTCCATGACATAAGCGGAAGTGTTAAAAAGTCACATGGTTTTGCTCGGAGTGAGGCATCTTACTGCCCTACCATCTCTGCTGTATGCTGTAAACAGGACCTCAAGTTAGTGAGAGACGTCGCTTCAAACAGGCTGTTAAAGCCACTTATCGAAGTAACACCGCTCACTGTGCACGGAGAATGGAGGACGACGTGTTAACCACGCTGAAAATACTGATAATCGGAGAAAGTGGAGTCGGTAAATCCAGGTGAGACAAAGATAACCGTTAGAAAATGATGTCGTGGCTGGTTGTTAGCGTTAGCTCGCCAGTTAGCTTAGCAGCACAAGCAAAACGAGTGAAGTTACAGGACACTAGATCGTTTTACAATAACACAGAGAGAAAACCTTTTATTGATGATAAACAGGCCAAAGAATCTGGGTATTTTTTTTTCAGCTAAATTAAAGCTGATATAGAGCTGTCTTTCAGGCTACCTTTAGCTAGCTATCAGGGGCTGTTTGAGTCATCTTTGTTCATCTGTCAGACTCTCAGCTGTCTGAAGATTATAATAACAATAATTATGTATTTGTAATTATTAAGACATTTAACAGACGACATTTTCATAGCTATACCGGCTTGTTAGCGGAAACATGAAAGCGAAATGTGACATGCAGGTTTGCATCAGTACAGAAGCTTTCTTTTGAGTTACCTCTGAGATTACAGCTTCATACTCTGATGAACAAAAACAACGAATATTTCTCTCAGGACAGCTGCATTTATCAGCTCAGTAAGCCTGGCATCTTGAAACTTCAGTCTCTATTATAAGGTCACTATTGTTCCACAGATCAGACTGATATTCACAGCACAGTGAGGCACAGTAGCGGTGGTAGGGCTGGGCGACATGGGAAAAGTTTATCACGGTTAGACCTGGGCGATTTGGCCAAAAAAATGGTCACAATACATTTTGTCGTATTGTCCAATCTCGATTATAATCATGATTTTTTAACTGCCTTTTTTAAAGCATCTGTACTAAACACTAAAGAAACTAGAGATTAGTTCAACATTTTATCAACATACAAAGTAAATAAAGCAATTTGAATAAGATTCACTTAGAAAAATATAAAAAAAACATCTTAACTCAACAGTACAACAAATATAGGTAAATACTAGATAATACAGAGAATTAGTTTATAGTCCTGAGTGTTTTTGCAGGTATGCAAGACCCAAAATAAACAAAAAAAATGTAAACATTGGCTGATTTGCTTGCTGAGATTGCTGATGTTCATGCATGTTTTATTTCTGTATCGCCTTAAATGAGTTTAAAGATACCAGCATATTGGTATAAGTTCAATATCAAGCATTCCTATTTCAGTATTAGTCTTGGAGTTTTGTTTTGGGCAGCAGAGGTGGGACTTTCAGCCAGAGCAACCCATGGTGTAATACATAGTGAACTACAACATGATAAATAGCCTGTTATCCAGCCTGCCTACAGAACAGCAAAGAGTGCAAGAGTGTTATTAGCACCACAGTCAGGAGTCATTAAGTGGTGATGTAAATTTGTTCAGTGCAACATTTTGACTTAGATATCAAGATTTAGCAACAATAACAGTGTAATAAAATTTCATGAGTGAAGATGAGGATGTATTGTTTTAAGGATACTTGGTCCAACTCCCAGTGTGTGTTGTTTAAACTGAGGGCACTTTTCAGATGAGTTTGTCTCCAAGAATGTGGTCCAGACTGCATGAAGGAATCCTGACAGACAGCCTGAGTAATCCCCATCAGACTGCAAACTGTTCTACTGAGTACTGCCTGTGGTAATCAAACTGTACATGCCAATACTTTACAAGCTGCTTCAGGCTTTGTTACATCATTCTGATAAACTGTATGTCATGCTTGAATCATATTTTTAGCACAGAAAAGATAGCTCAAGGTTCTCAAACACATAGCTGTAATTTGAACCTAAAGATGATGCAGGCTTCTGCAGTGATCCCAAAACTGGAGTCTCTGCATGATTATGAGGCATCTGACATAAAGGTATGAGAGGATACACTTCATGATAGATCAGTAAGTGCTGACAGTCTATTTCTGTCTGTCTGAAAGTTGTAATAATCAACAAAAAATCTCATGTTTTCTTTTGATCGTAAAAGTTATCATTCATAGTCATTATTGGTTTTTGGGTCAAGTAACAAAGGCTGTTTCTTCAGCGTGTCTAACCGTACAGCATACTTAATACTAAATAAGTTCCAGTTGGATGATATAATAAACCAACTTAAATCAGTTGTTTAAAATGTTAGTATGTGAATAACATCTGAATAACACTGTGCTAAACTTGTGCTGTGATGAAGTAGTCTAACTCTGAGTGGTAAACAGGTTTTTAGTTTGTTTCCCTGAAATCATCCAGAGGTCGTTTACTAGCTAAGAAAACACAAGCTGAATATTCCCTGAACAAACGACCCTCAGAGAGCTTATTTCTGAACACATCTGTCTGTAGACCAGGTGAATTTACTCCATGGACCCCAAACAACGAACAGTCATTGCTCCAGAATCCTTCCTGAAGCTTCACAGTTAAAATAAGAGAATCATGCTCAAATCACGGGGAGGAGTCTGCCTCTCCTAAATACCCAATGATATGATTAAAGTCTGTAGACTCCATGAGTCAGAGTTAAGAAATGAACCCTGACCTCCTTACTGCAATCTCACCATGATATCATCTCAAGCTTGTACACGTAATACAAGTGAGGCACAAAGCTCAATACAAAGAAAGAGAGATACCAAACCTGATAAGTGTGGTGCTGCAGGAGGAGAAGGAGGAGGTTATGTGACTGAAGCATTTAGAAATCTAAAGTTTGCTAAACGTGGGTGAAATGGTATGGACAGAAAAGCTCTCTGCTGTTTGTGACTCATGAAGAGTTTTTATTCCTCCTGTCTGTCCACAGCCTCCTCCTGAGATTCACAGATGACACATTTGACCCAGAACAAGCAGCAACAATTGGTAAGTAATGCAGCTGACCTGCGTTTGGTGTGAAGTCAGTGGTTACGAAAGTCATGAGGTTGAGTGGAGTCAAAGTGGATGTAAGTGCTCTTTAAGACCCAAAGCAGCTCTGTGTTAGTGATTCATGTTACATTAAAATAAAGTTTGTTGTTTCTCATGAAAGGCACTAAAATAAAAGACCTATATTAAAATCATACCTTAGCCATAGATGATGATTAATCCTGATGCCCACCTCTTAAACGATAGATGATAGTGATCAGAGGAGTGCACATTAAGTTGTTATGATTAATTGTATCATCCTCGATCGATGGCTCCAGAACCCATTGTCAGTCAGAAAAATTACCAATGATTTTATTGTGAAAGGTCTGAAATGCCGGTCAAATGTTGTGCCTGAGCTTTAGTGCTGATACTCTCCACTAGCAAGAGCTGAAACTGCTTATGTGTGTGGCCACTGCTTATAACGTAAGCTTGGGGTGTTTGGACAATACTTAGGGTGCAACTATAACTCAAACAGTGAAAAACTTGTTGATATTCTGCAGCTCGAGCAAAATACTTAATATAAAAGTATGTAGCTCATGTGCAGAGCATGCATATTGATGAGTTAGGCTCTGAAAAACAATCAATTTCCTCAGAACTAAACAATGGTGGCGAAAGGCCGAATACAGCCACTGATCAGCATATATGCACTTACATTTAATTCGTGTCAAGTTTCATAGATTAAAGAATTAAATTTGAATGGGATTGTAGATAAAGATTGATAACCCCTTTTTTACATATTAGTTCTCGTGTACCTCTGTGCCACAGAGGAAACAGATTTATTTCTGTCTTAAAGGTGAAGATGACACTTGGAGGCAGATAGAGGAGTTTAGTGTTGCACTGATTGAAATCTGAATAGTTAAAGGGATAGATATAAAGGGGTATGTCTGTCAGCTCAACCCCTTTAAACTGCAGCAAGAACCGTAACGCAAGCAAATATACTTGAACATCCCTGTTCAAGTATATTTTGAACTTTTCTTTACCATTAGAAAGCTTGTTGTTTTTTTTAATACTTAATTTTCATAGAAATACTCAACATGTTGAAGCAAACAATTGGTCACCTATACATTCATACTGTTGTTGTTATCACAAATAGAAATACATGTCAGATATCATACAATAATTGCTCAAGCATCAGATTGTGAGTTCACAAACACAATCCATTTTTCCCAGTATTGCAGAAATTTATACACCTGGTGACTTAGTGAAAAGGTCATTCTTTCCATATTCTGTATAGTATTTACAATATCTATCCAGTCCGTCACTGCTGGGGCAACTGCCTGCATCCACCTTCGCGTTACAGCTTTTTTGCTGGTTGCTCCGGTAAGCAAGCTATGGTCTTTCCCAAATAGATTGGTAGAAAGGAGCAGTCAATTTCAACACCAAAAACCTTCTGTATTGCCCTTGTCACCCCCTGCTAATATGGCATCCCCAAAATACATGAAAATGACCTTCCAGCTGTTCTTTGCAGTTCCTCCAGCATAGACCCCCTCCCATTTCCTCCATTCATACACTTTTTAGCTTAGGTGTTACAAAATATCTCATCAAATTCCTCCAACAAAATTCTCTCCAGAGGCCTGAACTGGTGGAGGAGCTCATTGTTATTTGCTCTATCTGCAAACACAACACACATACGTGTTCTTCTCCCTGCAGCACCATCAGCTAGATGTAGGGCTGCACGATTAATCCATTTTAAATTGTATTTGGATTATTTGATTATGAAGATGTTAAAAACATTTAAAATCGTCAAATCGATTTTCCTCTCTATCATGTCTCGTGCCTCCAGGCCACCATAGGCTCCCCCTTCATGCAAGAGCACTCCCCAGTTCCCATACACACCAGTGTAAACAAACATGGCGTTTGCAAAAGAAGGCTGTAATTTCGTGGCTAAAAAGGACAAGAGCAAGTTAGTCGTGTGGAATTGGTACGGCTTCGCAGTTTCGGACTAAGAGCAAACCACTCCCCATTGCAAAGTCTGTCTGAAGACGATAACAACCCTTCCACATGGAAACAAAATGCAAAAGTCTTTTGTCATATCAACGTTTCATCCACAAGAAACAGCGTTTCAGGTGACTGTTAACAGTACTTTTTGAAAATGGGTCAGAGAGTGCATAAATCCATAAACAACTACCATTTCATCTCTGTGTGGATGTCTATCTGCATCTCTTTTTTAAAATTATTTATTTATTTATTTATTTTTATTTGTGCAGTGTGACAATACAAGACATACAACAAACAATGGCATTTGTGGTTTTGTGTGTGTGTGGTGTGTGTATTATATACACTCACCGGCCACTTTATTAGGAACACCTGTCCAACTGCTCGTTAACACTTAATTTCTAATCAGCCAATCACATGGCGGCAACTTAGTGCATTTAGGCATGTAGACATGGTCAAGACAATCTCCTGCAGTTCAAACCGAGCATCAGTATGGGGAAGAAAGGTGATTTGAGTGACTTTGAACGTGGCATGGTTGTTGGTGCCAGAACAGTGTCTGAGTATTTCAGAAACTGCTGATCTACTGGGATTTTCACGCACAACCATCTCTAGGGTTTACAGAGAATGGTCTGAAAAAGAAAAAATATCCAGTGAGCGGCAGTTCTGTGGGCGGAAATGCCTTGTTGATGCCAGAGGTCAGAGGAGAATGGCCAGACTGGTTCGAGCTGATAGAAAGGCAACAGTGACTCAAATAACCACCCGTTACAACCAAGGTAGGCAGAAGAGCATCTCTGAACGCACAGTACGTCGAACTTTGAGGCAGATGGGCTACAGCAGCAGAAGACCACGCCGGGTGCCACTCCTTTCAGCTAAGAACAGGAAACTGAGGCTACAGTTTGCACAAGCTCATCGAAATTGGACAATAGAAGATTGGAAAAACGTTGCCTGGTCTGATGAGTCTCGATTTCTGCTGCATCATTCGGATGGTAGGGTCAGAATTTGGCGTCAGCAACATGAAAGCATGGATCCATCCTGCCTTGTATCAACGGTTCAGGCTGGTGGTGGTGTCATGGTGTGGGGAATATTTTCTTGGCACTCTTTGGGCCCCTTGGTACCAATTGAGCATCGTTGCAACGCCACAGCCTACCTGAGTATTGTTGCTGACCATGTCCATCCCTTTATGACCACAATGTACCCAACTTCTGATGGCTACTTTCAGCAGGATAATGCGCCATGTCATAAAGCTGGAATCATCTCAGACTGGTTTCTTGAACATGACAATGAGTTCACTGTACTCAAATGGCCTCCACAGTCACCAGATCTCAATCCAATAGAGCATCTTTGGGATGTGGTGGAACGGGAGATTCGCATCATGGATGTGCAGCCGACAAATCTGCGGCAACTGTGTGATGCCATAATGTCAATATGGACCAAGCTCTCTGAGGAATGCTTCCAGCACCTTGTTGAATCTATGCCACGAAGAATTGAGGCAGTTCTGAAGGCAAAAGGGGGTCCAACCCGTTACTAGCATGGTGTACCTAATAAAGTGGCCGGTGAGTGTATGTGAATAATAATGAAAAAAATAAATAAATAAATAAATATTACAATTGTCAGACAAGCAAAAGAAAATTATAATACACGAACAATATCAATAATAATAATAATAATAATAATAACAACAACAATAATAGTAATAATAATAATAAGAAGAAGAAGAAGGAGAAGAAGAAGAAATTTGTGGACCACCTCGGGTCCCTTCCCACTCGTGCGAGACCTGCCTGCATCCCCCCAGGCCCCCAGACCCCAACCCCCACATGCCCCACACTGAATGCGGCACAACACCTTGCCCTATGTTTATATATGTATTTAGTCTTTGTTATTTACTTAATATACTTTATAATTATTTATTCATTTATTTTTATTATTATTATTATTATTATTATTATTATTATTATTATTATTATTATTATTATTATTATTATTATTATCAATATTATTATTATCATTATTATTATTATTATTTTATTTTTTATTTTTTTCTTAATTCTCTTATATATGTGCTTTCTAATGTTGTGCATTAAAACTGAGGAGAGGGGTTGTCCTGAACTATAATTTGATGTGATTGAGACCCCTTTCCTCTTCCTAATCTATTGTGATGTGCAATAAAAAAGGTGATGTGCCATCTGAAGACAGTCCAGGGCGGTGAACTGGGGGAGGGGGGAGGCCGGGAGGGCAAGGAGATCACAGGTCATGGCCTAACAGGCGCGACCCAGCAGGGACCCGAGCAGAAAATAACTGTAAATGTAAGTTTATAAATAAATAAGTATAAATAATAGGGCTGTCAATCGATTAAAATGTTTAATCGCGGTTAATCGAATTTTGATCATAATTAATCATGATTAATCGCAAATTGATCGCATATTTTTGATCCATTCTAAATCTTTTTCAAATTGTAATACTTTTATCAACATAAGAATCAACATGAGAACAGATCGTGGATTTTCTTGGTGATGGTGGTTGTCTTGTGTATGAATGGTGCTTTACAAATAAACTTGTCCTGCCTTAAGCAGCTTACTTGTTGTATCCTGATCATGCGAACAGATCCTGTGGTCCATGTGTTGAGTCATTATGCTGTAAAAACACTGAGAGCTGAACTCTGATTCTGAAGACACTAACATTCTGCTTTTCTGACTGAACTGCTGAATCCTGAAGACAGTGGGTAACAAACACTGATTTCCTAAATTGATTTGATTTCTGATTTAATTCAGTTTGATTTAATAATAATTCATTGAGGGATATTTCAGCTTCAGTACCTGTTTTGCTTGAATATAAATGTGAGTCTTAGAGAACTCAGAACAGAAGTTATACTTTCACTTGAATTATTAATAAGAAACTTTCTAACTAGGCACAATATTGAAAATATTAAAGTTCACACAAAAAAATGAGCTCAAATTTGTCTCCTGGATACACTTTTTGTAGAACGACACGTTCGATCAATTAACATAAAGTGCAACATAGACTTAACAGTTAGTCGAGTAACCAAATACCTCTGGAGGAGGGACTATCGGTGTCATCCCCCCCAAATTGCACGTCGCCTTCAAAAAGTGAGCAGCAAGAGCAGCGATCATGTTGGTTGCTCAAACCATTTTGGTAAAAACAACAAAACGCCTAAGTTTTACAGAATAACATCAACATCAGACGTCTGGTTGCTAGCTATCAGAAAAGTCATTCTATTTGGAGTCATGTTGATTGATCAGACAACAACAAATCACACAGAAGTGATCATATTTACTGCTCCAATTTTGCATTGTCGTCTTGGACGGACTTAATTTGTGACCTTTTGTTATTCTAAATCAAATACTCAGCCATACAGGTGCGGCTCGCAGTCAGGATGCAGTTGTTTTTCTTGTTCATAATGACCCAGACTTTATACATCTCAGTCCTTTTCCCTTGTCTTTGCAAGCACCTCAGTTGACTTCTCAGTCCACCCTGTCTCCAGAAAACTGTCCCCCAGCTTTCAAACTGGTTTCTTGGCAGTTTCTCATTGAGGGCTGAACTGACCGGCATGGATTGTGGCTAACACACTTATTGACCTTACAGTCACACAGCCTCACTTCAGAAATACTTAAAACCTTCATATTGTGCAGAAAAACTGGATTCAGACCCCAAAGCTCTGTCAGGTGAAGGCCTACATGCAGGTAAAGGCTGTGTGTGGTCAACTTCAAACAGACAGGCCTGATAAAGGTCACCCGGTCTTGTCATACTGTGATGATTTAGGTGAAAGGCTTACTGCGTGCCCTCTTTTAAAGGCCTGTCTGAGTTTGAATTAAAGCTGGACAGACTGGTCCTGGATCAGGGAAATATTTGGTGTAAACTCCTTTATGCATGTGGCAACAGTATCTGAGCAACCCTGCTGGACTTCAGGGAGAGCTGCTTGTGACCGAGTGTGTGAACAGACTGTATTTACGTCTCCTCTGCCTGTTTGCATGTCCACTTTTCTCCTGGTCTGTTTTGACTCCAAACTTAAACTCCCCTCCTCATTCCCAGGTGTAAAAACAAGCCCATCACATGCATTCATCCCCTGCTAAATCTGTCACTGGGTGCTAAAACTGTGTCTGACATGTGGTCCAGACGATGCACTCTGCACACTGAAACTCTGCACAAAGGCGCTTCAGGAGATTTACTTGTGGAGGGAAGAGGGACAACACGGTTATTTTCATGTAAATGTCTGCTCTTCAAGGACCTGTGGGACCTGCAGGAGTGAATCATTGCTGTCTGAGCCATAACACAGGTGGTGGGTTTTATTTTTTGATATGAATCTGCATTAGTTTCAGTCTGGGACATTGAACCACACTGTCCCTTTGTGAGGGGTATGAAAACACAGTGACACCATAATTTAATGTCCGGACATAAGACAGGCACCATGCCAGTCTGGAAATCTGGGGTTAGTATGAGTTCAGAGACGCTCTGTGGTCTGTATGTTTGTACAAGACATCATCAGTGACTGTGGGCTGCAGTCAGGATAGGACTTTCTTTAACAGACTCAAGCACAAAACCCGTATTTTTGACCCGGTTAAGGATGAATCACTGTCACAACCTGAATCTATGACATAAAAATATAAAAATCAGGCTGGATGCCTGTGTTTTGTGAAGAGAGACTGTGTTATGCTTTAAAAATTCAAGCAAGGATCTCTGCCATATGAGACACAGAAACACGTAAGCCTACCCTAGAGTTTGTTCTGCAACTTTTTCTGTCCACTCTAGTCTTTTTATGGGTCAGAAATGACTGTTGAGAAAGCTGCTGTCTGAGCCTTCACCAGCACCAACTTTCAGCCTTTGTACCAGTGCTGCTGTTGCTCAAGTGTCAAAGAGCGGATTTCTTCAACTGTCATCTAAGCTCCTGAAAGTTATCCAAGTTGTCCTGATGTTCACTCAGTAGTGACGATTCGATTGTTTCTAAAATGCTGTGTATGCCTTTTTTTTTAAATGAAATTTTATAAAGAAACAAAACGATGGATTATAGAAATAATGTTCTATCACTTGCAACAGGAAATTAAAACAAAGAATCATAACTACCCTTACTTTGATAGATATTGATATCATAGTTATTAAAAATGATTACCCACAAATGAACATTTCAGTTACACACATTGAAGAAACTTTAAACCTCTTTAAATCTTAAAAATAAACAATAAGTAGAAAAAAGTGTTTATTTCCGTTTTTCTGTTTACTAAGTCACAGAAAAACTGTGATTTATGTCTGTCTGTAACTGGGTGAAATCAATGTTGCTGCAAGTAGGGCTCTGTTAAAGATCGTTGATGAAGTTGATATCAGACGTCATGAAGACACTGACGAATGTTGAACTATTTAAAAAACCCACTGATGATAAACATGTTCTTACAAACTAACCTGCAGTGATTTTAGGTGCATCCAGCACATAAAACAACATTAGTGGGGACAGGCCTGTACTGAGTGTCTGCAGGATCAAAAGTTAATAAGCCAAAGGACGATATCTGCAAAAACCACAGGAGTAGTAAATGCAGTGTTTCTCTCTGATCTCCGTCCTCTCCTTTAACTGTCCCTGACCTCCATCATAATGAGTTCTTGTTTGATTTTTAATGTGTTTGAGTTGCTGTAGATCTAAAAGGTGCTCAATGAGTAAAACTCTTTGCTTTGTCAGTAACCATAAAAACGTCCAAGAGTCGACAGGAAAGCACAACAGAGAGACTGACTGACTGTCTTTTCATCATCTAGGTGTCGACTTCAAAGTGAAGACCATTTCTGTGGACGGCAATAAGGCAAAGCTGGCGATATGGGTGAGAGAGAGACTGTGTTTATTCTTCAGTAACACTCATGAAACAAAAATGTGCCTCCTCCATGTCAGTCAGAGCAGAGATTACAGTTTTCCTCGGCTGTTTTGGCTCATGTCTTGAAACATTTTTTAAATTGTCAGCACCAAGACACAGTCTTAAAATACTCATAGTTTCCATAAAACACTAAAGTTAAGCTGTAGAAGTTTGCAGCTCACCCAAAACCTTTAATTTGGTGTCAAAATGAAGTTATTGTGCGAATTTATAACACCCTGTAAACAAAATCACACGTTTCTGTGACTGTGCGAAAATGTGGTCAAAAATGTTCCGTGTTTTGTACGAATGACGGTGGACTCAGGAAGCAGGTTTCTACATTTTAAGCTTCAGTAAGACTTATTCTTCATGTTCTCACTGACACTTTTACTGCTCTCACAGTCTGGACCAGATAGCTCCTAGGTCTAACGTAATAAATAGACTTCAGATGCTGATTTCAGAGGTCTGGATGTTCAGATTTCACAGGTACAGAATGAGCTGGGTTTAATTCTAGTAAGAGGAAGAACAACTTTGTTAGACATACTTTGTTAGACTACACTGTTAGACATATAAGTGTTGCAGATACTCATCGTTTTATTCTGCTTTTGTTGTGTATAAATGAGGATAATTTAAGGAGTATTTCATTCACTTCATGTCTAAGAATTTAGGCTAAAACAAAAGAGAAAAACTTTCAACCAGATGCTGCTCTGAGACTGTCTGTTATCTGTTATACCTGCAAGTAGTCAGAAGATGGCGCCCAAGCTACATCAGTTCTGCCCTTCTGCTCATTTAGAGACACAGGAGTCTGGTCGTTTCTGTCCATCTGTCCCTGCTGGCTTTCTCTTTGAGTCTCCAGTCTCTTCCTCCCAGTGTGTCTAGTGGTGCTGAACTGGTTTGTTTTTCAGGACACTGCAGGTCAGGAGCGTTTCCGAACTCTGACACCCAGCTACTACCGTGGCGCTCAGGGAGTCATCCTGGGTGAGTTCTAATGTGGATGCTATCACTGCACCTGAGTGCACAGAGTGAGAGAGTGTAAAATAATGTGTGTGAGTGTGTGTGTGTTCACTGAGTTTAAGGTTCAGATCCCTGGTTGTAAAAAGAACCTGAAGCGTGATGGTTTTTCATCCTGTGACCCCTGCACACAATCCTGCCTCTTTCCGTGGAAGTGAGTTTATAGCCTTAAGTCAGAGTGCTCATATGGACGTGCATGTACATTATGTATATGAACACACACACACACACACACACACACACACACACACACAGGAACAGAGTTAAACCTCTTAAGCAGACTTCCTCTGCAGCCTTTGCTTTCTGACCGCTCTAATGATCTATGGAAATACAAGCTGCCTCGTTAGAGCGCAGAGAGCTGCTGTCTGATGAGGACTTCTGTGTTTTTGAGTGTATTTACTTTATCCTGAGCTGCTGGATACATTTGTGTTGGCATCTCTCTTAGCAGTAAGATTTTATTACATCTAATTTATTTCTCCAGAAAGCAGCAAAATGTATGTTGTTGAAGTTTAAGACTTTGGAAACAGTAACACTCTAATAAACACAATCGTTTATTTTTCTTTGAAGGGTTTCACAATCTTAAATAAAAGTGGCAAAAGCTTCAGACCAAATCAGACCATGACTTTTGATTAACAGGTTTTAATTTTCTGCATCCTGGAAATCCAGAGAAAAAGACATGCACAAATCAGAAGGTGCTGCATGTCAAGTGGAAAATACAGAAAAGTAACAGTTACAAGTTCAACAGAGTTGGAAAATCTCCTTTTTTCCATGATTTTGCAGATGAAGCAACATGTTGTCCCTCCTACAAGACTCTGAAGTTATGTTAGAACTGTGCACACATGTGCAAAACATTAAATGTTTGAGCATTTTCTTTTCTACAGTGAAAGCAAATGCACATACCACTAACGTCCCAGTTACATGTAGCCAGATACACTGCAGCTGCATGAAGTGTTTGTTAAAGGGATGTGCAGCACCGTGTGTGTGTGCTTGTGTGTTGTATCTGAAAATAGGCCCTCTGAAAGCAAAGTGCTGAAAACTTTCTGCTGACTGACACGTTGCTGAAACACTTAACAAGACACTCATACAGCTTAACTTCAAAATGACAAAAATATCCCTCTAACATCAACCAGAACCCGTCTGAAACAGGAGAGATGCCATTTCATACAGATTACCTTTTACCAGGGTCCAGTGTTTAGGTAACGTGAACACATTTCTCTGGAGTTACTCTAGAAATGTTTGAAATGATTTTCACAATAAATGCATCTCTAGATAAAGTTCATGTTGCATGACCTGCAACAAATGGAGGTCACTGTCATGTCCAAATCAAAAATAGTGAAGATATTCATGCACTGAGGTGCTGGTTTGAGCTGGTGGTTCAGTTGCACGCCACATGCAAGAAGGCTCTAGTCCTCAATCAGATGCCTGCAGGTTTCATTCCAGCCTGCAGCCCTTCTCATGCACGTCCCTCCTCCAGTTACCTGCTCTAGTCACTGTCACATCCTCTCTAAATAAAGACTTTAAAGCCTGAAAACTTTGAAATTGAAGAAAAGAGACATGCAGGATATCTGTTACTGCTGAAATTTTGAATGAAATCAACTTTAATCTTGAGCCTTAACCTAAAAGACAAAGCTACAGGCGATATCATATCTCCTATTCTGATCTTGATCCGTGTTGACTTCAAAGAGGATAAAAACACAGGTCAGAGCTTTGTCCCGGCATTACTCTGCCTCTAAAATAGTGCAGCTGTATTAAGCATGTGTTTATATTTTTGCTCATTATGTCCTCACTTTGTTTTGGTCTCAGTGTACGATGTCACACGACGGGAAACTTTCACCAAACTCGACAACTGGCTCAACGAGTTAGAAACGTACTGCACGAGAAACGACCTGGTGAAAATGCTGGTGGGAAATAAAATTGATAGGGTGAGTAAGAAACGTGTGTTTCCACTCAGGATAACAAGCTGTGTGATTGAGGAGAGGGCAGGACGTTATGCTTTTTAAATCCAGCTCTGGCTCGGTTTGAGCTGTCAGGATAGAAAAGAAAAATAACCGGGTAAACTGCTACTTTTCTACAAATTTGATTTGGTTTTTTGGTGTCTGACAAAAGGACCCGTAAAGCTTTGTTTTAAACACCGTATTTCACAGAACAGGAAATTAAATTGGCAAAAATAATTATCTTTAAAAAAAAAAAGTCAGCGTACAGCCTCTTGACAAATTACAGAGCTAAATGACGCTGGCAGATCCTCGCTCATATTCCTGGCAGCTGCTATTTTACTAGGATAAAAATGCCCACTAAGTAGAGCATTATGAATTTATTGTGTCCTGCTCTTTGTCTGTGAAAATCACTTTCCCTCTCCACCCTGTGATGACCACAGTGGCTGACAGCTCAGCCCGGCAGGCCTCAAATAAGCCATTACCTTTCTTTGTTTTAGGAAAACCACGAGGTGGACCGGGCCGAGGGACTGAAGTTTGCGAGGAAACATTCCACCCTTTTTATAGGTAAGTCAGGAGGATTCCCGCTGCAGGGCATGACTTACAGCAGAGTATCACAGAGGGGGAAACAGCACCGAAATAACTATCATACTTTCTGAGGAATTCTCTCATACTTCTATTTTTAAAACCGGTCCACACATCATCGCCCATCTGCTGTAGTTTCCTTCTCCCTTTTTTATTCTCAAGACTTTCAGTGAGTCACAATTCGAAGAACTTCGCTTCTGAGTAAACACCTCGACATCATCTTCTCTTTAGAGGTTGATTAAAAATAAGTCATGAGTTTGATCTTCTCAGATTTACATGGACTTTCCAAAAAGTCATTCTCATGACTCCTCTATGAGGAGGTGTTAAATCTGTGCCCTTAAACCTGCCTTTAATTCACTGTTAGTGTTTGGAGTTGACACATGCTGTTGCAGTATTTCCCTCACTCATTCATCGATCCCCTGATAACAAAATAAGATCCAGAATGCTGCATGGGTTTTGAGACTGCCAAAACATATGTATACAATGTTTTACATATGTAAAGATGAAAAAAATATCATTTTGTGAGGATTTAGCAGCTTTTTATCCCCCCTACAACTCTAATCCAATAAGTTTGGACACTGTAAAATGATGATGAGAGTGGATTTTTAATAGTTTTAAATCATTAAAAATCTGTATTCACTTGATATACGACTTTAAAACTCTTTAAAGCTGCTGTGACTAGTGTTTGATGGTTATGAAACTGGATAAAATTTATAATAGACATTTATTCACCTCTAAAATAAAACACTAGATTCAGCGAAAAAGCTACACTGTACGTTTAGACATCAGTGACTGATAAAAGGCGTTAGTGTCACTGCAGATGGTGGACAGCTCACCCAAATAACAGACTTGCTGCTCATTTTCAATTGAATATCAGCAACATATTTGTAAAAACTTGTTACAGGTCAAAAGTTCTTTTAAAGAAACAACCAAACAGGTAAAAAGTTATTGTTATAGAGGAACAACTAAACTGGTAAGAAGTTGTGCAGACAGAAATGGGGTCTGAGTAACAGCTGTGTAATGATTGTGTTTTCAAGTTTTGTTAATTCAAAGTTAAATCTGTCACTAGAGGTCCTGAATCAATTGATAAAAACATAGAACATAGAATGATATTGTGTGATTCTCCCCTTCTCTCGCTCCACCTCTATTCTTCTTTTATTAAATCAAACAATTTTTTTCTCCGTCCTCTCCTCTTCACTTTATTCGTCCAGAGGCGAGCGCCAAAACCAGGGATGGTGTTCAGTGTGCGTTTGAGGAGCTGGTGGAGAAGATAATCCAGACCCCTGGTTTATGGCAAAGCGAAAACCACGGCAGAGGAGTCCAGCTGACTGATGAGGATGCAGGAGGTGGAACCTGCGGTGGCTACTGCTCCCTGGTTTAGACGACCCACATCATTCTCACACACAAACAAACTCCACACACATTCAGACATACACACGTGAATACCACACACTCAGATGTAAACACAGACACAAACACGCTCCCTGACCTGAGCTCCCTCCTCAGACATGAAGGCGGTGAAGGTCTGAGGTGGACCGTCCTCACTCTACCTGTGTTCACAAATTTAATGCACACTTTCTAATAATAAGAGCGCTGCGCTACAGTGAAGCTGCAGTAATGGGTCCTCTGGATGGATCTTTACCGAGGTTTTCTCCTCTGTCTGGTTTTCAGTGACAGTTTTGTGCAGCTTTGGAGCTGTGGTCAAAATAAGAACCATTCTCATTTCATATGAATGATAAATATGTTAAAGACATGTACAAGAAGTCCAACCAAAGCAGGTCAGGTGTTTGGCTAACTCTCCTAAGTTTGATAATGAGGATGGAAACATTTTAACCACAGGTCCCCCTTGTCTTCAGCATGCTAATCGTCCTTGGAGCACCTTGCCTTAGCGAGCACATCTGTATCAGCGCAGGGCCGATGTCTCTCGGTGTTAGCCTTCCCTCTGCTCCGTCCTGATCCTGCCCCTCAGACTGAACATTTGGCTGCTCACGGAGAAGCTTATCGAGCCAGGCTTGTTTTCCGTCTCACCACTCAGTCTAACGGCCTGGATCATGTCTTTCTTTTGTTTTCCACACAACTGCCTCATTTTTTTTTCAGAGTATAATAGAGTTACCAAGTGTCTGGAAGGAGGTTTTACTGCTTTTATTGACTTGGACTTCAGACCTGTGGTGTGTTTTGAAGAGCGCATGAATCAAAGAGATTGGCACCAGCGAGCTTTCCACTGGGTGCCTGAAGAAGAGGGAACTCTTAAAATTGCACGCCTTCGTTGTAACGAGTTGCTTTAATGGAGTGCGACTTACTGGCACTCTGTGACTCAGACAGATAATATCAGTAATATCACTCGCACAGCTTCAGTTTTTCATACACATCCGTTTGAGCGGACAGAGACAAAGGAAAAGTGTTCAATATAAGCCGGGGCAGTGAGTCATGAGGGTGTTTCCACTGAGTTTGGAAAATCAAAGAGAAAGCTGTGTGTCCACATCCCTGATGGATTTCACAGCACTCCTATCTGTGTGTGTCTTTGTATCCAAGGAGTAGATCTACATGTACTGTACTCTGACCCCTGACCTCTGACCTTGTTCATAGTGATTGAATGCTGGTGTGTGTTCTGGGAAATCTTGATCTGAGAGCGTGATCTTGTAAAGGGGATGTAGTGAAAATGGACATGAGGCATGTCTCATCACAGGCTGAATTTTTTAAATCGTTTTAACTGCATGTGAATTTCTCTCTGCGTGCCATCTTTGTGTTTGTTTGTCCAGTGAACGGCCCTCAGAGGCTTTTTACGATGAACTCTATTATAACTTATATTTAGCTCAAAGAAGAGGTTGACCATCAGAGTTTGATGAGACATTAGAGCAAAGTAGAAATAGACCCTCACTTATTTAACCGTCTCTTTGTGTTCAGAAATAAGTTTAAACATATGAACCGTGTAAATTGTGCATTTTAAGGAACTCTGTGAGATGATTCCTGTATAATTTGTAAAGCTGAATGTAAACATATTTCACTACAAACCTCCCTGTGTATTAAACTGAATAAAACTTTTTTTAAGTACAGTGATATTCTGGATATTTTTCATATTATGATACATTTATGAACTGTTTCTTTTTTCTAAAAATGTTAAAAAGTTGTGAAAACTTCAACATTCACTTCAGTTTGCTTCAAATCTTAAAAACTGCCACTCATGTCCAAACCAAAAGGCTCCCTGTTTACTAAGAGCAGCAAAGACACTTATTAAAGAGGCTGTAATTATAAAACATTGATCATATTTGGTTTGATTAAAGCTGTTCGAGATCCTGTATGATGGGCAGGTGGTCGTATCTGATCATAAAGTGCTTGAAGTTCGCATAACCACCTGTTCTCTATACATTATATATAATTTATTAGCAGGTTACCAACTAAAGACATAAACAATGTGGCAAAATGTGGATTTAAAGATGGTTTATTTACAGTTTGATATAAGCAAACTAATGGTATAAGCACACTAACTGATCCAAGTAAGAGGGTCTTGGACCATTAAATTCTTTTCCCAGGGGGGTTAGTAACTGCTGCACGCTAAAGTGCAACCACTCAGATTAACGCAGCACGGTATCAAACTTGGTGCTGTAAGACCAATAGGCTTCAGCGTTCTTTTCTGCCTACCTCACTTGTTCTGCTCAATGATCATCACATAGTTCATAGTATTCAGTTGAGCTAGTATCTATGACGAATTTCCCTCGGGACAATAAAGTATATCTCATCTCATCTCATCACACAGCAACACAAGTGTAAACAGACAGAGGCATGCAAAGGAAAGAAACCCACTTTTCCTACCTGTACGTGCTGCTATTCATCCTTATTATAATGAAAAACATAATTCGACTCATTCATAACAGATCCCCCTGCAGAGGAAGACACCATCCTAGTTCTTGTAAAAGCTAAAACGGCAGCCCTGTGTCATCACTGTGTCAAACCCGCCCTATTTTAAATCAATGACTGTGAGTGGTGAGGTTGATCTGACACAGAGGGGTAATAGTCAAACCTTCATTCTTAAGAAGTGAAGCCAATACTGTTGGCTAAAAACTGCACTCCCCCAAGTGTCCACCAGAGGCTGTCTGCAGAAGCACCACAGAAACGAACATGTTCACAGCCTGGTTCAAAAGCTGTTTTTTGTCTGAATAGGTCAAAACATGATAGTTCACACACCGAGTGACATGAAGTGAACTTTTCTGTAACATGTAACAAGATCAGCGAATCAGAGGCATGGTTGACTTGACTGACAGGTTGGCACACTGTGGCTGTTGTGAGCAGTAAGGAGACTGAAAACTGCCCTAACTCCACCTTTTTGCCTCACAGTAGGGCAGTCGTCAGTGAAGTGGTCAGTATTTGCAATATAGTTACCAACACCTGTAGACTTCCACACTCTGCTCTTACAACAAATGGCTGATTTCAGTGTCACTACGTCTGAGTTTGATACAGACTGTAGTCCAAGCCCTCCTGCCAGTGAAAGTGAACCCGAGCTGGCTGGCTTTTACCACAGTGTCAACAGGCAGAGACAAAACAAACCAATCTCCCTCCTGTGACTTTATTGAACATACTGTATGTGATTTGGCTGTCCCTCGAATCACTGTTGCTATGGAAAATTGATGGTCATTGTGGTGGTGACTAATCAAAATTAAGTGTCAATTATAGCTGGGTAACAAAAATGGAAAACATCCCTCAAATGAACTCATTGATTGATCGGTAATCGCTGCAGCTCTAGCAAGTTGCATTGATACATTTCTAAGTTGTGCTGTGGAGCTGTTTCTTGGGTACCTTCAAAGAAATAATGTAGAAAAATGCTTCCTGATGAGTAAATCTCGAACAGAGATGACCAATTGCTCTGCTGTCATGGTTGCCATGTTGGAAATGTCACTGGTAGGTGATGGGTTTTTCACTCAGCGCCCGTCACATTCCTCTGTCCCCCAAATAAAGAGTTATGTTTAAACAGTGTCCGAGGAACCCTCAGAGCCCAGACGTGTGATCGGTCTAAATCATCTTGTTGGCAGACTTCTCAGGAAACACCACCACAGCCATAACTCACTCTACCAGCGCATCGACTGGGATGTGCATAATTCCTGGGTGATTATGAAAGGGTCGGGGTCTGGCAGCAAGGACCTGTCCCTTGTAGCAAATCCCTCATCTCCTGCCCGCAGTCCAAGCAGCCGTCTGGAAATATGTCTCAGTCAAACAACAACAAAGGCACACGGTCTAAGAGAGCCTTCATGTGGTCCGACTGTGAGCCGGGTTGCAGAGCTGCTGTTTCCCTGAGCTGGAAAAACAGCAGCTCCTTCAGCTCTGAGCTGACAGGATCCATCATATCTCAGAATCCTGTACAGAGATGGTCCATTCACATGCCTTTCACCACCACACCATGGGAGGGAGGGGGGTGTGCAGCAGGTATAGAGTGGCATTTTCATTTTATTGATTCTGGTATCAATTCAGATTGTAAATATTTTAAATCCTATTACGTACAAAATCAGCCTGCTCCAGTAGTTGGGATAGTAAGGCTCTAAAATTAAGGTGTTAACTGTGACACAATTTTTTCCCCTCTATATATTTAGAATAAATGAATACTAAAATCTCTACTTCCACTGTAAAGTTGTTGATTATCCAGCAGTAACACCAAAAGAAGACTTCACTGACTCAAAAAAGAGAAGCTGTGTTGTTGTTGCTCAGGCTGTAAGAAACATGCTGCAGACGTAGGTTTGCTTTATCCCTCACATCTCTTATGCTCTTATTGTGTTCTAATGCATAATGTCAAAGCCTCAGGTAGGGAGAGCACACCTCCTCTCTGTACTGTGTGCATATGTAAAGCCAAGGCGTGGAGAGGAGCAGCAAAGACCCTCGGCTTCTGTTTAAAGACCTCCCTGCCTTTCCAAGTTAATATACAAACTGCAAAAGTTTGAAGCAGGGAGAGCACACCTCCTCTCTGGTTCATGTGCATAAAGGCAGGGAGAGCATCAGCCAAGATCAGAGCAGCATCAAAGACAATCAGTATGACCCTGGTAAAATCAGACTCAGCGTTAAAAGGAGGAGCAGGGGTGGAGGAGGGTTGCAGCTAAGTATTTTGCAGAGGAAGCAGGAAGAGAAGACAAGGTGAAGACATTTAAAAAGAAAGAAAAAGAAAAACACTTTCACATTTGATAATTACATTAAAACTATGCTAAGTTCAGAATTTGCTTTTTGTCATTTGATCATTGGTCTCATGAATCATTAAAAATCATTACAGGCCCTAAATGTATAATATCAATTAACCCATTTTCCAAACTAATGTTTCCAAACCCAACGTGAGAATTTAAATTCATACAAAACAAAGTTTAAAAAAAAAGGAATAATCAGAGGACATTTTCACTTTTAGGAGGCTGCAGTGGATGAAAAGCAGTCAATTACTTTTACTCTGTAAATATCCTTTTATCCAACTACAACTCAGGAATTTAAAATTGTTGTTATTCATGATTTTCAGCGAGACAAAAGAAGAATTTAATTCATTTTTCGGGAAAAAATTAGACAGATTTGGCTCTGGTCAGACCCTTGCTGTGCTGCATCGACACAAACCTCCAACACAGTCTGGTTATTGTGTAAATCTAAGAGAGCACTAAACTCTTCATCACATCCAGACTCAGTAATGATCCAAATACCTCCGACCCTGCAGTCCTGCCCCGCTTTGCTGCTTAAGAAGCCTGTGAGCAGCTCTGCAGCAGCAGCCTGATGGACTGCTTTCTGTCCTCCTGTCTGAGTCTGAGCATGCAGCCAGGCGCTAAGCTAACAGAGATCTGGCTCTCATTAACACCGTCTTGTCTCCCTGCTCCTCCTCGCCGTATGGACTAGTGCTCAGACAAGCCCCCCAGGAGAGCAGTCATGCTGTCATGTGTAAAAACCTTACGAGACATTGGGCATCGTTTCATAAGGTGTTGGGTTGCCAGCCGTGGCTTCCTTTGTCATGCTTACAATCGCGTGATAGTTCAGCCATGCTGGTTTAAAGGAGTAAAGAAGAGAGAGGGGATGATCAGAAAGACCCCCAGACTCTCAAAGATGTCTTCAGTCAAGATAACGTGATGTGTTTGCCGTGAAGTCAGCTGTGTGGTAATGATGATGTGATCAGGCTGACACCGTGAGGGACAGCTGGTCCTCTTCAAACTTTGCTTTAACAGAGTTCTTGTAAAAGACCTCAGGGCCCTCCAGTTTTGGGGTTTAATCTCTACAAAATCCTTTTTTCCATCCCTCACGTCGACCTCCCTCACTCTGGACAAAGAGCAGGACTACCTCCGCAAAGTGGACCATTTGAATCATCGCTGGAGGAGACATTGAGTTCATTTCATGGTTACTGTCAATGATTTTTTTACCCGTAGAAAAAGGTCTCCTCTCCAAAGTACTGGAGCCTCCTGACTAAACACCAAAAACACAAAATAAAGAGTGAAATATGAATGTTATTATTATTTTTGTTTCCCTTCTTTGTCTGTCACATCAGCAGGTTCATGAGTCGACCTACTGCTTTCTTCCTTCTCTGTGTTGATTTCTTTAACAGCTCTAGTGCTGTTGTGAGGAGCTTTTGCATTTTTCCATTTTCACTTGAACATATTTATATAACATCTCTGTTGTTCCTCATTTTAGGGCCAACTCTTCATACATGTAAACAGACTTAGTATTAAACCAGATTCTGGTTACGGTTTTCAGAGTGGGTTTCTTCACTCTTCACAGTTCAGGAACTTGAACTGGCAGTTGAAATGACTTGACGACATCTGCTCTTCTTCTGAATAAACAGACTCTGTAACTTTAATGAGTAATATCCTGAATCAAACAGAGCCAGGGACACATCTGTTAATCTGTTCACCGTCTATTATCAGTGTTGTGTTTTTATTAGCATTTAACATCGACATTATTTAGACAAATGATTTTTCAAAACCTGTAACTGCAGCCGAATCCAACTCTCTTTACCACAGTTTAGCGGTTTAAGAGAGTTTATCTGAGAAACTAAGATTTAAACCTGGCCTGACAGGATAAGATGGATCAGAATCAACTTGATCAACAAACCTGCATAGATTCTAAGTTTCTTTAGAGGTATACTGTTTGGATCCTGGGGACCCTTTCTGTTGCAGCAGGAAGGAAGTAAACAATCAGAACATAAACAGGTTTTGCCATTAATGTTGATATTCTCAGAAAGAAATGTCCCCTGAAAACCTCTCTCCAAAATCTGTCATGCAGCTTCATCTTGCTGTGTCAGCTTTCATCTAGCTGCTTCTTGACAGAAATCCTTAATCTGGACAGTTCATCTATCTATCTATCTATCTATCTATCTATCTATCTATCTATCTATCTATCTATCTATCTATCTATCTATCTATCTATCTATCTATCTATCTATCTATCTATCTATCTATCTATCTATCTATCTATCTATCTATCTATCTATCTATCTATCTATCTATCTATCTATCTATCTATCTATCTATCTATCTATCTATCTATCTATCTATATATATATATATATATATATATATATATATATATATATAGCTGCACACTTCTAGACCAGTCCACACTCCCACACAAAATCCCACCCACATACACCAAAACTTCCTTTAAAAAAGAAAAAAATAGTTTTACAACAAATCCAAGGGGAAAAAAAAGAAAATTGGTAAATAATAAAAAATTCATAATGAAACAATCAACCAAAACAGAACAAAATAAACAAAAAACACAACAGTTCAGACAAGATTTTAAACAAAAACATAAATATAAATTCATAAAACACACTTGGGCTTACAAGAATTTGCATAAAAAAGATTTGTCATAAACCACTAACAATGCTAAGCCAGGGACAAGTTCATGGCGGGATATAGATAAGTGGCATTTTCTCATTATTTTAGGCCTTACTTTCGCTACAGGCTCCCTGTTTTGTTTTTTGTTTTTTTGTATTTTCCTTTCAGTATGTCCCTCAGGGATGTGTTGGTAAATTTTTCAAGCCTATTGCTATAGGGTGCCAAAGGTCTTGAAAAATGTAGCCTCTGTTATTCTCTTCTAAAGTCAGTCTCTCTGAAGGTAGAAAACAGATAAAAGAATACACTTCTTTGTAAAATATGTTATGGTTACTAATAATCTTCATTTTTTTTCTGATCAAACTGAAAAAAACTGTTTGTTATTTAATAAATGCACACTGGATTTAATATTGTATAAACCAACAGAGGCAGTTTTGGTGCGCTCCGGCTGCAGGGGCTGCAGCTCTCGTATTAGTCAAAAGATTTTGGCTTCAAATGTTTTTTTGTTTTTTTTCTCAACAGTCTGCTGTTATAGACAGCTCCAGTCAAAGTGTGCTTTGCATTTAAAACATGATCCAGAAATCAAAGTCCAGACTTCATATCAAAAAGACAAATTCAATTGAGTTGATGAATCTCTGATTCTGGTCCAGCTCTGTGACCTGGAGGATCCTGCAGGTCTGCAGACTGTTTGACTGTTTATGTTCAGAGGTGAGGTAGAGGAAAATGCCCCTTTCCTCCTGCTCTTTACTTCCTTTAAAGTCAGCCAAAGTCGAGCTCTGGCCTCTCTAAGGTTACCCTCTGAGCACCAGAAGGCTGTGAGGTAATGACCGGCGTGCCCAGAACTGATGGCTCTGTCACTGCAGGTGGAAACACTTTGATTATGTGGACCCGCATGTTTACATTGTTGCACCCGTTTACATTTAGACCCTTTGACATTTCGTCAGCCGACGGCAGCCTCCAGTTTCGGGACTCTGATCTGTTTTGAGCAGTGTGACCTGCTGCAGGCCTCTGTGTCCTCTGGGTTACAGAGAAGTCAGTCAGTCCCCCTTTATCCAGGTTCCATATGACAATTCTTTAACCTCCCTGTGTGGGCCTGGGGGAAGCCATTTTATACCCAACATATTCCTGCTAATGAGAGTGTGGGCTCCTCTGTGTGCATAAGTGTTGAATTTTCATAAAAAGGAGCTGGAAACACAACTGATTCTGTCAACCGGTCAACAACTCAGCTCTATGCAAGAGATGACAACAATTATTGAAGCCAGTATTCAATCAAAAATTTTGAAAAGACAATAAATCAAATATAGAAACTGGAAAATGTTTAAGTTGAACAACCAAACAGGTAAAAAATTGTTATAGAGGAAGAACCAAACAAACTAAAAAGTAACAAGGACCAAAACCAGGACTGAATGGTCCCTATCTTTAGGTCCTCAGGCAGTACTGCATTATATACAGACAGGATACTGTGGTGGAAATCACTGCATGAGCTCAGAATCACCTTTAAGAACCATTGTCAGTGAACACAGTTCATCGCTGCATCCACAAATGAGATTAAAACTGAACCATGCAAAGAGAAAACGAGATAGAAACCTGATCCCAGTGCAGAGTTGAAAACTGGCCTGTGGTCTGACCACATCAAGTCAAAATTTGACAACTGACCTGCCTATGGTCCAGATCCATTTCCCTGCCCCAGCTTTTTAAAAACATTTTAACATGGTTTCAATTTTACTGGTATCAAATTTTTAAATGACACACTTTTTTTACACTCAAAAACTTTTTTTTTTTTTTTGCTCCAGTGTTTGGTTTGTTGTCATTTCTCTATTTAAATGAAAGAAGTGCTATTAAGGTGCTTTATGAAAACTATTAGATTTAGTTGTTATCAACATTTAAAGGGTGTCTAGACTCTTCTGGTGCTGTACTTGTACAGCCCTGAGAGCTGGGCTCTTCTGTGTACCCATCAATCATACCAGGCCACCTTAACTTAATAAGAACAGCCCTCAGGTAAGCAGGAAACCTCAATCCTTGTTTGGTGTGAACCTCTGGCCTTGGCATGTAAGTCAATTCAGCAAGTAATAAGGCTATAATTGAGTTTCCTTGTACTTGATACTCTGTCAATCTAATTTAAGCCTAAATGATTGCACTGTAACCTACCTTGTTATTCTCAGAAACAGGGCGACCTGTGTACAGGCCCCTAAAGAAGCAGGAGACGGGACTCCTCGCCCTGCAAAGGAAAACTCCTCTCACAGCGGGGGCTGCTTTCATCCAGGCCTCAGGTTACTGAGGCAATAAGCAACAAGGCCTGAAGACGGGCGACAGCAGGGGCGCCACAAGATGTAGAAACAAAACTGGAAGGATGAGTTTCTTCATTCATCACCACACCACCTGAACTCACCCTTGTTCGAGGAGCTCGGGCCTCACACTGCCACTGCTGCTCAGGTGTCGTCATTCAGTGTGTCAGTTGGAGTGGCCGGATTTCACTCATGCAGCAGCGGCAACATGGCAGAAACACACATGTACTCTGGCCATCAGCTGCTATAATAAACTAATCACTTTGTATCAACACAGGCCGGGTGTAAGCTTTCCACCTGCCTCAAACAGTTTCATGGACCTGCTTCTGCTGCAGGGGAGTGAAAAAAACAAGAATCCACATTAATAAACTCCCTCCTCGGCAAGATGATTGGCATGTATGGAAACAAATCCATTATTTCATATAAATAATCCTGCCCCTGTGTTGTAATTGCGCTGCTTGTTTTTCTTTGACAGGCTGATCTCGATTTTGGGGTTGGAGCAGAGAACTTGTTGTAAACCACCAAGACTAAAGACCCCAATTTCACTGACTTTGAAGAGACTAGGAGGTCTGGAAGTCTCTGGAAGATGTTTTCCACAAGGAAAGACCTCCACCCTGCAGAGTCTAGGAACCGGGTTTGGAGGTTAAACTTGTTGGCACTTTCTCTGGGGCTCACAGGGTCAAGTAGCTCCAACCTTAACCTCATTACAGGTCCACATCCCTGTTTTACCTCCTGACCGTTTGCAGCCCTTTGAGCCTTGAAAGTAATCGGAGTTTGGGTTTATTACTGCAAACCACAGGAAGCTCATGCTCTCTGAGTGTAGCGTGGACAATTGAATTTGAAAAAACAAAGCCAACCTCCACCTCTCCCACCTTCCCACCAGCGGGCGAAAGTCAAATAAAGCTCTGTGCCAGGAAATCGTACCCAGGTCACACAAACAAAAGATACTCCACATGTCTGCTGGTTTCTTTTCATTCAGAATGCTGTATCCACTCTCCACTTTGTCCCAGGATTACCTTTCAATCAGATTATGTGGAATAACAGAGGCGTGACAACTGTTTTGTAATCACATAGCTTGCGAGAGTCATTTAGTGGAGTTCAAGCAGCGGTGCTCCTGTCTGTCTAATGGCCTGAAAGAGGGCACGATTTGTTCTCTGGTTACACAAAGCTGCTCTCAGATCAGAAAGAGGGAAGCAGATCTTTAAGTGTAGATTTGTCAGAGTTAACATTGTCAGCAAGCCTGAAAAATACAATTAAGTTCAGCTTTGTTGTCATGTTTCGAAGAGTTGAAACTGGCACAAAGTGAAAAGAGCTCCCTCCTCAGGTTTCAAGTGAAAAAAGGAAGTTGAACTATCCGGAAATTCAGTGTCTTCAGTAATAAGTCGTGCAGTCTTTCAGGTCTGGTTTATACTCCTGAATTAAATCTATGCTGTAACCCGGTACCTGTGCAGAGGCCTGCGACACGCACCTCCTCAAAAATTTAACCATGCATCTAAATGTCGACTTCAAGCCCTGTGGTTGGTCTGCTGGGTAGCATCATCTTTCTTGCATTTTCAATATCTGCAGATTTTTAGTTAATGTTGCTACTAAACGTTCATCAGCTCCAACAAAACACTTTCAGACTCAGTCAGTGTAGTTGATCTGAGTAAACAAGCAGAGGATGTAACAAGACCGCAAACTGTATGTCTATAAATGAGACTGTCAACCATGAGCAGCACATCTCACCTGACTGATTCCACAAACCATGTGGCTCTTTGCCAAAAACAGGGGAGTATGGATAAACTGAAGGCTGCTCTGCATTAGCTTGTCATAAACATGAAAAACACAGTATATTTAATTGTACTTTCAGGAATGCTTATCAACAGCTGTTTCCAGGCATAGTTATGTGTTACTGTTGTAGAAAACTAACCTGCTAGTTGCACTTGAAACGACAGATTCTGTTTTTTCAGACTGCAATATATGGAGGAATTCTCAGAATTGTGTTTGACCTGTTTTTTCAGATTGTTTGTTTCAGACGTCAGAGGAATCTGACGCCTTCAGACGCCTCACACTTGTTAACCAGATGTGCATGTACGAGGCCTTCCCCTTCTCTGTGTTGTTGTCAGTGTGACTGTAGTGTATATGTAATAACAGCTCCACTTCTGAGGCAACTGTTTTGTCTACCCATCACCACCTCCAGCTCGAATATGGCTCGTTTTATCACCCCGCTGAGCTCTGGCTTGTTTGAACGCCTTTCTGTACCTCAGCCTCCACAAACACTGTACCCACAGTGGACTGTAACAGGAGACCCAGCCCACCCATCTGTGTTGTGTGCCCTCCTGTGGTGTGGACAGATAGTGTAACAGTGTTTTCGGGGTGTTGCGTGATTCTGCCTCGCCGTGGTCTGAGCCTTTGTTTCTGCTCACACGGCTAAGAGAGACTCCAAAATTCACTCCTGGTGCTGGACACCAGGGGCTCGGCACCAAGCAGGCAACATGCTGCTCTCAGATATTTACATTCATCCTGCAGAGCTGCAGACAGTAGCACAGATTTGTTTCAGTCAGGTCAGGAACTGACATCCATTACCATCCCTGATGTGAGGAGATGGGGGGCGAGAGGAAACCAGACTTAAAAATGAAACTACAGAGTGTTTTCAGGTATCACCTCTATTTTTGTGCCTCGCTGGAGACGTGACGCAGGCACGGCGTAAGTCAGGTCCGCCGCACCGACAAGGCGTTCCCAAGCACAATTTGGTATTTCGGTGAGCAACGCGGCCCGGCGTAGGTATCCCCCCTCCCTAACTCAGCTCATCCCAGCAGCGTAGGTCGTAGCGAGGGAGGAGAGAGGTCGTGGTATGGGTTTAACACAGCCAATCACATAAGCTCCTCTCCTTGCCTTTAAATCCGCCACCAGCGAGGCGTATTACTATTTTCGTGAAGTAGTCAAAGAGATCAAGAGATGTCTGAAGACAGTAATGCCACATGATGGCGACAGAGGGCAGCTCTTCAACAAGTGTCACTGTAAGCGCTGCATTGGGCGTCCTCCACACTCTCTCATATGAGCACAGATGGATTTGGTGTGTGTAATGTTGGACCCACTGGTAAGACAAACACCCTTTCCACACATAAAGACACTCACATAAAGTTGCATATATTCAAACATGACAAAGGTGGGTTGTTAATATACAGGATAATAATCCACCGGTGTTTGCAGGGTTGTATGTTTCTGTTATTTCAGAGTTTTATCATATACTATCCAGTTAGTAACAGAGGAAAATCTCTGTTGTTTGAATGTTTATCTCCATCTTCAAGAGTCCTACCTGCTACTTCAGTCATGAGTCGATTTATCTGGACTTCACCCTGATCAATGCCGTGCTCACCTGCTGTGGATTTACTCCAGGATACTGCGCTCAGGTTGATCAATACCCCACATTTCCTTTTACTTTAAATGAACGTAAGATACAGTTTCTAGTGAAGGGAAGTGTGTTAAATAATGTATGGTGGAAACCATTCTTTTTTACAGATACTGATCACTGAAAGAGCCATTGGGCATCGGGGTGAAAGCAGAATATCTGGTGCTGGATTGCACTGTCCACTGTCCTGTGTGGTAACATGGAAAGGGTAGATCTTGAGTCTGAGATGTTTTTACTTTTCCATTAATAACCAGTATTGCTGTGATTTGTTCTGAATTTTTTCTGCCAGACAATTTGGCTGATGAAATCATCATCTGCTGGACAACTACTGAACCATCTAAAAGCAGGTAAAAACAGGCGGAGCTTTTTGGCATGCTTTCTCCGGGTTATCTTTCAATGACACAAGTGAAGCATTTTCTCTCTTATGATCATAATGTAGCTGGACACATCAGCGGCACAGCGAGTATACAGTATATCCTGCCAACGAATTTCTGAAGCATAGTGCTTTGTTGGCACAACACTCATTGATTCAAAGTGATGAATTTTTTTAACTGTTACAAAATGAGTGAACAAAACAAAAAACGATTGTGTCATTTTCTATGCTAAGCTAAGATAGCCAGCTGCTGGCTGCTACCTTGAGTTTGATGGTTGGAGAATGGTCTCATTTTTCCTTATCTAAATTAAGACAAGACAGAAGAGCACCCAGGCAGTGTTATTTCTTTAAACTGATGTGGAAATCAAGAGTTGGCTGCAGGCTGCAGCACCTGATACTAATTTTCAGGCCAGAAAGATGCTCAAACGGAGGGCTAATAGCAGAACAAACATGTAGTAGTTCCTGTGCGTGATGTATTCCTCTGGTTTTCGACACATTTTTGTGTCATAACAGAGGTTCTGACCGAACTGCTACGTCTCCTTAAATACAAACCAAATGGGCCATTATGCTGTCGAACAGTTGCTGTAGCTCACCGCTCCTCGGACTAACTGTGGCTCAGCCAAGCTGCTGCGGCGGGTGCAAAAATTACGACAGCTGTCTCAGGTAAACGGTGTAATATTTACTCTCTGTCATAGCAACACCGACGAGTTCTCAGCTGAGTATCGTGTTGGTTTGAAGCTGCAGAATGTGATCGGCTGCAGCTGGAACCAGATCCCACTTCATGCAGTTTCTTGGACTGAATAAATACTTATTTCTGAGTCACATGTGAAAGAGAAATAAGACTTTAGACACTTTCTGCCATTGTTTGACTCCAAGCTTATGTCCAGATCTGCATGGCTCTGGTTAGTAAAGCTGGTTCATATAATGACCCCCTCCATCAGCTCTGAAATGAAGGTTTCTGTATGTGTCCATATATGTCCTGGTGAGGTAAGCCCACAGACATCTCCACCCAAAGATGGTGCAAAGCGTGATGACTGAGCTCCAAGGAAGAATTCAGAGTGCACAGAGTGAGCTCTGTCAGCACTGAGAGGGCCATAGTTTCCAGAACCCTCCAGAGGTCTCAGACAGCACTGCCAAACAGAGCTTTAAAGTCCTGCTGTGGGCTTTGAAGTGTTAATGAAGATGAGACCCCTGTGTCTCTGACATGAAGAAACCATGCAGAGCTCCTCTGTGGACATTGAATTTGGCTTTGGATCTTCTGGTTCAGTCATCGTAAATGTTGGTGAGATGTCCGTGGACATAAGATATTAAAGATTACACTTTAACCTGAAGGGAAATGTATGATACTTTTCAGGATATTTTTCCTCACCAATGACATCTACAGTTACATTAACTGTGTATTCAGTATCATAAAATTATGTACTTTTGACCCACATTTAGTCACAAGAGTCAAGGTCTTTGACTTGGTTTGGCATTGCTCTCAGCAAACATACACAGACAGTGGCATACTCAGGCTATTTTAAGAACAGAAAATGAGTGTTAAAATGTTACACTTTCCATGTTTAAGACACTTTCTTGTGGCGTGTGGTGTATCTTGTGGACCCAGAAGCAGACACAGAGGCAGATAGCAAATTAATGATGTATTTAATGTCCAACTCAGGGAAAAAGGCATGAGAGAAAGTCCAGTTTGCTGGCTGGCTGTTGTGTGGGCTGGAGACACTGTGGAGAGGCAGAGGAGATGGAAGTGAGAAGATATACAAAGAATCACAGGGAGCAAAAAAGTCACAAGCACTTATCCAATGAGAAGCGTCTTTACCACTAAGGAATGAAGAAAATACTCAGGCGCTAAGACTGAGGGCTGCTCCCTCCGAAAGGGCCTTGATTGCAGATGCAGTGCAGGTGTGGAGTCTCACTCAGCCTTAGCGACCGGGGAGGGGGCAGGTGCTCTGGAAAAGAGTCACGCCAGACCAGGAAAACAAAGAAAAACAGGAAGTCCAACCAAAATAAAACAAGAGGAGGAGGCGTCTCACCACAGTACCCCCCTCTCAACGAACGCCTCTTGGCCAGGTTTGTTGGGGTGAGCGGCGTAGAAGTCGTTGATGGTCCAGGATGAGGGAGCGCTCCTCTGGCCCGTGTCCCTCCCAATCCACAAGGTATTGGAAGCCTCGACCCCGAGGCTGCACGTCCATGATTCGTCCCACAGTGAAGGCAGGGTGGTCGGGGGGGGGGGGGGGCTCAGGGTGCATGAGGTGACAGGCTTTATCAGGGAGACATGAAACTTGGGGTGAATTTTGAGGAATGAGGGAAGTTTCAGTCTTACCGCTGATAGGTTGTTAATTTTCTGGATCGGGAAGGGACCAATGAAGCAGGGGGGACAGCTTGCGGGACTCGGTCTGCAGGGGAGAGTCACGGGACGATAACCAGACCATCTGACCGGGATGATAGTCTGGTGCTGGAGAGCGGTGAATGTCAGCCAGGCGTTTGTTGTGCTTGGCCGTGCGGGTGAGTGCGGCCCTGGCGGATCTCCACACTTCCCATAGACGCCCAATGTGCTCCCTCACTGACGGAACAGCCACCGGGTGCTCCTGTTCGGGAAACAGGGGGGGCTGGTACCCAAAACAGCACATTGAGGGGGGGCATACCTGTGGCCGAGGAGGTGAGGGAGTTATGGGCGTACTGGATTCACGGGAGGGGAGTACTCCAGGACGCTGGATGATGGGCCGCCACACACTGCAAAGCCGACTCGAGGTTATGATTGGCCCGCTCCTTCTGGCTGTTGGTCTGTGGGTGGTAGCCTGAGGAGAGGCTAGCTGCCGCGCCTACTGCCTGGCAGAAAGCTTTCCAGACCTGGGAGGAGAACTGGGGACCACAATCTGACACTATGTCCATGGGGATACCATGAAGTTGGAATACATGAGACACTAGGAGATAAGCAGTTTCTAGAGCAGACAGGAGCTTGGGTAATGGGACATAATGCACAAATTTGAAAAATCTGTCTATGATGGTGAGTATGACTGTGTTACCTTCAGAAGGGGGGAGACCAGTGACGAAATCTAGAGCTATGTGAGACCAGGGGCGTGAGGGCACAGGCAGAGGATGCAGTAAGCCAGCCGGAGGTTGATGGGAAGCTTTGCCTCGGGCACAGACGGAGCAGGCAGCAGCAAAAGCCGTACGTCCAGACCATCCCCGGCCACCAGAACCACTGCTAAAGGAATTGGAGGGTGCATTGAAATCAGGGGTGGCAGGTGAGTTTAGAGGAGTGCCCCCACTGTAGGACCTGGGAACGTGCAACCTCAGGGATGAACTTTCTATCAGGAGGGCCGGTTCCAGGGTCCGGGTGTTTCCGGAGGGCCTTGTCCACCAAGGTGTCGATCTCCCAAGAGGCAGAGCCAAGGATACAGGAGGCAGGGAGGATGGTGTCCAATTCTCTGGGGTCTGAGGTAGCCGAGGAGTGTATCCGAGATAGGGCGTCAGGTTTAGGGTTGGGGGAGCCGGGACGATAGGAGAGGGTGAAGCAGAATCTGCTGAGGAAGAGGGACCAGCGGGCTTGCCTGGAGTTGAGGCGTCAAGCAGAATGGAGATATTGCAGGTTTTTGTGGTCAGTCCAGATGAGGAAGGGGTGTTGTGCTCCTTCCAGCCAGTGTCTCCATTCTTGGAGTGCCCACACAACAGCCAGCAACTCACGGTTTCCCACGTCGTAATTGCGCTCGGTGGGTGAGAATTTCCGGGAGAAGTAGGCGCAAGGATGGAGCTTCTGGGTCTCAGAATCCCTCTGTGAGAGGACGGCCCCCACTCCAGACTCTGAAGCGTCGACCTCCACCACGAATTGGAGAGAGGGATCCGGGTGTTTGAGCACCGGGGCGGAGATGAAGAGGGACTTGAGTTGACGGAAGGTGGCGTCTGCTTCAGGGGTCCAGGAGAACGGAACTTTGAGGGATGTGAGACGGGTGAGAGGCACAGCCACCTTGCTGTAGTTCCGGATGAATCTCCTGTAAAAGTTTGCAAACCCGAGGAATCGCTGGAGGTCTTTGCAGGAGGAGGGAGTGGGCCAGTCACGGACGGCGCAGACTTTCTCCGGGTCTGGGCTTAGCTCCCCCTGGGCAATGATGTATCCAAGGAAGCTGACAGAGGAGGCATGGAACTCGCACTTCTCAGGTTTGACAAAGAGGCGGTTCTCAAGGAGGCGCTGGAGGACAAGTCGAACGTGCTGTTGATGTTCCTCCAGGTTGCGGGAGAAGATCAGTATATCGTCCAGATAGACGAAGGCGAATTGGTTAATCATATCACGGAGGACGTCATTAATGAGAGCCTGGAACACAGCGGGAGCATTGGTGAGGCCAAAGGGCATGACGAGGTACTCGAAGGGGCCAATGGGTGTATTGAAGGCCGTCTTCCACTCGTCACCCTCCCTGATGCGAACCAGGTGATAGGCATTCCGCAGGTCCAGTTCGGAGAAGATGGAGGCATTGCAGAGAGCTTCGAAGGAGAGATCGATGAGTGGCAGGGGATACTTGTTCTTAATGGTGATCTCGTTGAGTCCACAGAAGTCGATGCAGGGACGGAGAGAGGAATCTTTCTTTTTTACAAAGAAAAAGCCAGCAGCAAGGGGAGAGGATGAGGGCCGGATGAGTCCAGATGTCAGCGAATCCTGGATGTATTCCTCCATGGCTTCTCGTTCGGGCCGAGAGAGATTGTACAGTCTGCTGCTGGGGAGAGGGGCCCCAGGGAGCAAATCTATGGCGCAGTCATAGGGGCGATGAGGAGGAAGGACGAGAGATTGTTCTTTATTAAAAACCAATGCCAGATCATGGTAAACAGGGGGGACCGAGGCGAGAGATGGTAATGGCGGTGCCGACCTTTGTCGGTGGATGAAGGGATTGGCGGAGCGGAGGCAGTGAGAATGGTAGTGAGGACTCCAGGTGGAGATTGAAGCGGTGGACCAGTTAATTTGGGGATTGTGGTTTCCTGAAAGGATGAGGGTTGAGAGGAGTAGTGCAGTGGGATATGATGGCCATAACCCTGCCATCGAGAGCGGTGACCTTATGGGGAACCGGGAGTACCTCCAGGGGGAGCTGAAGCCGCGCTGCCAGTCCGGCATGAATGAAGTTGTCATCTGCCCCTGAGTCAATAAGGGTTTGTAGCGATGTACATTCTTTCCCCACAGGAGGCAAGCAGGTACGGAGATATGTCTGGGGGAGCTGGGGACAGAGGAGGTTTGGCTCATCAGGGTGCCCTCTGTCACTGATTAGCCTGGCCGTTTAATCTTGTTAGGACAGCTGGGCAGAAAGTGGCAGGCCTGGCCACAATAGACACAGAGCTTCTGATCCATCCGTCGTTGCCGTTCGCTGGGGTGTAATTTGGTGCGGCTGATTTGCATGGGTTCCCCGGTAGAGGGCTCCAGATCCAGGTGAACTGAGGGCTGCAGAGGAGACCCACTGACTGCAAAAGAGGATGGGGAGTCTACGGTATGGGTAGGGTAATTTAATTTATTTTCCCTCCGTCTCTCCCTTGAGGCAATTGTCTAATCGTATGGCTATTGGGATTAGCTCCTCAAGTGAGGAGGGTTCGTCACGAGCAGCTAATTCATCTTTTAGCTGTTCGGACAGACCATGAGAGAATACACCCTTTAACTCTTGTTCCCCCCACCCACTCTTAGCCGCCACTGTGCAAAACTCAATAGAGAATTCCACCACAGACCGAGAGTCCTGGGTGAGGGAAAACAACTGCTTAGTACATTTGGGACCCTTGACAGGATAATGAAACACCTTGCAAAGTTCCTCAGTGAACCTGGCGTATGAGGACAACATCAGCGAATTTTTCTCCCAAATGGCAGTAGCCCACTTAACGGCTTTGCCTCTTAAAAGGTTCACAGTGTAGGCAATCTTGGACTGATCCGAGGGATAACTAATTGGCTGTTGATCGAACACTAAAGCACAGTGGAGCAGGAAACCTCTGCAGCCCCCAATCTCCTCAGCATATGGCTCAGGAGGAGGGACATAGGGCTCTTTGATGTTAGGAGAGGGTGGGGAAGGTGTACATATACATGTAGACAGCACTCTTTCCATATTTTTAATATATTTCCATATTTTTCATCTGAAAGATCATCTACTGGGCTAGTTTTCCAAGTGTAATTCTCTAGTGTGAGGACAGGGGAACATCCAGGGGTCAATTTGCCGTTATTCATACTTTGATGAGCAGCTATCAATGCAAAGAAAAGGAACAAGAGAGGATGTTTTATAAAGCATTATAACTGGAGCATCTAAGAGGGCAGGACCTCTGCAGGACTGTAAAGATTTGAGGGCTCCAGGGGAGTAAAAAATGAAACATCCCTTTATGTGATTAATGCTGATGTGTTGGTCATACTGTTTGAAAAACTACAGTGAACTTTTCAGGTGATATTATGGTCTAATACCAAAATTTTGACTTTTTTAAATCAATACTAAATTACTTATCATGATTTAACTGAATTGTCACAAGAGCATACCTGTATTATTTTATCTAATTTGGACTAATTGAGGGATCAAATATATAATATTTATATCTAAGATATATTCAAAACGCAATGAGGCAGAAAAGAAATCTCTCACAAATGTCCTGGCCAACATAGACAGGAGCACAGTAAAAATAAGTTTCAGAAAAAAAGCAGACATAAATTCAACAAAGTAAAACAAACATGAATGATACATTAAAAAACATGAAATAGCAAATCAAGTGAACTACAATCATGAGCAGATAATCTTTCTGCCTCCAAGTCTCAACTGAGTGAATACAAAATAAAGACAATGTTGGTAGAAAGTGCTGTAATACTTATACATGTTTAAATACATGTTTATTACTTTGGGGCTGAAATTTAAATATTCCTCTGTATATGTGTCAAAGAATAAACTTGTTGACTCCAGATGACATGAGCTGCCTACGGCTGACTACAGTTAACTACAGCTGACTACAGCAGTCCACCTTGTTTTTCTGAGGCAGAGGTAGTCTCAGGGCACCAACATGGCATCATTATTATACTATAGTTACACTAAGTAACGTCTGACTGAGTGGGTGATCAATAACAGTTGCTTCGTATTATGGTCTTTAAATGACAAATGTTTTTTCAAATATAATTTAAATTGCAAGAAATTTGGTAAATTGTCAGAGTACAGAAAGTCTTTAAAGTAAACAGGTTCCTGAAGGCTGCATAGATAAAAATGATTAAATGTGGACACTGCTTTCAGAAAGATTTAAAGTGTCTGATGCAGCAGGCAGCCAAACAAAACCTCTGAAGGACTCTGAGCTGAACAGGACTGAATTAAACCGTTGATAAATGCCAGTCCTCTGAAGAGCTGTAGCTGCAGAGAGATCTCATCAGAGGTCTAATCAGCCATGACGGGCTCGTCAATCCAGACAGCTTTACTCCGAACATGTGTGTGTATTTATCTGAGGGAGGAGACAAATAAAAATAAGAGCTGTCTCACTAACATCTGGAGGAGTGGGCTCCTGCGTGGGCTGTGTGTGCCCGTCTGATTCCAGATTTATGCTAACATTACAGCTCTGGCTCTGCTCTTTGTGCTGGAGGCCTGTTGGTTTACTGGCCTTCAGAGCTGGCTGCCACCCTGATGCCACACCGCCTGCCAGGTCTGCAGCCTCTCTCTCTCTCTCTCTCTCTCTCTCTCTCTCTGTGTGTGTGTGTGTGTCTGTATGTGTGTGTGTGAATACCTGCTCTGATGAAGCGTGTGCGTGCTTCTCACTGTTCTTTTAAAATACGTGCTGAGCCTTCTCTAAATCTGTGCTCCATTTGTGGGATTTTTCCATGTGGTGATAAAAGGGGCCGGACCCTCCGCCCCCTCCTGTACACACAAACCCCAACACAGACGTAGAGATTGAATCTCCTCCATCCGTCAACAATGTATCTTTGTGTTCCCAAACACAAAGTGTTAACGTGAGAGGACCTTCCAGCCTCTCTCAGGCCTCGCTTGCTGCCAAACCGCATTCCTCCAGCAGCTGCCATTTCTTACATCTGCTGCATTGACGTGGTTTCACTTGACTGTAGTGAGGAATTTATTTAGCTTTTCTGTGATGAAATATTACACAGAGACACCCGGCCCTGCTCCCCTCTGTGTCTTATTTGTGATCCCGTGGCTGTCATTATGTTATGAGAGGTTGTGGCTTCTGTTTTACTCTGCTGTCCGCCTGCTGCTGCTGAGGCTAACACAGCGGTGGAAATACTCTCTGACCTCGCAGTATTTCAAACAGACCTGCTGCGGAGACTGGCACTGCACACTGTGTGAAATCAGGCTGTTTAGAGAGAAATTAAACTTTACACTTTTACCTCCAAAAGGAGGAAATATGGATGGCAAAGTTTACCACGTAGTTAGAGGTAAGTTTTGTGTGTCTCCACACAAGCTTTGCAGAAAAACTGAGTTCAAACCAGGGCTGCACGATACTACAAAAACAATACTGCAATATTTTTCCGCTGTGTAATATACTTAAGACATATAAATACTGAAATATACAGCAGATAAATGCAAAGTAGTTCAAATACTTTTTGAACAATAAAAATGTTCTTATCATATTCATTATTTATTCCTTCAGTCTTGACTAATAAACACAGTTCACTGATTTAGAAGTCATCAGTGATTTCTGTCAGCATCTAAAATATTTTTTTTTTCAAATTTTTCCATAGAGCACTAATTCACAAAAAGTGTTGTCTGCAGATGCTTTACATAAAAGGTGGTGTGGACCATGACCAGTAACAAAGACATCAAATGATATTTAATCTGCATCACTAGCATCATAACTGTACACTAATTTTTCCAAACTCTGTTTTCTTTTGCATGTGATTTTCAGATCACCACAGTGTTTGTGCTCTGTAGGTTTAGATGCAGAAGTTTAAAGATTATGTTTCTGTTAAAGGTCCCCTATTATGAAAAATCCACTTTTGGGTGGTTTTCCACCAATTATATGCATCCCCTCAAATCCGACCCCTTGGGTGTGTTTACCATCATTGGTATTCATCTTTGGACTCACGGGTGTTCCTTGGGGGTGAAGGCAAGCTGGTGCTTCCAGGTGGGGTGGTGTGGAGGTCCTCTGAAGAGGTCCTCAGAAGATCTCCAGACCACCACTCCTGGGCCACCGCTGCAGTGTTGGCAGCTCAGAGTGGCCTTGGGGAGGAAGAGTGTGGTTACACACAGCTCACTATCAAATTTTAAGGTACCTGCCAAAGACTGTACTATGGCATACTATGGACAACTTGGTTCTGCCTCCCGTCAGTATATGGATTTGAAGCCAAAAAGCTCTCTGTATTTCCGCGATTTTTCTTCATTTCCTGAAAGCATTACTGCGCAGTAGCGTTGTGCGCATTTGGCGGGAGAGTTGCTGTGATGACGCTGGGCTCAAACAGCATTTCCCCCTGGTGAGCTACGCAATCCTTGAATGCCAATAGAGCTGTACAGAAAAATGAGGACTTGAGCACAAACCAGTCTTACTGTAACTACATGTCAACACCGCAAGCAGGGGGAGAAAAATGTATGTTCTGTGTAATTAATTTCTAAAGTTTGTCCACAGCTCCATAAGCTTTGCTGGCGGAGGCGGGATTTATGACCTATACTGCAGCCCATCAACAGAGGGTGCTGTTCTCGGAGTGGCTTCACCCAGCAAGGAGGCAGACTCTGTCCATTCTATATACAGTCTATGATAAGTACACTCATCATGCGCACAGTGCAAATATAAATATAAATGTCAACTTAGACTTTTACAAAAAATCTTATATATAAAAAAGAAAAAAACACATAAGCAATAACAACAAAACTTAAACTGGTTCTGCACAGACCTTTAAAGTTAGTTTAGCAGTTGGTGTCCCCACTACTTCAACTTCAACTTTATTTCATTTATATGGCACTTCTCCTACAAGTTGTAACACAAAGTGCCTTACAAACATAAAAAGAAAATGAAACATTAAAATCCCCAAGAAAACCCCAAACCTCCCACCCGCACAATTATACCCATACACACACCCGTGAACATAGACATACATTTCCACACACACAACCTCACATACACACACACCTACACAGTTCGCAGCTGATGGTGAGGAGACATGACTGGGCACTGAGATCTGAGGTGAGGAAGACGCTACCTTTGGGGGCCACGTCGACCGGGAGGCGTCCAGGCCCATTGCTGCAGGGGGCGCCGTCACAGGGACCACCAGCCCGGGCAGACAGGAGGCTCTGCACCAAGGTGTAGAGCTCTCTGGTTCCACCCGGGCCAGAGCTGTCCCCAGAGCGGCGTCCCCACCAACAGACCAGAACCCGCTCCCGGTGAAGCAGCCCCCAGGAGGAAACACTGGAAAAACTGAGGGACTAAAAGAATAAAATAAGACATAAAAGTATAGAAACTAAAACTGAAGGAATAAAACTGTAATCGCTAAGACAGACCCAGTAAATAATGTAAGATAAAATGATTCTGTGCACTGTATAACACGCCAGACTAAAAATAATAATAATAAAATTGATAGATTGAAGTACTGTATAAAATAGAATGGTAATAAAAAGTGTTAGATAGTAAAACAATAAAAGTGAGCATAAAAGGGATTAAAAGAGTTAAACTAGTCAGTTAAAAGCCTGATTAAAAAGATGAGTCTTTAGCCTCTTTTTAAAAATATCAACATTCTCTGCAGCCCTGAGGCTCTCTGGGAGGCTGTTCCACAATCGGGGGCCATAATAACTGAATGCCGCCGCCCCGTATGTCTTAGTTCTTACTTGTGGGATTTTTAAGAGACCAGCTCCAGAGGACCTCAGGGTCCGTGAGGGTTGATAAGGTAAAAGTATCTCAGATAAATAAAACGGCCCAAGACCATTAAGACACTTAAAAATTAGGAGGAGAACCTTAAAATCGATCCTGAAACGCACGGGGAGCCAATGCAGCGATTTTAAGACAGGAGTAATGTGCTCCCGCCCTCTGGTCCTCGTCAGCACACGTGCGGCTGAGTTTTGTAATAATTGTAGGTTTTGCATGTTCTTTTTGGGAAGACCAGAGAGCAGGGCATTACAATAATCCAAACGACACGAGATAAAAGCATGCATCAGCACCTCCGTGCTGGCCTGAGAGAGAAACGGGCGGACTCTGGCTATATTCTTAAGATGGTAGAAACCTATCTTTGTTATGTTTTTGATATGTGGAATAAACGTGAGCTCAGAGTCAAAAATCACGCCCAGATTTTTTACAGATATTGAAGGTTTAAAATCCTGTAACTTTGGTAAAAGTTTCTCTCTCTGGCCTTCAGGACCAATGACTAAAACCTCTGTTTTGTCCTGGTTGAGCTGCAGGAAATTTGCTGCCATCCATGATTTAATGTCTAAAATGCAGTTAAAAAGGGCATCAATTGGCCCTGTGTCATCTGGAGACACGGCGATGTACAGTTGCGAACTACACAGAAGTAGCAGAAAATCACAAATTGGAGCACAAATTTTTAAATCCATCTTACTTAATCAAGGCTGTTATAGAAGACTCAGTAAAGCTAAGCATACGACAGTTCAAACCTGCCTCTCACCTGACCATATCAATGACAGGTGTGCAATATCATCGTGGACCCTCTCTGAGGCACCAGCCTGACTTCATACACTTAGTAATTGTTTTGATCATACGTAGCTTGATGGTTACAAACACATGTTTCTGTGGGACCCTCTAGAGATTTCAGAATATACACCTTCCACATAGGGGAGACCGGGGCTTGTTGTCACATGGGTAAGTTGTCACATTGCAATTATCTTTGCCACCAGAGGGCGCAACTAAAAAGTGGAATACTCGTTTTCTTCCTTTACATGGTCAGGGGTCGTGTCCTATCTGAGAAGATAATAGCACATTGTGAGCTGAGATGAGCGCCAATTAACCATACACACAACCCAAAGTAAAAAAAAATTAACCTTTTATATTTTAAAATAAGCTTCTTACAGATAAAAATCCCAGCAGTGATACATGTGGACTTGTTAGAGGAGAGATTAAGGCATCCTGTTATACTTAAATCATGATTGTGTTTTAAGATAACATTAATCTAGAGCTATAATTGCAAACATGGTAGTTAGGGGCAACATGTCTCAGTCATTTTGGGGTTAGTTGTCACGTGTTTAAAAGGGATTAAAATTAACATAGAGAGTCTGCTTATCAGCAGTTGTCATACAGAAATGTTGACTTATTATTTATTTATTATATATTTTTACAGAAAAAAGAGTGGTTTAAAGGAGAGGAGACAGTGAGAAGACATTGTCAGGAATTTCAAAAGAAAAACAGAACATGGCAGTGCAGTACCTGACGTGATGCTGAGGGCAGTCAGACAGGTGACCCTAGCTAATAAATCAATCTGGAGTACAATAAAGGACTTATATTCAACCACCATACCTTGGCTCGGTACTGTAAAACATTTACCTCGGCTGGAATACAGAGTCATACAATTGTCCAAACTCCAGTGTATGTTGCATAATCTTTTAAATTAATGTTTGTTCAGTGGCTATGTTCAATGACTTTTTCTAGCTCAATGATAAACATTTTCTGTGCCTGACTTTGATGTTCACTTTTATTAACTGCAAAATCCACTGTGACATCTTACCCCATATAGTGAGACAACTTACCTGATGGTGGGGCAACATGTCACATGTTCACACTCTCTCTTTGAATGCTTATAACTCTGCACTGACTCTAGATATGAAAATGACATGAATACGAAATATATACCTGAGACTTTGGTCTTTTATCTGGTACACATTTTGTTTATATAGGATGTGTTGATTTCAAGATATATGTAAGAGTGTAAAAAGTGTGACAACAAGCCCCGGTCTCCCCTATAGTATACGCTTATAGAGTTCACCAGTTGAAGTGCGTAACGGATCAATCATGACTGCACATATTCTATGTGTCAACCTGTGTAAATGAAACCATGATATGATAAATGCAGTCAAAGCCTCCTCTCTGAGTTTATTTAGACACAAACACTTCATTTGGACTGAGCTGCAGAATTCTGGGTAAAACTCTGAGAATTTCTTGAAGCTGTCCCTGCAAACGTGGAGGGATGATACACCAACCTCAATGAGGTACTGTCTGTGCTACTTGCAAACCGTGCAAGATTCCACTTTTCCTGAAGAGCGTAATCCATCAGGCTGAACCCAACATTTCAGTGCCTGGTTGAGGGCAAACCTCACACACTATGGGCAGTCCTATCAGCTCTGGAGGATGAACTCTGGAGGGCAAAGTGGCTCTACTGGTGACACCACAGAATGCGAAAACAGCAATCATGCAATCATGGCATATGGTGCTGCCATGAGTGGTATTTTTGAATTATGCTGCCTCTGCGACTGGCAACACCCAAACTTCATTCATAGAAGCTGAAATAAGACTGCAATGAGAGGGTTTCTCCAATGCAGAAATAATACCTTTTTCAAAGTCAAATTTATTTGAAGCATCATGATCATGACCTTTGTCTGTAAACCCAGTTCTCCTAAGCAGTAGATCTTTTATTTCCCAGTATGACTCCTGCTAAACTGAGGCCTTAACCTATACTTCTAGCATTTTTCCCCTAACAACGCATCTTTTTAGCTCTCTTCCACATGTTAAACTGCTGCTCCGAGGACTGGTTTGTGTTGGGGTTTTTTAGATTTCTGCAAAAGGCTACAGATAAGCAACCTCATGAGAGAAAAGGGATGAATGGGACTATTTCTGAGTGTATTTTGTTTTTCAGCATTTTTTACATTTTGAATAAGAGGTTGAAACACCGCCGTCCTCTGCTTGTGTGTAATACACACTGTCCAAGTTTCCTCTTAAATGTCCCTGACTTTTACTGGAAGTCATAAAATGCCCATTCTTGTTGACTTTTACAGGAAAACATGACAAAGTTCTTGCTGGACGCCCTTCCAGTGGAAAAGGGTCAATTGAATACAAAAAAAGTTCTCTCCACACCCTTAAGAGAGATAAAGACATGAAAACTGGCCTCTGGATGCCTTTGAGTAAATAAAACATAAAAGCTACCCTCTTTATGCACCTCCACTGAAAAAAGGCCTCTGGAAGCCCTTATTGGATGCTCTGACAGTGAATTAAATCTAAAATGTTCCTTATGAATGCCCTACCACTGACTACAGGTCTATAGTTGAAAAAGGTAGAAAAAGGCCTCTTGATGCCCTCCCCATAAACACAATATGTAACAATACCATTTCAATGTCCTTCCAGTGGGGGAATGAAAATATGTAAAAGACCTCTGGATGCTTTTCCTGTAATTTTTATTTATTTATTTATTTTTATTTTATTATTTATTTATGTATTATGATGATTATTTATTTATTCATTTATTTTATTTATATTTTTATTTTTTCTCATTTATTTATTTATTTATTTTTTTTTGGGGGGGGGGGTTTCTACTGGATGAAACATTTAAAAGTGTCCTCTGGATATCCTGCCTGTAAATACAATTTTAAAAAGTGGCTTTTGAATGCACTTGAAGTGAATTGAATGTATCCTTGTTCTGTCTTTATGCAAATCTAGGAACTAGAACATTAAAGACTGCTCTCTAGATGAGCACCTAACATATGGAAAATAGTGACCTCTGCATGCCTTACTATAGTTTATTCAGCTCTAAACAGTGCCATCAGGATTCCCAGTCGGTGAAAAGAAGTTAAAAAGTGGATTTACATTTTTAATGATGAGAATTGAAAAGTTTGTAGCTCAGTACTTATACCTCTAACCCTTCACTTCAGTGTGATCCCTCATTAACCTCTTCACCCCTAAATTTGGAACCACAGGACTACCTCCTCATCTGGCTCAGGCCGACAGTCATAGTTCCAGGTTTTAGTGAATTTTAAACATCAGCAGAGAAAAAAACAGCGCTGTTTACGAGTGATTGCTGAACATTGTGGAGGAAAAGGAGCCAAAAACACTCAAATGTGAGGTAGCATTTCAAATATGAGTCATTGACATTCCTGGGCCTGGGTCTGGATCCAAACAGAGATGCTCTTTGGTGGGTAATGTGTTTGTGAGCTCCAAACAGTGACTGTGAATGAGCTTATGTCTGAGGGGTAATTGTGGAGTCCTTAAATGCTGAGCTGCTAGCTATCATCAGGGATTTCATGTGTGTATGAAAACAGATCTGTGATTTTAACGTTTGCTTGCACCAACAGAAGTGAAGTTCCAGTTCTCACCCTCACGCTCCTCTGTCCACTGGTTCTTCTGCTGTATCTTGATCTCTTGTACTTTTAAAGACAACTGAGTGCTCGCTGGGACATCGAGTGACCTGGGGTGGGGGGCTCTTTGTTTGGAGCAGCTGTTTAGTCAATCTGTCTCAGGAGCTCAGAAAACAGGCAGTTACTGGGATTTAGTGTGTTAGGAAACAGCTGAGGTGTTTGCTGGACTGTTGCTGTTGTCGTGACTCTTGGATGGACTCACACATGGGATCCTGGGAGGAAATTCGCAGGCTTTACCCTCCAGTAAACAAATTGAGATCTGTGCATGGTGGGCTTGTTTGGATGTTTGAAGACAAATGGGAAAGGATCGGGCTAACCTCTGAACAACAGCGCTGAACATGAGATCTGTTGTGTTGCACAGAGAGACCGTGACTGGGATCGAGTCTGTTTAAAGTGAGGAAGAAAAATGTCCTGCGTTTTGGGGTTTGTGCAAGTGTTGTCTTGCCGACAACACGGCACAGTGGATGAAATCATGTGAATGAAAACATGACACCAGGTATAGAGGAAGAGGTTTCCTGCATTCCCTCAGCCCTAAAGACACGCTCCTGCTCCATCTCATGAAAAGTGTTTCTCACTTTCTCTGAGTGCAGTTTACTCTGGCAGCTGAGCAGAGGGTTTCTAAACCATTCACATTTATCCGTTTCCCGATGCGCTCAGGTCAGAAAAACGTGCATGCCTTCACAGCCTGCTCTTACATTTGACCCTCATTGTTAAAAACTGGCATATGTAACATTTTTCCAAGATTTTAGACGGTCTTCCAAAACAAAACAGAGATGATGTCCACCTGGAAAAACAGCCAGCACGTCCTCGTCTGGCCAAACTCAGCATTTACTTGTGGTTCTGTGTAAGCGAAGCTCTCTCCCTTGTGTTTCTGGTGGTTTTTGAAGAAGTTTATTATAAGAAATGAAGACAGGAAATATTTTTCATTTACCTCGGGTTAGCTCAATACAGATCCAGAAACCACCTCAAGCAATAAGAATGAAACTTGAACGTAACAGTAAAGTCAGGAAGGTAATGTTTTGCAGACTTTGACATTGATGCTTGTAAAAGTTATTACAGTTCAGAAAACAAGACAGAAATGATTTGAAAAACAAGATTTGATGATGAATTAGTCTTTTCTTTGATGAAAGACGGGGGCTCTGCTTTTACTTTCACATTGGTTCACACAGAGGGTCACAAAAAAAAACAAGAAAAAAATCTTAGGGTAGACTGAAGACATCATATGGCATTAATGTGTGGTGAGACGCCTCTTCTTCCTGTTTTATTGTGGTTTAACTTCCCGTTTTCCTTGTGTTCCTGGTCTGGCTTGACTGTTGTTTCAGTGCACTTTCCCTTCTGCCTCTGGGTCTGCTTCTGGGTCCTCAAAATACACCACACGCCACATTAATGACAGTCTCTTTCTTACAGAGACTTCTGTAAAGTTATGGATGACTCAATTATTTAAAGCTAGTTAGTTTTGCAAACATGCATTCCTGTTTTTTAGGTGATCTTTCTTTGAATTTTTTTTTCTATTTTATTTAAATAAAATGTTTTTGACCATTTGTTTAATTATTTATTTTTCTGGTAGTTTTGTTAATGATAACAGCTGTACTGCTGACTCCTGACTTCAGCGAAACTAAAGCTGAATTTGACAGTTGGGGAGGACACACCTCCCCTCTGTTTCATGAGAATGCTGTACATGAAAAGCAAAAGGCAGGGAGAGCAGCAGCAAAGACCCTCAAGATACGGAACAGAGGAGTGACCACCACATGGATCTGTTTAAATCAGGAACAGGATTGAAAGGAGGAAGATTTCAAATTGATTGTCTTCTGTGATCGTTCCCCAGTCTGGTTTATTGTCAGCCTGAAACCAGGTAAATGCAGCAAAGTCCAACTGGGGTTCGAATATTGTGGAATAAGTTCTCTTTGTTCAGATTATTGTTTCAATAAGTCTTATAAAAACTATTTACAGCTGTAGTAAATCCAAGAATCAGAGCTGATTTGAAAGAACAAATTGTTCCCAGGGCAGGGCTCCTTCATTAATGTAATTCATTTAGTCAGTAATCTGTATAATCACTGCTCAGAGTAATTCCTCTTCAGAGTTGGCTAATATTTCTCCTATCATTCAGTGAAGGTTCAAACTGCTCTGGTCTGCAGACATGCCCTGTGGGAAAATATGCTAATTTAGCTTGTGTAATTTGTCTGCGAGGTAATAATGCTCCCCTGACCCTTTGTCTCCTGAGTGATTAGTTCCGGTTCACATGGTCTCCGGGATCTAAGCAGCGGCCCACATGCATCACCTCCTCAAACATCCATGAAGCTTCAGCTGATCCAAAACAGGCCTGCTCCGAAAATGATTGCAAGGCCGGCCCAAATTTTAATCAGTCAATTCTTTTAGGAGTCTGACAATTAGCCTGGCGATTTCTCTCATCCAAGGGCGGGAGTTAAGAAAAGACAAAGTCCTGAGCTCTAATGAACCGTGAGCTCTGAGGAGCATCCTTCACAGCAAGGTAACTAATTAGTTCAGCATGCCAGCAGAGTCAGGTTTCCTCATCAAATGGGAAATGATTTTCAGAACCTCTGTGTTCTTGGATTTCATTCCGTGTGGTTTGCCCGCCGTCGCTGACGTCTAGTTCCTGGCGGACTAACCGGCCAAGGTGAAGTCTGGAGTCTGTCAAGTTTCTGGTCTCGCCAAGCAGGATCTCCGCTTGTCCGTCTCGTGCACTGAGATAACCGTGCAATTGCACGACTTCTTTCAAATCTTTCAACTAGAGAGGGATGAGAAGAAAAAAAAAGCTATGGCCAGAGTAGAAATAATTCAGGTTCTCAGTGATGAATGTTGCTGTGGAAAAGGTGTCTTTTATCGGCTCATGAGACAAATTAGAGGTCACCTTATGAGATAAAAGGGCAAAAGCTGAGCTTGAGAGGACAATGAGGACATCCCATTTACTGTGAGTCCTGAGGGGTTCAGAGTGGTGGCAGAACAACAGGATGCACATCTTTGCTAGACTACGCAGTTTTTACATTTTGAGGCATCATCTAGTTTACACAACTTTTTTTTAAAAACTCCTCCAGCAGTTCTTTATCTTCAAATCAAGCAGTTCTTTATTTTCAAATCAAGATCAGTGTGTTTAACTGAGCACACTTCATCAATTTGGCAATGACCAGGTCTGCAAACACAAAGTACTTTATTTAAGTCTCTTACTCCTAAAGAGTGTTGAGCAAAAGGTACTTTGTCTACATCTAAATCTCTACCACAGCAACTGGAAGGCACTTTGTTAGCATTTGATTTTCTACCAAAGCAGCCAAAGAGCATTTTGTTCACATTTCATTCTTTATCAAGGAACCAACTGGAAATTTGTTTGCAAATGAAATATTAAGACAGTAGCTGAGATAAGATAAGATAAGATAGGATAAGATAAGATAGGATAAGAAGAACTTTATTAATCCCTGAAGGGAAAGTCAATTGTCTGTTGTCTCACATAATATGTCTCTAAAAGTTATCTATTATTTACACAAAAATTATAAAGCCTGATGGCTATTGGTACAAAAGAGCTTCTGAATATTGTTTAAGGCACCCTCTTCACACTTCATTCTCTACCAAAGAATCTAGGGGCACTTTGTCAATATTTCGCCCCCTGTGACCCCTCTGAGTACCCTGCTGACTGAAAATAACCCCAGCCTCAATTTTCCTACTTTGCTGGGGACACTGTCTCGGCTGCATCCTAAAAGAAGTTGTCTTGTGTTTTGTCCCATACTCTTCTGCCTGAGTTTCTTCCTCTTTCTGTCTCTCCTGATGTCAGGGACGTTTGAGCTTCAGGGGCTTTGTGGCAGAGCTCAGGTTCAGAAGGAGTGGTGGGCATGGTGGAGCCATTAAATACAGGAAGGAGAGTATAGACTGAGCCCTGAGGAGAAAGGACACACCTAGGAAGTATGAGATGTAAATCCAGTCCTCCCCTGGCCTCCCTCAGATACCCACATACTCATAAATCACACAAAGACCTGGCTGTCCATTGACGCTATCATACAGGATCCACAATACCACAAACCTTAAATTATATGTACAGACTTCCTAAGGTATCCAAAACATGGCAGTGGATACTGAACAACCCAAACTTTATAAACCTTTATTTAAAGGCATGAATCTCTAACTGCCCTCATGAACTCCTCAGAGAGATTTTAATCTGATCTGGTCAAACCAATAAAGCAAAACGCCCAACATCCTGCTGAAGGTAGCAAAAATACACAGGAGATAGGAGACGCTGGGGCCCTGACCACTAATGTGTGGGATGTGGTGGAGGCAGATCGCTGCTGTATACATTGTGTTCATTCAATAATTAGTTTGTTTAGCTCTTCAAACTGCCCGCCTACTCTGATGTAAACAAACATCCTCATTATTGTGCTCAGTATCAGGCCAGGGTTGGAATTAAGATTTCAGCATCTACACAGAAAAAGTGGAAATACTCAAACGGGCTGATGTGTGGGTTTGTGATGAATTTCCTGCTGAAACGTTGAACATGGTGATATCCCTGCATTCAGTCTAATACTTTTCAGAAAAGCTAAATGCAAGAGGAAAATGTCTGAATTTGCAACCAAATCACAAATGCTGACTGAATGCAGACCATAGACTGTAGAGTCTATGGTCTGCATTCAGTCAGCATTCATGTAATGACAGAAGGCAGAGGCAAGTTGTTCATAGTATCTACAGTGTAGATACTATGAACAACTTGCCTCTGCCTTCTGCCTTCTAGTATCTACAGTGTAGATACTATGAACAACTTGCCTCTGCCTTCTGTCATTACATGAATTTGAAGCCAAATTGCTCTCGGTTTTTCCCTCAGATGAATTTGCAATCTTCATATGCCCATAGACTGTATCAAGTGTCAATTATAGAAAACATAAACCCCCCTAATAACTTTTAAAAATGGAGCTGTACAGAAAAAAGAGGACTGAGCACAAACCAGTCTTACTGTAACTACATGTCAACATCACAAGCAGGGGGGAGAAACAAATATTTTCTGTGTAATCAATTCCTAAAGTTTGTCCACAGCTCCATAGGGATTGCTGGAGGAGGTGGGATTTATGACCTCTACTGCAGCCCGCCACCAGAGGTTCTCGTGGTGGCTTCACCCAGTGAGGAGGCAGACGGCGTCCATTCTATATACAATGATGAAGACTGGAAGATGTTGCCATTACAAAAACTTCTCAGATATGAAAAAACAGCAGCCATATGTTTTAAAGTTTTTAGTAATTAACTGTATAACACAGTTTTGCATTTTGCATAGAGGGAAATTTTATCAGCTGTGGTGGTGACAAAAATGTAGTTAAGCAGAAGTTAATCTCTATTTTTGGATTGTGCATAAAGGGGTAGAGTCTCTACACAGGGGTAATCTTTACATTAGAAGTGTCTTGGTTTCTGGTGTTGTATCTACAGGTTACATCCACAGGTTTTGGTGTCTGTGAAAAAAAAAAGCGGGAGGAGCAAAAGCAAGCAGAAAGACATACCTTTATACTGACATTGGTAAGGTTTTGAAAAGGTGGCTCCCATTGGGGTCATCAGATGATGACTGCTGATGGACTCTGAGACTGAGGAGCAGTGGATGTTGGATTCAAATCTTTTCAGAGTGCAGCAGTGAAATTTCCCCTTTTTGCCCCGCCGGCTCAAAGCTGTTCACTTTATCGGTTCATGCTATGCTCAGATTTCAACTAATTCGCCTGAATCATCTCCAAAGAGAAACTCTGTGTTTGGTTTTAATTTTAACTCAAACAGTAGCCAGACACTAATTCAAAGTTAAAGCATGACTAAGCAGACCAATCTGTGCCCTACCAAGGCCAAATTCAACACATCTATCAATTATTTCCAATAATAATCCAATTCAACTCAGCCAGCCTAGTCCCACGAGTTATAGAGGGTTCCAATCATAGCAGTGTGTCAGGTCATCTTTGATAAATCCATGGCCATGAGAGGTGCTCGTAACCTGTCCTGCATGTCATTTGCAAGATGTGCCCAACAGCAGGGTCATCTTTGAACAATTCAGTGTCATGTCTTAAAATACACAACTGGGTATTTTTATTCAAGTGAGAAGTTCACAGCGAACACTAAGACTACTCAGTAACAATCAGAAGGTCACACATCCTTCAAAATTCCTATTACATTAATAATCAATTAACTCTTGTGTAGTACCGTCACACTTAATGTATGCACATGTAAGTGGAGTCATAATTATACCTTGTTGAAGTGATTTAATTGAACAGTTTTGTTCCATTATTTGAGCACCAAGTAAGGACCAATTAACAGAAACGTGTCTGCCTCCACGGCACTAGGTGGCAATATGTCTCCTCTCAACTTGTTTCTATTGGGAACTTTAGAGATACATGTCAAAGATCAGGTATGCAATATATCCAATAAACCCTCTGAACAAACTGGTGAGGGGACTAGCTCTGGCCTGGGCTGCCCTCTGGACCCTGTAGAGGTGGTAGAGGACAGGAGGATGATAGCTAAGCTATTGTCTCTCGTGGACAATGTTTCCTACCCTGTAGGAGCACTGTAACAGCACTGGGCAGCTCATTCAGTGACAGGCTTCTTCACCTGTGCTGTGTGACAGAAAAAATCACAAGTCCTTCCTTCCTGCTGCCCTCAGACTGTTTAACCAGGCCTGCTCCCAGTAGTCCAAGTTTTTAGCACAACTAACGGACAATAACTCAATGTTACCTCAATGTGCAGGCCAAATATTTATTACAACTGCAAATACCCACATTTTTCTCAGGTATAATAACTCCAATAATGTGCAATAATAACCTGTCATATTCTTTTTTGTTGACTGTGTAGAACCAGTTTTAGTTTTGTTGTTATTGCTTTTTTTTTTCTTTTCTTGTATATAAGATTTTTTGTTTAAGTCTAAGTTGACTTTTATAATTATATGTGCACTGTGTGCATGATGAGTGTATTTATTTATGTATGTTTGCTGTGCTGATCTTTTGTTGCTGTAACACTGTAGATTTCCCCACCGTGGGATAAATAAAGGTTTATCTTATCACACTAAGCAGATCTGTGTGGATGGTGGACATCGGGTCATAAGACTATAAGAAATAATGTTTTGGAGGAGCTTATAAAATATGCTTGGGTTTCTGTTCTGCTCTGAAGAGGAAATATACAGTATTATACCGTATTATGTGACACAAGTTGCCTCAAATACCAAAACAATCAATAAACTAGTTAGCAAGAGACATATCGGTTTCATGTTGGACAGGAAAGGCAGGACAACTTCACAGCTCTGGATCTTCATCATGTTTATTTCCTTTCCTTGTCTTCTACTGAGGTTCAACTTACTACCCGGTGTCCCTCGGTGCATTTTCGCTGCTGAACCTCAGGGTCAAACTATGGAGCATGTTCAGAACACGTACTCTAGTTTCAGTTTAACTGAGGTATTTATCTGGAAGAAAAAATCCCTCTCCAGCTGCATTATCAAAGTCAGATAAGTTTCAGTCGGACAAATATGTTAACAGGATTTAAAAAACAAAAAAAAGTCCATTTAAAAATATTGTCTGAAGATGTAAAACCTTGAACCTTCAGCTGGGACGCATCCTACAAAAGATTAAACCTATGAAAGGTTTTTCAAAATCAGTGAATAACACACACACACTGTTTTCATTTCATTCAGAGGTTTATTTTTAGCTTTGACTGCAAAACATCTGTTTTTATAAAAGAAATTTTACATGAGAGCAACAAAGAGATATGCATTTGGTCATTGGATTGTAAATCCAGTCTCTATTAAAACAAACAGGATGAAAATTTTCATTTTATATAACTTAACAATAAAAAACAAACTTTCTTTGTTTGTACAAAGTCTGTATGAATAATTTATAGGCTTTAAAACATACCGTGACTTTCTATCTGTCAGCATGGTTACTCAGAAAGACCAGTACAGTACCAAAGTCTGGGCTATAAAGACCTCTTTGTTAGCACTTGTGGAGTAGTTGTCAGGGAGCGTCTGCAGGTAGCACACCAAACTCTGCTCTGTGGTCTCTGAAGCGTCCTCCCCTCGCTCCCTCGCTCTCTCTCCTCCTGGCGAGCGGGTATCGTGTGAGGTGTGAGAGTCGGGAGCATCAGAGGTTCAGAGGTGCGATTAGAAACACACGGCAGCCGGCGCGGCACTACCCTGCAGCTACCCGGCCCGGATCAGGTGTATAAAAAACACATGTGAGAGCCAGAAACCCCTGCTGCATAACCAAATAGTGCCTGGGGATTGGCTAGTGCGATTGATTTCATTATACATCCATAGGCACGCTAACTGGAATAATAAAGGGCTGTCCTTCATTTCTGTCCTCCTCTGGAAAAGGCAGATTTCTGTGAGTGCAAACAGACAGAAAGGGTTAAAAATCTCCTTGTGCACTTTTTGAAAGTCTTTGACTAAAGCACAGTCTGGGTTGTCTGAAAACAGAACTTCGTGGAGGAGTGTACATTTTGACACACAGAAACAGTACCTTCAAGATAAACATGAAATTAAAAAGTCAGCATGGAGCGCCAACTTTACTTTCCCCCAGAAGTCCCACTTGATTTCCTCAAAGTTTGTGAACTTGGCTACAAACTTTTTTAACATATGCACCGACCAAAAGTGCAGATTCTTTCCATTGGATGACGAAAGAAGCTTTTAATGCCGCACGGTTAAGTCCAAGAGTCCTGATTAAAAACAAATCGACCACACAAACACAGACTGACAGGAACAAATATGCTCAACACTCGCTTGGCCGACACAGAGATAATACTGGAATGTACTTTTGAAGACAAACGGAGAGAAAGAAAAGGAGCGAGGGGAGAAAGTCAAATGTTGAGTCTCCTTTTACTTCTTGTAAACAGCAATTTGGATGTAATGCTAAACAGCTGAGAGAGCTGAGGATCAAACAGGGATGGGGGGGGGGGGGGCTTTTCTTTCTCCTGACTATCTTGTCTGAACACAAACATGTGAGAAGGCAACAAATGTCCACAGAAAAGAAACACTGATAATACAAAGTGAAAACATCCCTTTTAGGTCATGGCATCCTCCTGTTTCTGACACCATGCTGAAGTTTCAAACATGTCTGAGCTACGTCGCTGCTGCTGAACGTGACTTCATCACATCCAGCTGAGCGTTTGTGCACGTTTGGTGAAACTACAAGATAAGACAGAAACCTTCGCTGATTGATGAAATCCAAGGCTGAGATGTGGAGAATGCCGTCGTTTCAAACTTATCTGCAGCAGTCACTGTTGTCCTGGCAGCAGCCGGAGACTAAACAGTGATGGTCTGACAGTCAAAACCACGACTCCAGTCAAAACAGGCTCAGCATCTTCAGGGGAATGCTGCCGGGAGTGTTCACTGAGCTCAGTCAGTCAGGAAGGCACAGGCTGCCATTGAGGAGGAGGAGTTTCATTCACAGAAAGAGTCCTGAATCATGACTCTGAACTTTACAAGAGAGGCACGTCAGTGTCTGAAAGTTTGCATTGACCACAGTCAGAGAGTTTCTCATCAATGAATAAGAAAAGGCACTTTGGCAAAATACAAAATCTGATGCATAAAAAAGAAGAATAAAAAATAATCACGAAAATAAGTTAACATTACAAAAGAGTCTGTTTTAGGAAATACTGCATCATTAACGCTTGTCTTTCACTCATCAAGCCATCAAAAAAGAAACAAACAAAAAAAAGATGTTCAAGGCCTCCAGAGAGGATAAGAGTCCTCTTCATCCTAAGACCTCCCCTCTTCCTCTCACACAGAGGAGTTGATTTGGCCTCCAGAGAGTTTGCTGGAACAGGAATGTTTGCTGGTTTTGCATAGAGAGACAGAGAATGACGTCAGAGGCTAGTATTTCTGCATCAGCGGCACTTTCACAGTCTTGATCTCTGCTATATGGGAGGACTTCTGGATGATGCAGCTCGTGGTCCCAGAGGCGCTGTCCTTCCCCTGCGCCAAGTTGGTCAAGGCCATGGCAGCATTGATCTCCCTCCAGTATGTCTCGTCTTTCCCCTTCACCTTCTCCTTCTGCACGGCTCCGACGCCACTGCCGCTGCTGACGATCAGCCAAACGTACAAACATGCAGAAGAAAGAACAAAACAGAGAGCGGGGAAGTTGAAGGTCAAGATCAGCTTGTAACGAGGGAAATGAAGAGTATAATCTGGTAAAGAGAAAGTCAACTCACTTGTCACATTTACTCGATCCGTGCTCTGTGGTTTCTGAAAGAACAAGAGGAGAAAAACAAGGTGAATTTTTCAGAGCTTCCTGTGTTAAATGAGTAGTTTCAAAAAGCGAGTGAACATGCATGCTCAGGAGATGTGTGTGCATGTATTCGAGGTCTTTACAGTGCGTCTGCACGCTGCCCTGCGCAAACATGTTGCTCTGTTTTCTCTCTTCACTCAGATGCTGGACAAAAAGGACGTTTTTGCAAGACGCTGTCAAGAAAACAAGGTGACTAATAGGATTGGGTTGAGAGATGTTTCTTATGACTCATAAACTCCATTTACTAATATTTTGTTCAAAATACCGAATGGGCTCAGGCCAGTGTAATTGACTCGTCTGAGGGAATCAGATTGAAAATGACTGAGCGTAAAAGATTTGTGGGGGAATAAGAGGGCAGTCAGTGAGTCACTGAGGAAGATGGATGTCTACTCACTTTTTTATCCTCTTCAAATGGGAGCAATCTCTGTCTCACATGTTACAGATTAGAGAGGAATAGCAGAGTCATTAAACAATGAAATTGAACGTCTCTTCAGGGCAAACAGCCTGCACACTGCAGAGAAAGCCCATGTGCATGTCGGTGTATTTGCACTGAACCTGTCTCCTGTCCTGTGCTCAGATCCAGGTAGGCCTCGTCTGGCAGCCGATCTAATGACACAGACCCTGCGGTTCATGAGGCATTAAAGCAGAGCAGAGCGTCTGGATCTGTGCAGCCTGCAGGCCAACTCTTAAGTTGACTAAACAAACAGCTAAGGCCTGCTGAGCTTTTAAAAAGTTCAGGTACAGATGATCGGCTGATTAAAAAATCCTCAAAGGGGTCCACACTCTCCAGAAATTTCCACTTAGTAGCAGGGGTGTGAACTGAAATTTAGAGGGCAAGGGCTCGGGCTGAATAAAGGGCACCCCACCCACCAATATTACCATGTGGTTTTCAATCAGAAATGTGGAGTAAAAAAATACAGATCAACCTCTTGAGATGTCAAGAAAAGCCAATGCAGAGTTGCCAAAAAACTGCAGTTCTTTGAATGCCCACTAGGGGCTGGCTCCAAAATCTGGGTAATCCCTAATGGAGTGCATATTAAAATGTCAGTTATTACAGCAGAATGAAACATGTCGAAGGCCTTGAACCATAACACCTTGACCTCTGAAAGCCATATCTCAAACAACTTTACCATCTTTGTCCACATGCAGTAACAGAACACACCAAACTGTTTAACTGCACAGCTACAGAATTTAATATATTTATACAGATGTGCAAAACATCGGCGCATGAAGCAGAGTCATTAAAATCATCTGCACAGACATGTATTAATACAGAGAGAGGCTCAAAGTACTAAACACTGAATTACTGAAAGAAAACTGAACAGAGAAATACTACAGTCTATACCCATTCCTGACAGTCTTGCAGACTTTCTCCATCCTTGCAGATGTTGCACCACAAACAGCACCCAGGAACAGCCTGTCCTTGCACACCTCCCTGTGCCACATTTTCCAATAAAGCAAATGTGAAAACCTGAGCCCCTGTTTTAACGAGCCGCTCGTTACGCCACCGTCACCGCAAAACACCCGTCGACAGGCGTCTCTGACAGTTCCCTACTGCTAATGAAAATCTGCACCCTTCATTTTCACCCGAATGTCATTCCCATGATTGTTAGAAGGGACTGGAAAAGGTTGCACGAGGACATTGTGTTCGGGTTTTCGTATTGTCGCAGACAGCCGCAGAAAGAGACGGCCAAACTCCTTGTGGTGTCGCAGAAAAGACGCAACAGGTTTAAACCGTTCTGCTTTGTCACCTCTAACCTTGCCTAAGTTTCCAAAGACCTGGATGAATTGTTCAAGCTGCAATAAGCACCTAATTATCCCTGATGTATTGCTTTGTTCCTCCCTTGTTTTCCAAAAATGTTCCCCTTTGGTCTGACTGGTGCCGAGCTCAAAGGCCTTGGGCTAATAATGGCCTGATTATGAAATTTCCTGTAGTTTTCCATTCGCTCTGTAATCGGTATATTCCACAGAGAGAGACAGGCTTCACTCTGCAACCTTTTCTTGAGCTGACAGTTCTTGACAGAAGGAGGGAGGAATGTGTATGCACGTGTGAGCAGGAGATGAGGACATGATAACCCAGACGGACAAACCGCAGAGAGAGATCTCAGGTTTTGGTGCGTCAAAACCCTGCAACTGAATCCTTCCATTCTTGTCTAACCACAGTTCCCTGCTGTCCTATCTCTGCCTCCGCCTTTATCTTGCTTTATCAGCATGGCTTTTCCCTTTTATTGATATCCCTTAAGTCCCTGAGCCTCCATCCTCCACTTACTTGCTTCTCCTGCAGCAATTTGCTTTTACATATTCGGATCCAGGTGCTGGAGGACGACGGCTCCTGCTCAGGCCAGCCAAGACAAATGTTTCCTCTCCATGTTTTAATAAAGTTTAAGCGTGTGCTTTGCCTCCTTTTGTATTATTGAAGCTCTTTCTATTATCCATCGCTTCCTCACCTTTTACTCTCCGCTCTGGCTTCCTTTTAGATCTCCTCTTGTTGCTCAAAAGCAGGTTGTTCCTGATTAAAAATATGCACCATCCTCCATAATCACAGCTCTGTAATTACAGGAAAATTACACTGTCTCTAAGTGTGTTTTATGTCCCCCCAAAATATATTAGGTTAGTTTTTACTGCTGCGGTGTTAGGCGTATAGATCAGTTGGTGGCAGCAGCACGAAGGTCAGTACCAGCCACATCAACGACAAGTGAAGAAAGTGTCTCTTTGTGTGTTGTGGACCGTCTGTGGGCTGAGAAGTACAGTGTGTGCGAGTCTTTCCGTCCACAGCCTTAAGTGTTTCCAGTATGTGAGGTGGCCTCTGCACATGCTCAGTATAGAAACATGCAGAACACTGTTTTCTGCAGGTGGAGGAGGTAGATGCAGAGCTGAGGAGGACTACTCTGGTCCCTGTGACCACCCTTTAAATCAGGCACTGGTCTCTGCCCTCAGGAGCCCCAGACCCCAGATTTGGAAATGCACCACTGCATAGAAAAACTCTGTTTCCAAAGCTCGGTGCCTAAAACATCTTAAACTCAGATTTTTAAAAACAAGAGCAGCGCCAAAGACTCAATAAATCTGCAATAAATCACCCAGGACCTTTTATTATTTTCTCCCTCTTTTTTCCTCTTTACTCCTTCGCTACTGAGCACCCGCTCGCTCTTTACTGTTGCCTTTGGGCCGCTCCGACAGCGGGGTTTCACGGGCCGCCACGGAGGAAAGCTAGAGTCGGGTGGTTTCTGGCAGCACACTGAAAGTCCAAAAATACTGTCTCACTTTGCATCAAGGCGAGGTAAGAGAGACTGAAAAACTGGAGGAGCTTTAATAAAAGAAACGGAGGCTGAAAATCAGAGGAGTGAATTCCACCTGTTAGCAGAGGAGAGCGCTTCACTGTCATCATTACCATCTGCTGCTGTTGTTAGCAACATGCAACAATAAACAAGGCAGGCTCTGCTACACTAACAGAGGGCTGGGCTGAATTAGGCACAAACACACACACACACACACACACACACACACACACACACACACACACACACACACACACACACACACACACACACACACACACACACACACACAAACACACTCTTTTGATATGACTGAAGTTTCAGGCCCTCACTTGGTGGTCTCCCCAGCACTGACTGAGACTAAGTGTCAAACCTGACATCACTGAGAGTTACTCGCTGCCAAAACCATCTGAGGCTTTATGATGTTTCCGTAACTAAAAAAACATCCAATCAAGGGTTTAAAACAGGACAGATTAAAGAAGGATGGGATTAAAGGAGTAGTACGACCTTTTTTTTGTGAAGTTTCTTATTTGTTGCCTTTTTTGGTTTCAGATTGAAACCATGTTGTGTCTGTTTCTGCAGTTTAGTTGCTCCAAGAGTCCATCTGACTGAGGTTAGCTGAGCCTTCAGACTGTTAGCAGACAGAAACAGTCTAAAAAGCCAGAGTGCAGCTTATTTATCAGTGACCATTTAACATCCTATCCAACTATGTTTTTGCATTTGGTAACCAGCTGCTAATGTAGTTAAACAGAATTCAATATTTTCACTCTCACTAGTTAACACTAGTTAAACAAATCATTCATATTTTTGTTATTTTTGGCCTGAGCGTTGGTCATATGATGTATCTGAGCTGTAGTACAGCCACTAACCAGGGCTAGCTTCAGCTGCCCTCATATGATGCTATAGAGCTCTATTACCCTGATGTTAATGAGCTCAGGTGAAGATGTATGCAGACTGTGGTTAAACTGTTTAAACTGGTATATATATAGAGAGAGTAATGAGTGACCAGCTCAGGCATGTGTATTTTAACCTGTAAGGAGGGCTGAAGGTGCTGGCTCTGCTTATGGTAGCCACATGCTGTAAACCTGTTTGACAGTTTTTTTCCTGCAGACTCTGGGATCTGGTGTTTCACCATATTGAATTATAACACAAGATTAAAGTTATGTTTAAAGAGAAAAAATACAGTTTGGAAATAAAGTTGCAAGAGATAGAAGAAGCTGTAAATCTACAAACTAAGCCTCTTAAATGTACAAGATTAAATTAATAAATTTAGCAGATTTAGGTCTGAGATTTAGGAGATTTAAGTAATAAATTTAGGAGATTATATTGTAAATTTAGAAGATTAAAGTGATACATTTAGGAGACTGAAGTCATAAATACAGGAGGTTACAGTCATAAAGAGATTCCAGTCATTGAAGGAGATTTGAATGACTTGAATACATTTTGGACACTTTTGGAGACTGAAGTCTTAAATTTAGCAGTTTAAAGATATGTAAGGAGATAAAAGTCACAATTTCTGGAGATAAATGTCTTAAGTATAAGGTGATAGTCATAAATTAAGGAGGTAAAAGTCTATTTAGAGGATTAAGTCATAAAAATAGGAGATTAAAGTCAGAATTGTACACAAAAAAGTCATAAATTTGAAAGATTAAAGTCACACACACACACACACACACACACACACACACACACACACACACACACACACACACATTTGGACCTGATTGTTAAAGTGAGGAAATGAGCTCATCTGATTTCCTTTGAGCATCAGATAAGACTCTGTGTTTAGCTGCAGCTCGATGATCTGCTCTCTGATCCATTAAGTTCAGGTCAGGGTGAGTCTTGTCATCACACTATCACATTATCATCATCAGATCTTCACATCAGCACACAGATTCACAAATGGTGAAGATCTGAGGGTGAGTCAGGACTTACTGTCAGCAGGTGAGTCAAAGCAGGTGAGTCAAAGCTCTGCACCCAACAGACATGAGTCCTCCTGTGGTCACACTTCACCCCCAGAGTAACACAAAACATCCAGAGCACAGACGTGAGGTCTATAGGTGAGGTTTGTGACCCTGTTTACTCCAAACTGCCTTCATATCAAACTGTGGAAGAATAACTATTTTACACTATTTTCATAATAGAAACAAACACAATAAAAACATGACTGAACTGGAAGGATATCAAAGTTACAACCCTTGAGACTTTCCTCTACAGTGGCCCCTGAGGGTCAACTCACAAAAACATTTCACCGAACGCTACAGAAGTGCAAACATGGGATTCTTCACTAAAGCTGAAACGTTACACTAGAACCAAAAACAATCCACAAAATGTAAAACAAAAATGACCAGAAACACAAAATGTTACATGAACTCCAAAACATTTCCAAAAAACCTTCAAATATTTCGTCCTTTTTCAGTATATGTGTTACGTAAAGTCTGTTTCAGTGGTTTGTACAGCGTTTCTGTGTCACTGATATACTTTTAAAGGATCTTTGTGAAGCATTTTTGATTGTTGCCAATTTGATGCATTCTTAGATTGATTTTCAGATCACAGGTGTTTTTGCATTTCTTTATTTTTTGTGCCTTTTATGAAATATTCCTGTGTTCTGTAAAAAGTGTTTTTAAAGTTAATGAGGTATTCAGTTGTGATCATGAACTATTTCTATAGTTGAACCTCAGGAGCCACTTTTCACAGTTCTCCCTTTGATGTGGTCCTCGTTATACCTCAACATAACCATGTGTAGACTTAAACGGAGTTACACATATATCCAACTTTTATTTCTTAAACCTAAAAAGTATCTCAGGAGCAGTCACTTCTACCAAGAACAATTATTCAAGATTCTGTCAGAGACAAAATTACAGCCTTGTACAGAATGGATGCTGTCTGCCTCCTCACTGGGTGAAGCCTCCATGGGAACAGTACCTTCTGGTGACTGGTTGCATTATAGGTCATAAATCCTGTCTCCTCCAGCAATCCTAATGGAGTTGTGGACAAACTTTAGAAATTAATTACACAGAATATATTTTTTCTCTTTAGAGTCTCCTGAAGCTCACCGGTTGTAACATGAGAGTCTAATCTCTGCCGATGTGACTGCACAGACCGTTAACTTTCAGCTAAGCAAAAAAGGGAGTAAGGATGCTGCAGGGTATGTCTGCTGGTGCCATCTTGGATCTGACACCAAAACCAAATCTGGGTCTGGAGCATGAGGTGCAGCACAGAGCAATTCTTCAGGTTTTGAGGCTCCCAGATCTCCCTTTGTTTTTATAACTCTCTTCATGATGGAGGCATTTTATAATGTCAGGGGGAGTCTGTAAATGAACTTAGGAGCTCCTTGGCACTCTGCTGTCTCACTCTCTGCCAGCCTTACTCCTCTTTATTCCTCCAAGCCATCTTTCTGCCTCTCTCAGTCTCTACGGGAGTGAATAAGTCTGAGTCTGAGGCTCCAAGAACCAAACTGTCAGTCCCAGTCACCCAGCCAAAAACATCACACAGGCTGTGAATTTAATGCCTCCTCCGTTTGTCTTGACAACACTCTCATCGCTTAAGAAAATATTGAATAATTAGCTCTTCCACCATTAAACAGAACGTCCACACAGAGACAGAGCCAGACAGAGACTGATCTGCCGCCCAAAGACCACTCTCCTGACTGCTCTCTGTCTTCTTCTGTGTTTTTTTCATGTCTGCCCGGCAGATGACACACTGGTTTGGCGGGGAGATAACCAACATCCAGCAGCAAGGACTGCGCTTTGTCTCTTCTTGCTAGATGGGGGAATAATAACAGTGTTTGGAGATGTTTAAGTGCTGCCAGGTTGTCATTGTGTTTACGAGTGCCAGTAAACACAGAGTAATCAGCGCCCCAGTAAATCAGCCAAAATAGGAAGATCGTCTCGACAGAGAAGTAAATACAATGTCATGGTGAGCGTGAGTGTCTTCTTGATGTGTGTGCGTGAGGGTGTGACTGCCAGGGTGTCACGGACAAACTAAAAAAGATCAGGAATTGGGATTTGGCGTGACAACAGATGATGGCGAGGAAATGATCACCACACCAGATTTAAAAGAGGCAAGTGATATCATCAGAGGAGCAGAGCCGGGGTTTCCCCGAGTCTAGCCCGCAGTAACCTGACAGTGACTTTGTTTGATATCGCTTTAAGTTAATAATGTCTTTAAACTATCACTGTTATCTAAAATGAGGCTGAAACTTTGGGCATCATTCAGGACTCCCTACAGATCATCAGAGTTTGTTCCAGACTGCTGAACAGCTGCTCTGAGTGTCTTCACTGTTTCTAATGTGTTTCATTTATTTCTGATTTTTTCTATAACGTCTTCAGTTGAAGGATTGATGCTCACACTGATTGCGAGACCACAATAGTGTAAGGGGTGACCCTGCTATTTAAAGCCTGGTCCTCCCTTTACATCAAACACTGATGTGAACACTACACACCTCTGTATCGCTCAGCATTACTCCACCTGAACACAAGGGGTGGGCCAGTACATTGATTCTTCGATGCATTGGGATGGGAATGCCAGAAGTTGGCCAGAGTGGAAAAAAGCTGCCGAGACAGTTTTAAGGGACAGACTCATAACAGACTGTTAACCAACATGGCAGCAGCTAACTCTCTGGCTATTATAACTGAGCATGAGGCTAAAGCTTCAGGTTTGACATCCAGCATGTGGGGGTATTTCCTGTGGAGGATTTACTTCATTCTGTTTTCATTTTGTTCATCCACCACTTGTTTACATTTAAAGATGCTTTTGGTTGTAGATATCAAAATGTTAAATTGTTGTGCGATGCTCTGCTGCTCACTGAATACTGTTTATAAGTCTTTATTACTACTGAGGTTCAGTTATAATTATTACGTTATGTTGGATCAGATTAGATCGTTTAATAATCGAATTGAATCATGAAGTGACTAAGATGGCACACCCCTACTGAACACCAGTGGGCAGTGTGGAGTCTATACTCATCATGTCCACAGTTTCTGGTCCTGCTCTGTTCCCTCCTTTTTTTATGCACAGGAAACCATAGCAACTGAATCCATGCTTAATGTCTTTGAGTTTTAGCTGATGTGTAATGTGCAGCAGCTGATCATGCTGCAAGTATGGGAAAGACCAAAACCACAAGGGATGCTGGAGGAGAGGGACTGTATGAAGTACGCTGAGGAAGAGGAGAGAAGTTGGAGGTAAAATGTCCACCCCCAAGTGGACTAATCATAAAGTTTTATGTCTGCATCGTTTTAACGCCAAGTTACTTTTTTGAGGAAGTGAATGCTGAGTTGTACGTGTTCCTACGTGTGGTTTGAAGCAGCAACATAAACCTTTATGCTCTAAGCTCTATGGTTGAATCTAGACCAGTTACAGTTGCTGGATGGCTGATTATGAGAGAGCAGGTTGAACACTTCCTTTTGTCTTGTTTCTTCTTTTCTTCTCTTTTGACAAAACCCCACAAATAAAATGTGAATATTAAATCAAATGTAAATGGAATAATGCTTGGCTCAGTTCACTGTCCCTGCAAACACTTTTGGATTTCAGTGCAGCTACGTGACTTTGTTCAGCTGCATATTTGATGAGTTGGGAGTTAAATGTGTGGGCAAATGCGTCAGAATGAGAGCCCTAATCACTCTGAAGTCATGTTTACACCCTGTCTCTGAAATGTGGAGCCTCCAGTGATGAGTATGAGGGCTGTGGAGAGTCCTGCAGGGTGTGGCTGCTCTGATGGTGGGAACGACATGGAGTTGGCAGAGGTGGGGGAATATCCTGGCACTGAGCTTCATGCAATGGAAAGGTGGATGAATAGGCAGAAAGAATAGAGAATTAGAGTGATGGTGGACCTCGGTCAGTGCCGGCTGGAATACAGAGATTGAGCAGACAGGCAGTGTTCATCCTGCAGGGATGTGTGAACAGACACTAAAAAACAGAGCTCCCTAACATAGACGTGGAGGAGTGTGGAATAATGTGCCCTCTCAACTTAATCGTTTTTAAATCCACGGCACGACACGGCTCTCACACAACCAGGTCTTCAGATTCCCAGCTGCCCGCCCAGTCAGGGAAACCGAATGGGCTGCCTCGCTCCGTATAAAACACACAAATTGTTTCCATTTTAAAAAGCGAGCTGTGTCTAGAACAATAGGCTGCCATTGTGTGTTCCCACGGGCTGAAGGAGAGCAGAGGGAGTTTAATGAGAGAGCAGAGGTGTGACCCAGCGAAGACACACACACGCACACACACACACACACACACACACAGAAATCCCCAAAGAGTGTGAGAGGCCTGTTCAACCAACCACTGTGAAGAATTGCAACATAATGATGCAGTGAGCCCAGCGCTAACGTATCATTTGGCCTCCAGATCCCAAAAGAAAGATATTTTTGGACACATGAAAACACTTAAAAATCTAAATAATGTTTACTTGCGGCTTTAGTTTCTTTTTTCCTTAATGTGAGTGTGTTTAACGCGCCACAAACAGCAGCGGTTCTTTTCCAGGAGGATACTCAGAAACATGTGATGTAATCATCCTCTTTGGGAAAAAAGCCGCGGCTTGTCTCTTTTTATTACCTGTTGTGTCAAAGCACAGATGACTGACTCTAATATGTCTCTGCTGACATAAAATCAGGATCTGAGGAGAAAGCACTCTCAGGGTTTCCCTGTAAAAGGTGTCAGACCTGCTGGTGAGTGTCTTTGGAAAGCTGGCAGGAGATCTGAAATTATGACTCCAGTTTCTGGATTCAAAAGTCAGTCATTTGAGATACATTTCAGTGGGTTTGAGGAGTTTTTCAGGCTCTGTATTTTAAGTTGATACGGTGGATTTAGTTGACCCCTGAAGACACTTTATTTCGTCCTGCACATGTGCAAGTTTCTTTCTCGTGGCTGCTTCAGTGTCGCCTTGCTCTTCATTCTCCTGCTTGTCAGCATTCGTGCAAACACGGACAAACTGTCAGAGTAGCTGACCAACTTCACCAAACAGACAGCAACCAACCAGAGGAAAGGCTGTAATGTTCGCAAACACACTCATGCATTTAAATCACAACTTGAAGCTTTTTTTATCGCTGCATATTTTACATTGGGATTGCAATTGGATTAACTATGCAGCACAAATTTGTGCAACAAAGTGAGAAGCTGGACTGACTAACAAAAATGATGGAGCTGCTCCCCTGAGACACAGATCAACTTCACAGCACAAAGCTTAAAGCCAGAAACAAGCTGTGCCAGACATGCATTATGGAGGTTAATTATTGTAGGAATACTGCAGATCTGAAATAATTCAGCAGGCAGCACCCAAGAACAAGATGAGCAAAACAAGACCAGCTCATCTGGTTTTTGCATTCAAGTCACCGTGTAGGTCTTTAGATGCACGAGCCGTAGCAGCTCTCCTTTTCTGACACATACAAGTTGTCCACGCAAGATTTGATTAGCATTTTAATTTGACTTCAACACTGTCAGATAGCTCAGTTAACAAGTCAAAGATAAGATGCACTTTAAATCCATCTGTGTTAACAAAATTACATGAAAATACTTAAACTCTGATCAGTCTGACCATGAGCCTGCAGAGTTAGCTTCACCATATCACCACAAAGGCCTACCTGTGAATCAAATTAAACTAGGACTCTGGTTAGAAATAAAAATCTTGACTTGATGCTGTTTTAAAATGCAAATTAATAGGAGCACCCATGGCCCAGAGGTCTAAGAGATGGCCCAGGTTTGATGTCACTCTCTACTCTTTCTTCCTGTTTCCAGCTCTATCCACTGTCCTTTCATTTTCTTTTTTTTTAAAGTCCAGAAAAAAAAAATTAAAATGCAAAGTAAGGGAGTTTGAAATATGCGTTTAAAAATGTAATGAATCAGGACCAATTAGTAAAAAATCAGTGATTAATCGGGATAATAATAATCATCATAATTTGATGACACTTTTTATACCCTGTGATATTTGGGTTCAGTCTGCAAGGCAGGACAGCTGTCAGGTCGCTCAATGATCCTGCTGTTTCTAGAAGATCCCCTTCTTATTAAATATTCACCAAATTGAATTCTAAAATAAAACTCTTTTATTTCTGTCACTCTGGAATACGTTTCACAGGCAAATATTCAAAGAAAGCTAAATTTACAGCCAGCCACAACATGAAGCAGGTGCAAAAATAGGACCTAAATATTACAAATATGCGTGTAAACTTTAATCCTCACATCGGCTCGGTTGTAATTTAACACGATCCCTGAATCTGAGCCTATTCTTAAAAAAGCCCTGTAATAAAAGGAGGTCTAGTCAACCGACCTCAGTCTGGCGGATTTCCCTTTTCTCCCTATCTTTGTGAGAGGAAATTCAAGACAGCACACACATCTCATTTCTTCCGACCACAATCTCTGTCTCTTAGTCACCACCATGGTGCTGTCCTCTCCTACTGTCCCTGCAGAGACTTAGCTTTAGGACTCCCTGGAACAAGAGTCTCCCTCTCCTCTCTTTGTCCCTGATTTCTGGAGTCCAACCTGAAGCGAGTGAGTTTTGGCAAAAGCTACAGCCTTGGAACAGCATCTCTAACCCACCCCTCCCTTTTCTCTGTCTTCCCTTTCCTATTAAACTGTGGAAAGAACAGATCTCCGCCAGTCCGTCCACATCTCTGGATTCCTCAGAAGATGAGTCCTCATTTATCACTGTCAGGGAGGGCCTCGCTGACACCAAGCGTCCTCGTGTCGAGCATTGTCCTCCTCATTCCTCTGTGGTTTACGATAAACTACACTATGAGCCATCACACATCTTCAATCTAAGCAGCTCCTCACTTTCAACAAGGCTGCACAGCTGTGCTTCCCTTTGGAGAGGAAACCAAAGTCACATTAAAGGTAAAGGAATTCCAGTTCAGCGTATCTTGTTAGAGAAAATATGAAAACAGTCATAATAGAAATCCTTTTTTTTATCAGACCTATCTCCTAACCTTTCAATCATCACACAAGAAGTCCAAACATTCTTTTTTTTTTCCACATTAACTGAACTTTTCTTCCAACTACCTGCACGAATCCAAACCTCCTCTAGGACCACAGATTTCTCCAGGATTCAATAACCATCTGGCACAAGCTGTGACCTGATTCAGAAAACCTGATTCAGGAACCTGTGAGTGACTGTAAAATGCTGCTGATTTCAGTGAAAGTCTATAATCTGATAGTTTCTGACCAATAACAGTGACTTTGTCCCATTGTATGGCAAAGAAGACTGTAAAATAGAGAGCAACTTTCACCTCTATAAGGTTCTCTCCTCTTTCACTTTCACGCCTAATTTTCTCTAAAATGTTTACAGAGGCACGTGCATCTCCTGTTGAAGTCTCTGTGGTATATGGTCCAGAATCTGCTTTCGATGAGCCTATTTTCCTCATTGTATTTGCATATTATGTTGGTATGTCTCAGAAGGACAGGTGATCCAGGCAGACAGCAGTGACATTTTCACAGTATGAGGAGGAAACACATGCAGTTAAGAGCTTCAGCAAAGTCAGCATACTGACCGAAATTATGACAGATGAAGCTTTCTCCTTCAATATAAAGCTGAAAATATCAGCACTAAGTGCTGCTCATTTAAAAATATATCTGCACTTTTTTCCCTAAAGAGTTTCACTTTTTGGAAACATGCTGGTGGCCATTGACTTGCTCTCAGCCGTCACGACTTTTCCACATCAGTCGGATCTTTGGCAAGCTTCCTGCATTCACCACCAGGCATCTTTAGTCAGCTGTAACCAGAGTGCTTACAGAGCAAACCTGAGACAACCTACCACTGTCAACCCCATGTAAAACATCTGACCGAGATCTCAGAGTCTCCATCCGCGGAAACGTTGGGAGTTATTTAGCGAATAATGATCTGTATGATATCGGACGGGGCGAAATCTGGTGCAGAGCGAGAAAGAAAACATTGAGCCAGATTCCTGCCATTTAATATCCCATTAAAGGGTAATTTGGCATGAAACCCCTGGCATATGTGCTGGAATTCTGCTGCTCCTCGTGTTCAATGAAATTCCCCACAGGCTTTGAACTGTACGTGTGTGTGCGTGTGGGTGTTTGTACTGTGTGTGTGTGTGTGTGTGTGTGTGTGTGTGTGTGTGTGTGTGTGTGTGTGTGTGTGTGTGTGTGTGTGTGTGTGTGTGTGTGTGTGTGACAGAGAGTCCTCTCTAGCCAGCAGAAGTAGTTTTCCACTGGGGTAAATCTGCACTCTCCATCTCCTGCCACGTCTGACTGCCCTCTGTAGTCACAGATAACACTGAGGGCTCAGGCTGCAGCCAACTGGGCCATTAATGGACCTTCAGCCAATAGTATGATGGTTGCCAGGCACGCCACTTTGACCCTGACCAATCAGAAGTGTTTTATCCGGCAGAAGAATGCGCCAAAAGACACCGTTTGTGCTCCTACGCTGAAGTAGAAATTCTTTCCTCCTTCATGCTGAAAATAATGGACATTTAGTCATTTTTAAAGAGAGAGCAGAGGGAGCTTTTTCTGAGCTTAAACCCGATTTATTCCTTTTTTCCCTTTCTACAACTGAAACAAGGCAGATTTATGTGAACTCTGCTACTCAGGGAGCTATTTCTCTGTTTTTACAAAAACACATTAAAACTATTAGTAAAAGAGGAATGTGTTCAGTATGAAAATATTTGGAATTTGCTGCCACAGCATGATAAAACGACAAAGGAAATGATGCAAACCTGGGCTTTAAATGCTCCTCTTGATTCACTCTGTCTGCGGCGGCGAGATCAGATGAGGAATCTAAAATTCACTTTCTGGACTTTTCTCTGTTTCATTTGTTTAAAAAAGTGACAGTGTCAGCAGGTGTTTGATCCTGTGAGTCAACAGTCCTGCGGAGGACTTTCCATGTGAGGATTCAAAATTCTCTCTAGCATGTAACAGAGTAACTCGTCTGTAAAGCAGCCAGAGAAACCAAGAGGGAGACCTCAGCGCCAAGACGTGATATTAACCTCAGAGATAAAATAGTTACTCTCTATTAAAAACAGCAGGCCGGCCAGGTGAGTGAGGACGGTTTGGGGGATTTGTCTTATTAAAGTCTGGTTGAGAGGGAGTTATAAGTCTCTCTTGGTCTATCCATCCTTCCCTTTTATTCCTCCATCTGCAGCTCGCAGCAGGTGCTGCAGCAGCATGAAAAAGCCTGACATTTGTTCAGGTCACAGAGTTTCAGCTCCTTCGATCAGGAGGATTGTCAGCGTCTCCCCCTCTGTCCTCCACTCTGAGATAATATGAAACACATTCTTCCATCAGAGGAGCTCTGACTGGAACACAATAAAACCTGTTCCTCCCCACACTAAGCCCCCCAACCTTTTGTCACTCAACCACCTCCACCTTCAAATCCGCCCCTCAGGGTCCTGTCTGTGCCCGGCAGAAAGTGAAAACACATTGATGGAACAAAAGCAGCAGTGTTCTCAGCTGATGAAGAAACTTGGACAGATCCGACCTTGATTGTTGAGCTCAGACTAACTGAGAGCTGGAGAGCTGTGAAAGAGTCTGCAGCATGCAGAGTTTTAGGTTTTGTGAGGTCCAGACAGTAAATTCACACTTAAGAGTTTCGGGGAACATCAGAGAGGAGTGAAAAGGTCTGAAACAGTGATGAGAGTCTGAACACGCTGGCCTCAGATAGAAGAATCCACTATAACTCAACACAGAGTCATTAAACCGTCAGAGACGGAGTGTGAAGCTTCTGCAGTCTTTGTCAGCACAGAGGACACACATCCAGATCTGTCAGGACCGACTTTAAAAACAGCAGAAAGCATCTTCAGAGGGTTAAATTCTCAAATGAAGCGTGCAGGGACTTATAAAATTATCTCCATAGGCTCAGGTATGGTAACAAAATATCACAGATAATCCCAACCGAGGTCCGAGGGTGCCAGAGATCTGACACTTTTACTGCTGAGGGGCTGTCCAATAAGAAAAGGCTGAAACACACCTGCTGGATGACTAGAGTAGTTCTACCTGCTATTAAAATAGGTTTAAAGAGGTTTTTTGACATCTTTGTTTGTGTGTTTGTGTGTATCATTATTGTTCTGGTTGGCCACTCACATATATGACGTACAGAATGTTTTATTTTAGAAAGGCCCTGGACTTTCTTTACACTTCCGGTGGGGTATAGCTCAAATAACTGTGACATACATAAGACACTATGCCTTTGTGAAACAGATTATCCACAGGGTTAGATAAGTAAACAATATCTGTCCCAAACACAGACATCAAATCAATGATTATTAAAAAGTCATTCAGTTAGAGAGAAAGTATGTAAATTCAAAAAACAATTAATAAGTGAAAAATAAAAGTAAGGAAGTAAATATAAAAAAAATACATGAATGAACAAAATAAAGATAAAATAGAAATATATAAGTTAATAAGTAAGCAAAGAAAAAACAAATAAATAAAAAGAAATCTAATAAGTCAGTAAACAATGAACAAATAAATAATTTAAAAATTAATAACTAATAAATTAAATGAATAAAAGATTAAGTAAACAGATCAATGTGTAATTAAATAGTTAATAAATAAATGAATTAAAAGGAAAGTTAGCAAGTATAGTGAAAAATGTGTATAAGATTAAATTGAATAAGAAGAAAAAGAATGACAGAATAAAAAAAGAACTAAATAAATGTTAAACATAAAAAAAGATGAGAAATAAGGTGAGTAAATTAATAACTTGTTTAATAAATACATAAACTCATTTCTACATATGCAAATGAAAAATCTAAATAAATTAATGAATGTCACTATTAATATAATCACTATTAGTTACCTTACACTACTTTAGTCGCATTGTCTCTTTTGTCTTTTACCGTCACGTTTATCATCAGTTTTTATCTTGAAGAGATTTAGAGAAGTTCATGAGTGATTTTAATATAAACTTATGAACCAACAAACTGAACCCTCAAATTTTAAAGATTTCTCTTTCTTTAGTGAGAGTCTAAACTCAGAATCAGGACGGAAAGGAACACAAAGACAGTCAAACAGCTTCATCCAGAGTTATCTCAGGAATGTGACTGTCGCTCAGCAGACGATTAATAACAGGAGAAAAACTGAACACCTTCAGCTCTGCTGACCACGAGAACATCAGGGGAATGACCTGAACCACTGCTGACCCGGGTCAGGAGATCCTCCTCCCTCTGTAGACTGCAGACTGTCTTTAAAGGTGATATTCATGCTTGCTAAAAACAGAACAAGTGTGAGTGCTCACACATTTCCACAGATTTACAGTCTGCTAACACACACACACACACACACACACACGCACACGGGCGCACACACACACACACACTCTGGCCTCGCTCTCTCAGCAGGACCTCAGAGCTGATCAAAGCTGCCAAACAGGAGCTGAGAGTGAGCACGCTCCTCACAGCCGTGTTGTGTCTGGACGGCTAAAGCCCGGTCAGAGGAGCCGACCGGGGGAATTCCTCCTCTGCTCACAGAGAGAGAAAGAGAGGAGAGAGAAAGGAAGAGAGAGATAGGGAGAGGGAGAAAGGAAGAGAGAGATAGGGAGAGGGAGGGAGAAATAGAGAGAGAGGAAGAGGGAGAGAAAGGGGAAGAGAGATAGGGGGAAAAGTGAGAGAGCAAGAGAGTAAGGAAGAGAGAGGGAAAGAGAAGGAGAGAGAGCGAGGTCGAGACTGCAGTGTGTGTGTTGATGTGCAGACTCTTCTGTGGATATCTGAGTGTACGTAAGTGTGTTGTGTGTGTACATGGGAGTGAGTATTTGTGAGTGTGATGTGTTTGTGTTGTGTGTATAGGTATGTAAGTGTATGTGAATGTGTTGTGTGTGTGAGTATATTTTTGTGTACGTGAGTGTGTTGTAAAAATGTGTTGTGTATATATGTTTGTGTATATGTGTGTATTGTATGTGTGTGTGTGTATGAGAGTGTCTGTGTGTATGGGAGTTTTTTGTGTATATGTGTGTTTATGAGTGTAAATGTGAGTGTATATGTGTGTGTGTGTGTGTGTGTTGTATGTATGTGAATGTATGTTAGCATGTGTGATGTGTGTGTACATATGAGTGCATATGTGAGTGTATGTTAGCATGCATGTGTTGTGTGTATGTGAGTGTATGTTAGCATGTCTGTGTGTGTTGTGTATATGAGTGTAAGTTAGCGTGTGTGTTGTGTGCATGTGAGTAAATGTTCACATGTGTGTGTTGTGTGCACATGAGTGTATGTTAGCGTGTGTGTGTGTGTGTGTGTGTGTGTGTGTTGTGGACTCTCTGAGGCTTTAATCTAATCAAATGTTCTCTCTCTCTTTTTCTCTCTCTCTCTTTCTCTCTGGTCTTAACCTTGTTAGTGATTCAGAACCACAGAGGTTCGATGTGGATGGTTGTGTATCAGATCACTGTGGTGGTATTTATTCTGCAGCACTGTTACAGGCAGCTGGAAATAAGGGAGCAGCTGCAGGGATTAAAACAAAGAGTTCAGATGGAGGGACTTAAAAAAACAGAAGTGAGGGATGTCGTGAGTGTGAGGGAGACTCAGAGGAAAGAATGTCAGAAATGTGGCTCCTTACCAGCCCGATAAACAAAATTTGCCTCGGCCTCTGAGGAGGATGGTGACAGCAGCTCGTCGTCGTACTCGTTGGAACTGAAGGAGCCGGAGTGGTTCCTCTTACGAGCATCCATGACGGCGTTGGCCACCATGACATGGCGCAGCGAGTCGTTCAGGTAGCGGTGCAGCAGGCTGCTCTTGTACTTTGGTGGGGAAACGTAGTCCTCGGCCAATGAGGCGGCTTCTGCAGCGGAACGAAGCCCAACGCCCATTCCCATCCCCATTCCCATGCCCATCCCCATGGCCATGCCCACCATGGAGGAGCCCTCCTTCTTGATCACACTCTGGTACATGGGCTTGTTGAGCTCCTCTGGGCCACTCTGTGTCCTCTGAGGATTGTCCCCATCTGCAAAAACGTGAAAGGAAAGGTCTGATGCTACACAGATGAACACTTTTTTAATCTGAGGATGTCTCTCTGTCCACCTCCCCCCTCCTTTAAATCATTATAACCCGATTTTTGTTCATTTGCACCCACTTTTCTCTAATCAGGTGGGCCCTAATTAAGCTGCACATGGCAGTATATGAGCCTCTGTGGAAAAGCCACCTGCCTGATATGCAGGAAAAGGGAAAATTTACATCAAGAAGTGTACAATAAATACCAGCAGATCTGCCCCTGAAATGATATTTGAAATGTTGATGAACAGATTATTTTAGTTCAGTTTAACCTCAAATGATAAAATAAATAAAATGTCAAATCTACATGTGTAACCTTCTCAGTATCAGCCATCAGCAGCAGGTTATCAGATCTGAGTCAGATCCACATCTTTCACCTCCAGTCCAAACCCCAGGAACAGTTTATCAGCATTCCTTCTGACAGACTTATCAGCTGCTCCAGATGACGTTGAGTAAAATATATTAAATAAACACGGAAATCATTTGTGCAGCCAAAGCTTCTCTAACTCCTGTGCATGTTCCACCTCTCTTGACTCACAGTCTGGATATCTGAGCTAATCTGAAATCTAAAAACCAGGATGAGGGATGTGAACCTGGCACTCCTGCTGGCATCGTCTCAAGAACAGAAAGTCCAGCTGAGACTTGAGACACATTACCAAACCAGAACAGATTGGTAGCCTATTTCCTCTTCATCAAAAATCAGGCGCACGTTGCCCCCTCATCCCCTGAAGAAATAAATAATTTCCAGAGCACTCTGAGGGGGAGAGATCAGGTTAAAGCTCAGGTCTGTACCTGATGAAAGAAACAAGGATAAAACAGAGACCAGAAAACGCAGGATCGTTCTGGCAGGAGGGAAATTAAGGAGAAGTTCACGAGATGCTCTCCCTGCCAAGAGTGTAATTTTGTAATTTTGATTCAGTCTGGGCCAAATTAAAATTATGACTGCCACTTATCAGAAACACATGGAGGTAACACACTCGCTCTCTTTCTCTGTGTGCTATCTGAGGTAAAGTTCAGCGAGCACAAAGCATCTCCTGTCAGACCGTACAGGTGATAACTCATCTGAGCTGTCACCACTAACATACACCAGCTTCAGTTTGGATCTGCCTCCGCCACCTTGATAATAAATCACCTTTTTTTTCACATCTACATGACGGCGTGTCCTCCTCAGACCCCGAGCAGAAAACACTTATTTTTCTGATGGATTTGAAACAAAACACGCTGAGGGTTTTCAGGCAGAAAGAGGAAAGTTTGCAGAGTCAGTGGGGTCAGGTCCGACTCCATAAATAGCCTCTGGAACAAAAGCACAGGCTTAAAAACATAATAGAGGGCTTTTAGCACGTGGGTCAGAAGTGGGAGCAGGCTGCGGAGAGCTTCATAACCATAATGTGACAGAAAGAAGAGTCAGAGAGATATACAGAGCCTCCGGTGGTACAGTGGCCTGTGGCGGACACAATGCAAACACCATGCACACATTCCTGCATCCACCACAAGCCCAGCCTCTCCTCCTCAGAAATTTAATTAGAGATCCCTGACACCACAGCGCTCTTCCTCTCTCTTCATCCTCAGCACACGTGTTTTGTATTTTTCCTTCCTCCACCATGTTTTCAGTGCTGTCAGTGAGGAGAGAGGCCGCTGCTGTAAATACACGGCTGACAGAAAGCTGCTCATCTACAATTGTAGGCTGGGAGACGGAGGCTGGCTCAGCGGGGTGTTTTAATGACAGTGTGTCACAGCACGCCGGCCTCGGCGTCGCTCGGCTGGCTCACACACTCGCCATTTTTATACTCAGAGAACATGGCTCTGCATAGCATCAGCCAGCTTTAGGATGGGCACATGGTGCCTTTGGCCTCGCTTCAGGTCAGAATGCTGGACTTGAGTTTCAGGGCACTCGGAGTATGATGTAAGGAGCTTTACTCTGTCAGTCTGTACAAAGGGCAGCAGGTTTACACCACAGCTTGAGACCTGTTCATCATCACAGACTCAAAGACTGAGATCTGAGGTCTGTGGAGGGATCATCAGTCAGAGTGATGGATGGAGCAGCTTTACAGCGAGCTCACAGAAACCTTAACCTGCCGATCAGTGTGTTCAACAGTGAAAAATTAACATAGTTTTAGCTTCAACCTGAACAATGGATTCAGGAAATAATAGAAAAACTCATTCATTCAAGCATTTGTCAACACCTGCTGCTTGAACAGCTGATGTTTGGAGGCTTTTTGGATTGAGATGTCAAACCAGAACAAAAAGAGTCACTGAAGGACATCCTGTGAACTCGGGATAAAATTCTGTAGTACAAAGAACCACTGCACCACGATCTACAACCTGTGGATCAAGAGAAACCTGCGGATCTCAGCAAATACAGCTTTACGGCTGATTCTTCTGCATCAAGCTCAACATGCACTAAACAGAACAGGGTCTTTTGGATCTTCATTGATGAGGACCTAAATCCTCATTGTGAGTCCAAGAATGAGATGAGGTGGTAAACCCAGAGGAACCTCACAAACATGAAAACACAGGATAGAAATCCCCTTTAAAAGCCTTGCACAGAGACAATGGCGGGAACTCCAATCACTGATGAACACATGAAGTAATGAATATGAGAAGAGGCTGTAAAGTAAATGTTATTGGATCAAACCAAAGCGTATTGATCAATTAAATCAGTCACACAAAGAATCAAACGTAATTAAACCAAGAGTACCTGACAGCCTCTCAAGCAGCCATCACAAAAAGGTCAAGGGTCAAATCCAGACCAGTAACTCCTTTGTTGTGATGGGGGAGAGAAGACAGTAAAATGTATGTGCTGGTAGATTCACACGAGCTTAACTTCTGTTGATCTGTATCATATTATGGTGTTTAAGCTTATTCTAATGTACTGAATCACACTGACTAACACTGCACCTCATCTTATTGTTACTCATCATATCATATATCATATCAGGTTTTAAATCTGACTGTATCTTTATCCTGTCCAATCATATTTAATAGTATTCTGTTGAATTGTCTTGTATCTTATCTCATCTTGATACACCAGTCAGTCAGTCAGTCAGTCAGTCAGTCCGTCAGTCAGTCAGTCCGTGTGAGAAGCTGGTAAATAGGTCATTTCAGAACGTACCAGTTTGGATTCAAAACAACATTTCAGAACACCTCAAATTGGGCTCATTCACAGTTCTCTAAAATCCTGCGTAATCCTCCTTTATGGAATTCAAATGAGCGATCATGGAAAGAGTGTTGAAAACAGGACCAAGGTATTTGTGTAACCAACAGAGTGAGAAAAACACTAATCCACTTCATCAGGTGGATGATAATCTGTCTACTCCAGCTCCTCCAGCCTGTCCACCAAACTATTGCACCTCCAGTTAATGTGGACCATAGCCTCGGCCCTCAGCTTTACAGGAAACATTTCCTGAAGCAGAGACAAGGTCCAAGCCCTGGGAATGTGTGTTCGTACCTTCAGAGCAGCTGTCGTCGCTGCTGACGCTCAGCCTCTCGGCGTTGCCTTGCACATATTTGTTGTAGAGTTTGATCCTCAGTGCCCAGCTCAGGTCTGGCTGCCTCACTGTGTTCTTCAGTCGCCTCCTGGCATTAGCAAACCAGTTGGAAACCTGTGAGGAGGAGAGAGAGAAGTAGGAGGAAGTGGGAAGACACAGCAAACAGAAACATGTGTGATTGTTTTGAATCCAAACACCTCCACATCCCTGAGCAAACAAAGACCATCCTTTCTGCAAACGTCTGCTCGCTGCTGGCCATCCATCTCATTAACACACACCAGCAGACAGAAACAGTCTGCTCTCTGAAACTGAGCTTCGAGAAACATCTCAGACAATCCGCAGAGACTTCCCAGCATGCATCTATTCTGTATCAACACCATGTAGAAACATTTAACACCCTCAATCGCCAATTCATCAGAGAATGCAACATTTGATTTGCAATGTTCTGAACGGGATGTTCGTTCAGCGTGCTTACTCTGGACCACTGCAGCCTTCCTCTAATAATACACTTTTTCCAACGCCGTCTTCAAGATGCAATAAAAAAGACACCCGAGCCGCCGCCGCTGCTTTCACTGGGAACAGAGACCATTAGATGTTATACTAGAATAACTTTTCATGCTCAATAGACTCCAAGCGGCTTATGAATAGGCGAAGATGGGGCCTTATGCTAGAGTACTTATTCCTCTGATCCCATGGTTCAGTATCCTGTTTCTCCTTAACTAAGACCATGCCACATGCTTTTGTCTCCGCCAGCAATGTGGCACTCCGAGGGGAAAAGCTGCATCGTGCTCATGTGGCGGGAAGACGAGGTGAGATGTGGGCCGGCTCGCTAATGAAGACCGGAGGAAAGATGGCCGTCAATGGGGTAAGAGAAAAGAGACGTGAGGGCACTACTGCTGATGACAAAGACATGAGAAAGGTTGTTTTGGAGCAGCCGGAGCAGATCCTCCAGCCGTGCTCTGTCTGTGCTGGATGTACCGTGGAGGAGACAGCATGCAGGGATTACAGAGGGATGGAGAGATGGCACCGATGGCACAAACTTTTAGTAATAATTTACATGGAAAAAGGGCTGTTGTGCTGAAAAATGACAGATTTAGTTTCTCCAAACACCTGCTGCCTGGTGGCTGCTGCTGCCAGGGAAAATGCACAGGAAGTGATGCGTTCTACATTGCTGGCTGCAGCACTGGCTTCGTTTGGACTAAACAGTGGAAAGATCTGTGATCATAGCCTCACAGAACTGGTATTTAAAGAGGAGAGACGCACTTACATTTAAAAAAAAAAAAAAACATTTTTGATATGAAATCATTTGCAGATGGTACACCTTCAGTAATGCTCCTAATTTCACGATCATTTATGAAATTATAATTTCTCAGCAGGAGATTTTATTCTGCTACATACCAAACTCAACCACATAAAGCATTTATATATCTAACAAGATATAGTAAAATGATGATAACCAGATTTTGAAACTGAAACATGTGATTGTTGTATTAAAAGTCTCTGCTCATTTAAAATGTTTACACATTTGTAAAACGTAGTTTCAGGTTCATGTATCTCCTCATGTGTCCTCAGCTCTTTTTTCAACTGCTCTCTGTATACCTTCGTGAACCCAGTAGACCAGTTTCTCAGCAGCTGGACTCTTCTCCTACAGAGCCATGCTGTTGTAATCCCTGTAGTCAGAATGTGGTTTGTCATTGTCTTGCTGAAATATGAAGGTCCTCCTGAAAAAGTCTTTGTCTGGATGTCAGCAGATGATGCTCCTAAACCTGTAGATATTGTTCAGCATTAATGGAGCCTTCACAGATGTGGAAGATACCCATGACATGGACTCTGATGATCCCCATACCATCAGGGATGCTGGATTTAAACTGGTAGCTGAGAACACGCCAGATTGTCCCTCTACTTTTTAGAGAGGAGGATCCATGATTTCTAAAATGAATATCAAGGTTTTAATCGTCAAACCACAGAGTCCTGTCTTTTTTTATTGTAGCGCTGCCTGAGGGCCTGAAGATCAGGACCATCCAGTCCTGGTTTTGGTCCTTGTCCCTTTAGTACAGAGATCTCTCCAGATTCTCTGAATCTTTTAATTTTATTATGAACTGTAGATGATGAAATCCACTCATTCTGTCACATTTGACACTCAGGAACATTATTCTGAAACTATTGAACAACCTCCTCTAACAACTTTTAACAAACATGTTGGTGAAGTCAAATTTAAAATGATATTTTTCATGAAAAAGATGTTTTGAAAAATCCATTTTTATCCTTTTTGTTTTCTTTGAACTTTTATAAATGAAACATAGACTTAAGAGATTTTTAAACTATCAAAATTTGTTTTAATCAACATTTTGCACCGTTTTTCTAACTTTTGTGTAAATGGGGTTGTGATCTCTGACCCTGCTGCTGGTATTTGGGTATTAGCTTTAAAGTATGTGTGTGTGAGGTGTGTGTGAAGTGCGTGTTCGGCCCCCTGTGTCCGACACAAAGCATTCCTCTACGCTCTGCTCACCCTCGACAAAACAAACAGGCCCATCAGGCTCCAAAATGAGAACCAGATTAAGCAGTGTGGCCGGCAGCCCAAGAACGCCACCGCTGCAGACGCTTGGAGGCTGTATGAGTGACCTTGACAGCCAGATGATACCATACACACACACACGCACACACACACACACACACACACACACACACACACACACACACACACACACACACACACACACACACACACACACACTGTGCATTAACGGTTGAGTTTCCCTCTGAGTGGTCAGTTCATCAGGTGCAGAATTATCACTGAAACACAAATTCTCCAGAATCGAAGGATAAATTTGAGAATTCAAGTAACAGATTAAAGAAAAAGTGATCATGATGTCATAAAATCAGAAATATGTGCTCTATTTCTTTTTTTTTTTTTGGAATAGTTTCACCTGTTTATGCCTCAGAAGGTTAGAGAAATAAGCTCATGTAAAATGACTGAGATGTAAATTATCTGCTTTTTATAGGAGGTCTTAAATCATGAAGGAATGGAGGCACTGACACAGATGAGTCCAGGATGAATTTACAGCTGCAGCTATTTTTCACATTTGAGTGAAATAAAAATGAAAAGAAACGCCGACTGTTGCGTTTGGACGGACGCAGAAACAACATGAAGCGTCCCTGCAGGAGAGCAGTAAAATAAACAGCTTGAGATGTAAAAAACACTTTCTGCTCACAGCCTGTTAATCCTATAACAGCTCCACTTTTCCAGACCTGATTAGACAGACACTCATTTTCCCTTCACTGATCGCACTCATGCCTGCACTTTTATAACTGTTACACAGCTCTATTTTGTTTTAAAGCCCCTACAAAATAGACTCACCTGGACCAGGGTCATTTGCGAGCCAAGGGCCAGCAGGATCTTCTCTGTCTTGGTGGGGTAGGGGTTGTCTCTGTGCTTGTAGAGCCACTGTTTGAGCGGCCGGGCCATGTCCTGCAGAGCCTGACGTTTGTGCCGCACTTTACCACCGCTTGGACGACCTCTGAGGAGAGACAGGTACACAGATGTTAGGCAGACAGCAGAGTGAAGGGAAACTGAGACCTGGACTGTTTATTCTGCTCTGTCTGCTGCTTTTATTCTTTTCATTTCTGAGCCTGCCAACAAATAAACACACAGCCTGTCTTTAAAGGTGTATGAGGGGTTTGTTTGACATGAACCCACTCTGCATTTTTCACTGACATTATGCTCATTATATCAGCTAAAACTGTTGGTAAACACCCTAGATTAAATTCTCTTATTTTCTAAATTAAATCTGGTTTGAACCCGTAAAGAGACGCAGCAGGATCGTGTTGTTTACTGAACTCAACCAAAGCAGTGGAAACCTGAGCAGACCGCCATGTTGTCTGAATTTGTGAGTCATGACATATAAAGTGAACACACTCCACAGCGTACAATTTTCTCACCCAAAGCTTCAATTTGATTAAAAGAGTGAGAGACAAAGAGACACTGCAGGGGAGAGATAGAGAGAGAGAGTGAGGACAAGAGGACGGACAGTTTATTTTTTCAGTGCATGCCCCACAAACCGCCAACACGTCGCAATGAAACAAACAAAACATTTTAGTCAGGCCAGATGAACATTTCACACCCCGGAGGAGCGACCAAGAACACTGAAGCTGCAGGGTCACATCTGCAGCCAAGTCTCCACACAGGGGACTGACCGAGAGCTGAGATTAGACTGGAACAGAGAAAAGCTGCCATACATGACCAGGAGAGGCTCTAAAAATATCACAACAGGGATAAAGCATGAGATCCAGACCAAAATAAAAAATACTGTACAGCCTCAAACCTACGGAGTCAGAACTAACAGCTGCTTTAAGAAGATTTTAATGAGGATGTCACTGATTAAACAGCAGAAAACATCATAAATCACCATAAATCTGCTGTTTAGGGACATAAATCTGCTGAAAATAAAGCATTTCAACTTGATTTCTCAAAACCGAGTCTCAGTCCCTCTCTCCGTCTGTGAAGGTCTCAGCCTCACCTTCTTCCCTCCAGGTTTCATGAACCTGTAGATGTCAGTGTGGTGCTGTGCTCTGCTGCGCTCTTTATCTCCCTAAAAGCTCCACAGGCTGCAGATGTAACATATTTTAGTCTAACCTCAAGTCTGCCTGAGGTTCATGTTCTACAAATATTTTCCTTGTAATCTAGATCAGTATGAACATCCGAGAGGACGTGTTACTCTGTCCTGAACTTTGTTTCAAACACACACACACACACACACACACACACACATTCAGACCTTTGTTTAGTTATTTAATGTTCTTCATTAGGACTGATGCTTCCTACCAGCTGACACCCGCAGTTCACTCCAGATCTCCTCTTTTAGAATAAAAGGCTCCTTAAGGTCACTTCTTCCTTCTCTGTTCTCGCCCAGCTGTGCCAAATATGACATACAGTAATTCACACTTAACAAATAATTCAGTCTCATCTTTTCTTACACCTGCTCCCGTCACATGGAGGAGAAATGAACAAAAACAAAATATACATTTAAAAATAAAGGCCTGACTGACTCTGCTGTGATTGACTCGACCACACAGAGAGTTGAAGGGCACATTTCTTTCTTGGAAACAGATGGAGACCTCCAGAAGACACGCTACCGAACAGACTGACCTACTTATTAATTTTAAGATTAGCTGTGAACATCAACACTTTAATGAGGACCAGATTGGAAAAGTGGAAATATTCATTCCCTCAAACCAGCAGATCCTGTTGCACTGTAGCAACCTTGGAATAAGACAGCCTGGATTTTTTAATTTGGTGTTGAAGTCTGGAGATGTAAAACATAATCACTTCAACTTTTTGATGTAAAGAAACAACTTCCATGGTGATTTTTAATCTACGCGTTAAGTCTAAACTTGTGCGTAAAAGCGAAAATTACGCACTGCTGCTGAAAAAATCTGATCAAATCGAAACTTAATGCGCACACGCTGATTAAAACTGTAACACTAATGTAGTTTCACAGGAACATGACCCAAGAAGCAATCTCCTGAGTTTGATATTCCTCCAGTTTTCGCTCTCTGCAGAGAGAAAATCCCAGACAAAATCATCATTGGTATCCACGCTCTCACAGCGCAAACATGTGCCAAGTGAAATAACAGCTAATCCACATCCTAACACAAGCCTCTCACGCCGTTAAATCCCGCAGACTGCTCCACCTACCCGCTCCTCCTGTGTCGGATGGCCTGGTTGTCTCTGATGGTCTGGTTGCTGGAGAGGAGGTCTGGATGTTGCCCGTCGATGACCTCCAGATAATTTCTGCTGCTCATTTCCACTTCTTTCGCCTTCTCCTCGAACAGGACCTGGCTGCTCAGCTTATTAAACACGATGGTGTTCATCTTTGGCCAGATAGTTTCCAAAATTCACCGATGCGCAAAAATTCGAAACAGGGGGAATTACTCCTCAGATGTGTCACAATGTTCCTGAGTCTCACCTGTAAAATAAGAGCGGATATTTTAGGCAGGGGAAGGGACATAATAAAGGAATTAATAAATAGATTTAATATTAACTGTGATATCCTGCTGGTTACCCTCTATAATTTTTCCCTCCAGACACCTTTAATCTGGTGTGTGTGACCAGGTTACCTTCAACCCGCCCGGTCATACAAATACTCTTCATTTATCTGCACGAAAACTATGGAGAGATATTCGTGCGTAACTGCGCTGCTGAGCTGCGTCATTATAAGGTCACTCACTGTAAACAAATGCGACTTAAATTCAAACCCGCAGTTTGTGTAAAGTCATTAAGCCCATGTCACTGCACTGAAACCAACCAAGCAGGCAGCAGGTCTGTCGGGAGTGAAGCGTTAAATTCACTCCTGAAAGATGATGCCGCGCACAGATTATCCTCAAACACCTGATTTTGTCTCAGAAAAACTGACTCTGTTAAATTCATTTTCCTTTATTTTTATTTATTTTTTAAGAAAACATCTGGAAGTAACAGTTGACTTAGTACAGTTGGATCTACGGCCAAGTTGATTTAGCTGTAGTAAACTCTTAAAGTGATTTTAAAAATATGTATGTATTCCGTTTCAAGCATCCAGAATATTTCTATTCGGCTCTGTAGTTGCTTTAAAGTTTAAATTGTTTATACTTTTTCATTTGCTATACTTTTTAATTATTATTAAACTACACTTTAGACTCCTGAAATTAGTCTTTCTTTTTTTTAAATTCAGGACCTCGGTACGGACTACAATTCAGACCTGTCAGAGGGGAGACGCTCCGTGATGTGGTGTCATCAGGGACACTTCAAGATTCACAAGCATCGAAATGACAGTGGGATATAATGACAAGTCTTTTTGCTTATTCATTATGCTAAATTTAGTTTTTAAATTGGACAATTGGTGCCAGAATAAAGCGCAGTACAAACACAGACATGCCCATTCAAACTTGGATAAAGTGGTTTAATCCTCTCCTTCATACAGTCCCAAAAAACTGTCGGACCTCACCTCACCCTCGCCCCTTCAGAGTATTTCGGTCCCCTACCTGTCCCGTCCCCTCCTGCGTTTCTCTGCTGTATAGAATAATAATCCAGTTTCCAGTCTCCCATTCCCCGCTCACATGTTCCCTTCCTGAGATCCTTTGCTCAAACCACACGGAGCGCCGTCTCCTCCGCTTTATCCGGAGACCTGCGCCGCGCCGCCCGGGAACCTGAATATCTCACACTGCTCATGTTTCCTAGCACACAGCCTGAGCCTGCGAACATACTGTGGATGGTTTAGGCCGGTTCAGGGGCCTTGGCCAGCAGGAGCAAAGTTAGGGAAGAGAGGGAGGGAGGCAGCACGCTGCAAAAAGTGGGCTGAATCTGCTGTGCAGAGTGAGAACGGTTTATCTCCATAGAAATGTTTCCAGCTGAAAACAGCTCCAGCTCAACGGACATGTGCTCACAAAGTTACATCCTCCAGATTATTTATCAGCTCTGGTGTCAGTTTCAGGAGTTCTAGTAAGTATCCTGAGAGAAGACGGTAAACTTAAGTTAGAAAACAATTAAATGATAATCATTCAATCACAGACATCATATTTTCAGAAAAGCTGATATTCCGGCATAAAGTTCATTTAGGGTCAAACACACTGTAACACCGAGTTAGACACCCTCTCGAGAGATTAATGTTGCCAACTGCTTGCTTCTCTCGTTATACCAACTTTAGTAACGACCACTCTACTGCAGAGTTTCGCAGCTCAAGGAAGAACATTCCATGAAGTAATGAAGGACATCATTACTTCATGGAAATGCAATCAGGCCGAGAAGCTAAGGCAAAGGAACTACCGCATCTGTAGTGCAAAATGATTAATAAGGTGATTATTACTTAAAGGAAATGATGAAGAAATGATCATAAATGTTCTTTGAGCTGCGTCACCCTGCAGCAGTCTGTAATGAACTGGCCTGAGATCTCACTACAAACAAGTGGCTGCTGGAAGAGAGCAGGTGAGTTGTGTTTAGTCTTTTTACCAAAGAAATTAGGCAAAGCTAAAAAGATGTTTGATGGCTAGTACTAGAGCTGGGACCCTATATGTACTGTTGATGAAGTTAGGTGCTGTTCTGAGCATTATTTGTGGCTATAGAGTGGCTTTTTGGTTGAGGTTTGCGTGGAGACGTAGACCGCTGTGTATTGCTATTGTGTTGTCGTTACTAAAGTTGGTATAACAAGAGAAGCAAGCAGTCAGCAACATTTACCTCTCTAGAGGGTGTCTAACTCGGTGTTACAGTGTGTTTGACCCTAGATGAATTTTACGCTGGAATATCCCTTTAATGAGAAGATTGATGCTGTACTTTTTCCCCCAACTTATCTCACATCAGCTCTGTCTAACTTGGGGTTAAGGCTCAAATTTGACAGTCAGATCATCTTTGCTACAGGATGAAAAACGAGCATTAGCTGATCTGTTTCTCTGTATTTTAATGAAACTGACTCCTGTGTTGAGATTTTTCAAATCTATGATATGAACTGAATTCATATTAATGTTTTTCATAACATCCAAATGCAGACAAGACTGTCAGCAGCATAGCTGATGAACTTTATATTGTAATTTTTAAAGCCTGAAACCTGCATGAGAGGGCGGCGTCTTGTTTGCGGACCCTCTTTTCAAATTTCTACATAAAATAAATCAGTCATCATTTCAGCTCCTTTGTCCACAAGGGGCGCCAGACTTGGCCCAGACTAAAAGCTCCTCACTGGAGCTTTTAATCAAACATGCAAACACGGGGACAGATGAGTTGGGGGGTGTCACCTGGACACATTTGAGTTGATGAAACCTCTTTGGCTCTGCCAATAAAATAACATATACAAAGACTTTAATGAAGACTTTCATAAAGCTCCTGCAGGCCTTCATTTATTCATCCTCTGATTGATAGATTCTGTGCTCAATATTTGCTACTGTCTTTGCCCGCAGAATTTTTGTATCTTTTGGACTTGTATTCTGAAAATTTTAGCTCCTTACTTTTGCCTGCTGTCGAACCACCTTTTAAATGTCTGATTAAAATGAGAAATTATTAAAGGAATATGAAAAGATCTAAACTTGGGTGGTCTGTTCTTGCCACTGTGACAGTTTTTTTTTTTTAATACTGGGACGAAAACGGTAAAAGGAGGAAACAACAGGACTTTGTTTTGTGAGCTGGAAACAACAGCAAGACCTTTATAATATTCAGTTTAAAAAAAAAAGAAAATAACCGCTCTTTGGTTTACAGATCACTGATGAAAAACTAATTACCCAATGATACCCTGGCCGTGCACTTTGGATTTCAGGAAGATAAAAATTTACATCAGTCCACAGCAGGCTTTTGTAAACCAGTTAGGAATAAGAAGATCAGATACAAAGACTTGTAAATATGATGCAGTAAAAAAGCAAAGCTGATAAAGAATATAAGTCTAAAAATGTAAGGCTGTATAAAAGTCCACTGACATCTGTACATGTGTTGTGTTTCAGCTCCAAAGTTACACAACAGGTCCTCTATTTGCTAAGGTCATGTTTTTTCATGAAAGTTGACATCATTCTGACTCTTGTGACGGTGAGATTTGTCCTTAACTGTGAAAAAAATTCAAACCATAAATAGCATGAATATAAGTTTCAGTCTGTTTTATCAAGTTTAACACTCCTAACAGGAGCTTTAAGTTGGTCCTCTGAATAGGAAGTAGATTTTCAAACAGGCTGTAAATCTCTGACTTGCTTAGCTGCATTTTTTACAGTGTCCCTGAGTTAAACCGTTCCCTGCTGTCTGCTGCACACTCTCTTTACAGTGCAGTAAACTGGTTTTGGATGCTCGTAAAGACTCTATCATGTCCCTGCAGGATCTCACCTTGGTCATGAAGACTCTTGTGTAATTTTTAAATTTTTGAAGGTTGATCTTCAGCTGCCTGAGGCTGACGTCTCTATCACTTTTATATAAGAGGTAATCATTCAAACCCAAAGATCTCGGTTTGCTTTTTGGTTACGCTGAGAGAAAAGAGGTCCTTACAGTATACAGCTGTGCCACTGTTGATTACCCTTGATACCCTCTCATTGACTCCCATTATAAAAGCTGTCACATTTTGGCCCCATGAGTCATATGTTCTGAGGTCCTGTGCTGCATGCTCCTCTGGGTTTTATCCAAGGTAGTGATTGAAAGGACGTGACTAAGCAGCAGCAGCCATACACACGCTGCGGATCTGTGTAATTACTGTTTATTTGTGCTTATTTTCATTTAACGGGGGAAGTTGACTTTCACTAACAGCTCAAGCAAACGTCCCACGAATGGCCTAGTCATGTAATCACCTTAATTAAGGTCGGGACGCTTTATTTGCTCAGGTCATACACAATGTGTACGTTTCCTCTGTCCCGAAGTGAACCTCTGTTACCTCCTGTGACCTCCTCACTGTTATCTGAACCATGAGGGTCCCAGCAACCTCATGAGGGGGTGGGAAACTACAGAGCCTCATCTTCATCTTCCTCTCGCTCTACTCATCATCCTGCTGTCCACTGAGGGTGTAAACAGGTAGAAGGATCACATCAATCATGAAGTCCAGACCCTGCAGGAGATCCTTGAACACAACCTCTTTCCTCCCATACTGGAGTTCATAACGTCTGCTGGCATCTGCTCTCTCTGCCCTGTAATCCTGGCAGCTTTGGTCACTGGAGTTTGACAAACACTGTTTCTGAAGCCCGGCACTGAAACCATGAGGCGGTCTTTGAGTCTGAGGTGACGGAGAGTTGAGAGAGTGAGCAGATTTCAACATCTTTGAGGTTGAAATGATAAAGCAGCTAAGAAAAACATATTTCTGAGACTAATGTGACAGCTGATCCTCTAAAACCAGATGAAAAAGTTTGATCTGAAATCTAAAGTTACTGTCATTTTGAGAAATCAGGATTTGTCCAATCAGAGGAGCTAACCCTGATGACACCACAGTGATTTCAGTAGGGCTCCTTCCCCTTGGATGTCATAGTTCATGGTAGAAAGTTTTCTTTGCTTGTTTGATCTCTTGAAATGCTGACCCTTTTATTTAAGAGCTTGACAATGAGAAAGCTCCTCAGTCCCTCCAGGAGTTTGTAGGTGTTTTCTGATGTTGCTGCAGCTTGAAGGTCTGATTCTGAGCTGATGAAGCTTTTTCAAAGTAACATGTCTGCTTTGAGGAACTGGGACGATATCACTTCAAGTTCATCCCTGAGTCCAGGTATTAATTTACCAGTGCCCAAGCACTGGTACACAGAGAGAGCACAGATCTACTGATACAAAACAAGCTGAGCAAGATGAATCCACTCAGAGCAGATATATTTTTCCCATTTCTACACTGAGAGCTGACCTCTGCTTCAGCCTTTAAAGGGATATTCCGGTGTAAATTTTAGTTACTGTCAAACACACTGTAACACCGAGTTAGACACCCCCTCAAGAGATGAATGTTGCAGACCACTTGCTTCTCTTATACCAACTTCAGTAATGATAACATGATCGCAATACACAGCAGTCTACATCTCCACTCGCAATTTTTAACCAAAACGTTACTCTATAGCCACAAATAATGCTCAGAACAGCACCTAACTTCATCAATTGTACATATAGGGTCCCAGCCATAGTACTAGCCATCAAACATCTTTTTAGCTTTGCCTTATTTCTTAGGCAAAAAGACTAAACACAACTCACTCACTCTCCTACAGCAGCCGCTTGTTTAAGGGGGGCCCTGAGAAGTCGATCACCGAGTGCAGCGAATCATTTCCATGAAGTAATAATCACCATATTAATCATTTTGCACCGCAGACTCGGTAGTTCTTCTGCCTTAGCCTCTCAGTTTGATTGGTTACTGACTGATTACGTAAGTTGGTGTAACTACAGAAGCAAGTACCTGGCGACATTCATCTCTCAAGGTGGTGTCTTAAGGTCCTTACACACCCCGGCTGACGTGAATATAGAACGCGAAATTATGAAATTTTCGTAGGAGAATTTTGACACACACATCAAGCCAGATGCGATTTTTCGACTTTCTGGGGGAAAAAAAGACACGTCCCGGGTGAAAGCGAAAAGACTGACACAACAGCAGACTGAGTGTTTTCAGTTCTGATTAGACACTAGTGTTGAGATGGCTGTCTGTAGCATGTAGCATACTATTCTGCTGGACTATAGATAGCATT